TTTGCAACTTGAACGTCACGGCTCTGCCAACCACGATTCCATGCACATGATGCATGTGATTCTGTACCGTAGAGTGAGTGTTCTCAGATCTAGAAACACGCAGTAAAGTGACCGACATTTGGGGACTTGTTTTTGAATGAGTTGATTAAGGGAAATTCCCCTGCCCATCATTTAGCCCACGTTCCTCGTAATAGTCGTCATGCATCAGCACCATATTTGGGGAAATATCATCTTATTCATTTTACTGACTTTCCAACCCAGGACTTTGTTATTGAAATCCCTCACGATACTGATCAATAATCACTGAAGGATGCAAGGAGGTAATTTTCTGATGATTACGTTGTCCTATGCAAGAAGTATTGTCTCTGAATTTGATATGATTTTATAATAATGTTTCGACTGAATTCTTAGTAATTCGCAACATGACAGAGATGATTACTTTTGTGTGCTCAAACCCAGTCTCACTTTCTGAAATTGATAGGCGCATTAATAAGGGAATAAATGTGTGCTTCAGAGGTTTTTAGCACTCTGTTTAAGACCACTTAGAGTCTGGGTGCTGATAATTACCCGAGCCGTACGAACAAAAACGTCAAATATTTTGATTACTTTGACTTATGTGCGACGCACATCTAGCGAACAAGTAACGAATTCAGCGCATCCACTCGGATGAGATGCGTATGAGTTGCGTATGCAGTGCGCAAGTTCGCTATTTGTGCGTTTCTCATAAGTTACGAATAAGTTCAATGTACTGCCCGTTCGCAATACGTCGGCATTCGATATGAGTTCGTTCAGTGGGCATAGAGGTCAGCGTATTACCGCGTATGAACGGCTTATCCCCCTTGAACACATAGCGTACTCGTACTGCGCTCGACCGATGCGGGACCGATACGCTGCGTATTTATAACTTATGACCTGCGTAACGTCAATGCGCACCTCATAAGGAATTAGGATACGCAGAAGTGTGAGCAATCTCTGTTCCGAACGAGTAACGTGATAAGTACGGCGATAATACGTAGTCCCATCCTACATTGCACAGTTAGGCCTTAAGCCCCTGTCACACTTTCACGTATCCTAATTCCTTATAAGTTCCTTATCAAAATTTTTCAATACGCAGCCGTACGCTAAAAACGTCGATTTTTAAAAAAATACTTTTGAGTTATGTGCGACGCACATCTAGCGTACAAGTAACGAATTCAGCGCATCCATTGCGTATGAGATTCGTATGAGTTGCGTCAAGTACGCTATCTGCGCGTTTCTCATAAGTTACGAATAAGTACAATGCCCTGCCCGCTCGCAGGACGAGCGGTACTAATTCGTGCTGTATCTTCGCTGCAAGTACGCTATGTATACGGCGGCTCATATGCTGACGGGGTGCGTGCCGGGAAGTCAGCGTTTTACCGCCTATGAACCGCTTACCCCCCACGAACACATGCGGGACAGATGTGCTACATATTTATAACGTATGACCTGCGTAACAGCGTACTTGTTCGCTAGATATGCGTCGCACATTAAAGTCAATGTAATAAAAAAAAAATCGACATTTTGAGCGTACGGCTGCGTATTGAAAATTGTTGATAAGGAACTCATAAGGATTGAGGATACGCAAAAGTGTGACAGGGGCTTTAGCGATAGGTGTACTATTACGTGCATTAAACAACACACGGGACTGCTTTACGTCCCATCCGAAGGACGAAGTAGTTATGGTTAAGTGGCTTGCTTAGAGCACAGGTGTCCGGGCCCGGGCTCGACCCCACTTCCACTGTTGCCTCTGAAACACCAGAGCATGAGCCCGGAGTTCTTGGTGTTATGTTTATCTCCACAGGTTTATCAGAATTTATCAACTTTACAGAAATTCTTAAATTTTAAGTTGGAATTTTCCTTTAGGTTAAATAGCAAAAGGTAAAAGTACCAGTATTTCACTGAATGAATTTGAAGTTTGTCTACAAAGAAGTTTGGCAACACTGCATGAGGAAATTCGGGGTAAACGTTCAAGTGCGCCACGTTAGGGAACACCACTATATGCATATATTTGCAATTGGGGAAGAAAAGAAAAAATTCACCTTCAGTTGGGAAACCGACCCCCTTTTCCTGGTATGCCTGGAGCTAGGCCGCAATCTTGAAATCAAGATGGCGGCCGCGAGTACGACGAGGATCGTTTTTTTAAAGTTGAAATTTCTCATTTCTTCCCAAAGGTAGGTGTATGTGAACCTAACCACCACCATTTGCATTTGCAATTCTCACTGAAGCCTACAGGGGCGCATAAGGCAGTTTGAGGACTGTCTGGGGGTTGAAATCTGATGATTTTGATTGGGGATAATTATGATGAAAATGACTGGAATTTGTTTAATGGTACTCGCAAGAGAGATATGATCCTAGGCCTCTACTTCCGCCTGACCATGTGCAAATGTTAGAAAAGGGGATTTGTAGAGTCCTAGTTACTCGGACTACTGTTATTCAGGGTGAGTCAAACAAACCGAAACCCAAGTGGTGGGACCATTGTTTTAGGGAAGTTCAAAATGTAGGATATGAAAGCCCCATTCATAAACATTCGTTTAGTACAGGAATTATTCAAATCACCCTTTTTTTATGACACAACCACCGTTTTATGGTTCTGTCCACGGATCACAAACAAGAAATCACATAGGGATGTGTGTAAATTGTTTTCGTTTTCTGAAGGAACGCACACCTTTGTTGTGATCCGTGGACAGAACCTTAAAAAGGTGGTTGTGTTTAAAATTCTGTAACTTAAAGGAAGTACATAAGTGATTTGAAGGATTCTTGCACTAAAAGAAAGCTTATGAATTAGGTTTCCATATCCTTGATTTCGAAAGTAAGACATGCCAGAACGTCAATACAACCATGGTCCCAACATTTGTGTTTTGGTTTTCTTTACTCATCCTGTATTACTACAAACAGAATGGTAGTCAATAAATCCATACAGACTATCACATCCCAGGGTTTGCCCACCCCATTAAATGGACCCTTGGTTATAGTCACCATCCAATGAACCGTACTGACACTCAGAGAAAACTAGGCCTTCACTCTTCTCTTTACAATATTTATATTTATTTACACGACTTATCATACACACGATTTATATTCCTTATTAAATTCAGATTAAGGGGCAACTTCCAGTATTTAAATACAATAACAAATATTAGTTACAGCATAGAAAAAAAAGTGTCCGAGTGTCTCTTGTTGTCTCGTGTCCAGCAAATGCTCTATGCCCGTAGCTTTCCCACTTAGCCAGCGGAGTCCACACGGTCCTCTGGTCCCGCCGCTGCGGTCCGGTCTCACTCCTCTGGTCACGGGGACGCAATCCCACAACCAAGATCAAAAGCCCTGAAAACATAGCAATAACAAATTTGTTCGCCAAAATATCCAAACATTTCTGCGTAACAAAATTATGTGTTTGGCCAAATTTCCTCAAACGCAACTAGCACCTTCGTAGGCCAACACTTGTCGTTTTCTTATGCAATATAAGCCTTATTGTATTTTATACAAAATTAATGCAAAGTTCTAAACAATACATTTCACGCTTAATCTTTCCAAAAATCTCATAAAAATTAGTCTCCAGTTATTAAAGTGATATTATGTTCCCCACAAAATGAATAAATTCAGCAAAGTTTAATACAACAATAATTTTGATTTATAGTTTAACTTACAGGAATTGAAGGACTCCTGGCTTATACACTGCTGAATTTTCTGGTTCGTGAACTCTCATTAGTTCAGACTCAATGAGCTCTCAATAGCTCTGCCGCAGGCTGGCTATGCCCTATCTCCCTTGGCTTCTAAGTCTCAAAAAAACTACTTCGAGTCCGGCCACTGCCCTCTACTCTGAATTTCTCTCAGGAAGTCCCTTCTCTTACATTTAGTCATATGCATAAATTAACATGATAAGTTTATTCTGTCCACTCAGACTTCTCATTGCCTATTTAAAATTCACATTGAGTATTACGTAAACCCCATTGGCCAAGGACAAACTAGGTGTGGCTTAATTATTTAAACGTCACAGCCTCAACAAAACATGGTTTGGCTACTAGTAGCTCACCTATCCCCGGAATGTTGGGTATGAGAGCCTCAATAATTGTGTTACCCTCTACATAAAACACATTCCAACTTCCAGTGTACTAGATTCAGGCCACATAAAAATAAATCTTGTTGCTACAACCAATAAAGAGTAAATTCGTTTTATTAAAATAAAGTCACTCTGTGAAGCAGACATTTCACTAATATGTGATGGACTGCTTCGCCCGCCTGTTCTCCAAAGACAAACAGTTCAGAGCTTGAAGTCTCTCCGCATACGTTGTGGTTCCCCTTGCAACCTTCAGACACATCCTACTGACCCTCCTTTGGACTCAATCTAATTTATAAATGTCAGTGGCAGTGTAATTAAGGTGACCAGGCAGGCACTCCGTACTCAAGCACTGGGATTTATAAAGGGATGAAAGGGCCTGCGTTGAAGTACGTACCTCCTGCTAAATTGCTCCCTAATTTTAAAGAATTACGGATCAAACAGGGCAGCTTTCGGGGGAGATATTTTGTTGAGAAAATTAAATTTTAGTTGCCAGTAATTGTCTATCTATCAAAGCTCCAATCCAAGTCCCGTAGTCTTCAGACCTCCACGAAAGTAGAAGGCACAGAGGTGGATTCTAATTCTAGAAGTACATGTGTTATATGTATACATTATGTTCGAACGGCACCCCCTAACCCCAAAGCTAGCGTCAGATGCAATTTTTTTCCCAAGTGCTTGAATTAAATGCAACACACCACTTATTTCTCTTGCAATCCTACATACTGGCCCGTTATTGTGAGTCCCCGCCCCCCCCCTCCCCAACAACAATCATTCCCTTCCCCTATGTTTCAAGTTTCCCATTTTCCCAAATTTATGTACTCACCTAAATTTTCATTTTGTTTTTATATTCCAGTGTTCTTAAAACCACCTGGTGATCTAGGGTGCTATAAAGACAACACTGGCGATCGTGCTCTTGGAGGAAGTGAAAGGAAGGATGAGAGTTCCATGTCTTGGCAGTGGTGCATGTTTTACTGTAAGAATTATGATTATATGGGACTGGAGTTTGGTGACGAATGCTTCTGTGGAGATAATTCTAACTATTACAGGCATGGTGATGGTGAATCTGGCTGCAGTAAGACGTGTGAAGGAAACAGATATGAGGCTTGTGGTGGAGCAGATCGCATTCAAGTCTACAGAGGTAAGACATGAAACAATATTTCCCTCGCCGCTGCTTTGGGGAGGTGCTTTTGCCGCCTGCCTTGCACTTTACGCATTGAGCCCATAGTGACTGTAGGCATATGAGTCATTCAAAAGGAGACTCTTATTATCAGAAGAAGCAGTCGGACTATGGACTAATTCAGTGGTGGCCTAGTGGGAGGAGGAATTTAAAGAGGCCAAAGAGAACAGAGTTAAACGGGACTAGACGAGAGGGGATTCCCATCCCAGCCCCCTCCTTCATTTCCTTTTTTTGTTTAGAAAATTCACTTCAACTTCTATTTCAACGATGCAGTTAAATACTGTTTAAAAAAGACATGCTTGTTAGAATTTACACAATTTTAAATCAACTGTTTACATCCCTCACCATCAATTTTTCTCAATAATTGCAGCAAAAAAAGCTCTGTGCTCCAAGCCTGGTCAACCAAGTCATGGATCATACGACGTATCCAAACCTTACAGTTACGACCTGGGTGACTATGAATATGAGGGTGCTGTTTTACGATATAACTGCCTCAGAGGTTACTATTTTCCTGCCAAGCCCCCAACTGTCACATGTGTGATAGGAAAGACATGGAGCCCTGCCCACAGCACCTGCCGAGGTAAATATGGGAGAGAAAATACATTTTCCACCAATTTTTTGTTGAAATGAAAGTTCAAATATATCCAATGACAAGGATTTATATGTCAGCTATATAGAACAAATATTGAGTGGCTTTAACTTGTGAAGTAAGAGGAGTATTATCGCTCAGTAAAATCTGGACTTTTCCAGTGCACTCGGCTTTGCCTCTTGAGATGAAAAAGACAAGATTTACCTTGCTATAATATTTCTCCCATTTCACTCTGAGCCACTCAATATTTGTATACCAACCGCATCAGTATAATTAACAATATCATTTCAGACACAGTTTGGAATTCAATATTATTTTTTTAGGCATTGGTCAGTAGAAGCAAACTTTTTTCCTTGCCCTATTTTTAAGCAAAAGTTGAACTTGTTTCGAAAATACAATACACAGATTGAAACTATAATTGCCAGATGCATGAAATATCAGTAAACATTCAAACGCATTACAATTACTACAGGTGTATTACTTTAATCATGAATATGACAGTTCTGTAGTCGAGGTACTTATGATGGGTCCCAGGTACGTCATGAGTCTATTCCAAGTAAACCTCAAAGTCAATTCACTAGTCCGGTCACAAGTTAACCCTAAAGGGGCCGGGTTATTTTGACCATCTCTCAGCCAGGGGGGAGGGGCGGATACCGCCCCCCTAAGATCTCGGCCATCGAGTGACGAAAATTTTTGAAACTTGGCACATGCATAGAGCAACTCTTCCTAAACATACCCAAGAAATTTCATGACTATAGGTCAAAGGGTTTTGGAATTATGGCTAATTAATTATTCATATGTACGAATGGCAATTCTGCTCTGTGTACACGACGTATATGCGAAAATTCAGTTGAAAATTCAAATTGTTCGCTACGCGGCAACCCGTGGTCCGAATTTTACTAGTTTTTGGTATCAAAAGATGCGCAAAGCTCGAGGCTAAAAAGTCATAACAACTCGGGTCGCGAAATTCTTTTTTTTAGAGGCTATCACGGAAAATGTTGGGGGGGGGGCGGATTCCGCCCCCGCCCCTTTAGGGTTAATGAGGATAAACAAATTCAAACGAATGCCTTTGTCATAATTCATTTGAATGTCTTATGACTTGACACACTATACAGTTGAAAGAACTAGTCCCATTCTTAATATTTGTTAACCAAAAAGGTAGTATGGAAAAAATGGAATATGTATGCGTGCTGCTCTTCATATAGTTGATAGTTTGGTGTGTGTACTTGTGGCCGTACCAATTCTTGCTGTTATGAAGCTGTCTCGTAATGAACAGAATTCATGGAGAATTCCCATGTGACCTTGTGTTGTGATTTTTTTTGGGCAGCAGCTAATTTTACTGCCTGCAGTGATGTCCTCATTATATTACAAGAAACACATGTTACAAAGGTTTTAATTGGTTAAATCATGCAATCTTTTTCCCCAAGCATGTATACCAATACCACACTGTGATGCTGGTGAGTTGCATTGCACCACTGCCACTGACCAACAATGTGACCGGTGTGATGGAGACTATGGGCCCACCATTGGAGCAGCCTACTCAAGAGTCAATTATGGAAAAGAGTGTAGAAGTAAGTTGAATAAATCAATCAGACCATGTTTATACACAGGAATGCAAACACATTTTCCTTTCAGTAAGTATCACAATATTTTTTAAGTGTGAAGAACTGCATGAGTTCTATTTTGGCTGAGGTTAATGTACTCGGCAAATGAAGCGTACCTCACATGTCAATATACGACATTTACTTTTATAGTTATCGCAATTTTAATATCCACTTTTTTCCTCTTTTTTTATATTTATTTTGCTTTTCCAGGGGGGAGCAAGCGCCCCGCCCCCCCCCCCCTCGCAACGCCCATGCTTTCAGTCAAAATCAAGCAAGTGACTGCTTTCAACAATCAAGAGTTCCCGGCCCATATCAAGCAGGATTCATGACTGGCTGTAATTGTTTATGTTAAACTTCATACCTGTGCCTACACTTTGCCTTGCTTTTTTGTGTTAATTGAATTTGACTATACTACTTGGACTGCTGGTGACCAGCATGTGTAAAAGGCGTGGCAGGGGATCGGAAGAGGATTGAATTTTTGAGGGTCTGTGACTGTTCAGACAGCTGGAGGGTTTTGAGTATACATCACAATAATCAGTGGTACCGCACGGTACCTACAAGAAAGCCACTAGGCAACATTCACGTGTATTTCTAATGTTCATATCTGATTCTGTTAAATTAGAGCAGTGTTCTTGGAGGACTGACAGCAATGCCTGCTACCCAGGCTCCTGCAGAGACGCAAAGTGCACATGCAGCAGTGGATTCTCAGGAACAGACTGCAGAACAAGTGAGTAGAATGCAAATCAATTAATGCATATGAAGACTCTTAATGCAAACTATTAGGAAGACTACTTTATATTAGACCAACAGTGAGGGCATGGTGATACATTTAACTTGTGGGTCTACTATTTACATTGGGCATACCAGAGTTAGTTGTAACGAGTCACTGAATTTTGTGACTCGAGTCGAGTCATTTTAAGGAAGTGACTCGAGTCAAGTTGAGTCATTGGGTCAAGGAGGTCGAGTCGAGTCGAGTCGAGTCAAATTTATGCTCGAGTCAATTCGAGTCACTGGTATTTGAACATCATAGATCTAAGAAATTACACAATGGAAGAAGGAATAAAAGCCACCAGTTTGTTACGGAGATTTAAAGACTGTAAATTATACCAAATATAGACAGCATCTGCTGGACGTTTCTTCCAAAGATCTGCGTTATTAACTAAAAGTGAAACCTCGTTTTTATCTCTATTTGGCTTCGACTCTGGAATAATTTATACGCTGACAATTTCAAAACCAAAGTGCAGCAAATTGAATCTGTTTCTGGTTACATGTTTCTGATTACATTTACAATTTTATGGAGATATATCTAATTATTTTTCAGAACATAAATACATTTGTATCGTAAGTCACAGCAGTGTTTTCCCTGGCTAATGAACTGAGCGAGGTGGTAACAATTCAAGTTGATGATTTATTAATTGATATTTCCTTTTTTGCCAATCTTCACAGCGAGGTGGTGATATTGGCAAACATTGAGCGAGGTGGTCACTGAAAGTAGCGAGGTGGGCCACCTCACGTTTGAATTGGCAGGGGAAACACTGAGTCACAGCAAACTCAATATATTTTTGGACAGTTTTGGGACTCTATTGTTATTAGCCTTCGACTCAGGTCGAGTCTTTTGATGAGGGACTCGAGTCGGGTGGAGTCATTTGCTTGCAGTGACTCGGGTCGATTTGAGTCAGTTACCCGTTGAGACTCAAGTCATAATTTATAACGTTGAGGCATACTGAGATAGGCCTAAGTAGGTATGCCTCCATATTTTTACACTTCAGAAGGAGTGGTTGGAACTAATCACATCAGGATCTCATTCTTTTTCATCTTCTAATAGCCGTGAATAGATCGTGTTCCCGGAACCTATTTTATAAACTGTAAACTGTTGAATAGGATGCTGCCAGACTATGCATTCCAAGCCTCTGTTTCAATTTTTTAAACGTGGCTTAAAAGATACAGTATTATGTTTATAATCAGAAGTTAATTTGAAATTGTGCATCAGAGCAGACTGGTATTAATTTGTAATGAACTTTTATTTCATTGCTTTATTTCTACTCAGAAATGAAGACTTTATACTCGCCTTCAATTTGATATATCCGACTTGTGAATAAAGCTCTTTTGGTTCACGCAAGGTACATTGCCTTTTATTGTAATTTTAATGAATGTCCAAAGAGAAGTTTGGATCTTTGTTGCAGTGTTGTATTACTAGTATTTGGTACACGTACTCGAGTACTACTCGAGAACTTTTTTTTTTTTTTAGAGTACTCGTACTCGTACTCGCACTCGAATGTCAAAGTACTTGTATTTGAAATGACGGTACTCGTAATCGGGCAGCAAAGTACTCGTACTCGACATGGTACACGATCATCAAATTACTCGTAGTCGAATAGCAGTACTCGAAGAAAAAATGACGTATGCACCGTGGCCTTGTTTTATCGATACTTTCAGTTCGAAATGGTTGATTGGCTTGCGGAGAAATCGAAGTTTCCTGAATTTTCTGTGTGCACGTCCGGACGAACACATTTAACAGCTAGCCGTTGTCAGTCAGTGGGTCTGTATATCGGTCTGACTGGGCCCGGGCCAATTACGCACAATGAACTATTTGCCATAATTTATGGCTGTATTCGGAAAAAGAATTAAGTACTCATACTCGTACTGGTACTCAGAAGTACTCGTACTCGTACTCGTACTCGTACTCGTTCTCGTTCTCAGAAGTACAAGTAATCGTACTCGAAAACCTGTACTTGTACTCGGAAGTACTCGGTACTCGGAAAAAAGTGCTGCTTTGAAAACACTGCTTTGTTGCATTTAGCCTATATTTGAAAATAAACATGTGATTAATGGCTAAGACATTTAATATTTATTTCCCACGACATCATGATCAGTGGTCAGCAGTCAAGCACCAGTCTTATCAGAGTACCGTGCTACCCTTCAAGAGGGGACGACAAATTTAGAATCTCCTGCAGTCCAGAACAGTACAGCCACGGTCTACACCAATGTTCACAACTTTGAGAGCTTGATGATCAATTGGATAAGCTCCTACCAACCGACTGGACTTCCAGACCCTTCTGCCGGTGGACATCCGTACATCAAAAAAGTTGGGTTGGGTGTGGTGGAGGCAACAGTTGATGCTGTTGTGAATCGTGAGTTCATCCTCCAAAAAATTACAGTAGAAGTCGTCGTGTGCCAAGGAAAAGGTCGTTAGCAGCCCAGACACGCAAAAAAACCAACACACTTTGGGGATAATCGAGTTGAAACGTTTTGTGCTCCCATTTCTAAATTAAAAAACAATATAAGGCTGAAATTTTCACTTATGAAATTCGTTAAGAATTAAAATAATATCGTGCATTTTTATTTCAAAATATTACTTAATATTGAAGTTATTTAAATGTTTTTGCTAACGACTTTTAACCAGGAACTCCCCCTGCCTTATTCGTGAACGACCTCTGCATTAAACGTATGCTTAAGCGGTGTGATAAATCCTAATGACCTTTTGCGTACCCATGTAAGTGGTATGTTAGCGCACTTGGAACATTTCTTGTTACAATAGCATTACACGCTAACGACCTTTTGCCGGGCAAAACTAATGAACAACTTTGGTACGACTTTTTCACACCGTTAATTACATCAGTATGACGTAGACCTTGGAGACAAATTGTACATCAAATGAGAGATAATTCCATGCTCTACCGATTACCCGAAAATACCTTTTGACCCATTCTCGACCTAACGACTTTCTTCCTTGCAGTGAATCCTCTTTTAATGTAAACCCGAATTGAGCCGGTGTTATCTCTCTTATCTCCAAATTTTATTCCCTTCTGACGGTTTTAAGCACCTGATAAATGCCTACCATGCAGGGACTGCACTCTAAAAAAAGCATTAGTCAGATTTGACCAGAAACCAGTTAAATTTGACTAGCCATTCGGGGTCAGCTGGGTGCAACTGAAAATCAGTCAATCTGACTAGATTTTTCCAGTCAGTATTATTGACTTGGGAAAAATAGTTATGCCAATAACTGAATTTGGAGTCGAACCCAACAACTTTTTCTAGTCATAGTATGAAACTTTGCATGTTTAACTAAATTCCTAGTCAATTTTCAATAACTAGGAAAACCAGTCAATATTTTGACTAAGTTGTTTTTAGAGTGTGATGGTACCGCTTGACGTACTGAACGACTTGCCGGCAAGCCTGAATCAGTCCTCATTGTCCTAAACGAGCCTAGATTTTTCATGAATTAAATATCCAACTTAATATTCGTTTTTGTTCAGTAAGGAAGCCATGTTGTCTTTGTTTTATCATTGAAATTAATGCACAAACAACGGAAATCCTGAATTTGTCGGACTATGCCTGTACATGTAACATGTATGGGGTTTCAAAAAGGGAGCCAGAAGAAGTGAACAGTCCATGTTACACTGGACTCAGTGAAAGATAAACATCGAAGCCTGGTATGAAAAGGCCCAGGGTTTTTAAAAGGGAAAATCACCTCATCCACGCACCCGACGAAGTGTACACAGGTGATTCGGTTACTGTCAGGTACATTCTTTGGAACTGAATGTTGGCCATATTTGTTTTATTTTTATTTCAGTGTGCATACATGACTTAAAGGCAAATTTGGACAACAAAAACCTATTTCAAAACACAATACAATTCTGAAACTTCATATTGTTTTAATTGTTAAAGGTCAACTTCAAGATTGAGCTTTAATTGTGTGCTTTTTACAATTTCTCTCCATACTTGCCCTGAACCATAATCCCCTCTCCTTTATCTAGTGAATAACTAGATTGTAATACTGCACCATTCTATTTCATGCATTAAGGAGGGACATCAATGATATATCAGATCTTATCACAACCCTGCTCACGAACAAGTGGAGTGATTTTTACTCGAGACGACCCTGCTACAGACCTAGTTGTCTGTGAAAACACAAACAACTTGAACTACAATCACTGGACCCCAGCAACTGGAGATGTGTAAGCCATAACTGTTTGTACACTTGTATCTTAGGGGCATGTTTGATAAAACAGCTAAGAGCAACGGGACAAGGCAATTGCCAAGCAACTGGTCCAGGCCAGAGCACACAAAATTCTGTGCAATGGATTCAGACTTATGGCTATTGAATGGAATTCTAGTTATAATCTGGTGTACACAGTAATGTTGTGCATTGGGTTGGGTTGACCAGGCCATACCGACCTGAAACAATATAGATATATACTGTAAACCAAGTCAAAACCGAAACCGTTATGAACTCCCCAAATCCGAGCCGACCCGAAGAAATCATGCAAAAACCGATCTGAACTCACCCTTGTACGCGTGAACATGGTCGTCTCTCAGTTAGCCTTGGTCAATGCTCTCGTCGTTATTCGTCCCGTACGCGGTCAATCGTCGGCATATATCCTCATGCGCTAGCACATGCATGTAAAAATACAGCGCGAACAGCGACCTCACGCGGCCACTATTTTTATGCAAATCAGTTGGAGACGATGTCGAGCCTTGGTTCAATCGTCCATGTGTATTTTTGGGGGTGGTGCTCATTATGTTAATAGCCTTAGCTGACCTTAAATGTCGTTTTCTTATTGGTCGATCGTTGCGTGGAAACTTGCATAGTGAAACGTGGCACCGTACATAATCCATACACGAACACATTGTGTGCATTGATCTCCATATACATATCTGTGTATATGGAGATCAATGATTGTGTGTCTCTGCACACGGCACCAATGCACAAAAACTGTGGTTCCTGTCACGTCCGCAAAAGGCGGAATAGCTGCAAATAATTTGATGACGTCCGGATTTTCCAAGGTGTGATTGGACACTCCTCATATTAGCCCTGCCTACATTATCTGTATTCGCATACCAGGTCGTGCGCTGGAAATCTAGCGCAAAGTAAAGAAAAACATAAGCTTTGGCCGACGATTGAACCAAGGCTCAACATCGTCTCCAAGCAGCTAACATTGTTTGTACATATGACTTTATAAATTTAAAAAAGGTTTGTATCACTTTCTGAACAGCCCTGTGAAGTTTGTCACTGATGATTGAAATGTCATGCAGGCATTCTGATTTGTTTTACTACGCACATGAATAAATTCCTTGAGAAAACGCAAGCCACGATAACGAGAGATGAAGCTCGACTCAAGGAGTGCATATTTTACCTCCAAACTTCTTTGTCTGTTACAGACTGAGATATGATGTATTCACAACCAATGGTGGGTACCTGAAACTCTACGACAGAGACTCCTCCGATACCATCATCACACGCTACTATAATGGACAGACAGTTTCTAGGAGTTCAACTTTCACCTTTGACTTTGATGACCCCTACCACTGTGTGGATGTCGGCAGTGGATGTCGAACCACCATGCTGAATGCAGGGAACGATGTCACCTCACAGGTTAGCCATCTGATACTATTGTGTATACATCGTTTGGATTAGGTAGTGGGTAAATAGGTACATGTAAGACTATAGCTACAGTGTTAATTTTCAAATGACCGTTTAAGTTTTCCAGACTTCTATATCATCACAGGCTACTGTGACAGTCACTTGGCAAGGCTGGGCAGATGATCTCGCTGACATCAAAGAATACGATCTGCTGGTGCGACAGCTGTCAGGTAGCCATGGCAGTGAGATGACAGAAATCTTTGACAGTCCGGCTGTTTATGAAGGAGTAGCTAGCTCTGGGCAGACTGTCACCCTGCCCCATGTTGGTACGTTAAATTTTTGTTGGCTGAGTAGCTGTTATGTGAAAGAATTGACAAGAAACTTTGATTATATGGTATATTTGTTGATGGATTTAACCCATGCAAAGCCCAAAGCAGAGTTGCATCAGCCCAACCTGCCATTCTTTTAGATTAGACCATCTGTTCATGTGATGTTTAGTGTTAACATTTTCTCTGTGAAGATAATTTTACGAGTAACTTCAGCGCTGTGTGACTTTTTACCTCCCATTTAGCTAATGGAAAAGATGTCAAAAAACCTGTCAAATACTTATCAATCAAATTTCATTTGATGTCTCAACAATTGTATTAATGAAGCACGTACTTGAAGGTAGAGTAGATCATTTGTTGTTATCCAAAAAAGTAACTTACCAAATAGCTTGCTTGGTTTAAAGATGTTAATGACACGAAACTCCCTGTGCAATCATTCTTTCTGGCATGCTGTCATTTTGAATAAAATACTGAAAGCAGGTAATGTCCAAAGATGAGTCAAGTGACACATTTCGGGAAATTAAGGTCCATTAGTAGTAGGTTTGTTATTGGGCGAATCTGTGAATGGGTGTGCAAAGTATTGACAGACGCACGCGCATGTGTGGTTGCTATTATTTGTCAGTTAATTTAAGTGCGTGGCATCGCGTAGCTGCAATCAGCTGAATGAGAACATGTTTCCGATGCTGATTTCGTGTGCAATTAGTCAAAATATGACTTGGCAACATTTGAATTGAAATTGAGATCTTGTAGAATATTGTAACCTCGGAATATACAGCATTCACACAGCTAAAACTTCATCCTTTGGTTGTTGAGCACCCGTCTTCAGATTTTGAGCATTTTTGTTGCTTTATTACGAAGCAAATGACCAAAAGCTCTACTCTACCTTTAATCAGCCTAATTGTAATACATGTGCAGGAAAGTTCATGCCTGGTTGATGATAATTTAATGAGAATTCAGATGTATTGGGGTCTTCATTTTTAAGGTTCTTTCAGTTGAAATCCATATGAAGTTACTACCCCGTACTTCGAGTCCAGAATTATAACAGTTTAAAGTCTCAGTGCATAGTGAAGGCGTCACATCAGGTGATTGAGTCCTACTCAAGTGCACCAGTATTGTTAGCTTTTATCCACATATTCTCCAGTAACACTCTTCTCATTCTACATCCACTCTTCTCCACAGGTGTTTACTCCGTCATCCTTACTGCTGTTGACAACGCTGGCAATGTGAAACTCAGCAGGCGTTTTGTCTTCTTTGACGACAATCCCGATGATGTCACTGTGCAGAGCAACGCATCTGTGCGATTACTTTCAGCAAATGAAGAAGCCGACTACGAGTGGTTGATTGACCTCGACTCCAGCGGAGGGATGACATCAGTAGTTCTTGATTGGATGAACAGATTCGTTAATATTCATCACCTGAGTCAGGGATTGCTGAAACCCATAGGGAATTACGTCAGCGCTACTATTGACAGTGGTAATTATTTGTTTTAGGGAAAAAAATGAGAACGAGGTTTTGCGTAAGCGATTTTGATGTATCAGACAATGTCCTGTGTTCATCATAAGAAAAAGATCTTCTAACATTTCCAGTGTTTATCGGTGAGTTTACCATTTCTTCTATGGTGGCTATTGTTACGACAGCTGTAACGATATTTCCAACTGCTATCATTACGGCATTGCAAAAACACCATTGCGAATCTGTATCCCCCGTTTATTGCGAATCTGTATTCCCCATTCATCCAGCGCTGTGGTAGCTCAATTGTTTGAATTTTAGTTTTCTTTACTTTAATGTTTTTAATCAAATCATACTTTTACTTATGGAGATTTCATTTTCTTCTTTGTATTGTAATTATTGGCTTCTGAGGATTTGTAAAAAAAAAAGTAAAAAAAAAAAAAAAATCCATTTTCGGTTGACATATCAGCCAATACAACCCTGACGTTGAATACAATTAGGTCAGGGAACCAGACGGTTGATATAGATTCGCAATGGTGTTATTTCAATGCCGTAGCGATAGCTGTTGAAAATTCTGTAACAGCTGCCGTAACAATAGCCACTGCCAAACATCAGACAGCTTTCCCAATGGAAAGTTATGGTGCAACTGATTTGTTTTTATCAAGTAACCTTTCAGTAGTGTACTCTGAAATAATTAAGACCTAGCACTATGGAGTAAGGATTAGACCTTCAAGAACAGTATAACGATTCTTGATGATTTGTTTGCTCCTAGATTACGACCAGAACTTTGGACTTCGTGGCCGTGCAGCCATCCCCAATGCCCTTGGCGTGACAGAATTCCGCGTCTTTTACGACATTGACCACAGCGGTGGCAGGACCACTGTCAACGTCAGCGACGACAACTCAGACCACTGGAGTAATGAAGCTGCAAACACACAGGCGACCTACGACCTGACCCTAGTGGACGGTGATTCCATTCGGTTCTGGGTTGAGGCTAGGGACCTAGTCGGTCACTTTGTGAGGGACAGCGCGTTGGTGCACGCTGATTCATCCCCGCCTATAATTGAAGACTTCTGGCTGGTACGGGACGGGGAGGTGAATCTAGCCATTCATAACGCAGTTGAATTGCATAAAATGAGGTAAGGATTATTTTTTGTATGCCATTAACAATTGTTGACTGCTGTGATGTGGGATATAGCGCATCAGCGCCCCAAGGGTGTTCAGAAAGTCATATCCCACATCACAGCAGTCAACAATTGTTTTGTTATACCTCTGTCTTGGATTCTTTGGATTTTGATGTAAACATCACGAAAACAAACAGCAGTAAGCACAAAAATCATGACAATCCAACGACTACTCACATGCATGTCTCGTGTTCAAAACAGCTGATCGTCTGCTAGTTCGCTCATGTGTGAATGGTGAAAATCGCATGATATTACGAATCCAAAGCTTTATTTACATTTTGAGTTGATAGACGGATTATTACATTGTTCTCTGCTTCTTCCTTTTTTTTAGTGTTGAGTTCAGGACATACGACATTCACAGCGGTATCAGAACCATTGAATGGCTTCTCTTTGACAACTACACTGGCATAGAAATGGAATATGGGAACCAGACTCTTCCAGATAACGACACTGGGCCACAGATGGTACATGGCCATGGAAAAGTAGCTGCAAGAAAATTGCACACGGTAACTATAGGGCATTTGAGACTGCATTGTTTAAATTTTATCAGCTATTGAGAAACAAAATCCACATTTTCTTTTCAGTATAAAAATACCATGTACTATTCTTTTCGTAGTAAATATTAGACATGTATTTTGCACATATTAGTTTAAGGATTTTAATTCTCATTTAATGCTAGTTTTCAAATATGTATAGTCCAATTATCAAAGTAACTTTACTACGAAGCACTTTTCCAAAAGCATTAGACATTTTGGAGGCGAGCGGCATTTGGGTAGCTAATTCTTAGCAGTGACTTTTGCTTTTCATAGGAGGATTGTGATCCAGTCAGCTGTATGTGTGTCCCAGTCGGTGACTGTTACGCTGTAGACTACGGTTTTAAGCCAACCTTTCACATTGGTACCCATGACTACGATTACTTCATCACTCTGACGGTTACCAACCATGCAAGAATGGTAACCACCCAGACAATCCAGGTAGGCTTGACGTTGATGTTTATTTGTGCAACTATGCCATAGTTATAGTCAAGATATATATATTGCTTTTCATAGGAGGATTGTGATCCAGTCAGCTGTATGTGTGTCCCAGTCGGTGACTGTTACGCTGTAGACTACGGTTTTAAGCCAACCTTTCACATTGGTACCCATGACTAATTAGGAGGCCCCCAACAGAGGATAATAGCTAAGTCGGTAGCTAAGAAAGTCAATTTTGACCCGTGTTCCAGATATATCCACCCACTTAAGATATAATAAAGGGAACAAATGTGTGCTTGGGAGGTATTAAACACTCTTTTGAAGATCCGTTTGAGTCTGGATGGGTGATTATCAGCATCCAGCCTCTGACCGGTCTTAAACAGAGTGTTTAATACCGACCAAGCACATATTTATTCCCATTCATAAATATAGCTTTTCGGTCCAAAAATCAAAATATTTCGGTCCAAAAGTCAAAACAAGTCAAAAATAAAACTTCAACAACTTCACTTCATGTTTTTGGAAACACCCCTCAAGCTAAATAATGGAGTTTCCAGCTTGGGAGTAAAACGTAAAAAAACCTCTTTTTTGGGGGGAGATTTGTGCGTACTACGCGATGTCGCACAGATGCAGCTGTGGCAAGTGCCTTGTGAATTTATGACTATGAAATCTGACTCAGTGGTAATATTTCGCGTGCCTACGTGAGGATTGTGAACGTTCAACCAATAAAACGGTAAAAGGCACTGGTTTTCATAGGAGTCCAAATTTCATGTGACACTGGAAAAGTGTTTTAGACCAGCCAGCCATGTTCTTATCATTTGTTTAAGACCGGCCACGTGCCGGGCTCTTGACCAATGGGAATGGGTAAACTTTCCTAGGTATTGATGAATAAGGGAATAAATATGTGCTCGGTGGGTTTTAAACAAGTACGTTTAAAACCGACTTATGGCCTGATAATGATAATGGCCCGAGCCGAAGGGCGAGGGACATTGTCGGTGACCAGGCCCCATGCCGGTTTTAAACGTACTTTAAAATTATAAATTTGCAACGGCTTTGTTCAACAATTTTACTTTATGTTTTTTAAACACCCCTATTTATAGTATGTGCCTCTCCCGAGTAGTAGTAAAAATCTCTTTATGTGGACATTGGCGCATGCGTGATGGCGCAGAACGCAGTGGTGCCGGTGTATTGTGAATGTAGGCCTCTTATACGGGCTTATTGGTAGTATTGCGCATGCCTACGTAAAGATTGTGAACATTCAACCAATCAAAGAGTAAGAGAGAGACCAGATTTCAGAGGAGCCCAAATTTCATGTCACACCGGAAAGGTGTTTAAAACCAGCCCGCTGGTGTTTCATCAACAGTTTAAAACCGGCCATGTGACAGGCTCTCGACCAATAGGAGTGGTAAACTGTCTTAGGTATTTATGAATATCAATTCCCATACTTCCTAGCAATGCAGATATTCTTATTCCTACTGATTCATGCAGATAACAGTAGACACGTCAGCCCCCCAAGCTGGTGTGGTGCATGATGGGATACGTGGATCCAATGAGGTAGACTTTCAGGAAGGCAATGACCTCTCAGCTCACTGGGAGGGGTTCTTTGACAAGGAGAGCGGGGTCAAGTTCTACCAGTATCTGTTTGATGATTCCTGCTGGACCGGTAATACATCAATCAGCAGTGTCAGAGATTCGGTAGGTTTTGGATTGAGGCTTTCGTTCGTGCCACAGTGTTGTTTTGGTAGTCAGACTGTTGAAGAAATACAGACGTTGAATACGTGACACTATCTGACCTGCTGAGTTCATTACCAACAGAATGAAACGTAGGATTTGCATTTAGGTTGTGCAACCCGACCCGAAAGCGAAACCGACCCGACTTCAGTTTGGGATGGGTGGGTCGGTTTTTCCATCATTTCAGTCGGGTTGGGTCAATTTCGGTTTTACGTTTGCAATTTTGGGGTTGAGTCAGTTCAGCTAAGCCATCTTCTGAAAAACCCAAAATAAACCAACAAAAACTCGAAAAAAAGTTAGATGCAATATTATTGCAGAGTTATTGTGCCCGGTATTACCAACGTCAACCCGCTGTTCAAATTTGCATAATGGTTTGCAGTCTATCACGCACAGTCTATATCCGTTATGAGTCTTCACTGCACCGTACAATATGATTCTTAATACCGAGTGACGATTTTCACCCGAAGCGGGTAAGTTTAGGCACAAAAAAAGCGGACACAGTTGCTCAAGCCAGACATTCGGGGTTCTTTTTCAGGTCGGTTCGGGTCGGCTTTTGCTTGAGTTTTTGTCGGGTCAGGTCGGATTAGGGGAGTTCACATCAGTTCCGGTTCGGATTCGGTTTAAATCTATAATGTTTCGGGTTGGTTTGGCTTGGTCAACCCGACCCGGTGCACAACATTAATATTGGGCTGTTGGGCTGTTGGGCCGAGGCCAAACATATGTTTTGAACACATTTTAGCATGAGATAACTTATTCAAATTTTATAAACTTACCCTGAATCTGTCCAAATTGAAATATATATATATATGTATTTTTTAAACTAAGTCCAAATTGAAGCAAGGATGCAAGTCAGGTGTAAAGGAAAGCAGATGACAATCTCCATTTTTTGATGCAACCACCCTGACATCATTTAGGATTGCTTCTTTACGCCTACTGTAGATGAACAGAACAACCTCCACGCATGCAAGTTGGACAGCGCCCTCACCTGGCCAGTACTACGTCACCGTCATTGCTTACAACCGAGCCCTGGAACCCTCGGAGGCCGTCTGTTCTGACGGTGTCGTCATCGATACCAGCCCTCCTGAGTTGACCCAGATTGCTATCAGCTATGCCCGGATGGGGCCTGGTCTAGCTAAGGATGTTGAGGGTCGGGTGTGGTTCATCAACGAGCATCGCAGGAAGATAGAGCTGATGAATGCATCCAGTGACTGCAGGTAGGGACCAAGGACATAAATCCTGGGTGGGGTGGAGGCCACATTTTGACCGGGGTATGGGCCATTGGATCAACCCTCCGCTCCCAGACTTTTTTGGTGAGAAACAAAAAATGCAGATTTTAAGGTCATGTTCCAACTTTCAAACATTCCAAACGCTCCATGGATCTGTCATTCTGTTGTTCGTACACTGGTACTCTCACGCCTTGACTATCTGCAACTCTATCTCAACCGCCTACAAAAACTCCAAAACAAGGCTGCTTGACTGATCCATCTGAAGCCAAAGTATTTCCATACTTTCCTGCAATCAGTTTTCTCCACCAAGTTTTTAAAATTTAAGAAATGAGAGATGCTCTGCAGTAGTTTTAAAATATAAACACGTACATTTAGCCATATAACTGACATTCTCTACATTACATTAATGTACTTTTTAAAAACAGTGCTAAGGCTGCTGTGGTAGATGATTTGTCTGTTTATCCTGAGATGTCTGGCACCAACGACACCTCAGCAATTCTCCAAGGAGACTTAGACTGCCTCTGGATCTCAGCCGTCCAGCAGAAGTTCTACCTCCCGATCAACAAACACGTACGATTTACAGATACGCTTGACTGGGCTTAGCTGGGCTAAACTGGACTGCAGGGCTTGGTTGGATGGGATGGGCATGGCTAAGTTGGACTGAAATAATCTGGTTGGGGTTAAACTGGGTTGGTCTGGGTCGAGTAGTTGGTCTGGGCTGGGATTGGGTAAGCTAGACTGGGCTGAGATTGGCTGGCATGGGCTAAACTGGGCTTACATGTAGACATGCAGAGGATATTTTATTACTGAAGTAAACTTTTCTGATTCTGTGCTTGATTGTTGTTTTTTTGTCATTAATAACAGGTGATAATTTCTTGGACTGGAGAGGATGAAGAAAGCTCAATCTATGACTTTGAGATCGGTCTGAGCACTGACCCCTCCAATCCGACCCCTGACCTTGTGACCTTCATGTCAACATCGGGTCATGATCACTTTGTGATGTACCATCCTCATATCAGCCATGGAGCTGTGTTCCATCTGGTTCTGAAGGCGATCAACAAGGCTCAGTTATCTACATTCAAGGTGTGTGAAAAATATATTGTGCATAACAGATAACATACAAACCAGATAACTAAATGTCTATGCAGATGGAACATTACGTGATCTATATGGTTCTATTCCCGGTGGGAATGATTTTACTTTCCCCTTTCTAACACTAACTATACATAATAATCATGTCCTTTTGACCATCCTGGCTGTTTTCCTGTTTACTAGGTAATTGGGCCAATTATTGTGGATACCACCCAACCCATGTTTGATGGGCATGTCTCGGTCCATGCGGAGGATGAATACTTGATTGCTGAATGGGGAGATAGTGGCTTCATTGATGATGAGGATACCAGCCTGAGTTACAAAGTTGCCATCGGTGAGTCAATCTTACCTAGATAGTGTTGATTATTAAACCAAATTTTATAAATCAATGAATGGAGCTAGTATATTATTATTTTCATTATTTAGATCTTTCTCTTGATTTGATAAAGAGTTTTTTTGTGCATTCTTTCAGGGAGCAGTCCAGGTGGCACGGAAACTCTTGATTTTCAGTCAGAAAAAGACTACAAAATGGGACCATGTACATCTCTGACATCCTGCGCTGCGTTCTTATTGGCTGACCTAGACTGGCATCTCCATGGTGATCATGAGTATTACGTTACAGTCAGAGCACAGAATGGTGCTGGGTTATCTATGGTGGGGACGTCATCAGTTTATAGACACATCGTGCAGTTACCATCCCTGGGTGTTGTATTGGATGTCGCACCTCCTGGAGAAGGTGCAGTCGTCAACTTGGGGGTATGACTGTGAAGTAGTGTCTTTTAGGTTGTCTCTCATTGTAAACTGACATCATTTGAAAGGAATAAATGCTTGGCCGGTTTTAAACAAGTTAGCCGGTTTTAAACAAGTACGTTTAAAACTCGTTTGGGGCCTGGACGCTGATAATTGCCCGAGCCAAATATGAGGAACATTATTGGGGATCAGGCCCCAAGCTGGTCTTAAACGTACTTGTTTATACCTACCAAGCTAATATTAAATCCCATTCATGAATATCTTTTCGGTCAAAAAGTCACAAATGATAAATTTCCAATGATTTTGTTCAACCATTTTAATTCATGTTTTTTTTAAAAAAAACAGCCCTGTTACGGTACATGTATGTGTCTCTTGGGAGTAGTACTAACAATCTGCTTATATGGACATTGGCGTGCGAGTAGCTTACTGTGCAATGTTGCGTAGAACGCAGAGGTGTCGGTGTAGTGTGAATTTAGGACTCTGTGAAATACAGACACATTGGTGGTATTGCGTATGCCTAAGTGAAGATTGGGACCAGATTTCATAGTAGCAAAATTATCATGTGACATCGGAGAAGTGCTTAAAACAAGCCTGTGCTTTACCAACCGTTTAAAACCACCCACGTGACAGGCTCTCGACCAATAGGAATGGGTAAACTGTCTTAGGTATTTATGAATTAAACATTTAACACATGGCAGATGTTTCTGCTTGTCTGGTTTTGAGATTTTTGTGGCATCGATGACTGTGTACAAGGGCTTCAAAGTACAAACTTGCTTCAAGCATCTTATTAATTCTACTTCTAATTAATTTAGATGGTTAAACCACATTTTGTAATGTGTCTCCGCTTTATATGTTTTTTTTTTATTAAAAGAGTAATATTATTTAGAAATGTACCCACTCCTTTTGTTTGCTTGCTCATAGGTAGCCAGAGATATCGACGTTCAGATGGACACCACAAGCATCTCAGGCCGTTGGTTTGGTTTTGAGCATCCTCATCTTGATATCAACTATGAGATTGCCATCGGATCGGAATATGGTGCTTCTGATGTCAGCGGAGGTTTCATTGATGTCGGCAACGCAACCTCCTATCGATTGGATGGACTGGATCTCACACCACTCACGGTAATAACATGGACTTAAAACAGTTGAAATCATTAAAATGACTTTCCCTTATACTGAGATCTGACTTCATCTTGATAGTTTGTTTTCATCATCTTTGTGGCCATATTTTATTGACAGACCTATTACGTAACCATCCGTGCCAACTCTGAAGCAGGTAGCGTCAACCTTACTTCAGATGGTGTCAAAGTCATTCAGGCGGGTCAGGCACTGGAGGGAGCTGTGGCCAAAGACGGACTGGGCTGTGGTCAAGAAGAAAGTAATGCCTTTCAAATTTCTTAGAAAATACATTATTTAGAATGGTTGAAAGTCATTTACAATTAGTCACTTGTTTTTAAGTTTGAAAGACACCTCTCACGATCGGTGACTGTCTTTTGAACTATCCACCTGGGCTCGCTTGAACATCCTTCTACACTCTTGTCGAACAGTTGCACAGATATTTAAGATTGAAACTTTGATCTCTAGATCTGTCTTTCTTCTCTCTACTCTTTATTCACATTTTCTTTCCTCCTTCTGTGCCATCAGGATTCTCCCATTACTCATCTGTTGCTCATTAACCCTGTCAGGATGACATCACCTACCAGTCCCCAACTTCAGACATCTCAGCTTGTTAGACCCTCCGTCTGGATTTGTCCTTACTCTCTCTTCTTTTGCAGTTTCTTACCACCTCACTGCAGTGTCTGTATCATCAACCTTGTCAGGATGGCATCACCTACCAGGCTTCCACCTCAAGCATCTCAGCTCGTTGGACCATCCCCCGTACTCTCTCTTCATTCACAGTTTCTTGCCTCGTTCTTGCAGTGTCCGTGCAATCAAGATTCTCTTATCACTCATCTGCTGCTCATCAACTCTGTCAGGATGACATGCCCTGCAAATCCTCCACCTCAGACATCTCAGCACATTGGTCGATCCCTCTAGATACCTTCCTTCTCTGTCTTTATTCACAGTTTCTTGCCTCTTTCTTGCAGTGTCTGCACCATCAGGATTTTCTCATCACTCATCCGCTGCTCATCAACCGTGTCAGGAAGACATCACCTACCAGGCCTCCACCTCTGACATCTCAGCTCGTTGGACCATCCCTGAGATGCTGCAGCCCTATGTGACTAACATCATCTGGGCAGTTGAGCAGGAGGTTGAGATTTATTTTGGTAAGCTTAATCTGAAAATTGTTCTACAGAATGTTAATGGTTATCCTTACAAACTGTGGTTCAGAGTCCTTACAAAATCATTTTCAGTCTTTTTTCTATCGGTTTCCATCCAGTCTTCATAGTTACAAACTCAGAGTCTTTTACATTCAATTTATTATTTATAGGTTCCAATATGTAGATTGAAGTGGGATATATGTTGTATCTCTCACAGATGATGAGCAATCTACAACCGTGTGGATCCCAGTGCTCGATGATCAAGATCTCGGCATGGCATTTCATCATGTTGGAGATGGTATAGGGTTGAACAGTGGAGCTCACTACAGATCAAAGGTAGCAGAAACTTCTCCATTTATGGGGGGAAAGGCCCAAGGTATTGTCCGTACAGTGCAAATCTCACTCTAGTCGGTTTCTTTGTTTTAACAGAAAATTCATTCCAAGATATTCCTCTCAAGTTTCCATGCGTACTCTATATGTATGTGACTATAGGTTCAATTCTGCCACGTGAGTGTCTGCTTCCAACCCATCGTCACCGACGGATTCTGGGTATTGTCACAACCTCCCGAGGTCGGTCAGATCACAGTCATTAGCACTGAGACTATGCAAGGAAGGACAGAGCTCCATGTGGTCTTCCATCTATTTGCACATGATTACGTCCGTCATGACGACCCGCGAGAACTGATGGATTTCTATGAGTGGAGCATTGCTGAGGATGGTAGTGATGGAGCACTGCTGAGTCCGTGGATGAGAATCTATGATTTGGTGCTGACTGGAGATGTGGTAAGTGCACAATTGAAGCAGAAAAGAGGGACAGAGTAGAGGGAAAGTACAAGGTGATTCAAAAAGGAGTCCAAATGGCATCCCCTTTTTTTGTGGTTTGCTATCTCCCTTTGTTTCTTTGTTCTCTCATCCACCCTCCCCTGCATCTTTCCACACCTTTCCCACCTAATCCTCCTTTTGTGTTTCTTCTTCCAGCCCTGCATGTTTGTGTGCACCCCCATGTTAATGTATGTACCTCTGTCATTTCTGTTTTAGCCTCTGAAGAAGAACTTGCTAAGTTCGCAACGTCAGGCCACATTAATTTTTAGTTTTCATGGTTATGAGAGTGTTCTGACATGTTTTTTAATATGTGAATTGTCTTTATTTTGCTGAAATATCACCTACGTTTGTGATCTGTGGACAAAATGATAAAACTGTGTTTGTGTTTAAAGTCTATAACTGGAAAAGTACATGAGCGATTTGAATGATTCTTAAATACTTGGGCTTTCATATCCTAGATCTTGAACAGGCTACATGCAGATCTTGTTCAAAAAATAGGAGGCGCCATTTGGGTTTCCTTTTTTTTTTAATCACCTTGTATAACATTAAAGTAAACAAACTTTCTGGACAATTAATGTAATGGTACAATTTGTAATCCGGGATTTATTTGTCTAGGGGGCATTGTGTTTTAGGGTAGGATGGTTGTATACAAAAAATGTTTTGAGAGTAATTAGTTAATTCTTTCTGTAAGAGCTAAGCCATTTAACTTTTGTCTAGTTAAAAGATCATTGGAAAAGTATAGTTTGGTTTTTATGAAAAAAAAATGCTCCTGGCCTTAATGATGAACAGCGCAGAACTTGTGAACTGTTACTTCAATTGAGCATGAAAATTCCCAGTCATTTAAAGACCAATATTTCACACCCTAAGCTTTGAAAAAAATCTTCTTTTTAATCTTGCTGAACAGGCTTGCTTCACAGCATCCCACAGCGGGTTGCTAGACCTAGATATCTGTCTCCGGTTATCAGTGAGGGGCTACAATAAGGCTGGTCTGTCTTCCATCGCCAGCACGGAGATTGTTGACTGTGATGACGTGAAGCTGATCGTCCCCCATACTGTCATTGATGCTGATCGTAAGTTTCTCTTCGAAATTTGAATCAAGGAATCAAGCCCAGGATTCGGCAGAAATTTTCATCTTTGAAATACGGCGGGTTTCTCTCATTGTCTTGATTTCACGGTACTAAGATATGCTGTGCTTAAAGTATCGCACAACAAATGAAAGTGCCAAGAATCACACGAAAGTTTCAGGAAATTATCAGAAGAATGGTTCTGATTAGTGCATAATCAGAATAACATCCATCATGTGCCATATGCATGTGCTAACCAATGCTTGCATACATTGGGTTCCTCCCACATAACTCTCACAATAATCCTGCAATACCTGTTTTTCTGTTCATGCATCGTGTACACAACGAACGCTTCATATTTTTGTCTTGTTTTAAACAGATGAAGTCATCATTGAGCAGAATGCATTGTGGCGGGAACCAGACAAGAATTATATCTCATCTACGTCTTCATTATCAGCAGTCTGGCCTACTCTACGTCATAGGGCCTACACCTGGGCCGCCATTTTGGATACCGGATCCTCTGCATTTGGCAACTTGGACGATGGTCTGCAGTATCCCTGCGATCATCCAAGGGCGAAGGCTTGTGGGGAAACAGGTTGGAAGATTGAGAGTAAAATTGCTGAAACCCTGGAGAAGTAAAAACTATCTTTTGAGGTTTTAATCGGATTTCATTGAAAATTTTATTTGAAAAAGAAGTTTTTGGACAATGAAAAAGTTTGAAAGGATCAATGAGGAAGGGAAAGCGACTTCATCATTGGTAAGGTTAACCCTGCAGATAAAGTCACATCGAGTCCACAAAGAAATGCATTATTACGCAAGCTCAATAGACATTATATACGAAGAAACCAGTTTTGAGTGCGTTCTCAGAATGTATTTCACAAACTTCATAGTAAATTGTTGAATGGGATTGTGCCAGACTATTTTTGTGTTCCAAGCCTCACTTTCATTTTTTAGAATGAAAATTACAATATTAGGACACGTAAATTGTTCATCAGAGCAGACTGGTATTAATTTGTAATGAAGTTTATTTCATTGCTTTCATTTCTATTCCCAAGTTCCAAAAACTTAAGATTTGACCTCGCTTCAATTCAATGTGGCTGACTCGTGAATCAAGCCTATTGGGATTAGGATACAACACACTGTAATGTTGGTTATGGTTTCAACAGATAAAGAATTTGTCAACGTTCGTGATTTGGTCCTACATTATGGCCAGCGCTATCGCATTTGCATCCACGCCGATGAAGTGACATTGGAGCATGAGTTTTGGAATGAGCCACTGCCTGCTGTGTCCAGCTGTAGCGATGGCGTTGTCATAGATACGACCCCACCGACCTCTGGCTCTGTTTGGATTGGGTGGGATCAGCATCAAACTTACCAAGTAAGTTTCTCATTTGTCTGCGTTTTATTAAGCTTTTGGGGTACAAGAAAGGAGAGATTTTCACTATCAGATGCGGTAGTCAGTTGTAAATTGTTTTAGTTGTGGTCATGAAGTGATCTTTTTATTAATTGTAACATTATCTGGTTAACCCCTTCAGGCAACTAGCTAAAACCACAGGTGATTAGTGCACAAACTCTGAACACACTGATCTGATATACCGTCCCCTCTAGAGACGTGCACACAATGGGGAACAAAATATTGTATACGTCTCCACAGGACAATTTCTATAGATGAATACGTTGAAGTGAGATGAATCAATGAAGAACTCAGAGGAGATTATTCTCAGGTTCTGTGCCACTGCAGCTTTATTCATCAGACATAATGTAAGAGTGAGAGCGGGCGAACTGTTCACCTAATGTGCTTGCGCCCATACAAAGTAGTTCTCATGAAGTATCACAACATCCCTCCCCTTTTGAAAGTACAATTTCAGGAATAATTATTGGTGTACACATAAAACTGGAATTTACTTAATTAGCAAGCATTTACATGAAATGTGTAGTGATGGCTTTTCAATTGACAGGCATATGAAACATTGGTGGTCATATCTTACTGACAACTACAACTTTTGTTTCTCTGCAATATGTGGCACACAGTCTTAGTACCTTCTTTTCGAACGGCAACAAATTTAACTTTAGTACTTTTTTTTTTTTTTTCTTCTTCTTTTTTTTTGAACAGTAACAAAGTGAACTTTAGTACTTTCTTTTGAAATTTGACTTTGGTACTTTCTTGCTTTCTTCCTTTTTGAACGGTTAACAAATTTAACTTTAAACAACAATAAGTGTACTGAAACGGGTTTAATAAACATATGAAACTTTGAGTTCTGTTTCAAATCGTGTGGGTTATTTTTTTGTTTCCATATGAAATTAAATGTGAAATATCGTTTCTGAACCAAATTGTTTGAAGTATCTGCTATGTATAATCTGGGTGTGTGATATTATTCAGTGTATCTGGCTGGTTTTCGGATTGTGCGTCCAGATTTTGTTTTGCGAGTGACAGTCGGAGACTTGTTTCGATCTGTGTTGTTTCGGTCTGTTTTGTTTCGGTCTGTTTGTTTCACAGCTTCTGTGTCTAGCTTCTTGTTGGACAGTGGAAGTGATTCATCAGCGAATCGAACTCGTTTGGGCGTAGCCAGGGATTTCATCTGGCTGGGCATCTCACGTAGGTGGGAACGGTTGCGACGTAGTCTGTGTTCATTGGGTGTGGTGACTTCATATGATCTAGGTTCCTTACAGACTGTTGTGACTTCACCAGGCAACCAAGTGTGGTTCTGCTGGTCCAGGATTCGCACTCGTTGGCCAACATAGAGTTGTGGGAGTTCTTTTACTGCTTGTTTGGCATCATGGTCGGTCTTAATCTTTTGTCGTCTTGCCTCTAGCTGGTCTCTGATATCCTTAGCTTTCTGGGGGTTTGCTTGCAGGTGGTTGTTTGGCAAGGTAGTTTTTATCGGTCTGCCGAAGAGAATTTGAAGTCCACAGGGGTTGCACGGAGGTTCAAGAGTGCTATGTCGACATTTTGTCCAGACTTCTGGCATTTCTTGATCACTGACTTGACGGTTCTGACTGAACGTTCCACGAAACCGTTTGAACGTGGATAACGTGGAGACGAAGTTGTGTGCTTGATGCCCCATGTGTCACACATGTCTTCGTAGTGTTTGCCTACGATTTGGGGGCCGTTGTCTGACATAACCTCAGCTGGTGCTCCAAGGAGGCTGAATGTGTGTGAGGTGATGCCAGCAACTGCTGCACTGGTTGTGCTGTTCAACTTGTGAACGACAGGGTACTTCGAATGATAGTCAACTATCAGTAGATAGTTGTCTCCGTGGATTTCAAACAGATCAGTGCCAAGTTTGGTCCAGGGGGTCGAAGGTACTTGATGTGGCTCCAATGGTTCCTTTTGCTGTTTGGGTTGGGATTCCTGGCAGTAGGAACACGCTTTGACAAGTTCATCAATATGGCGATTGATGTTGGGCCAGTAGACCGACTCTCTGGCTAGACGTCTTGTCTTCTCTATACCCATATGGCCTGTATGGAGCTGTTGTAAGATATCCGTCTGAAGTGAGTCTGGAATGATGACCTGTCTTCCTTTGAAGATTATTCCCCAGGAGATACCAAGCTCATCCCTGTATGGCCAGTAGACCCGTAGGTCTCGAGGTAGTTCCTTGACGGAGTCTGGCCAGCCACTGTATATTATCTGACACAGTGCACTTAATACAGGGTCTCTTGCTGTTTCTCTCTGCAGTTGCTCTTGCTTAGACTGCCCAAACTGCACAAGGTCCATGCGCATGGTGTCTTGGCCTTCATAGACATCAAAACTGCCGACCAGTCTGTCTAGGGGTATGTCATCACTCTTTGTCGGGTTTGGCAATCTGCTCAGGGCATCTGATAGCGTCATTGTTTTCCCTGGTCTGTACTGTACGTCAAAGTTGTATCCTTGCACCTTAATTAGCAAGCGTTGCAGACGAGGTGGTGCACTCGAGAGGGGTTTCTTCCAGATCATCTCAAGTGGCTTGTGATCAGTGTGGAGTGTAAACTCTTTCCCCAAGAGATAGCTATGGAACCTGGTGATGCCGAACACTAGGGCTAGTGTTTCTCTCTCTATGTTAGAGTAGTTGGCTTGTGCCGGGGAAAGACTCTTTGACGCAAATGCTATCGGCCTGCTGTTTTGAAGGAGGCAGGCTCCCAGACCCTTCTGTGATGCGTCGACTTCCAGCACAGTGTGTATCTCTGGGTTGTAGTACTGGAGACACGTTTCAGTGGTGATGGAATATTTCAAGGCTTCGAATGCTGCTTGATGGTCATCCTGCCACAGATATGGCACATTCTTCTTCAGGAGATCCCTGAGGGTCGCTGCTTTGTCTGCCAGGTTAGGGATATATGCAGAGACGTATGTGATCAGGCCTAGGAATTTTTGCAGGTCTTCCTTGTCCTGAGGTGTTGGAATGCTGTGGATGTCCTCAATTCTGCCTGGGTCCGGCCTGATGCCGGTGTCGGAGTACAGTGACCCAAAGAAGTTGATTTGGTTGGTCTTGATGTGGCATTTGTTGCTGTTGAAAACTAAGCCTTCACGGCTGGCTGTTTGAAGTAGATTCAGGAGGTTGGCATCGTGTTCTTCCTCAGTACGGCCATATACAGCAACATCGTCAGCAATGCCGACGCATCCTGGAACCTGTTCTATGATGTCGTCCATGCACTGCTGGAAGATGTCTTGGCTGATGGAGAGACCAAATGGAAGGCGCTGGAAACAGTACCGGCCAAATGGCGTTCGAAAGGTGGTCAGCTCTTGGGATTCTTCCTCGAGCTTGACGGCCCAATACCCAGCTTTAGCATCAAGCTTCGAGAAGAATTTGGCTTGAGAAAATGCTGGGTTGAGTTCCTCCAGTGTGGGTATTTTGTGCGGACATCTTTTGAGGCTCTGGTTCAGCCGCTTAGGATCCAGACAGACCCTAAGTGTCCCATCTTGTTTCAAGCTCGTGGTTATCGAACTACACCAGTAGGTGTGATGGGTGACCTTTCTAATTACACCTTGCTGTTCCATCTTTTCGATCTCTATTTTGAGCTTCGGCTTCAGGTGTATGCTACACTTCCTGGGCGCGTCAATGCTCGTTTAGCATCCTCTTTATAATAGATGAATAGTTGCTCTGGCTTTGAAGTTTCCAATTGTGTCAAATTGGTTGGGGTACAACCTCACGAGGTCGTGGACCGACTTGATGGTGTCATGTGACAGATTTTGGGGTTCACCTACTCCTGGTTGTTTGGGTGATGCAGGGGGTTGAGGTGACGATTCAGTGGAGTGGATGGTGACCACTTCAAGCTCGCAGCACATGGGCAGGCCAGCTATGGCTGGTCCAGGGACATCTACGACGTAGAATCTGTTCTTTGTCCACTTCGGTGTAGCGGCATAAAAGCTCAATGCACCCTAGGCATACAATCTCTGTACCGTTGTACGCCGTCAGCTTGGTCTTCACAGGCTGGACGAAAGACTTCCATCGACTTCCATACATCTGTTTGATCGTACGGAGTGGCAACGTGTTTCCTCCGGCTCCAGTGTCAACTTTTGTGATTAGTTGGTGTGTGCCGATGAGGTCGGGGCAAATAACGTCAAGCGTTGTGTATGCCTCCCTGTTGTTGTCTATCGAGCTCATGCAGAGGTTCGAGACAGTAACTGTGTGGAATACTGTTTCATATTCCTCTGAAGCTTCTGCTGAATGGATGGGTTGTTCATCTCTGTTGGTGTCATTTGGCTTCTGCTTGCCGGCATTGGATCGACTTTTGGATCTTGGTCTGCGAGTTGTATTTCCTCGCGATGGGCTGCGGCCACGTCTGGACGGAGATTTGCCCTTGCGTTTACCCTGGCTTTGGGTCTTTCTGCAGAATTTGGCCCAATGGCCCTTGGAACCACATGATTTACATGTGTCCCGGTAGGCATGACACCGTCTTGGTGGGTGGGATAGACCACAGTTGCCACAGGTTCTGCCAGTGGGTCGGAAAGCATGGACAGCTGTATGTGACGCCTCCAACGTCTCAAGGCACTTTTTGCCAGCAAGGATGGCTTCGTACTTCCGTCCCTCTTGTAGCATGTCATCGATGCTAAAACCAATGGGTTTGTCTAGAAGATCTTTCTGGAAAGATTCAGATGTGGTAGACGCAATCACTAATTCGATAATGCGTTCCGTCATTTCCTCTGGTCCGAAGTTACATTCGTGTGCCTTTGCTCGGCATCTGTTGACGAAGTTGTCCAGGGATTCGTCTGGTTTCTGGCGATACCGCATAAGCTCCAGGCGATGTATGCGGAAGTTCACTTTGATGTGTAGCTGCTTCTCGAACAATTCCCATAACTGGTTGGGGATCAGTTGTTCTTCTGCTGACAGGCTTAAAGAATTTATCATTTGAGGCCTCCAGTTCCGACTGCTATTTGTATCTTAACAGCACGCTTGGCAGGATCGGTGATTTCCTGGCCCCTGAAGCTGAGGTCCATCCGTTGTTTAAAAAGCTTAAACTCTTCTGCGATGTCTGTGGCACCCCAGTTTATTTCTGGGAACTTGGCCATGATGCAGGGCTGTGGGATAGAAATCTCTGGGATACAATTCAATATGCTACAGCAAACGAAATTGTAAACAAAAGCAACTGCAATGTAGCTTAAAGGTAAGTGCTACGATTGGTGATCACAATAAATCACAACAATATAATTATTTCAATAATAATTTTGACTATTCAACAATATATTTGTCAAAACACATATTATTGTTCATATTTGAAATGTCCAGAGTTCTTTTGGTGAGCAGTCCTTTCTCCAAGAATGTCCAAACACAGTTTGTCCTGCTTTTCCACAGAAATGAGCGATGTACTGTCAGATTTCCAACTTGACTTGATGTCCCGTACAGGCCTCCGTAGATATGATTGATGCACAGTTCCGGCACTGGCGGATGAATACGGCGAATGTTCACTGTGATGAGCGGGAAGCGCACAGTTCCGGCGATGATGCGGAGTGATAGGGTCAAAGGTCACACTTGACGTAAAGATGCTTGAAGCGGTTCACAGGGCTTGTGATGTTCACGGAACTATTTGTTCATACGCACAGCTACAAGAATGTGTGCACGATAGCGAAACAATGTTTAACAATATGAAGGTGATTCAAAGGTGTACATTGTTACGTGAACTGGCTGGGTGGGGGGGGGGGGGGGCTGATGATCACTCCCGTAGATCAGACTTTTGACAAAGTTATTGTAGTGACTTGCCTTGGTCACGCGATGGTGCGACGGGCTGGTCCCTGACCGGTCGACCGTGTGTACGGGTCGAGTAAGCTCGGTCGAGTCCCGGTGCGGTCGCGTCAAATCGGAACTCGATCAGCTTTCACTCAGCTCCACGAAAAAGACGAAAAAGTCCTCTGTCGCTATGATGCCGATGGTCGACTCGGGGCGAGGGGTTTTCTCTTGTCCGTGCTGTCCATAGCACGGTATAGCGGTCCGTCTCAGCGTTGGCTCGGTGATGGCTTAGGCTTGGCTCAGTCCGGCGATGACTCCGGGCTAGGCTACGCACGCAGCTGAGTTTCAGTTACGTTGCGTGCGGTGTGGAGTGGGCTTGGCGACGGTGGGTGTGCGGCATACAGTGTGTGAAGTGGTGCGCTGAATCTACGCACGCGGCGAGTACACATATGGATATGTACAGTTCACACTGGGGATCACAGCGGAAACGTTGTTGTCGCGGAGACAATTTCTGCTACTTTCCGGTAGTTTTCAGTTACTCTGCTTAGTTGAGAGTGATGGGTGTTCTCTGGCCTTTTTCACCACCGCTGCCACCATGAAGTGAGATGAATCAATGAAGAACTCAGAGGAGATTATTCTCAGGTTCTGTGCCACTGCAGCTTTATTCATCAGACATATTGTAAGAGTGAGCGCGGGCGAACTGTTCACCTAATGTGCTTGCGCGCATACAAAGTAGTGCTCATGAAGTATCACAACATACGTCTCCACAAGAATTTCAATAGATATTAGACAACAAAGAAATGTCTCCACGAGAATACAAATTTCAGTCATACGATACTGTAGCGGGATCCTACTGGGCTCTTGTCCGCCAAGTCCAGCAAAACGCAAGAAAAGGGGACAGACAGACGGGATTTCTAACTCTGAAGGGAGATCTCATTTATTTTGCCAAGCGGACTCTGCGGGCAACTTGCCGCACCGCTACCAGAACTGCAACTGATCAATTCCCATGCACACAATCTGAACAAATGCATACAAATGTAGCAACTTTACCCAACCCTGGAATCCAGCCAAGTTCTTCCTGCGCAATTGAACAAAAGAACCCCACTTAGCCAACCTATTTGTAGAGCCTATTTCCGGAGCGCGCGCCAGCAAGACCCAAAACCAGGTCAGGTGCGCGCCGCCGGAGCCCCTCCGCCGGAGCAGTGCTAGAAAGCAAAGACAACACAAGTGTGCATAGACTGTCCGTTACAATACTTATTGTTCCCTGCTGGTGTTAGGCATTCATCTGGCAATATACCATTAAGGGAATTACAGCTTGAGATTAGAGAGGGCTGGAAATCCTGGTACGGGATCTGGTAACAACCAAAATATATACTTCGGTTTTCTGGTATAAGGCGATCGATTCACGGCATGTAATTTATGTCTGGTTCATGAGGTGATTTTCCCTTTTCAAAACCTGAGCCCTTTTTTTACACGGAGTTTGGATGTTAATCTCTTACTGAGCCCACTGTAGCATTATATCTGGTTAATCTCTAAAGACAATTAGTTACACCCCTGGAGGCCATGCTCTATATGGGTAGGCATTCATACACTAACTCTCTGCAGTTCACGCATGCGAAATTCAGCATTTTTGTTGTTTGTGCATCAATTTAAATGATCGGAAAAAAACAACATGTTTTCATTACTCGACAAAAAAATATATAACGTCGGATATTAAATTGATGAAAAATGTATGTGCGGTTAGGCCTCTGAGAAGAGATCAGTAAGTCTGGTTGAGATCAAAAACCCAAATTTAACTGGCTAGCTGGGGTTTACTGCTACAGGATGATTCACGGCATGTACCCAATTCTTCATTTTTTGGGGTAGTGATCTCTTCCTAACCACTTAATTTGTGAGGTTGGTTCATGAAGGTAACATTCCTATTTTTTTCCTCCGGTCATTTTTCTTTAATCTAGAGTTCTGTGTCTGAGTTAGTTCTTCAGTGGGAGTCCTTTACTGACATTGAGGAACACGGCATGGCACGACATCACTCTGGGATCAAACACTATGAATATGCCATCGGTAGGAGCTGCTTGGTTTTCACAAATCTACAAACTGATCCTTTGGCATTGGATAATGCAATAATCACATTCATCTATAGCACTAGTGGGGTTGATGATTGTGATTATTAAGGGAATAAATATGTGCTTGGCCTGTTTTAAACAAGTCTAAAGATCGGTGTGGGGTATGAACGCTGATAATGTTTATCGGCAACCAGTCCCATGCCGGTCTTAAACGGACTTGTGTTATACCGGCCAAGCACATATTGATTCCCATTCATAAATACCTTTTTGATCAAAAGGTAAAAACAATCATAAATGTTCAACTATTTTGTTCCATTCGAAACTCCCGTTTAGCTGTTTGATGGTATGATCCTCTCACGAGTAGTCGTAACAACTTCTTATATGGAGATTGGCGCGCGTGGTGCATACTGCACAGTGTGGCACGTGGCACATGGCACGTGCTGCATTATGTGGCGCAGAATGCGGCGGTGCCAGTGTAGTGTGAACTTAAGACTCTCCAAATGCGGACTCATTGGTAGTATTGCGCATGCCAAAGTGAAGATTGTGAACGTTCAACCAATACACAGGTAGAAGGGACCAGACTTCATAGGAGTCTTCATAGGAGTCGCATTTCATGTGAAACCGGAGAAGTGTTTAAGACCAGCCAGCCGATGTTTTATCAACCGTTTAAGACCGCCAATCCATGGCTCTCGGCCAATAGGAAAGGTTAAACTGTCTTATAATAGGTATTTATGAATGCATATTAAGAATTATCTATTAAGCAGTGTTATCAAACTTTTACAGCAATTTTGTGAATTCAAATTGTGTTAATTGTCGACTTGTTGATATTTCAGGTTCAGAGCGAGGTGGTGGCGACGTGATTGATTTCACCCGTGTTGGAATCACCGACAGTGTTATAATACACAACATGAGATTACAGAATGGTCATAGTTACTATGCTACCGTTCGAGGTAAGCATCTGACGCAAAAACCAAAAACAAATTACCCACAATTTTATCTCCTTTCTCCTTAATTGCATATCGTGTCAGTTGTTTCCATTACCACAGAGAATAGGATTTCCAAACTGATATGATTTCAATTAATAATTTGTTTCCTACCCAGCGACTGACTTTGTAGGTCTGTCGTCACAAGCAATGTCAGACCCAATCACAATTGATACGTCACCGCCTGTCGTCAGTGCTGATCATACGTTGGACATTGGAGGCAGCTTCATCCGATCTACAACTTCCATCTCAGCAAGGTGTGGTCAACATCCAATCCAAATCTACACACTCATAGGGAAAGATGAAGGAGCACGTAACATCCTAGCAACTTAACTTGCATTTTTTGATAGCAGGGGCCGATTCCACGAAACTGGTCTTATTTAGCGACTCATCTTAGGACTTAAGACGAGTCCCCACTCTAAGATTGATCCTAGCAATCGAAAGCGAAAGCGGAAGCGAACTTTCCCCTATTTTTTTCTTTCTTTCTATGAAATGGGCCCCAGGACACATTTGAGATATGCTAGTTTATAGTACACGGTAAATTTTCAGAAAGAAACAAAACATGAATTCAGAAAAACATCTACTTTGTTGTTGTCAAACACCACTGCTTGAATTGTATTTTCAGGTGGGAGAATGTATTCTCCGACCAGGAGAGTGGTGTAGCGTATTACGAGTGGGCGGTCGGATCACATCCAGGTCATGCAGACATCATGCCATTTACTAGAGAGAGTACAGAGAATGGAGTCAGTGGCGCATCACGACCTTTGCTTCTTCAAGAAGGTCACTCGTATTTTGTTTCAGTCAAGGTAGGCCAGAACCTTCATATAGCAGCAGTGGCTACTTGTTTTGACTCAAATGATACTGTACTGGAGATTTATTTGTCACTATGAGAAACGTGCTAAGGTCTGTCAGAAGGGGGGTCAGGTTGGCGTAGCAGTACTTTCCACGTGTAGAACTGTAATTTCTTGACATTGTTTTCTCTTTACTGGGCCCCATGGGTGACCAGTGGATTCCACTGAATTGGTTACCCAGTTAAAATAAGAAATAAATAAAGGGTTTCAAGTCAAGCCATCTTAAGTTTAGTCACCAGTCAATCGAACATCTTAAGTCGGGTAATTTAGCTTCATACACCATGGGCCAAAGCCTGTAAGGTGCAATCTCGTCTTAACTGTTTAGTGGCAACTTCATTTCTCATTTATAAGCAGTTTTGAACATGTTAATTGATATTTTACAATGTGCACGCCACATCGTTTGCACAAATTAGAAATAATGAGGACTGTTTCCCCAATGTTACTATACCACATGAGGGCGATCGCGATGCATTGCTGCCATTACGTACCAGCCTCGGCTGTAAACGGCGACGCTGTCTGGCTATGCAGAGCACATGCAGAGCATATGCAGAGCATAGTATTCAAATATAACATGGTTTAAGGGTGGACAGTCGATATTGGCTCCCCAAGGTATTGGAAGTTAACAAACTAGTTCCCGAGGCAAAGATACAGATTTTGGCCCATGGTCTATTACAATTGAATAGTAAAAGGCATTACTTTGTCCGTATTCACTACCTATTACTTGTGTCTTGGATTGTAATGACTGGACTTGAACTATGTGATCCACTCATAATCGCTCGATCCTGACAAAGACTCACCTCACCAAGCATTTGGATGGAACTTGAACTCGACAGAGGCTCAAAATGAGACTTGAAGCCTATGACTAAAACAAACCTTCACTGACAGGAACAATATAGGTGATTCGATGGCAGGAAGATTAAATCTTCAGTTTGAAATTATGTCATCCAGGCCATCAATACTGTAGGCCTGATTACAATAAAGAGTTACGGAGCATTCACAGTTGATGCAAGCCCGCCATTGGTCGGCCACGTATTTGACGGAAACCCAGCGAACGCCTCGGCCAATCACAGAGACCGAGACTTCCAGGAGGATCGTACGGTGATCAGGGCATTCTGGGAAGGGTTTCATGATCCTCACAGCGCCATCGTTGGATATTCCTGGAGAGCTGGGATATGTCGAGGGTGTAGTGATATCATACCAGAGCAGCTTGTGGGCTTGAACACTTGTAAGTAAATCTGTTGACGAAAACTGGAACCACTCCGTTTTGTTAACGACATTTATGTTCTTCAAGCAGAGAGAGGCATTGTTCTAAAAAAGGCATAACTTATACGTTTGATTTTTTTTAGATTTCTTTTTGTCAAGCTAAGAAAAGATGATGTGATTTAAACAAAACACTGTAAAATTAACAGATTTTCAAATACTACCTGAAATCAAGCTGTTTTGAAATTGTGATTAAAAAGTGAATTTGTCAAGTATTACTGAGTGTAGCATGGTTCTGCGTTGGTGTGTAGGTGTAGATTTTTTTATGGAATTCCACAATCCCCATTTTATTACCATGACATCCCTCTTTCCATGCAAACAAAGTGTGCTAATTGTCAGTGTTGATCCGATTCACTTTCTAGATGTCACTGCGGAGAACCTGAACCTAGTGCCCGGTCTGATCTACTATGTGACGGTGGCGGCTTGTAATGCTGCCGATCTTTGTACCTCAGTGACCTCTGATGGGGTCATGGTGGATGACTCGCCCCCGGTAGCGGGGAGTGTGTATGACGGCGGTCCTGAGGGTGGAGATATCACCTACCAATCCTCAAGGTGAGTTAATATGGAACGCCAAACGTACCAATTTATGATGTTACCGGGTAAACGTAATATTGTGATGTAGTCAATCTATTATGTGATGTAGTCAATCCATTATGTGATGTCGTCAATCCATTATGTGATGTCGTCAATCTATTATGTGATGTTGTCAATCTATTATGTGATGTAGTCAATGCATTATGTGATGTTGTCGATCCATTATGTGATGTAGTCAATCCATTATGTGATGTCGTCAATCCATTATGTGATGTCGTCAATCTATTATGTGATGTAGTCAATCCATTATGTGATGTAGTCAATCCATTATGTGATGTCGTCAATATATTATGTGATGTCATCAATGCATTATGTGATGTAGTCAATCCATTATGTGATGTAGTCAATCCATTATGTGATGTCGTCAATCTATTATGTGATGTCGTCAATGCATTATGTGATGTAGTCAATCCATTATGTGATGTAGTCAATCCATTATGTGATGTAGTCAGTCCATTATGTGATGTCGTCAATCCATTATGTGATGTAGTCAATCCATTATGTGATGTTGTCGATCCATTATGTGATGTAGTCGATCCATTATGTGATGTAGTCAATCCATTATGTGATGTCATCAATCCATTATGTGATGTAGTCAGTCCATTATGTGATGTCGTCAATCCATTATGTGATGTAGTCAGTCCATTATGTGATGTCGTCAATCCATTATGTGATGTAGTCAATCCATTATGTGATGTAGTCAATCCATTATGTGATGTAGTCAATCCATTATGTGATGTAGTCAATCCATTATGTGATGTAGTCAGTCCATTATGTGATGTCGTCAAAACCATTCGGGAGTTACTGCGTAATGAATTGACAATACCGCATAATAGATTCACTACATCACATAATTCGGGAGCCAGGGTGACCGTTTTAGCTGAATGTCGGCTAAATTTGACAGAATTTTTCGGGCCAAAACGAGTGAAACAGAAAGTTAAGCAGATCGATTTCGTTAAGGAGCAAGCAGAATTTTGTAAAATTAGTAATTTGACGGGAAAATATGGCAGATTAGAAAATATAGCCGATTAGTTTTGAAAAAGCTTCAATTTGAAGCTGCTTGACTGCATACTTATGCCAGGATAGACAAGTGCAGTAAAAAAAAAATCAATTAATTTTTTTAAAGCAAATTTTATATTACTCTTGTTTAAGAAAATTATAAACTGCATGTGAGTATCAGTGTTTATAAATGAATATCGTTTAATAAGGCCAAAAAAAGTCTCCGGTTTCTGGTATGGAGCTTGCCCAAAAAGTGGTGCGGCGACGCAGCTTTTATTTTTTCACTTTTTTTTTTGGCTTCAAATGTCGGCTGATGACTGCAAATGGTGCCCGACTAAACATAAAGCTTATTCTCGATCATAACCCCATCTAAAAACACGTTAAAATTGTGCAGCAGCAGGATTCCAGTCAAACCAGTGAGTTTGGCGGTTTTGAGACATCATCTTTCATTGAAAAAAAACTTTTTCATTTTGCCGACGCGCATGGCTACGGCGACGCGCGCGCATACCAGAAACCGGAGACTTTTTTTTTTGGCCTAATAGATGATTTAGCAGATTTTTGTTAAATCTAGCAGATTTTGAAAGTGCATCTAGCAGAATGCTGCCAGTACCTCACGGTCACCCTGGCATGAACTATATAAAGAGATAGCTCACAGCGTACTGCATTGACCATGATGGGTATACTCACGTGGAAGCATGCAGGCGTGTGCTGCGTTAAAGTTGTGAACATGTGACTCTCGATATCAGACGTAATGTTATCCTAATTATCAGACACATATTACCATGAAGACAGTGTCTGTTTTGATGACACTTCGGTCATTGTTATTAATTATAATAATGGAACACAGAACATGTTTAAATAATCCCTCGATCCCATTGACAAGTACCTAGCACATGTGTCACAGAAAAAAAAGCCAAATCGTGCCCAACAATATTGTTGGTAATTAACTTTTGTGTTGATCTTTTTTTTTTGGCTTAGGCAAACAATATTGGAGGCTTTGATTAAAGTTTTATTCGAAATTCATTAAAGACAAGAGCCTGGGTTAGGGATAATCAGTATATTAAACCAGGCCCCACTAAATTTCCAGGCGCTTTTTCTTTCTTTCTTTAATCTGAATAATATACTTCTATTTTGATGAAAGTTTCTAATCGAAAAGATAAATATGTATACAGAATGTATCTCAATTTGTTAATTGGTATTAAGAATGTTTCATAGCACGACAAGTTTATGACCAGTTACACGGTTAGCGGATTCATAGGTATATTAGTCAAGACAATCTGATATTTTAAAAGGCCTCAATACATACTACGACCACTAAGGTGGGACATAACCAGTTAATTACAGAAGTTGACATATTCAGCATTTTCAATTTGTCTTGTAGGATTACATGATCATAATCAAACATTTACTGATCTATAACCACACTACCTGTTAGTACTTTTCTTGTTCCACTAATTCGTAATCCCATCCCAATTTGCCACCCATCGATAATTCCTGATATAATTCGTTGTCTTTCGCGGCACATGAAAAATTTTAGTCTGTAATGATCTGTGCCGTTCTAAAGCGTATGTCCCCCCCCCCCCCCTCATTCCCCCCTCTGATAGCTTGCAGGCAGTAAGGTTTAACCCCCTGACACACACAAATTATAACAATAATCACCTGGGTTTTTTTTTATAACCGCCTGTCCACAACAATTGGACATAAAAAACCCTGACGGCCCTGACCTCCGACTCCCCTCCCCCCCCCCCGAAAAAAATGCCTGGATCCGCCATCCGCCCTTCTGCTCAGTTGTTTTGAGCATGTGAACCTAATTAGCCTGCCCTTGGATCTCTGTCTCCAACAGATAAACTGGTTCATATAAATCTATCAACAAGCTTAATCTCCTTCCACCATTGTTTTCTTAATTCCCTCTTCTTCTCAGTTACATAACAACTCACTGGATAATTTTTTCGCATGCCTGTCTCAAACAGCGATGCTATAGCTAGCACATCCTCAGCAAGGTCCATCTGGATCTGGTAAAACTATTAAAAATGCCCAACCACCCTAGGGCTCTCTTCATACACTTCCCTGTACCTATATTCTCCATCGTACAGCAAGACGGCTCATTTTCTTGATGAAAACGAAATCATTCCAAAATTGAAGCATACCGGTGCATCATGAATTTATGATAAAGAAATTAACTACAGGGCTCCGAAAGCGCGTCTTCAAAGATCGCCGACCGTATTTATTGCCGTATAATAAAACCTGACTAGACACGACATTTATATAATTTGACGTCGCCGATGATGACATTAATTTTAGCAAAATGTGCTTGGTACTTGTCATTGGGCTCAAGGGATAATTTAAACATGTTCTGTGTTCCATTATTATAATTAATAACAATGACCAAAGTGTCATAAAAACAGACAATGTCTTCATGGTAATATGTGTCTGATAATTAGGATAACATTACGTCTGATATCGAGAGTCACAATGTGCACAACTTTAACACAGCACACGCCTGCGTGCTTCCACGTGAGTATACCCATCATGGTCAATGCAGTACGCTGTGAGCTATCTCTTTATATAGTTCCTGCCAGGGTGACCGTAAGGTACTGGCAGCATTCTGCTAGATGCACTTTCAAAATCTGCTAGATTTAATAAAAATATGCCAAATCACCTATCATTACACGGAATTCATTATAAACACTTATGCTCACATGCAGTTTATAATTTCCTTTATAATTGATTTTTTTTTTACTGCACGTGTCTATCCTGGCATAAGTATTTTACAGTCAGGCAGCTTCAAATTGAAGCTTTTTCAAAAATAATCGGCTATATTTTCAAATCTGCCATATTTTTCCGTCAAATTACTAATTTAAAAAAATTCTGCTTGCTCCTTAAACGAAATCGATCTGCTAGACTTTCTGTTTCACTCGTTTTTTTGTCCCGAAAAATTCTGTCAAATTTAGCCGAAATTCAGCTAAAATGGTCACCCTGGCTCCCGAATTATGTGATGTAGTGAATCTATTATGCGGTGTTGTCAATCCATTACGCAGTAACTCCACGTAAATGGGTTGATGACATCACATAATGGATTGACGACATCACATAATGGATTGACGACATCACATAATGGATTGACTACATCACATAATGAATTGACTATCACATAATGGATTGACGACATCACATAATGGATTGACGACATCACATAATGGATTGACGACATCACATAATGGATTGACTACATCACATAATGAATTGACGGCATCACATAATGGATTGACCACATCACATAATGGATTGACGACATCACATAATGGATTGACTACATCACATAATGAATTGACTACATCACATAATGGAGTGACTACATCACATAATGGATTGACGACATCACATAATGAATTGACTACATCACATAATGAATTGACTACATTACATAATGCATTGACGACATCATCAAATTACGTTTACCCGGTAACATCATAAATTGGTACGTTTGGCGTTCCATAAGTTAATCCCTGAACGTAACACCAAATTATTTATCTGACCACTATTGGGTTGACCATTTACCAAAGTCGGATTTTGTAAAAAAGTAATGAACATAATTAAAATGGCTACATCGTTTTGCCGCGAATCATTGCAGGTGTGTACGTGTCTCAAAGCTCATTCTAATGATACATATTCCCTGCAGGGTCCAGCTCCGAGCTCACTGGTGGGGTTTTCATGACCCTCACTCAGGCCTCTCTCACTACGAATGGCGCGCTGGCACAGCACCAGGAGCTGAAGACATTCTTCCCTCTATGCGCATTGAGCTGTCAGAAGACGCTCTGATATTCCTGTCAGCATCAGACCAGATGCCAAACGACACCGACATGTACGTCACGGTGCGCGCCTATAACCGGCTTGGTATGTGGAGTCAGGCTACATCTAATGGGTTCCGTGTAGACTCTAGTCCACCTGATGTGCTGGAAACACCTGCTGTTGACGAGACACGAGGCATGGCTGTCAACAATACTCAGGTAGGAGTTCTGATCACAGTAGGCTATTTTGCACTTCTTTTTCTACTTCATCATAATCTTAATCCTATATCTGACAAACAGGTACAGATATGTTCTATCCAATGAAGTTGCAACTTGCCAGCTTTTCTTGATCTTGCATCTGAGTAAAACTTCGACATCTTTTATTTTCTCTTTATTTGTCTCAGGTTTTGCGGGATGTGATTCACTTTTCCTGGAAGTTCAATGACCCTGAGAGCGGTATTAAGGACCAGTTTGTATCCGTCAACACACATCATAATGGAGATGTCAATATACCTCCAATAAAGGTAAACACCTTATTAAGAGAAACCAAATTACAATGTAATTTTCAAATTACGGGTGAACAAAATATGATAGTCGTTGCGTTTTTGAAAACAGATTGCGGGGAGTGAGTTGGACCACACCTTCACCAATCTGACATTACATGAAGGCAGTCATTACGTCATCACCGTCGTGGCTTGTAACTTTGCTGGCCTCTGCACACAGGCCAAGACGGAGCCTTTATTGGTAAGTAACATCCAACATCCATACACAACCAAACAACCCCAGTCCTTATGTGGTGTTGATTAACCATAAGTTCAATCAAGGAAACTTTATCAACTTGCGGTTGATTCAAATAACAGTTATCTTTTAGAGCCTGATTTTGTTAATCATGACATAGCTTGCTAGGTTGTCACGACCTCTTCACGCAGCGTTGTGGCTAAATCCCACCGCTCACTTGTGCACCTTTGGGGCGGTCACGTGAGAGCAGATCGTCATAGATGGCGGGCAGGTTGTATCCCGCGTCCATGTTGAGTGTTGGGTTCTGGCCCATAGGTGGCCACGTGAGCGAAGGGATTTTGCCACAACGCTGAATGAAGAGGTCGTGACGACTTCGCAAGCTACGTCATGCTTAACAAAATCAGGCTCTAAAAGATAACTATTATTTCTGTGAAATACACAGCAATGAATCAACCGCAAGTTGATGATTCTATGTCAAAATGACACAGTCCAATATCAGTATCCATGCTGCTGTGTATTACGGTTAGGATCATCAATGTGACCAACCATCTTGGCACTGAGCTGGTCCCCAGTAGCTGATAGTTTCTTTATTAAACTTTGTCATTACTGACGACGCAGTCGCAAATGTTTAAGATTGAATGGAGCAACCATTCATTCAGTAGTAATTTATACATGATTGCAGCTGTTTAGCAAAGTTGTGATGGAGTCAATGAAGTTTGTGACTCGAGTCATTTTAAGGAAGTAACTCGAGTCGAGTCGAGTCATCAGGTAAAGAAGGTCGAGTCAAGTCGAGACGAGTCACAGTGTGTGGTCGAGTGAGTTTAGTCCAGTCAAATTTATTCTCGAGTCAATTAGAGTCACTGATTTTTGAACACCGTCTAATAATTGTATAATGGAAGAAGGAACGCAAGGCCCCAGTTTATTATGAAGATCCAAAAGCTTAGAATATGTTGCATGGTACCCAACAGACAGTTTCTGTTTGACGTTTCTACCAAAGATCTAGGTTACAGTTAACATTACGTGAAACTTTGATTTTATCTGTGTTTGACTTTGGGTCTCGAGTATTTTGTTATGATGACAGCATAAAAACCAAATTGCAACATTTAAAACTTATTCAATTTTTTTTGAAATACATTTTTCTATTTATTTGGAAGCAGGACATAGTTTAGCCGTAGTTATAATTCCATCAAGGGCGTTTACAAAATCTCCCTAAGCTGATACATGAAACCAAGAAAGGGGAAATAAGTTTAAAGCATGGTTCCGGGATTGCAGTTTTTACGTTACATTAGAATACCACAAGGTTGAAGTCCTTGACACGACGTATTTTGTTGCCATAAGCGGCCACACCTTGACTGTGACCGTAAAGTTAAGGCAATTTTTTTTGGCAAAGTTTTGAGACTTGAGTGTAGCTTTCGAGTCGAGTCGAGTCCTCTGATGAGGGGCTCGAGTCCAGTCGGGTCATATGTGCTCGCTATGACTCGAGTCGCCAAAAAAATGTGAGTCGAGTAAGACTTGAGTAGATTCACTGACTCGAGTCTTTACAACGCTGTTTTGAATCGCTGTAAGTGTTCTTTGACTATCTCCGAGTACATTTGTGGTCTAGTCTGAGAGAGCTGCCTCAGTCTATATTCTGAGAAAGCTACATCGGCTTCCGATATCCAAAAGATCAACATCAAGATATGTCTTCTAATATTTAAGATCATGCATGGTCGTGCTCTTCAGTATCTCCGTGTGCTCTTCAGTATCTCCGTGAGCTTATCTCTCTTGATTAAAGCAAACAGGTCGGGTTTTCAGATCTTCTGGATCATACTTGTTTGCAGAACCAAGAACTAGAACTTCCCGCTATGGTCAGCATGCCTTCACCACGGCAGCACCTGCCAATTAGCAAGTCCCTGTTGTGACACTTCCTCAAATAAAATGCCTGGACATCTTCAAAAGAGAACTAAAATCTCATTTACTGCACATGTTACTTCACTTAGACTGGAGAATGACAATTGTTCGTGTGAAGACGCCTTGATTGGGTTTCCAGATTAGTGCGCTATATAAATCTATATACGTGTAAAGGTACCACTAACAGGAGACACGTTATCATAATTTCTTTGCATGATGGGAGACATCAGTCATTAGGGAGACATGAACCTAATGTTACAGCCCCCCTTTAGAGGCACAATTTTATTGTCGCAATTGGGTTATATTTGTTGCTCCTGGTCTAATTAGTTAACATACCGAAATGTTGTGCATATTGTATATGGGGATGTCTCCCAAAAGTCCAATCAAGGGTAATATATTATTATTAAAATTATTATTATTAGTCAAACTGGCTATTCCTTTTTTGGTTGTTGTTTGTTTGTTCGACTACCTCAGGTTGATGGTAGTCCACCGTCTGTTGGGACGTTTGCCGTGGGTACAGAGAGTGCTGCTGACTTGGATCGTCATCATATCATCTGGATTGATCCAACCGAACCAGTAACACCACCTATCACAGACGCAAACCTACAAACCACAGTGAGTCATTTCACAACTTTGACAGTATCCCTCTATATTTGTGTGAATAGCTTTCGTTTGGAACTGTAGTTAGCAACTGTGTATAAGGCAGAATGATGGCTAAGCTTTAATCTGAAGCATTCTGAAACGACCTTAAGTTTTGCAAAATGTTGTTTTCAAAGTTGTGTTTTTTGGCAAGTGACATCGGTGCTTTCCAGTGGATATTGGTGCACTATGAAAATCTGTTATTATAATTTTTTTTTTTTTCTGGTCATCCATTGACCTTTCCATGATCCATTCTCAAACTGCCAATATTGCTTTAATGTGAAGGCCCGAGATACTTGGAATACATATAGTTACATACCCCTTTAAGGCTCAATTCATTTTTGGGCAGTTTAGGAGTGCGTCCACAGTTCATACTTCAAGTCAGCAGAAAATATAATATTTAAAATAATAATAATAATATGGCTCTAATATGTATAGCGCTTTAAACCAAAGATCTCAAAGCGCTTCAAAATTATTTCCCCTGTTCTTCAGGCCGTGAGACCAGTTTCTGCAGCAGCTCCCAGACAAGCACATTCTGGTCTTTGCTTTCACAGCTACCCATTTACACTCCTGGGTGGAGAGAGGGAATCGTAGTAAAGGGTCTTGCCCAAGAACACAAGCACAATGTTCCCCGCCAGGTTTCAAACCCTCGTACCTTGACACACGAGTCAAATACCGTAACCATTGGACCAAAACGCTAATTATTGTTTATATCTCTTGAAACAATGCAGATTAATGGCACCAATTTTACCGACTCAACCAACTTCACTGCCGAGTTTGCTACCACAACTGACTCAACCAACTCTACCGCTGATTTTGACAACACTACCGATTTTGACAACACCACTGATTTTGACAACACCACTGATTCATCAACAAACTCCACCACTGATATTGCCAACACCACTGACTCAATCAGCACCACGACCCAGAGTCCACCAACCACCCCATCGCCCCCACCCTACCACTCTGGCTGGATGACGTGGGTAGAAGACCCCCGCACATCCCTTGGTTCCTTGGCCCTTGCCTGGCTGGGATTTGCTGATGTTCACTCTGGTATCAGCCACTACTTGGTCTCCATCGGACGCACGTATGGCGGCTCGGAACTCACTCTGGTATCTCTACACATTTCGTTATTGTTGAATTCCCCAAAAGGTTGTTTTGTGAAGGACTTGCTGGCATTGGAGCCAAAATCCGAACTATTATTTTTGTTAAGCTTTGTAAATATTTGATAGTTCTAACAATCGTAGTTTCTCTTTTCCAAATCTGAATTCTTTATCCTTTCTGCGATCTTGTCCATGTTAGCCAAAAATAGAAACACAGCTTTATTATAAAACATTCTCAAATTTAATTATAAATTCAGGATAACAGGAGACCGTGTATACTGTTTTCAGCAACAAGGCTTCTCAATTGGGAGTCACTGAGGCGTGACAACACGGATCAACTGGTTTTTGCGAGGTTTAAGGCAGTATTATGCCCTTATCCTGACACACTGTTTGTATCGCAAGCAATAATTTATCTTGAAAGCTTCTTCATCTTTCTTTTTTGGCTGGTATAATCAACATCATCACAATGCCACCATTCCAAACACTAGTTAATTCATTTTTCCCACCTTTTTTAGAGTGGCCCAGTCCGTGTTAATCATAGCTATGACGGCATGTCATTGGATGAGGGCATCGCGCAGACAGCCATCATAACACTAGAGGGCAGTATAACGGATTTAACTCCTCCGTATCTCTACATCTCCATCTGGGCTGTCAATGGGGTAAATTGCTGCTTCATTCCATTCAATCGACAAAACCATAGATCATTTTCAATTTAAATTAAAACCGATTAGTCTAACATTTGATATGGTGGTTGCTGAAACAGTACAGATTAGCCCTGGAAAGTACACATCTAAAAAAAAAATACTTAAAGGGTTCATAAGATGCAGTTTTCTGAGGAACACGTTTTTGCAACTTTCTTCTTCTCTGAAATGTACGAAAACTATTTGACATCCCTTTTTGGTTAATTTTATTCTAAAGTGCACTTCTTTAAACATTTTAAGTTGTCCATGCTTTTCTGGACAAGTGAAGGTGCTGTTGCTGTGATGTCATTTCTGGAAGAAACTGTTCAGTTTAGGTGTTTTCTGTTCACATTGTGAACCCGAAAGTTTGCTCATTGAAAACATTTGTAAGAAAAGTTTGCTCATTGGCTTACTGCCATGTACTAAAACAACAGATCACGAAAGAAAAGAAAATTTATAACAGCAAAATATCCAAAATTCTGGCAACCGTGCTAAAATAGTAACATTTATGTTTCTGACTGAAATGACATCACACTTTTGCTCATGAATATGGAAATTTTCATAAGCATAAAAAGGCACCAAAATACCCTTGAAAATGGCAAAACAAAAATTGAAAGTAAGGTGAATTGGGACAAAACTTTCACCATCCGAAGAATTTTCACAAGTCTCTCATCACACATAAATAGCTTACTTTTCCTCAGCATTCAATTTGGATTTTTTTGTTCACGATTTCTGTCTCACTGTCGTCTTTTTATCCATTCCAGGTCGGTCTACCAAGCACTCGCCATCATTCTACTTTTGAGGCTTCCCCTACTTCACAAAACGAGGGCGCTCTTGTCCTGCTGCGTCGCTGCATGCCTACAACATGCGAAGGCCACTGTGCATGTGCACCCATTCATCAAGGGTGTCTTGTGATTCCGCAATGCACTGATCTAACTTACAGTAAGAACAAAACCTCACTTTATACTAGGAGTTCGTGCAATAATTGTTGCATTCTTTTTGATTGAAATATGTTAAAATATCCTTCAAATCGATTGTTTTCACTAAATTTGGTGAAACTTGCTAGTCAAATTAAATGCATTTGAAGCTTCAAAAGAAAACATTTATTTACGTAGTGGCTATTGATACGGCAGCCGTAACACAATTTTAAATTACTATCGTTGCGCATCTACCAGTATATCACGTGTATTACTGCCATTCGAACCAGAGTGCTTTGGTAGCGTATTTTTATTATCTTTTTTTCCTTCTTTTTGATAGGCCTTGTTTCATTCACTTTGAGGTTTTTAATCAAATCATACTTTTTATTGAAGAAGATTTCATTAACATTTTCTTCTTCGTGATCCGTGGCTTTTGAGGATTTGTTTTAAAAAGGAAATTAAGTCTTTTTCTGAGAATCATTTGGTTGAGAGCGTGGTCCTTAGAGCCGAAGGTCCAGATGTTGAATATTGTCAGGTCAGGGAACCAGACAATAATGATAGCAGTTGAAAATCACGGTACGTCTGCCGTAACAATAGCCAATTTTTTTTATAACCATTTGCCTGTTTCAAATGGGGTTGAGTGATCCAAATATTTGGCAGTATCTTCCAATATTGCTTTTGAGTATATATTTTTCTTACAATTTTTATCAAGATAATTCCAACACTGAGATCGAAGTTCTGGATGTACTGGATCTGATGCCCAATGATATCGATACCATGATTGATATTGATGACACAGCCACTCAGTACATGGCAGCGGCATTCTGGCAAGCCAGTGAGCAGAAAGGACTGGACATCAAGTGGTGAGTTGACTTTTCCAATTTTTCCCAAGCCTGTACCAGGATTTCAACCCTCTCTTAATTATCTCCAGCATAAGGGAGAGTTTGTTACCAGACCAATGCCTAACACCAGCAGAGAACAATGAGTATCACTTAACTGATTTGCAAGGCGTGCCAATTATTCTAAACACATGCGGATTTTCAAGAAATGATAGCCAATGTAATATTTGTGTTTGTCAAGTTATGAAAACATTGAAGTAGTAGGCGAGGGGCAAATCATTCCCCTCTGTTTCGGATTCCAAATCGTCTTCCTCGAAATCGTCATCCTCATCCTGTGTAGATTCAGATCCATGGTTTTCTATTGCCGAATCTTCAGAATTATCCTTGTCAGAATTTTCATATTGTTGATACTCTGCGCGCATGCGCGCGCGACTTTTGATATTATTGTATTTTATTCTACGGTGTTTACTTTAATGTGCTTATTCATTTTTAAAATGTGATTAATCAAAGAATACACATGAGACAAAAAAGAAGAAGAAGCCATTGTGGTAAGAAAATTTAAATCGTTGTCATGTTCCTAATTATTGTCTATGCCGTCATATAGCATAAGTGATGTCATCGCCGCCGTCTTTCTTTAATATTTTAAGAGCTTATTCCATCTATAAATAGATTGCTAACAAGAACGCAGATGTACCTTGACTTCCAGGAGAAGGAGAACACGTTTGCGCACAACTTGTAGCTCCTCTGACATGCGCAGACACTGCCTCCGCTGCCGCCATCTTAATTCAATCGTTGAAGCATTTATTCTATCGATAAATATAACTTAATCCTCAACTTAATCCTCAATCCTCCACACAAAATCCTCAAACTCCCTCCTCAACTTAATCCTCCTCCTCGTCACAGTTCCACAACTCACTCCTCCTCAAAAACCCCTCCTCACAACTCACTCCTCGTCCTCCTCCTCCTCCTCACAAACTGCCTCCTCACAACTCACTCCTCCTTCTCCTTCTCCTCCTCCTCCTCCTCCTTGCAAACCTCCTCAAACGGGGGATGATTTGCCCCTCACCTTCTACTTATTGACTTGTTAAAAATGGTGCATGAACAACGCAACCCCTGAATTGTGGGACTGTACCTAGGTCTTTTTCCATATACGTGCAGTGTGTATGTTTTGTGTATGTATGCATATGTGTGGCAAATTGACCTATCGCGAGTTAGCCGCTTACCTTGGACAACCCTATGGAAATTTGGTACGTAGAGTCCTGTTTGTCTTAGATTTTCAACAATATTTTACAAGCTGTGTTGACGCAATTCGGACGCGATAGGTTTATTGCCTGAAGGAATTAACCAGATAATGTTACAGTGGGTTGGGTAAAAGACAAACAAAGAGGTCCTGGTATTGAAAAAGCCCTGATTCTTAAATGAAAGAACCGAAAAGAGAATTTATCAGTAAACTTTGACAGAAACGTCAAAAATCTTGTCAGTTTTCCATTTTTTTGTTAACACACAATATATGTGACTTGATAGTGTGATCTTGATGCATTTAACACGTTGGTTGTTTTTTCTTTTCTTACAGGTATGAGTGGAGTATTGGTGATGATATGTCTTCAGACTTTGAGCCAACAGGTGTCTTTGATCCAGCCTTAGAAAGAATGTGGTTCGACGTTGGACAGGACAATCATACTATAATCATGCTTGACAAAGGTATTAAGATTGATTGATTCTTGTGCCATGTAAAGTTTGATTTATTTAGTTCCTACATTTGTGTATTTCACCAGGGGGCAAAGGTCGAAGAAATAGAAAAATTCAGTTATAACAAATGTGTTGTAGTAGATTGGCTTCTCTTGAATAAAGTAGCACTATTCAATAAGTAACTGACAAAATTATTGTTGAAAAGCTTGCTTGGTTGGATTAAGGAAAAATGGGGATAGCTCTAATCTCCCTGTGAAATGATTCCTTCCGGCTTGCTGTCATTTTGAAGAAACAATTAAAAGAAGGCTATCAGATGCATCAAGTGACCCAGTTTTGGAAATTTCCGTTGCAGCAGCAGCGTCACATGCATGTAGTTGGCTTGTAATTCGGCGAATCCATAAATGATTTTGCACACAAACGGCGACAAAGCGGTTGCAATTATATTCGTCGGTTCAGTGGGTGACATCGCGTAGCTGCAATCAGCTGAATTAGAATGTATCCCGGACGCTGATTTCGGGGGCAATTGAACTCGAGATGCTAGAATATTGCTTCTCAAAATGTACAGCATTCATCACAGAGCTAAACCTTCATCAGGTTAGTTGTTAAGCACCCCATCTGTAGATTTTGAGCATCTTTGTTGCCTCAAACGAGAAAAATGCACAAATGACAAATGATCTACATTAATTGTACCCTAACACTAAACTATGGGACGGCTTCTCTGTATCTGAAGATGGTTTGCTTTCGGTGTTTCTCCTTATAGATCGAAAGCTTAAAAGAGACTTAACATATCACGTGTTCGTCCGGGCCTGGTATGACGCAACTACATATGCAGTGTTTAGATCAGACGGCATTACACCTGATATCACACCGCCAAAAATATCAACAATCAGAGGCACAAAGGCAGGTTTCAATTTGAAGTTGATTCTATTTCATGCTCTTATGGTTATATTGCAATTCAATGGTCTACTGCTGGCTCTTTCAATAAATGAAAGGTTTGTGCTCTTTCAGACGATTGGGTATCTTCAACGACAGCAAAAACATTATAGTGAGTTTTGAAATATCTGAAATATCTTGGTACCCTTTCCCCTCGATGAGCCCTCAGTAATGTTTCTGTATTTTGTTGCTCTCAGGTGAAAGATCTTGTGAGACCGGATGCAAACAAAGACACTGATTACTTAAAAGATCCTAATGTTGTCTCTTTCTCCTGGGAGGGGGTGTTTAAAGACAATGCAACATCCCACTTCCAGGTTTCTTTAAGTACCTATCCGGGAGGTGAGTTCTTGTTTACTCTGTTTCTTACCGCTTATCCGAAGCTCATTTTTCAAATCTTCATCTTCTTAGAAAACAACACCAGTCTGATTTGCCGTTGTCATGCCAAAAACTGTCCTGTGCCAAATAGTGTCCGCTCATTAGCATACTGCAGTGTCCTTGCGGTCAGCGTTTAAATGTCGTGAATGAAATCATTTTTAATCTCATTAGTGCAGCCCAACACGTAAAGTTATTGTAAGAAATCAATATTCTCGTTAGGTGTTGCACTATGAGCCCAATACCTATTGTTAATGTAAAAAAAATACTGTTACTTCTATTATTCTCACACAAATTGGTTTCTAGAACTGTTTGTCAAAATAAAAACATGTGTGCACTTCAATTGTCAATACATGTATGCACAACCCACTGAAGATGTGCTTTTTTGTAATTACGTCATTATGACATCATCATGGGTCACGTGACGTCCCTTGAAAGAATAATAAATTTAATCTTTGAAATTCAATATAAAATCGACTGTGAGAGACCGGGACTTGTAGTTTGCGGGAATCGTTAAGATAATACGTGATCGAATCGCGTGAACCTTCCTTCCTGTCAAAACCTGAACTGCCTAATAATTTGAAAGTGGAAAAAGATGTGAAATTGCTTTCAACCACGTTAGTTTTTGGCTAGGTTGACCTTCCCAAAAATATTGGTAACGTCATAAAATGTTTGAGCGCGCCCTCTAGCTGCAGGTAAAAAAATGTCAAAAACGCATTTTCAGTTGATGTGTGTAGCGAAATTTGCGATGATCGCTTCAAAATTAATTCGTATGACAAAATTATTCGTAAGACCTGTTCACGAAAACAAATTGATTGTCATCAGACTGGAAGTTAGATGAAAAGACCTCTTTCACTTTACAAATTTCTGACAAATCAACCCTGAAAGAATTTATCGAGATTTGTGCTTTGGTCCCAAACTTCCCCAAGTTTTGTTACAATAAGTTAACTAGAAGATGCCCTGCAGCCCCCTTGAAATTCGAAGTTGACAACGCCACGCCTTAAAACATTCATTGAATGCCACGAACATTTACTGCATGTGTATAACAAATGGGGACCGCTGTGTTAACATAAAACGACCGTTTAATGTTAACTATTGAGCCACATGTAATGGCTGTTTCATAGACCAATGTGTTTTAAGTGTTTACCTGTGTTTTGTACACGTTTATGTGACAACTTATTAACGGAAGTACATTTTTAAATTTTGATGACGTCATACGAGACTCAAAAGTTGGGCTGGCAAAAGCACCCATAATTGGTGGCTTTTTAAAAATTGGGCGCTTTTTTCTTTTAAAACATGCGCATTTGGATTAACGGGGTACGTGTATGGCGAGCAATATTTTGTATTGCGCCAATGGTGTGCGACCTTTCCTTTTAGAGATATGAGCTATTTTTAATTAATGGGTTTTTGTAACGATTGTATTTGATAAGTTTACATTACAGTAGCATACGCGTGCAAATTATGTTTAGACCACGTGATTAATCTTTGAGAATTAATATAAAGTCAGCTTCAGGAGATCTGACTTTTTTACGGGCATCGACTTGCCTTTGAAAATTCTTTAACTGTCATTCTAGACTGTCGGTTAGTTTTTAGCAAATTTTTGTTAATTATGAGAGCCTAACACCATTTATTTTTTCCTTCACAAAGTCTAGTTTGTATTGATGTTCCCAACATTTAAACTCGCATTTAGCTAGCAAAGGCTTTGTGTTTTTGTGTGAGGTCACCTTTTTCGAGAAACGTTCAGGCGTACTTGTGTAGGTAGATTGATATAGTGGTCAATTTACAAATTAGTATCCCCAGCCTGCCAAATAACCGTTTCTCTCACATTTTTGAGCACCACTTGTGCAAGACCAAACATATTTGACAAACAGTATTTATCGATACAAATTAACAAACAGTATATATAATGGACAATATTTGGTATCAACGGGTACACGTAGGCGTTAGTTGCTCGGAACGGACGGTAGTTTGCCAGACCATAGAGCAAGGAGCATGGTCTTCTTTCCATGGCCAGACTCAGTATTTAGCTGTCGGCCGCCATGTATGCATTGCATGGAAATTAACCAAGTAGAGTACTGTGGCGGGAATATCTGTGACCCGATCCGTAGTCCCTTTACCCAGACAACCTAGCTTAGGATCAATACCCCAGCAGCCGGGAATGCAGGCCCGTTTGGATAGAAATATACCGCCCTATACGCGTAGCAGCACACACCCACGCCCCTCAACCTCCAAGATGGACAAGACAAACACTTAAGTACACAACAGTCAATGACCTCAATTACTGATTGATTTATTTGCACAGAATCATGTCATATGATGGACCTCTCGTTAAATTATAATGTTAGCCTCTAATAAGTGATTGGTCTCTGAGCCACTCAATTATCGCTGTAGGGGTAGCCTCGCATTAGCTGCTACGGTAATGCAGTGCTGGGCAGCACGGCGATGCCTGGCTGGGGATAGCCTCTGAATCCCGGGTAAGAACCGTACGCCCCTAGCGTTCCTGTGCGCCTCCACTCTCCCGCCCTCGACCGTTTCCAGTCGCGATCCTTCCGCGAGGCGGCGGGTAGATGAGCGCGCCCTTCCGGCTCCGTCACGTTACAATCGGCAGATCGCTGTATGTCGCTCCGCCTCCAGTAGCCTCCGCGGACTACGTGCCTCCTTATGCCAGCCTGACTCCACCGCACCACCCAGCACGCCGTCAGCGCACTTAATAGCGTGAGCTCTTGTGAGGGCTGTGTTTTTGTCTGCGTCTACATGTACGTCTCTTCTAGCAACTGCCCGCGGCCTCTTATATAGGGGCCCGCAGCCGCTAGCGCGCCCTCTTTAGACTCTGCCGCTATAGTAATTTTCGCCACAGTACCAATTAAGATACGTGCTGCAATGCATGACAGCGCTCGGACACTATTTGGTACCGGTGTCACGGTCTCACTTCTCCGGCGTGCTAGCTTCTCCGGATGGATTCGGCGGACAGTTGAGCACGTTACAGTGCACGTTACACGAGCACGATACATATGCTGATGTGTCCGCTGTGCTTACTTTTCCTCAGGCTGTAATACCAAGCCTATTTATAACACAGTGAGGGACATCCAAGAATGTGTTATGTAACACTTCCCCCATCATTCTGATTTGTGTTCCCAGCGTACGTCATGTTTGTGTGTGTGTGTCGGTGAGCTTGTCTTACATACGCAGTGTGGACTTCCGAACAAAAGACGTCCACATAATGTAGGTAGCAGCGACGACGTGTGGACTTGCCCACGTCCACACTTTGTTTCCCCATTTCTGGAAAACAGGTTTAGAGGCATTTTTGGGTTAGGTTTATCTGTAGCAGAATGAAGAGAAACACTAAAGGGAATCATTGAAAAAAAATTGGGTTGTAAGAGTTTTCACAGTTTGAGAAAAATGAGTTTTTCCACTGGTGTTCCTTAACTACACGAAAAGAAAGGAAAGTCCACACTACGTATGTGAAACAAGCATGTGTGTGGTTGTGTGGGTGTGTGTGCTGGAATTTACTACCTTACGGAGACATGAACACAATAGGGAACAAAAGATTGTATACGTCTCCAGAAGAACATTTCTATAGATGAATACGTCTCCACAAGAATTTCACGAAATAGATATATGGATTTTACTCAAAAACTAGGAATTATCAAGGTAGGTTGATCGGTCGCAAATGGAAGAGTTTTAGAAAAGGGATATTTAGTCCAAATTTCAGCCCAGGAAATTAATTCTGGTTAAAATAAGAGCATTTTGAAACTTCAATTTCAAACTCGAAAACTTTACTACACGAGAACAAAGAAATGTCTCCACAGGAATACAAATTCCAGAATGGGTGTGTTTGTGTGTTCATGGAGGAATAATTAAGAACGAACTCCTTGGTCCGTGTTCCTTGCTCGTTCGTGGCCCATTTTGTCTTTATTTTTGCAACCATACGGCTTAAAATAAATGTGCATTTCAAGTCTTGTTTGGTTATTGGGATTTGTGCGCGCCACGAAACTTCTGGATTCGACTGGTACCCTGTAACCATGCATAAACATATCCTATAATATTACGTGCACTAGTACAACCCCGAAGAACTCAGCTCACAAATAAAGTTGACAAAAAATGTACACCACTGCGCACTTTTGTGCATGCGTGTTGAAGCGAAATTTCCCTTTCGGAGAAGCTAGCATGCCGAAGAAGTGAGACCGTGACATCGGACACTACTTGGCACGTACTACTTTCCAAATAGTGTCCGCGTCTACTGCGCATGCGCAGCGGACACTATTTGGCACAGAACAGTTTTTGGCATGACACCGTTTTTAGATATGTCCTTTGTAATGTTTTAACAGACTATTCTACATGTGTTATACTAGACTGTATGAATCATGCGTCAACACACCATTAACCTTTATCTGTTAATCCTCCGTAGGTGAAGATATTCGCCAATTTGCTGACTTCTTCTTCCCAGTCAGTGTTTCGTCCACACAGTTGACCAGCCTGAACTTACAGAGTGGACTGCGATACTACAGCAATGTACGAGCATTCAACAAAGCTGGTCTGCACACGCTCAGAAGCAGTGACGGTTTCGTGGTGGATACCAGGAGGCCAGATCCAGGCCTGGTCTTTGATGGCATAGGTATGAAGCCTCTTACTTAATTGGCATTGATAGAGAATATACTAGTGCGTGTAATTCGTCCAGTTCATTACTTCAAGTATCATTGGTGGTGTGCTTCTCACTTTTTGTTCCCCCATCTGCTACTCTTTGCCAAGGTCTTACTTTCCCCCTGCTAACTTAGCACAGCTCAAGCAACATGTGAGCTGTGGGCAAAGGTGGGCAAAGGTGGAAATGAGGGCTTGTGGGTATAAGGAAAGGAAATAAAATTGTCCTTATAATACAGTTTGTTGCACTTTAATCGGACATTCTGTTGACAAGTTATGGCTGTTTTAATGGCTGTTTGCATTTATTGACATGTCAACAAAGAGAAAAGAGAAAAAGGCCTTTAAAGTTTCGAGTATATATTCGTGAAAATTCAAGATACCAATTGTTCTTCCTTAAAAACACTTTGATATATTTCACGATTTCTATAACATTTCTTTAAATTATGTGTGGTTGACATATTTAAGATTACATATACATGTATCAATAAATCAGAATATCGAAAAAAAAATCAACCTCGTAGGTTTTTTTTGGCTTTTTTCTCAAAAACAGCCTGTGCCCAGTTCTGTCTAATTTGCCAGAACAGCTCACAAATATCAACAGATACATGTATAGTCCAACTTCAATTTATTTTTGGCTTATAATATAGTCACCACCTCTAGAGGCCAAAGCGTTGTGGTTGGAAGTAACGAACCGAAGACTTCTACCTCTTAACTGTATTCTAGATCTTCACGATGTAGAGTACCAGAACTCCAGCATGGTCATCTCAGCCTCCTGGCATGGCTTTGTGGATCTGGAATCCTACGTAGACCATTATGAGTGGTGCGTTGGACAGACCCCTAGCCCTGAAGATGATGGGGTCCTGCCCTGTACAAGTGTTGGAAATCACCTGTCTGCCTCCAAGACTCTAGCTGTACCTCTCACAAATGGTAAAGTTCAAATTCAATTCAATGTTTTTATAGTCAATTGACAATAAAAAAGAATAAAGCTTGCCACAATTTCTTGTCAACACCATTCAGGTTGTAGTACCGTAGAGAAATCGGTTCTAATTGAAAACATTTGCATCCGTCACGATCCATCAGGGCCTAACAGAGAAATTAGTCTCATTGTGATTGGGGATTTGAACATCCATATTAAAGTTGAGCCTTCCCCAAGCAGGTTCTTTGTGAATGGATTTGAAAATAAATGAAAAGATAGGTGATTCCAAACACATCCCGGTCGAACTCTTCAGTTTCAAGGAACCTTGTACTTCCTTACTTCCAAAAAGTGCAAACTTCTACGATGAGAAGAACAATTCACTGCAGGTGAGGGTGTGCACGCCCTCACCTGCAGTGTATTGCGTTCATTGTTCTTGGAGCACACGCGTGCTCAAAAAACAATGAATGCACTCATACACTCATATGACTCATACACTGTGCCAAAAATGTGTATATATATAAAGTGCTGGAGGGCAGGTTAAAGGGAATATAGGGTCATCTCTGTAGGAGAACTGCAACTGCGTATTTTACGCAATCAAATACCAATTGCGCAGTGTTGAAAATGTTCCAAACACACGCACCTATACTCGAATTGTGTTCGAAATACGACGCAGCTGATGCGCCTTATGGAAGTTGACGCTCAAAATGCCGATGCACCTTGATGGTCTGTATGAAATGACGTCATTTGAACAAGACCTATACAACATTTGCTTTTGCTGTAATTTTTAGGGGAAAAAAACCAAGAAAAATAATCATATTTTCGCAATCTGGTTCCCTGACCCAACTTAAGATGAAACGGAGCAATTTTTAAACGTCAGAGAATTGTAAGGTCAGGGAATCAGTCTTGCTGGCTTGTACCCGAAATTGCGGACTACCTAAATATGATCACTTGGGAGCAGTATTTGATAAAAAGCCAGTTTTTTCCACCGCTGGTCGGCCCACCAGCGTTGAAAATTGATACAAAAATACCAGTTTTCTTGAAAATGTTAGGAAAACACCGGGTGCCGTAATTTTTACAGGATGCTTTAGAATGCCATTCACTAACAGTCCAGTAAGGTTCGTCGTGATAATTTGGTATTTTTTTTTGATATTTGCAAATGTATATTCCCTTTAAGTGGAGAAAACTTGAAACTAGTAAATAGCATCCCTCAATGTTGATTTGAATGCATCGAGGGAAGGTAGGTTGACTGGGTCTATCGTCAAGGAGTTCCAGTCTCTGAAGATTGTCGGAAGAATGAGGAGGAATAGACCTGTGTTCTGCTGTGGGGCATGAGAAACTGTAAACAGTGACCTCTAGTGCTGGATGTACATGTAGCTTTAGTGAGGAAGGAACGCCAGTCTATGTCGACCAAGTTAAAACGAATCTGATGTAGTATCCCTAGACAGCTTCGGAGACGCCTGGACTTGAGTTTATGATTGATTCATGATTGACTTTTCTTTTCAACCCTTACCTCCATGGTGGATTCACCAATGCATACATGTTTCTCCTTTATTTGTCCCTGATCAGGCATCCGGTATTACTCCAAGATCTCAGCTATCGACGCTGCCGGCCTACAGTCTGAATCAGTTTCTTCAGACGGGTTTGTAGTGGACACTTCACCCCCTGAGCCGCTAGAACACATCCATTTAGGGGAGAACTTGATCCAGAATCCATCGTTTGAAGGTAAAGAAGGGGCCCTATTAAAATTAACAATTGGGTGACACCTAGTTATTGGTTATAAAATATTTATCCCAATTTTGTGTGTTCGAAAGATGTTTCATTTCACCTTCGGTTGTTGTGATTTCGTTTGTAGATAACTCAGCATTTAATGCTGAAATCACAGACAAAGTCACAACAACCCAAGGTGAAACTGAAGCAGAAAGTGAAGGAACAGAGTCAACATCAAGAGAATCTACGACAGATTCCATCTATGACAATGTCTCAGATAGCTATCCCACTGCTGCTACTAATTTTGTGACTAACATGCCACCCACCACAGAAGGTATGGATACTGTTGAGGATACACAGCTGCCTGAATGGGATGTTGGATCTGTTAGCCAGGTTTCTGTCATCACATCAGGTAAGAAGATTGCTCAAGATGGACGTTCTTTCTTGTCTCTTCATGGCTCTATCTCCCAAACCTTCAACACAACACTAAGCAGCCACTACCAGGTTGCACTCTTCGCGAGTCACATCGTGTCATCCCACAACCCTTTGCTGAACCAGGAAGGTCGCATTCAGATACCAAGTTTGGATCGGGTTTTCAGGTTGTATGATCGACCAACACACGGTCACTCAGACCAGAGCCTGATGTCTATCCTATGGCATCAGCACAGATTTTACTTCACAGCCAGTGACGATGTCTCAACATTAACAATCTCTTCAGTGGGAGAATCAAATGGAATCTTGTTGGATAACATTCAGGTGAGCAAATCCCTATCCATCTACCCTTTTTGATGATCAACTCTTTTAAAATCGTATCTCTCATAATACTCAAGACACCGTTTTCCTGTGCCACCTCCTGTAATTGATATCACTTGCACATGCACATTTCATGATGAATATTCGATAACCAAACGTTAAATAATCCACATTTTTCCTTTTACAGGTGAAGGAGATAACCACTGGACCGAGTACCGGTGATGGGTCCGTAGAAGTCCATACTCAGTTCATTCACAGCTGGTCGTCAATCCAGGCCAAGTGGCATTTTATTGACCCTGAGAGTCCAATAGTGGACTACAGCTGGGCTATAGGTAGGTTGAATGTTATACTCTCTAGTCAACCATTTAAGCTCATTGTTTCTCCTCACAACAGTATGTCATAATAGTTCCAATGTAAGATGTAATGTAGCTCAACACACTTAGAATCACAAAAGGAAGCATGGCAAATTGACATTTTTCAAAAAGAAATTTTAACACTACAATTTTGTTAGGAACCACGAGAGGTGGCACCCAGCTGCGAATCTTCACGTCTGTAGGTACACAGACAGATGCTATCAACACAGACCTCAACATGGCGCATGGCTCCTATGTCTACATCACTGTGATGGCGAGAAATGCAGCCGACCTCGTCACCATTGCAACCTCTGACCCCATACTGATTGACCTAACGCCACCACTGATTTATTTTGTCTCTGACGGTGGGGATGCGCAAGGTGTGTACATTCCAACACTTTTTCTTCTAGACTGACATATCACATGCACTTTAAAGCAGACCATGTCATATTAGTAGGCAGAAAATAGTTTATAGACTTCAGGCACAAATTAACTCTTAAAAAGTTAGGAAGGAGTTCTGAATGCATAGCTGCAGTAGGTCAGGTTCTCATGTGAAGGCATAAAGGGTTGAGCTTTTTTTTGCTAGTATTTTTGTAAGGTTGGGTCGGGTTGGATTTGGGGTGTTCAGATCGGTTTCGGTTCGGACTCTGTTTTAATGTTTTGGGTCGGTTCGGCCTGGTCAAATTATCCCGACCCGATGCACAACATTTGCTCGCACATGTGCCTCTCCCACTAGTATACCGGTCAGGGGTCACAATCTATCACTGTTCAAACACGGGTCCACAGTTTCCTGGAAGAACATGTTATTCCATTTCTCCCCCTGACAGATGTTGACTTCAGTGCGGATGATTCTTCTCTGATCTTCAGTTGGTCGGCATCTGATCCCGAGAGTGGAATCGATCACTGTGAATGGGCAGTTGGTAAGTTATCTCTCAGTTGAAGTCTACGTGGGTCATTCTTCAGTAAAGCCCCAGTCACACATTTACGTTTTGGAGCTACGGATCTCCACGGTTTGAAATTTGTGATAAACCGTGGGAGTACGTACCATATTTATCCTTATAAGTACATCCATGCTTATCCGTCATCTTCTTCCGGTATTCATGGCGAGGTTGCGGAAGTTTAAAACTGTTGACAATTTCCGTGGTTAAACGTCATGAAAATCAATCCGTAGTGCAACCGGGAGACGTCCGTAGGACAACCGTACTGATTCGTAGTATTACTCGTGGCTATTCGTACATATTTTTGGAGATTTGTATCTCATTTGTGTTAGAAATCTCTACGAATTCACTACGAATGTCCTACAAATATGCCCGGATGTGCTAGGGTTCTGCTAAAGCTGTATTCTTGACTAGTCGTAGGAGAACCTTGGTCATCCGTGGCCCAATCGCTCCAAACTGTAAATGTGTGACTGGGGCTTTTGTGTCTACTTTGGGCCTACTTTTGTGTCTACTTTGAAAAATGTGGAAAAAAACATGAATGTTGAATTAATTCCATGGGATGTGATCATTATGTTGCACGGCAACTATAATCAGCATTCACGGCGCCATCTTTAGAGAAATTTTAACCATTTTATCAACATTCAATTTCAGTGTTGTAGCATAGGAAAAAATGCAAAAGAAATACCAGTCACACCTTTTTTGATGGAAATGACAATATCTGAATGAATGTGGAGCCAAGTAAATTCAAATGAGAGCTTTTAAAGTATAAACATAGAATAATAATCAGTGAATAGAGGGGCTTTTAACATTATAAACCCAATCCATTATCATTCTTATTTTATTACCGTTATCGACTAAAGAAAGTGTCTGTAACGGAGCTGATAAAATAAATATTTAACTCATATAGCGCCACCTACAGTTTGTTTGAAGCATGAATACCACATGTGCTTGGTTTACAAAGTTTACAAAGACCGCAGCACTGCTTCTGTTTGGGTTTTATCAACTATTGATGGCGCTGCATAGGTTTGTGACGGTCATGTCATGTTTCCCTTGACTGTTGCCGTCGTTGGGGGGACCCGAGGTCAGAAGAAACTAAAGTCCTTCTCTATGCTGTTCTGTCAGCGGCCTGCACTAGGAGTTCTGACATGTTCATGTTTGTCCATTCCTTGACATTGTCTGCCCAGCTCTTCCGTTGTCGTCCTCGCCTTCGTCCTCCCTCGACAGTGCCCTGCATGATAGTCTTGCAAAGACTGTTATGCCGCGTGACGTGGCCAAACCACTTAAGCTTCCGTCGCTTCATGGTGCCAAGAAGAGGTTCCTTGGGACCAACAAGACTCTCGGCCTTGTTCCTCACAAACTCATTGGTCTTGTGCTCCAAGTATGAAATGCGGAGCAACTTCCTCAGGCATTTCGTTTCGAATGCCTGAATTCGTCTTTCTGACTCAGCCAGCAGTGTCCATGCCTCACACCCATACAGTAGGGTGGAGAGTACCAGAGATTTGAAGAGCCTGTACTTGGTGGGGAAGCTGATGTTGCTCTTCCATACCCTCTCGAGTCTGGCCATTGCTGCAGTGGCTATTGCAATTCGGGTACAGATTTCTGCTTTGCAGGTGCCATCCTTTGACAGGGTTGCTCCCAAGTATTTGAAGCTGGACACTTCCTTTAACGGTTCACCGTTGATGGTGATGTTAGCACTGGTGTTGTCCAAGCTGTTCACCATAACCTTGGATTTCTCTGTGCTGACTTCCATGCCGTACGCGTTGGCGCTTGCAACCAGTCTGTTCGTCAGGTCTTGCAGTTCGTTGTTGCTGCCCCCATCAGGTCTATGTCGTCTGCAAAATGAAGATTGCAGACGGGCCTGCCACCGATGGAGATGGAGGTGCGATGGTCATGGAGGGTCATCTGCATGATTCTTTCCAGAAAAACATTAAAGAGAACGGGGGAGAGTGAACACCTCTGTCTGACATCAATGGTTGTCTGGAAGAATTCTCCCATTTGGTTGTTCAGAAGAACTGCACAGCTGGAGTGTTTATAGAGGGCCTGGATGACTTGTACAAGAGCTTCTTCGACATTGAAGCTTCTGAGTACATTCCAGAGGCCATCATGCCAAACTCTGTCAAAGGCCTTCTTGAAGTCGATGAAGTTGTGGAAGAGGTCGCGTTGGTGCTGAAGGTGTTTTTCAGTGATTACTCTGCAGTTGAAGATCTGTTCCACTGTACTCCGTCCTGCTCTGAAACCCGCCTGCTCTTCCGACAGTATTTCCTCAGCCTTCGTTTTTAATCCGTTAAAGATGACGCGGAGCATCACCTTGCTGGGGTGGCTGATCAGGCTTATGGTCCTGTATAGTAGTTTTGGCACTGCCTGAGGTTGCCCTTCTTTGGTAGGGGTATCGCTAGCGATTGAGTCCACTCTGTTGATCATCTGGCAGAGAGCTGTTAGGGCCTTTACTGTTTCTTCACCTCCGCTTCTCAGCAGTTCGGAGGGTACGTTGTCCACTCCGGGTGACTTGCCCGCTTTCAGGGCCCGTACTGCTGCTTCTACCTCCTCCTTCATCACTGGTGGACTGTCTTCGCTTTCTGCGGGAGTCTGGTTGGCTTGCAGTATAGAGGCGTCTGGGTGGGATTCGTAGTTGTAAAAGCCACTGCAGTACTCTGTCAACCTCTTTAAGACTTCGTCACTATCTGTCAGTAAATTGCCATCTTTATCATCGATGACAGCTGCTCTCGGCTGGCTAGTCTTGGTCAGGGCTTTGAGAGTGTTATTTGCCTGTTTACTGTTCCCTGCTTTCATCCCTTTCTAAATGGCGTCGCACTGCTCCTCGATCCATTCCTCTTTGGCTGCTCTCATCTTCTTCCTGACCTCTCTGTGTACTTGCTTATGTTGTGCTCTTGCTTGCTCACTTATATGCTTCTGTCCCTTTAGCGCTCTTCTTTTATCGCATAGGTCCAAGAACTCGTTTGTGACCCATGGCTGGATTTTCTGGCGCTTCCTCCCCAGCACCTCTTCGGCTGTTGTAAGTAGAACTTCTTTGATGTCATTGGCGAGGGTGTCTACTTCTATGTCTAGCAGGTTGAGGGCTGCGAATTTCCCTCCCACCTGGGCCTGGAACACCACAGCTATTTCTGGGTCCTTGAATTTCTCCAGGTCAAAGCGGATACGGGGGCTCTTGGGGCGGTGCTTGACTTTTAGCTTCAGCTTGAAGGTCGCCAGCACAAGGTCATGGTCGCTGCCGATGTCAGCGCCGGGGAAAGTTCTCGTTTTCGCCTTGTTAACGCTAGATTTAAAGCGTTGTGGAACCAGTATGAAGTCGATTTGGTTGTGTGTTTGTCCGTTTGGTGAGTGCCATGTAGCAGTTCTAGACAGCTTGTGAGGGTGGAGAGTGTTGGCCAAGGTGAGGCGGTGACTGTTGGCAAACTCTAGCAACCTGAGGCCTCTGTCGTTAGTTTCCCAATGCCAAATCGCCCAACTGTCCCTGTCCAGTTCTCATATGCATGTGGTCCTACTTTGGCGTTCCAGTCTCCTTGTACTATGAGTATGTCTTTCTTTGGGACTTTTGCTATGATGGCATCCAGCTGCTTATAGAACTCCTGAACTTTCTCGTCATCGTAGTCTGAGGTTGGGGCGTACACTTGAATGATGGTCATGTTGTGTGGCCTTGCTGAGATACGGATGGAGATGAGTCTGTTGGAAACGGGAGTACAACTGATGACACTACCGGAGATTTCCTTCCTTACGATGAATGCCACCCCATGTTGGTGTTTCCTTTCCTCTCCCGAGAACCAAATCTTGTGTCCCTCTTCTGTAGCGGTTTCACCAAAGCCAGTCCATCTGACCTAGCAGAGCCCTATGATGTCCCAGCGATAGCGGTTTAGCTCATGGGTCAGCTCATGGATTTTCCCACAGGCATATAGGGTGCGAACGTTCCACGTTCCGATAGTTGTCCCTTTTGTTGGCAACTTTATGAGTTTTGTCACTCCAGTATCCCACTTATCACGCCCATCCTGGAGTGATTCAGTGGGACGCGCGGTCGTTGGTGATCCGGGCCTCGACCGATCCGGCATGGTGATTCTTAGCTTCTTCTTCATCATGTCCTTTCAGTGGGCTTGAGACAGCTCAGCGGCGCCCATCTCCTCTCCGAGCTCCTGACCACCAGCCGGATACCACAAATTACGGTGTGGATCGCCCTCGGTCTGTACACTTGGCCGTTGAGTCCATTTAGAGACCCTTCCGTCCTGGCCGTTGGCTGCTCCGCCGCTCTTCCGCCCTGTGGTGCAGTGTAAACACCACCCCCTCACGTGGTTTAGCCCGCCTGCTGAAGCGGTTTGCCAGGGTGTGGCGCTTGGAGCCATCACGTAGGAGATTTAAGAGCTGGATGAGGACCAGTGACGCCCTTCCATTGTAGGACGGCAGAACGCTATGTTTCAATCTTAAACATATTAGCTCAAGTTGTCTACTAACACTCATTCAAATGGGCCATGTTTTTTTCGACCGTAAAATTGAAAAAAAAAGGACTCTCCATTGCAAACTCTTGGTGGCGCACTGCATTGTGAATCGCAGGAATTGAAAACAAAATGTTTCCTGCTTTTTATTTTCTCCCAGGATCAGAACCTGGACTTGATGACATCCTACCAAGCTCATCGTCTCCTAACGACACTTCCACTGTCACCACCAGCCTGACCCACGCTATGGTTGAAGGCCAGCGACTGTACGTCTCCGTTACATGCTACAATCATGCTGAGAAGTCGTCATGGAAATCATCAGATGGTGTTACCATAGTAACGGTGCCCCCAAGCTCAGCGGGAGCTGTAGTCAATGTCAAGACACTGTCAGAGACTCAGCATGAAACACGTGACGGGTACCAGTCACAGAGGGATGCTCTCCAGGGATCTTGGGATGGATTCATGGATCCATTTGGAATTCAGTCCTATGAGGTAAGTGCAACAATTGTGCAAATAACACCTGTCAGAATAGTTAATGCAAGGCACAGCACAGCACAGCACAGCAAAGTCTTTAAATGCCTACAGATACACAGTACTACTGTGCGTGTTCATCTTTTTAAACCGTGGACAAAAAATACCAGCGAACAAAAGAGAAACAATATCGTCAACGATTCCCAACATACGTCCGCAATTGGGGTCGTGTACAAAACCTATGCGAGTCTTCCTAAAAAGTTAGGGTACAAACAAAAGAGGGACAATAAGACGTCCACGATCGACGGTGAACACACGTTTATGTGTGTATGTATGTATGGCAACATTATTTCCGCTTATTCTTCTGCTTATGTCATGCATTTTGCTGTCTCTACATATTCGTATTTACACATACATGTACTTGCCAATAGAGAGAAGATATCTCAAAATGTTCTGCTTGAGGGCACAAGCAACTTGATCCTCTGCAGGGCAATTCCATGAAAAAGTGGACACGGCTGGAAAGTTGAAACTGTACGAAATTTTCCAAACTACAAGCCTCACAACATCAAATTTGTTGTCAAATAGGGTTAGGGCCATTTAATCGCAAATTTTCAAAACCAGATTTAAAAAAAGTCAAGTTAGACACATTTGACACTTTTAGTTGTTACACTACATTGTATTACATGCTTTGTTAATACCTGTATATTTTGGTACTATATACTTACGTATGTTTACTTTTTGTAAAGCGCTTAGAAACACTGCGTATTAAGAGCTATATAAATGTTAATTATTATTATTAAATTAAAGGGAACAACAAGATCTTTTATTTGAGTTGTGTGCCAATGAAATGGAATGTAGTTAAGTGTGATCTGGGGTAAAAAACCCTCTTTTTTGTGCTAAAATCGTTGATTTTTGGTAGTCAGTTTTGCACCTGGATTTAACATGCAAAATGTGACTGTTATTGAGAGTGTTTGCAGAGAGAAAGGTTCATGTATTTTAAGAAAGAGTTTCATAATGTTGCAGTTCATCAAATTCAGATTTTATGCTGTGTTAGAAACCATGAAGAGGAAGTAACGTGAGTGACGGAACCTCCTCGTAATCTTATGTCACTTGCATCTAAAATACACACTTATTTGAATCAAAATGGGTTTTTATATCTAGCTATGGGTTGAATGAAAGGTAAAATAATGTTACTTCTGTTTTGCAGACTACAGTTTGGGGAGACTTTAATAACAAAATTGTTGGACAATTTTCCATGTTTTTTTTTTGTAACGTGAGTGAAAACCAACGAACAAAACACATGTTTTCAAAAAGTTAATGAATGGATTGAATTTATCTTTCCATTTTTGAGTACCCCTTACCCCAAGGTTGTTGTACGGCTGGTTTGATTCAGCTTGATCAAATACCTTTGAAGCAGTGAGAGGTCAAAGAAGTCTCATGATGGCATATAATTGTAACGTGAGCGACGCTGGAATTGCCCCTCAGACCTTGAGTCACCTGTATGTAAAGTTACGAAATCATTAATTTATCTCAACTCAAATTGTGACTTTTTCTAAGCAAACAGCTGTGCGAGGGATTCTCATAGTGTGTTGGTGTCGTAGACAGTAACAAGGGAGGATGGAAACTGACTCCAATAAATGAGAAGCTGAAATTGATATTCTCTTTACTTATGGCTATTTCCCTTCTTCCCAGTGCTTTCTTAGTGGACCGAACGCATTCACCTCCTGGAGACCGTGTGGATCCACATCAGAGACCCACCTTGATTGGTCAGGTCTTAGCCTGGTTGATGATGCGCCATATAGCCTGTCAGTCAGAGCCGTCAATCATGCTGGTTTAACCAGCCAGGCTATCACAAGCAACTTCACCGTGGAGTCTGCAGAGCCTGTCGTAGGAGGTATGTATCTTTAGCAGTGTTTTTTTGGATTAACTTACTAAATTTGATCAGAATATACATCTGTTAAGTTTATTTTATGGGAAAAAAGGTGGGAGGGGGCTAAATAGACAAAAAAAACACAACCAACCAGACTTGTCCTCCACCCAATTTGAAACCACCCAGTCATAAGGAATTTATGCCCCTAAACTTTATACCTCTTGATTGCTACCCCTTCTAGTTGCAAACATGGTCCGACTGTGAGGTACCATTATTCCCATGTACCATATGCTCATCCCTTCATGGTTAACTTAATTATCCATCCACCCACCTCACGTGACCACTACTTACCTTTTGATTTGCTGTGTGTCTCCTAAATTGATTGATGCTTCTTGACATTTCTTGATTGATGAAACAGCCTCAAGCCTGATCAAATATTTTTGGCGTGGTGAAGGGACGGTTGATCTTTCCTGGGATGGCTTGTACTCCTCCCCTTCCTCCTCCTTGGTCTATGAGGTATCTCTGGGTACCATCCCAGGAGGTAGTGATATCATGCAGTGGGTGGAGACCATGGAGACTGGTATGCGTGTCTCACCGCTGGCTCCCTACACCGACTACCACTTGACGCTGACGGCCATCAGCGCAGCTGGCTTGTCACGGACAGTCAATAAGATCATTAGTGTGTAAAGGATTTACAACGTCAAGATGGAAATGGTGCTTAACTTTGTTATATTGTAGTCCTATATTGTTTGAAAACAAAGTAACACACATGCAAAGTAGAACATTCATTTGAATAATTAATCAAGTTTAAAAGTACACATGTTAGTCTGCTTCACGTAGTTTGCAACTGCTTTTCCCTTGATAAATCTGAGGTGAATTTATTATTCAACATTGTCTTTCTGTCACAGTAATGTGTTCACAGGACATTTGACATTCCCAGCCGTGTAAGAAACATATTCTGGGATCCTGATACAGAGACGGAATATGGCAGACAGACAATTGCAGCCAGGCAAATCAATCCAGTGAGGCACCTAAGACTTTTACAAATTGCCATACTTGTATGCTAAAACCTTTAATTCTCGAATTAAACTTTTCTTTAACTTTTGGGAAAGAAATTGTCTAAAATTTGTAAGCGTCCAATAAAACAGACCTTGCGCTAACTTTATTGCTAGCTAACTGCAGATTTTACTAACCGGTTCAAAGTTTTACTAGCCCGTTTAAAGTTTTACTAGCCCGTATAAATTTTGGGTTTTATTCATTTTTTTTTTCCGCTTTAAGACTAAGTTCTATTTGGCGCACCAATCATGAATTTGGCACTGTAGTAATTAGTGAATTAATAAATCAAAATGACCCTCATTTGGGTTACTGAAATTTGGTAGAAATTGCCACATTTTGCTTAGATAGTGAATTAAGTGTGCCGTGCACGTGACGACAATGAAAACAGTTTTGCATTTTAGAGAGAGTGTTGCTTGTTCAAGACGCGGCTCTACATAGACTTGTTTGTTTGTTTGTTTTATTTCCTTCTGTACTAAAGACCTGTAGATTTAACTACCAAAGTATCAGACACTATCTTAAGTGACTTCGTTTAACTGTAACGCTTTACAGCTGCAGCCAGTTATTGTTGGAAAGGTTGAAAAACGATGTGAACGAGAATACTAGTGTACACATTAATTGTGCGGTACCGGTACCTCGCCGCGCTGCTGCGAGCTCTATACTGTGATAAGCTTTACTACAGCCTACTTTTCGTATGCGGCGCAGCGATCGCGAGTGTATCAAGAACGCATGCCATATCACGCTTTAAGTTGTCTAAATCTATAGCTATAAAGTACCGAAGTGTGCTGCGTATTCTGTTCCACGTGCACAGCTGAAGTGTGTGAAGACATCAGCGCGCAAGTGAACCAGAACAAGCCGACGTCACACTCTATAATACACTTAAAAGCCTTCAAAATTACCTTGCTTGTGTCTGCAGTTGCTGAAGTTAACACACATAGTGATCAAATAAAGGCTATAATTATAAACTAAGCAATGAACTGAGGTTCACGTCTGTGTCATTTGTGTCATTAGTTTCTTTTTGTTTTTTTCATTTAAGTAAATTCAATATTAGGTTTTGCCTGAAAATACTGTATACTATGTGTGTTACCCCCGAAGTGAAAAAAAAATCACACGGGTAGGACTTGAACCAAAGACCTCCTGCTTTCTGGTGCAGACTTCTCACCACTCGACCACCGAACTTACGGGATCAGTTGCCTGGTTCGAAAAAGATGTACATGTAGCATTGGGTACCGCGCTGAATCTATTCATAAGATGGAATTTTGCACTGATGTACACTTTGTTTACATGCATGGGCGTCAATCGGTGAGGGATGAAGCTCGGAAGACGAAATTTGAATTTGGCGTCACATTTCCTACGTTTTTGGTACAATTTTCAAGATATTTTTAAATCTCATGGTCTTCGCGGGGTCTTGGTCTTTGGTCTTTTTAGAAGCAATTGACGCCCTTGTTTACATGTGTGCTTTCTTATGGGAGCCTGCATGGTGGGGACCACGGTTTTGTAGCCCCATAGCAAAGTGTGCAAGTAAACAAAGTGGACGTACAGTGCAGAGGCTAATTGACAAAATGTGGTGTTTGACTCCTAATATCATACATGTACAGTATATACTACACTGTGGTTCGAATGGGGTAATTTGAAACATGCTGGATGGGACCAGGGACAAGTGAGGAACCTAGGACCGGTGGATGATTTGTCGGCGGACCAGTAACAGGGTTGGTACATTCCATGTCATGTTGTGCACAGCAGTGGAAAAAACCGTCTCGTTTTCAATTGCTCGTTTGAGTGTGGTGGACAGAGCCTCAACCATGAATTGCTTGCTGGTCCAACTTTAGGTCCATCGCTCTTGGATGTTCTCTTGCGTTTTCGTCAGGGTAAGGTGGCAGTGTTGGGCGATATTACCGCCATGTTTCACCAAGTCAAACTTCTTCCTGAAGAGCGGCGAATGTTCCGATTTCTTTGGAAAGATGACCAACTTGACAAGTGGGTTGTCTTTGAGTGGATGGTGCTGCCTTTCAGGGCTGCATGCAGTCCCTGCTGTGCAGCATTCGCCCTTCCAAAAGCTGCCAGGGACCGGGTCGAGCAGTATCCACAGGTTCAGTATACAGTAGAGAAAGAGACGTATGTGGACAACCAACTGGCCAGCCGAGATAGCGAACAAGAAGCAACCGAACTTGTTCTTGGCACGCGCAAATGCCTACAAGAAGTAGGATTTCAGATGGTGAAGTATGCCCAAACCACTTCAAGGTCTTCCTGTGGAGGCATGCTCAACTCGTCAGGTGCAGTCATTGTCCCTGGGTCTACAAGAAGGCGATCCGGAACCAGCTCTGGGATTATGTTGGGACTGGAAGACTGATGAGTTGCATCACCCAGCGAAGGTTCCAGACAACCAGGTGCTGACTAAGCGCATCGCTCTCAGGGTCCTTGCCAGTCAGTTTGAACCACTGGGGGATATTGCACCGTTCACTTCAAATTTGTCAAGTTGTCCTCGAAGCCCTGACAGTTGAGATCCGGTACAATCTGATGTGGAGCGACTCAACCACAGTACTCAGCTGGATTCAGTCAGAGTCATGCCGTTTCAAGGTATTTGTTGGAACCCGCATAGCTGAGATACAAACATTGACTGATGACATTGAGTGGCGCTACGTGCGGAGTGAGGACAATCCGGCTGATGATATAACCTGCGGCTTTACCAGTTTGCAAGCTGGGAGAAGGCTCAAGGTGGACTGAGGGCCCAAAGTGGCTTCTGGATCCACAAGAAGAATGGCAGAAAGACAGTGCAAGTGTCTTGGCCCAAACTCGTGTCAACTCATCGGTAGAACAAAAAGAAATAAGGAGTGTCTTCTGTGGACTCACAGTTCCTACTTCAGAGGTAGACGTTGATTTCAAAGCCTTTCCCAGTTGGGGAGAGTTGGTAAGCGCGGTTGGTCAGCAGCGATACGCAGATGACCAGTTGCTCGATGGTACCTTAACTCCAGATCACCGCCGTGAGATCGAGATCTTACTGCTACGACAGGCACAGAAGGACACCTTCAAGGAGGAAGTCACTGCACTTTCATCCAATAGGGAGCTTTCTCGAAATAGTCGTCTGCTGGAATTGGCGCCTGAACTTGACCCAGCTGACAAATTGATCAGAGTTGGAGGTCGGCTCAGAAGGGCAGCCAAAAAACGACTCAATTTCTATTGAGCCTCATCCAGTTGTACTTGACCCACATCATCCTGTGACAAAACTCCTGATAAAGGACGCTGATGCCTGTCTCAGTCATCAAGCTGGAACCGAACAGGTGTTTGCCCATTTGCGACGCCGATTTTGGATCCTGAGGGGACGCAGTGTGGTCAAGGGAATCCTGCATGCTTGTCCCGGATGCCGTCGCTGGCGAGGAACACCCAAGGTCCCACGTTTGGGTGATCTGCCAGAGTGCAAGTTGCGTTTGGGAAAAACCACCTTTCTACTCCCTAGGAATGGACTGTTTTGGGCCCATGAAAGTTAAAATTGGGCGAAGACAGGAAAAAGGGTGGGGTTGCTTTTTAAGTGCATGACCACTCGTGCCGTGCATCTCGATCTTCTCGAGAGCCTTGATGTAGATCACTTCCTGATGGCCTACAGGCGCTTTGCCTCCCGCAGAGGAGTTCCGTTTGAACTTCTAAGTGACTGTGGAACCAACTTCAAGGGGGCCAATGCAGAAGTCGAGCAGACCTTGAAGGCAATGGAACCAGATATTGTCCAGCGACTTGCCAAGTATCAAGTCAAGTTCAAATTCAATCCCCCCAACGCACCCCATTTTGGGGGTACCTGGGAGCGGGAGGTCAGGGCAGCCAAAGGGGCACTGAAGGCTGTACTAGGAGATAGGACAGTAACAAATGCTGTGTTACGTACCGTGCTAGTGGAGGTCGAAGGCATCCTAAATTCAAAACCGCTTGGATACGCTTCATCTGAGATAGCCGACGTGGATCCGGTTACTCCAAATAAGCTCCTGATGAGAAGACGGGATCCAGTGCTGCCAATGGTAGTCTATGACGAGAGCGAACTGAGGGGTCACAGGAGTTGGCGGCACAGCCAAGTGCTAGCCGATCAATTTTGGCGTCACTTCATTAGGTCCTATCTTCCTAGCCTTCAAACCCGCCAGAAGTGGCAAAGGGAAGAGGAGAACGTGTCGGAGGGGGATGTTGTTATGATAGCAGAACCTCAGCTATCAAGGTCGCAGTGGCCAGTGGGTACTGTTACTCAAGTCTTTCCCAGCGAAGACAAGCGAGTAAGGGTGGTCAACGTTCAAGTGAACAACAGAGTCTACAAGCGTCCTGTTGCCCGGCTCATAAAACTAGCCAAGTATGACGAAGGTGATACTTCCAGTTTGACCAAGGTTTTACTCACCCAGATCCCCATTCCCTTTAGGCTCTGTGGCATTAGGAACTGATGAGTGCGTGCGTGAGAGTAGCAAACCTGTTGTTCCGTGTAAACTGCATTTTCCAGTGTTTGAAGTTAACCTAAAAGTTTTGAAGTTTTTGTAATTGCAATACCAGTTTGCAAATTTCTTTTTGAAATTTGGGGGCGGCCATGTTGCAGCTGCACTGCCTCTTGCTTGAGGTCGCGCTTCAGTTTCGTGCATTCGTTTAAGGGCGCACTTTCTGCCCCGACCGCGCGGCTGACTCCACCGCTAAAATTGATTTTTAGGGTTCGAAACCAGCATTTTCATACACAAATAGGGTTTCAGAGATACTCGGTTGGGTTGGGCATTATTCCGTAAATTGTTATTTGACCGAGGGATATAGATTTGGGGGCGTAAATGTACATATTGGAAAAATATTGGGACTTTTAGATGGGCTTTACGGCATGTTTTGATGCAGTCTGTTATTATACAGGTTATTGTAGGGACATGGACTCATCTGATCGCCGTTATTACCTGGTTCTCATTTGTATATTTTGTGTTGTTTCACCTTACTGATAGTCTAGTTTAGGGATGATAATTATGGCAATTACTCTTGATGACCTCATTGTTTATTCTCCCTATATATTTTCCCTTTTAATTAAAGCTCACATTAAATAGGAGGGATAATCACCGAAGCTGTTCGAGGTGTTATCGGGAGGGTGTTTGACTGTTTGTACAACTGCTTACAACTGTTTGTACAACTGTGTTCAACTGTTCATCTGTCTTCAACTACAAATTTCGTTGTTCAACTGTCTTGGCTGTACAACTGTTACCAGATCATCCAGTAAACTATACTGCTAATATAACTCATCTCCGTGCCCACTGGTGCCCATATACCTGTACACTGAATTGTTTGTGCTGGAAAATAAAAGATTAAAGTGAGCAACCATACAAATTGGATTGAGTCTACAACCACCATAGGTCATGACCCTTTCTTTATCGCATGGGCTAGAACAAAGCCAAATTCTTTTCCAGATAAATCAGTTGGAGGTAAAATCTCGTACCGTCAAATCTGGGGAAACGCTAAAATAGGTTCTTCAACAAGGTGTTGTTTGAGAGTCTCAAATGCAGTTCGGCAACTTCACCCCAAATGAATGGCACATCTTTTCTAGTCAAGTTTGTGAGAGGTTCTGCAATCCTACAGTAGTCCTTGATACATTTACGGTAATACCCTACAAATCCAAGAAATGATCTTTCTTCTCCGTGTAGGATAATTTTTGACGACTTTTACTCTGTCAGTATCAGTTTTAATCCCTTCGCTGCTCAGAACCATATGCCCAAATATTTTAATAATTTAAGACCGGAATAACCAAAGGGATAAAAACAGAGTGTAAACCAAATGGAAGTACCTGGAATTCATACAGAGAATCTTGCGTAATGAAGCAAGCCTTGGATTTTTTTCTAGTTCTTTTTGCCAGTATACAGCTGCAAGGTCTAGAGTTCGCTCGTCTTCAACGAGCGTCTATTACATAGACTAGGATTAGCCTGTGGCTAATTGCTTTGGCAAATTCAGGTAGTCGTACATCGTGCGTACTTCGAGCGCAAACCAGTACAGTACGTGCACGCCGTGTGTCCCGTCCACGGGGCTCTCAAAAGTGGTAAATAAGCGCCCTCTTTCGCTGCTGCCCTAATAGTCGCCTCTAGAGGTACTGATGACAACATCAACATACCTCTAGCTAAGGGCTATAAGTAATATTAGAACCATTGGAACCGGACGTTTACGCAACTGGAGTGTTTATATCCAATGGGTATTATGGATGCGCGCGCGTGTGTATGACAAAGTCACTAACGAACCGGATAGGGCTAGGGGCGACCAAAATATACATGCACTCGAGGCTTGGATATAGGGACTAAACCAACCTCGTCCCCAATGCTCACTTCATTTCCAACCGAGTTTCCAATAGTAAGCCCTGGATAGGAAACTTTCTTCCTGTATCCTGATTCGATACCTCAATTGGCTAGTAATGGATTTTTATCGTGTACTTGGTGCTATTATTCACAACGTGCAGTACATGTTTTTGCGAGCATTCGTCCACGCCTTCTCTCGAAAATACTAATTTCCTTTCCAATTTGCTCATATAATATGAAATTTGATGCTGCATGTTGTCTCGATTAGATCGTAACAGTTTAATTTGAAAAATCGTGTTTTCGTAAATCACCCCGTGCTCACGCTGCGACGCATTGACTCTGTTTTTACCCCAGACACCGAATACAAAAACAAACGCTAACGTAACGCATATCCAGGCACAAGACTGTTCCTCATTTGCATACGTGTTCAAAAATCGTCCACATGCAAATGATCCAATACCAGGGTGAGAGAGCAGGTAGTGATGGGTGCGTACTGTTCGACACCCTGGGGACGAGGTTGGGACTATGCTTAGCTCGTACACCCGCCCTGCAAACAGGACGCTGGGATACTCTGATGAATTCATGCTCTGATTGGTTGGATTTTGCGTGACCTGTGACCTGCGCGTCATCACGGTCATGACTCTGCAAGGTTTGAAACAGCCGTTAAGACTAATTAATTACTCTTTTATTCCAGTTCAGAGATGTTTTGTTTTCGTTGAAAAGCGTAATAATGAAGAAAATTCTGTAAAACCTATCTGTACAGTGTTTTAAATTTACAATTCCCAGTATTTCTAGTACAATAAATTTTGTGCATCGTGATCAATTGGAAAACAAATTAAGCGCCCATCCGAAGGGTCAACAATAAGATTCAGTAAAGGTGCAAGTACATAATGCAGAGGCCAGGAGTAAAGCTTTTACACAGCTAACCAACACTGAACAATGGATCGAATTCATCTCATAGCCCAAAGCATTAAAGCTATAGTCCATCATTTGTAATTAGTGCATTTTGTTCGTTTGAAGCAACAAAAGTGTTCAAAATCTAATGAAGGATACTGAACAACTTACTTGATGAAGTTTCAGCTCAGTTTCAGCTTCATATTCCGAGAAAAACAGGTTTCTAGGATCTCAATTTAAAATCGAAAGTTGCTAAATCATGTTTCGAATTGTTTTGAATTGTAGCTTTACGCGAGGTTGCGCACTGATCCAACGAATTATAGCAACCGCGCGCGCTGTGCGTCGTTCCAACTGTGCGTCGTTCCAATGCTTGTGCGCGCTGCGCCGAATAACAAACGAACAACTAATTTAGATTTTCCTACGGTGCTTCTTAAGAAGCACCGTTGCAAATGCCTTCTTTCGTTGATTTCTTCAAAATGAGAGCTTGCCAGAAAGGATAATTTCACAGGGAGTTTAGTCCCCTTACTATCTTTCAACCAGTATGTTTTTCAACAATGATTACGCCGGTTACTTTTTTGGATAGTTGCAAATGATGGACTTGGGCTTTAATACGAATCGACACTCTTTGTTCATTGTATAGACCAATCAAGAAGGCCCCCTTCAATGGTAATAGCATTGTGCTAGCTATTGTTTAGACAATCCTTTACTCTGGGCTGTTACTTTGTACAATAGCGTGCTCAATGGTGTCTCCGTATGAAGGGGGGCTCGTGCCCGGATTTGTCTATACTTGACTAGTTGCGGGAGGGACGTATAGTTTAAGGCGGAGAAACGACTCAAAAGGTGGAGAGACTTTGATTCAAATGGCATTCGAACACAATTTAAGTGGCACGATATGTGACAAAGGAACCGCCTCCCCTCTTTTGTGTTAGTCATTGTGTGACCAGAATCTCAGGAATTATTTTGAGATATCTAGGGTGATGGGGGGGGGGGTATCTAGGGTGATGAAGGTGTACGCCTCTGTCACATATCGTGCTGGGTAAAACATTCGAATCAAAGAATTTTCTTTGTTTCGTCGATTTTCCTTATAGTCAGTTGGCTTATGGTCAAAAATCATCTCCCATTCGCAATAGTGGGTACATTCTTTGAACATTTCAGGCATTAATAATGAAACGCTATACACCCAAATCCACTTGATGCATTTTTTCTACACATAGTAGACTGTTTTCGGGTATTGGTTTTTGAGCCAAAATAAGAATGTGCAATATTGAAAGCCTTTTTTACTCTGACCTTTTGCGGGCGGGGCGTCCATTGCAAAAAAAATATGGCGAAAAAAGCACCAAAGGAGAGTCATTTATCAAGATTGTTTGCAATACATAAAAAACTTGTGTTGATAATGACCTGTTGTAACACAATTTTTGACAAACTTTCTCTTTAAGGGTTGGGGACAACTTTCATAATTTGGGGGTTGGGAAAACAGAAATCACAAGATAATATGGCCTACAAACTTAATCCAAACTTATGCCACTTTTTTTTCTTCTGAATTGTGCCTTAGCAGTATAAGCAGTAAATTAACCTGAAAACTTCCACATTGTATTTCGCTTTTATGCAAGAAGAGGGAGAACATTTAACAATAAAAAAACAGGCAATGATTAAAATCCATTTTGTTTCACTAAAATTAGAAACAAACAAATCCGGCACATAAAAGGGGCACTATAGGATGGATTACAAAGTATTTAAAAATATGAAGGGGAAACAAAACCAGAAAATGAGTAAATTTTAGTAAACAATCAAAATTTGTGTCAATTTCAGTTGTCAAAATGAACAGAGATACCTTTACAGATACCTTTAATTAAAGTAGAATGAACTTTTATTTCACTGATTTCAGACCAAAAACTACATAAAATTGGCCTTTTATGTGAAATCACTCTTTTCGTTATATCGGTTAAAATTCCATGGAAACATTAACGAGCTTTATAGGTTCGCCTATTTATTGTTTAAAACCAAAAAATTGGGTTATTAGATTGTTGTGTTTTTGTTCATATGCAAGGTGTGCCCCGTTGTAGTGAAAAAAAAGTGTGACACGCCCCCAAAGGGAACAAAAGGTTTTTGATTTGACATGTAAACATTCTGTTAACCCCCATTCACTACAATGAATTGAACAAATCGCACCAAGATTGCCTGTTACAGCTAAATTTTCTGTTTACGCCTTTTGCCCCACTTTATTTTAAAGAACAGAGGGTGCTTAACAACTAACCTGAGGAAGTTTTAGCTCAGTAAATGTTGCATATTCCGTGAAAACAATGTTCTAGGATCTCGATTTCAATTCAAAAGTTGCCGAGTCATGTTTTGAATTGCGCCCGAAATCAGCGTCTGTGACATTTTCTCACTCAGCCGTCGTGTCAACCAGTGGTGGATAAAATGACTATACTGGTGGATAAAATGACTATACTGGTGGCTAATTGACTGCTAGTGGAATGGCTATATACTTCGGAAATGATGTCTATTTAAACTTGAACTTCTAGCAATAAAAAGGACTGAGCAATTTCGACTTCCTCTCATCGCAGTGTACAAAATATTGCTTATCCATTCTTCGACGCGATTTGGGCTGGATAAATAATTCAACATACTTCACAAATAAAATGCATGCTCAAGAAAGGAAAGTTTATTATCTACGGTACAGTAAATCTTATACAATTTGGTCAACAATTCAACCGGGTAACATTAATTTTTGTATTCACTTCACATGCAGAGAGCTGTAATGATGTCATCACAAGTCATCCAATTTTAAGTAAGCTATTCAACTGAAATGTGACTAATGCATTGTTTCGGCATTGTTTGTGCCCCGTTATGTATATAAATTGAGGGTAATGGATCTTGATTGCAAGTGAGATCATGCATCCTGTGAAATCATTGCGTCTAAATGCCGTCATCTTTGGGGAAAAGAGGAATTTGCCATCATTTCTGTGCGATGGCTAGAAACCTATGCTTAACATCGAGAAAAAAAAATGAAGAGGCATTTTCAGAGTTCTCCAAAAAAAATATATCTAATGAGTTGAAAATTTTAATAATCTGCTTATTAAGATTCATTGAATTGTTGTTCCTTGAATCGGCAAAAAAACCCCACATTTTTAATTCTGTTTATTATTTCTGACTTGTGAATCACTCCATTACAACTTCTACTTACACATCTGAGTTTCATGAAGCATTAGTTAAAATTTAGTGTAATAGGTTTCTGGAAACAATTCTGAAAAAGGTACTCTCTCATGATTACAAAATCACGGATGATTTGTGCAACGCATTAACTACACAACTAATCGGGATTGAAGTGATTAGTTAACAACCATACGATTTTGTGTGTCTTTATAGTTAAAAAAAAACCTGATAATTTTCAGTATACAGTTTGTGAACAGATAATTGGAGGCCAAAGTCCGCAGAAATCCAAGCATTGCTGCCAAGGTGCTTCATTGTCTGGTAATCTGAATCAGTGTGATTTCATTGTATTTACTTTTATATTTTGCTATTTGGCTATTTTATTTATTCACTTGACTGTGTTTACAATAGTGCATCAGATAATGTTTCCAGTCTTATCACTAGCGCAGTAATATGGGTTGGCTTGTGTTATCATTTCGCTTTAATTTATGATTAAAAAAAAACCAGTTAGTGAATAGATTAATATATATTAACAGGTATTTTAGCTTTTTAATCAAATTCAAACGTTTTTAAAACCACTAATTTTGCATATCACGGAAAATACTTATATCCATCAGAAAATGCTAATATTTTAAAGCCAAATGCACTTCTAATCTCTTTTAATAAACAGCTACTGACTAGGTTCTGGGTAAAATCGGAAGCAAAGATAAAAAAAACAATTAAAAAGCAGGGAAAAAGCATTCCATTCCATGATTCTTTGTCTGGTGTGTAACTCTGTTGCAAGGCAAACCTTTGATTTTGTAGGGCTTTCTTCACATGCTCTTCTCAAACTTGGCAAACTGACATTGCAAATTTCTGACTGGATAGCAAATTTAAAGTCATGTGGGTTTTGGATTTGTTTTTATATCATCAAGTACATTACTTTGACACACAAACTACTCTCACTATTATGTTTGGTATTTAAGCAAAGTATTATAGTATAGTCTCATTGAGTTTCCTGTTACATACTCCATGATGAACGGAATTCAAGATGTTTCATTGTCCACAAGATCACAGTATAAAAAATATGCTACCACACTTGCTTTCATCAACATTTGGGATTTCAGATGAATGATCAGAAGTTTTGTGGAGGGATTAATTCATACTGTAATAAAAGTTGTTCTGTTTTTAGGTTTGCCAATGGACAAAAATTACCAAGAGAGCATATAGGCATACAGATGGTGAATTTGCTGACTCGTTTACACCACCGAGTCGTCGATTTCCCTAAGTAGGTCAGTGTAGCTGTCGTGTGTGGAGCTCATACCGGATTGCACGGAAGGCTGTGGAGAAAACACAGTTGCAACATTTACTTCCAGTTTAAATAATTTTAACAACAGTTCTGATGTTCACCATTTGAAGCAGAAAATGCTGGGCACCATTCATCCAAATGCAGCTTCAATCATTTTGACAATAGTTAAATTCATGAAATGTCATCATAATGCAATATATACAATTCTTGTCATTTGAATAAAAACATAATTTGTTTTTGATCTTTTTTTTTACTTACAACCCAAGGTTTTCCATATAAATTGTTTCAATAAACACAGTGTTACTTTGAAGTTAAAAGACTTAATAGAGATACCAAGTTTATTGCAAGTGGGTGGTCCCAAGCGTGGTTGAGTTCGCACCGGAGCTGAAACAATCTCATGTTTTCACCGTTGCCCCGGTGCCACCTCAAAATTCTCTCTAGTGTGAAAAAGCCTTACAGGCACTTAGGATCATTGGCCTTTTTATGCATTATTTGTATGTTTGAAGCAACACAATTGACCAAAATCTGCAAAAGGGTGCATTACAACTAACCTGTTGAACTTATATCTCAGTTGAAAATACAAATTTGAAAAAAACCCTAAAACTCTTATGCACAGTTTGTGGGGTCTCATAACTGGATTCCATCGCCAACATGTGTAAAACACGGTTCTGATGCTAGGGTGCTGGTAATTGAAAATATAATGGTTAAAGTTTGAACTCTCACTTAAATCATATTGGCAACAAACAGAAAATTGAGGTTACTGAGGTATCTGGGCCATCTTCCTTTGTAATCTATTGGTTGAGTTTCAGTTAACGATTGCTAAGCTCAATCATGACGTTTTAAAGTCATTTTGTCAACATTAAAAAAAAATTAATTCCTATCCTTGTCAGGATTTTTAAAGCCCTTTACTCAAGGTTAACAAGCCAGGGGATTTTGTTAATTCGAAAAGTGTGTTTTCACTTGCCAAGTAAAGGTACTTACCCTTTTCTTTTGTCCGACATCATCCTCGTTGCAGGAGAATGGAGACTTCGGCAAATCCAGCATCTCCTCCTCTTCACCAGCCTCAACATCCTTCTGACTCGGCTCGTCCCATTTGGCAGCTTCTTTGGATGTTATGCCCTTGCAAGCAGAACTGGCATCATCCTGGAGACTTCCCCAGCTCTGAGAAGACAAGATTGGGTCAGCCCACTTATCAGCAAAGGCAGGGCTCTCAGAGGGACCAGGGACATCAGGTGTGGAAGTCCCAGCAGGACTTTCGCCTTCTAAAGGGGAAGCTGCTCCAGCTACAAGAGAAGCATCTTCAACAGCGTTGGAACGCCTGAGGCCAGACCAAGGCCTTTTGGCTGCCTTTTTACTGGACTTCTTGGAAGAAGTGCTATCAGAACTTGCAGACTTGGGCCTCTCTTGGGGTGATGAGCTTGCTGCATTGCTGGTACTAGGCTGGTCCTCGTCATCACTACCGGCATCTTTGAACTCACCAGTGCCGACAGCAAACATGGAAGCATCAACAGCAAGATTGGAGGCGCTGCCATCATGAGGCTCAGCCATTGCCTTCCATCTGTGTGTCAAATTGTTAACACTTTTTGAGGAACTCAACTTCTCAATTTGGGGTTATCATTTTGTTTTAATCAGCCTATGAAGTAATCTCAGAGTGGAATTGCACAATTTAATTCATTTTATGCCTACAGTGTCGGATCTATGGGGAGGGGGTTTAAGGGGGTCTAAAGCACCCTCTCGGGCCACATATAAGTAAAGTTGTGCAGAACAACACGTTTTGTCAGCTAAACCCTCTCTTGATTTAAACCTGGATCTGTCACTGACTCATACATTACATGACCCAAACTGTGAAGATGAGTCACGAAGCTAACTGTTTAGGAGTCACAACATAAACTTTTCCATTTTGTCCCTCTGATAAACATAATCACTAGCATTAAGTATTTTACTTTATTTGTTTACGTTTTTTGCGTATTGCTTACTTTTTGGTGTGATGCCTCTTGTACACAATGAAAACCACAGCAGCAATGATGAACAGGATAAGAAGACTGCACACCACACCAAGGGCTACCTTAGCTCTACAGAAGTATAAAAGAAAGACAGTGACGAATACGAGTCTCAATGACTAATGTGTTATGTGACTAAATAATGCAGAAATATCAAACGGTATTGAATACTGACGTCCAATGCAGGTCGTCGCACACTGGGTCAGTCAACGGACACGCACACGCAAATCCATCGAGGTGATCGTAGCAGACGTATGGGTATTCACACGGTGTGGACTGACACTCATCGTAATCAGTCTGGCAGATGTCGCCCACCCAGCCGGGCTGACAGGCACAGAAGTAGGACTCAAAGCTGCTGCTTCTTGCTGGGGAGGTACAATTAGGGTCTTCAGTAGGACCTGTAAAAAAATAATAATAATGATGAATTTATTAACATATGTATTTACCATTATTGACGCTTAATCATTAAGCTCATTGGGCCAAAGAAACATTCCATAGACAACCTCAACTCCCTGAGGGAGTATACAGCTGGATGCTGCCATTTTTGTGCAAAGCAGCTGAAATCAACCACAATAACCATTTTTACCCTCACAGGTACCCATTAATTACTGGGTGGAGAGAAGCAATGAGTGACAAAGTGCCTTTGCCAAGAACACACACACACCATAACCCCAGGCAAGACTGGAACCCATATCCTGCAGATTTTCCCGCAGACTATGAGTTCAATGCTCCTTACCAGATGGAAGGGGGACAAACATGTTCATTATTTTGTGCAAAAGCTAAACATCTTCACGATAACAAAAGTTCTCAATAGAACATTACTCCAATGAAAAGAAGGAAATGTGATAGTGTCTTCTTACCTTTAAACTCAGTGATAGTCTACTGCTAGTTTTGTTTCCAATAGAGAATGTTACTAGTTTGTTTTTTTAACGATCCTTTCAAGCTCTTGCCCGTTGATGTCCAATTGGGCATTAGTTTGGTAAGCAACCCACCTCTGCAGGTGCCTTCATGGATGCAAGGGTTGGTAAGCACGGCAATCTGTACCTCCAGTAGCTGAGACATGGCTCCAGACAGGTCCTCCGCCAAGACAAGGAAACTATCCCTGCCGTGGTAGTTAGGGTTTGGAGCATACGTGTACGTTGATGTTGTCCAACTCATGTCCTCCTGGAAGCGACAAACATCACAGTGAAATGTAAGGGGCTAGTTGAATACTTTCAAGGGTTCTTGACTCAGAAAAAATACAAATAAAGCTTATAATAATGTGTCTTTACTTACCCCGTCATGCGGTACCTTAAGTTCACAAGGGATGCTTGGCTCTTCGCTGTCAACAGAAGGCTCACTGCAGTTCTGGGTTGAGGGTACTTCTTCCGACTGGTGTGTCTCTTCCAGGGTTCCATACGATGGAGGCTGAGTTACAATGGTCAGGTTATCGTTGATGTCAGGGTCATAGGCTCCAAGCACAAGCGTCAGATCCTTGTAGGCGACGTTGGACCCGGTGTTCTGCTCAACTATCAGCTGCCACAAAGACAAAGCAAAACAAATACCATCTGAAAAATTGCAACAGTCTTTCACAAAACACAATTCATGACACATTTACCCATATTGAGTGCTATTTTATATAACGTTTATAGTTAAGATGGTTGAGGTAATGGTTATGCTTTTGCTATTGGTTTTTTTATGGATATCGTTATGGTTTTATAGTTATATGATCATGCTTTGCATATAGTTATTGTTGATTGACTATCCAGTGCATTCTACCCATTTCCAACAATATTTATGGATACGGTTATGGTTTTATGGTTATATGATCATGCCTTGCATATAGATATGATATAGTTATTGTTAATAAACTTACCAATGCATTCCGCCCATTTCCAACAATGCTCCCATCCTGTGCACTGAACAAGGTCGGGTTATCATTTACAGGTTTGACTTCAATAGAAATGTTGACAGTGGTAGACAGGGGCGCTATCTCAGCAAAGGTCTGAACTTCTCTCACTGAGAAAAAGAATGAGAAGCATGTAAAAATAACTTGACTTGCAAAATGGATAAGATTAAGGATACTTTGTATAGCCCATCGTCCCCCACTAGTCCTGCAGTCTCCTGAAGCCGAACAAAATATACCGTCGTGTTACAAAATGGCTCTTTCTAGAATCACACCCAGTCAAAAATGAGATTTAAGTAAACGATGCTACCGCAAATAACCTTACATCTTTAGACGTTCCACCATGCAAACCTTCAAGTTTAAGATGGAGGTAATTGCGATATGTATAAGAGTCAGCTTCGACTTTTTAAACATTGCTCGTTTGTTTTTATACTGTGGCGCTATTTTTGCTGTTCTCACAGCATAACCTTATGCATATATTTTGCAAATACAACTCTAAGAGAAAAGGGACCAAAGCATGGGCGTTGCCAGGATTTTTTTCAAGAGGGGGGCAAATTTATTTTTTGCATTTCTTAACATATTCTCGATTTATCAGTTTTAGAGGGGGGAAGGGACATTCCCCCCCCCAACTCATTAAATTTACACCACTTTGTCTTCGCGCCTCTTTTTCTTTTCTTTTTTCTCTTTTCTTCTTCTTCTTCTTCTTTTTTTTTGCTTTTCCGGGAGGGGGGGGGGGGGGGAGCAAAAGCCCCCGTTGCCCCCCCACCCCCTCCCTCGCGACGCCCATGGACCTAAGGTGGGTACTTAAGAGAAACAGTATACCGACCGGCACTAAACGTACCTAATTAAAATAGAGTATGTCCAATCCAACCCCAAAACCTTAACCATTCACAACCAAAACCGCCCACAGTCTGGTATTGAATATTTACTGAAGTCTCACCAGTGATTTGCAGGGTGGCGGTGCCCTGACAATCCAGACACGGTGTGAAGCTCAGTACTCCATCCTCAGTGATATTAGCTTCTCCTCTCAGGTCTCCAATCTGTTCAACCTCAAAAGCAAGGATGTCATCCTCGGGGTCGCTTACTAGAAGTGTGTAGACCAAAGTACCTGCAGAACAAAAAGGTATATGGATCCACAAAGTACTGGCAACGAAGCTCATTTTCACTGTACAAAGGAGTGTTCATGTATATAATTAATCAGGAAAGAATTATGCTATTATTTACAGGTAAAGTAGATCACTTGTCATTTGTGCATTTGTTTTTGATTGAAGCAACAAACATGCTCAAAACCTAAAGAGGGGTGCTTAACAGCTAAACCTGATGATGTTTTAGCTCTGTGATTGCTGTATATTCCGAGAAAACAATATTCCAGGTTTTGGTTTCAAAAGTTGCCGAGTCATATTCACTCCACGATGTCAGGCACTCAAAACAGCCGAATAGCAGCAAATGCGCACGCATGTGCGTTGTCTCAATGCTTGCAGGTACCTCACACAGACTCGCCCAGTTACAAACCGACTACCAACGGATATTTCCAAATATGTGTCACTTGACACATCTTAAGAAATGACATTCATTGATCATTTTCTTCAAAATGACAGCTTGCCACAAGGCATAATTTCACAGGGAGTTTAGTGTCATTACTAGTTTTCAACCAAGTAACTTTTTTAGCTATAAATCTGGGCAATTACTTTTGGGATATAGTTGCCAATGATCTACTCTACCTTTAAAGGCTACGCATATAGACAAACCTTGGTCCTCATTCATGTAGAAGTATTCAGGCAGATCTGAGATTTCCGGCGGGTTATTTGGGATGGCGGTAGTGACCTGAGCCAGTGCAAAATGGGTCTCACGGCTGAAGAAGGGTGGGTCTGATCCGTGGCGCCGCTTGCGTGTCACCTCTAAGGGTGATGAGGCTGATGGAGACCTCGTAGAACAAACCTAAGAAGAACACACATTGGTTTGTCACATAGAAAGTCCAAATAGTAAATGAACTTAAAGTTTCTTGAAACTTCCATGAACAAATTTTCTTATTTAGTGTTTTCTGCAATTTCTTCATTTTCGATAATAACAGCACTCAAAATCCCAAAAAGAATATTTAAATTCCGGCCTGTTTAAGTTTTAGCCAAGTACAGTTTTCGAGGAAACAGTGCAAAACTAAGCACAACTTTATGATCACAAAACACGATTTTGTCCAGAGCACTCTTCCAAAAATCTGTGAATTAACTGATCATTGGAAATTACCTGCAAACCTACATTCTCGATTTCTTCTAAATGACAGCAAGCCGGATGGAATCATTTCACAGGGAGTTTAACCAGTGCGATCTTTAATCCAGGAAACCATTTGGATAATAATCCGGTCGGTTAGTTTTGGGAAAAATGCAAATGATCTTTATGTCTTGAATGGACTTACCTCAACATTGACCTGTGCTCCATCATCAGCGTAAGTTATCCGATCCACATCACTGCATGTCTTGGCTGCATCTCGCCATTCAGAATTATCTGTGCAAAAAGATTGACAGAAAAACTTGACAATTGTTTTATTCCAATTTGGGATATGACACTTTTCTGTTCATCCATTTGAAATTCTTGGGACACTTAGTTTCAATAGTTACAATACAGTAGTTTCTTACCAACATCCCAGTAAATTAGTCTATGCTTTGTGTCTGTCCAGTTGCCCAGTGAGCTGAGCGTGAGATTGATGACCATGGGTCCACGCAGCTCTGTCTGCCCAAGACTGGTGATGTAGAATGTTGGTTCATAGACAAAGCGTACCCTACAGAGTGCAGCAAGAAAACAATAAGTCATTTATTTACTGCAGTGCTATGTGCGCAAATGTTAAGAACAGGTCAAATTAAAAGTGAAACATTGTGCTCTTTCTGTCTTTAGGAGACTGCACAACTACTGGAGTCACTTGCAAGGAAGTCAGGTTGGTGCCGTGGTTACTTTCCTCGCCTTCCACTGCTCTGGCCCGGTTCGATTCTTGCCCTGGCCACGTTTGGATTGGGTTTTCATTCCCTATCTGATTCCGTGGGTTTTCTCCAGAATAATATTCTTGGGTTTTCCTCCCACTTCTAAAACTGTAATTTCTGCTCATTGTCTTCTCTCTACAGGGTTTATTCAGGCTTGCGAGCTACAGTGCCCAGGTCACTTTTAAGGAATCCTTGGTTTCATTACCAGCAAGAAATAAAAATAGTATAATAAACAAATAAATTTAAATGGGAACATGGACGGTCACTGGAACAGGACTTTCAAATGGTCCAGTGTACATTATAAACTCAGACGAATCAATTATCAAAAAATGATGTATTTGTAAATGATGGATTTGTAAATGATGGATTTGTAAATGATGGATTTGTAAATGTCTCAGAGTAAATATTCAATTTTCTTTGCCCAAGTAGTTTGACAGGTTTGTTCAAACTGGAATGCAGACCAGTTCCACATATTAATTTGAATGTACTGATTTCACAAAATCAGTAAACAAAAGCCCCTAATCAACAGTAATAAAGATAGAGAGAGAGATAGATATTGGATACTTGAATGTCTTGTAATTTTGTGCAGAGCACTTCCACAAAGACGAAACAGGATTGTGCACATTCAGATCATTGTGTGTACTCAACGCTTAAACGGCCGGTTAATATTTCAGACAAACGTGCATGCGACTTTGTGATGTCAAAGTAAGGTTATTGTGTTTCAAATCCTTAAAAACTTAACACATTTCATTCCACTGTAATTTTGCTTGACTTCAACTTCACTTCACATCCACATTCATGTGGAATCTGAACTGGCTCTTAGTGTGTGTGTGAATCATTTGCAAGCATGCACTATGGCCTCCACTAATTGCTCTATAGCAAGTAATTACACGGTACTATTTACCACTCCTGCACATTTTTCACTTATTGTATTCTGTAAACAGAATAAAAAACTGACTGTGAGCGATCCGGGAACGACATGATTCTAATAGGTACCAAAATGGTGTTTATCGCGTTTTTGAAAGGAACTCTTCAAATGCAATGAAGTGGGTAGTCAGACCAACCTGTGCCTAAGCAATCTTGATGTGTACTGGATGGTGTTCAGGGGATTAGTGATGTAGGGTGTATACTCGAGGGGAGCGTCCGATGTGAATTCCTGGTTGGTTCTATCGGCATCCAGCATGCCTAGGATGAGTGAACCGCCCTGCGGCAGACCTGCAATACACAAGTAAAGTTTGGAGTTTTGTCAGTCAATTGTTCAGCAGTCCGGTAGGATTATGTGCACAAATACTTGCTCAATAGTTAAAAAGGCAGACTGATGGGGGGGGGGGACCATAGGGACACTCGAATGCACTGCTGATGGCGTCTGATGCTCATACTCGACAGCGGCGTAGCCAGGGTTCTCATCCTGGGGGGAGGGGGGGGGGGAGCGAGTGGGGTAGAGGGGGCTTTATGTAACAGTGTGTGTGGGGGGGGGGGGCAACTCAATATCATCCTTGCTGAAAGGTTGACAGGCTTTTTTTCACTGGACACCCGGCCTTCCTATAATAAAAAAGGGGGGGGGGACTTGGGACTTGACACCATCTTACGTTGGGGCACTCTCCAAAACAAATGGTCAATGTCAGACAATACGTGGTGATATTCGCTTTCCAAGGAACATTGAAATAAACAGCTTATCGCGAAAAACATGGTTTTCGTGACAAATAAACAGAAGACATGAAACACACGCACTTAATATATATGTTAAACCCGCCAAGAGCTTTAAAAGCCAATCGAAGTCCCAGTTAACCAAACAAAATCAGCCTGCAAACAGCATGTATTCTTGTACAGGAAGGCTGCGGTTTTTCGTTACTAACACCACGAACTGACACCCGGTGGTCCCCGAGTTTTCTTGGTTCTCTTTACAAACTGATATGCAAGCCAAGAGTCGTCATTTTTGTTTTCCAGACTTAAATAAAACCTGTCTTAATTATTCAATTTCTAATTAACTAAGCACCAGTTCAAGTCAACATTGCCTTTTACCAGTTAACAGGTTTTTACATTAAATAACTCAATAAACCCGTGGATGGAGTAAAATCGCGTCAAACCTTTCAAAGCGTTTTCTTCGAGCTGTATTTCCACCACAGTGTAAGCTTGCGTGTCAGTTCAAACAAAAATAATCATATGCAAAACTTCACGAAGTGCACGCACACACCACGTGCGTGTTAGTTCATGAAAACAGTGCCGATATGTGCACATGCAGGATGGTTTGTTAGGAAAGCAGCCCCAACAGAATGCTCCAATAATTGGACAAGAACGTTTCAAGTTCCGAGACATTGAAGTCAAAGATCCCTTGTATTACCTGAGATCCACAGAGCACATACCAAGACCCTCTACAGAATCACTAAATTGTCTCACAGCCATGCCTAGTGAAAACTATCAATGCACTAAAAGTCAACATCTCTGTGGCTATACAGTACCTAATACTAACCACTTTTCAAAAACAAGAGGTTACCTGTCAAACTTTTCCCTCAGGTTTGCAGCAGCCGATTTCACAAAACTGTCAGCAATGGCATAGGTCTACTTGCGCCACTATTCATTGCACAAGCTGCGCAACACTTCACGCTGCGCAATATTAATAAGCGTAAGTCCCAGGCAAGGCATAAGTTATGCATTGTTTCATGAAATCGGCTGCTGATGTCTTGATGAGGCAAATGCACATCATTGTTATCTTACATCACTTGGTTGCATCTGCCTCCTTTTGTAGCCACAAGGAAATCAAAGTGGTAACAATGTACTCTTCTTTGTCTCATTTGACTTGTTATAACTTAGGTTGTATTTTGTATTGGATATCACATGATTTGTACCTACCTCCCTTTGTAGCCACAGTGAAATCAAAGTGGTTGCCTATATCCCCCTTTTTCCCATTCTGGCTTGTTGGTGATTTCAGGACGAGGTCGGTACCATTGGATGATGTCATCATCATATCACCGTCCTCTATTGGATAAGTCACAGAAAGCAATACATAAAATTGTAAATTGCGGCCTTATACCAGCAGGATTCAAGTTGCCAGAACAAGTTATCAATTAAACGGGTCAACCTTGTCTAGCTCCAGTCTGAAAGTCTAACGGTTTTAGGGCCATGCTGGTTCATCGTACTGCTCTATTTCTCATCCTGGACGATGATATACTGACCCAGTATAGTGCTTGTTCCTGCTGGTGTTGTCACACAGAGTTTGGCCGCATTGCACACTTTCATCCAAGAGTACAGACTCCTGCACATTAAAAAGAGAAATAATGGGAATGAAATCAAAAGGTATTATTTCAAAGACGGCAGTTATTAATTTTAGCCATGGTTAAGATGGTTCAATATTTTATAAGTCTACAAAAGACCCACTCCATCCCGAAGAACAATGTAATGCAAAAATCAAATAAATTTACACACTGCCTGTATACACTTACTTGCCAGGTTCCATGTTGAACTTTGGTGGGATGTCAATTATCTGGGTGGTGTCCTTGGGTATCTGGAAGTCATCCAGGTTGTATCTCTCCTCCCGGTCCCCGGCTCGTATGATAATCAATCCGTTCTCGATGGCCACAGAGCCAGAGGAGTTGCCAACCACCATGCAGGGAATGATGTCATCTAGGAGGTCTGCAGAGCTACTCACGCAGTACTCTGGGGATGGAAGGGGCATAGAAGAACACAGTTAATCAAATGGATCTCTAGGATAATCGGACTGGTTAAGCTAGCCTGCTGAGACTGCGGTATTGCAATCTGCCTCTCAATGTGCACAACTAATTTGTATTCAAATGTCCACATTCCAGGATTGCCTTCCCATGGGTGTGCCAGATGAATGATGGCAACTGTATTCAAGTGTTTATTATATGTCTCTCTGTTAACGGTGATTGAGTACTTGTGCATGCAGCCAATACACATGGTTTGAGGAGATACATTGCTAATTACTGATCCCCAGGTTTTGATGATTTGTCTCAAAGTGGGCAAGAACGTAAAATGGTTGTCAATCGCCGTTAAAAAAGTAACCAAAAATAATAAATCACTGTGAAGCAAACATAAAGCAGAGCAACACATCTTGCAAAAGTCCTACCATAACGAGCCACAGATTTATCCTTGGATTTAGACCAGGAGGTCCCAGTCTTGGTTGGGTCGGGGCTCTTCTCCACATCGGGTGGGTAAACTTCCTCCTCAAACTTCTCGCTGAACATGGAGGTGGTGTTAACGTCATCTGCAGCAGGCTGTTCCAGCAGAACAGTTACACCTGAGAAAGCAGACATGCATGGCATATTCAAATCCCCATTTTCGTATTAAATGAACACGAGAACGGGGTTGCGAATGATGAGAACCAACACGCGAACGATGTTCGCGAACAAAATTTGCACTACCCACTAAATTGGGGAGTAGATGGAGAACGTTAAGAACAAAGATGGCGGACTTGGTCCCATACCGCAACTTGTGTTAAGTTTTGTGCATAAAATAATGACTCATCTAGTGCAGGAGCAGTCTAAGTGATAAAAAAAATTGCACGTGATAGTATAGTGGGCTTGTTTTTGCCAATTTTTATTACTGTTCCGGGATGTAATGTATTTTTGTGAGATCATCAATTTTCCTTCTTTTCATTTGGAGTTTTATGCTATCTTAAAACTTCGCCCAGATGCACTCGACACGCACTTTGCTTTGGCGTTCCCAATCGGCAACCCGAGAACAATGTTCGCAGGTCACTCGAGAACAGGGTTTTGTGCGCCCACAATGTTCAAGTCACATATTGTGCATAGTGTTATGTCTTTTTCATGTTGTCTGTTTGTTTGTCTGTATGTCAGCCTGTCTTTATTTACCATCACACCGTCATGCAACTGGGAATTTAAACAAAATGAGGAAACCGCAAATCCCACAAGACTTTGTACAGTAATTTTCAATTTGTAAGCAATACATGAAAAGTAAAAAAACAGGGAAATCAGCAGATCCAAGAAAAAGTTGCACACTTGATCACATTCTTCGATGGTTTCCAAGCCTGCTCCATGTAGCCTTCACAGTCACATAGTATGTAGTTTTGAGGTTCAGTAATCCTGTCAGATCATTATCATGTTGCCTGTCTGTGTGCATGTCAGTCTATCTCTGCTTACCATCATATTATTCCATGGTTTCCAAGCCTGCTCTATTGATAGCCTTCAGAGTCACATAGTAAGTTATTGATGTGATGCAGTAATCCTGTCAGATCTGTCATGTTGTCTGTCTGTTTGTCTGTCTGTCAGTCTTTCTCTACCTACCATCACATTCAACTATGGTTTCCAAGCCTGCTCCATTGATAGCCTTCAGAGTCGCATAGTATGTAGTGTTGTGATGCAGTAACCCCGTCAGATCAATGCTAGTAGCTGTCTGGTTCAACCCAACGTTGACAAAGTCTTGCAGGTCTGTGGTCCCTCTGGAGGTTCCTATGGCCCAGTAATGCTCCTGAAAGTCAAAGTTTTCCATTGCTGGTTGACACGTCATTTATTTCCTAATCTTCATAACTGTTCACAATTTGTTCTGTGCTTACTCACAGATCTCACAGGGAAAACTATTGAGCATATTGTGTTGCAGTGGCCGGTCATACTAACGAACACACATACATACTGTTGGCCTTCCAAGCCTCTTTTTAATTTTTTCATTTATATGCAATCTCTCACGATTGACTTGTTAAAAACACCATTTCTACATTTTTGGGCATTTGGTAATAACTTTCGTTAGTATCCCTTTAATTGGTCAATTAATTTTGAATCGTCATGGAGAAACTCAGATTTTTCCAAACCATGAATGAACCTTTATTTGACCTTTTGCAACTCCACAGATCATCTCATGTGGCAACACATACAGACAGGCCAATGTTGTTGTACGTTTCACTGTAATCTAAAGTCATGGAGTGTTCTTTGTCTTGAACGACAAAGGCATTTCCAGTATCACGGATATTAATAAACTGACAATTATTTGTACTCACAGCTCAGTGAAAAAGCCTGAAAATGCAGGTAAAGAAATGCAGTGTCTTCGACAGAGCATAGCATAACATTTTCTTAAATGATTCAGAGCAAATGAACAAGAACTTCTAGTCTGTAATCTCATCGACCATTACTAGGTGATGGATGTAAACACCTTTAAAAACACGCACACATTTTCAGGGTTCTTTTCACTGAGACTCTATACATTACAAAGATCGGTGATACGCTGGAATTGCCTGCACTTAAATAATTGAATTATTAGTGAGTTATGAAGTTGTCCATTTGGAAAATACGCACCTCCAACTACATCAATAGTTTAATACCATATCAATGTGCTACCAAACTTGGGACATATTATACTGATCAACAGAGAATAAAATTTGGCACCTTTATGCCACTTTCTATGTCCAGGAAGCTCCACAAGACTTGAATGATAGAGGCCGAGGACTGGAATGATGTGGGCTCAAACTCATTGAAGCTGGGATCAGTGTAGAAAAATATGTCTAGATATGCTGGGGTGTCGTCGACGTAGAAACCATTGGAGGAGGCTATCACTGATTTGCCATTGCCTAAGTAAGATTGGACTGTCAAACAAAAACACATCAAAATATACTTTTCAGTAAAAGATACAGTAATAACAAGAGTAATACACCTTCGTGTGATGCCCCTCATCTTTGGCTCAGGCCATTATCAGCATCCAGGCCCCTAGCCGGTTTTAAACGTACTTGTTTAAAACCGGCCTGGTACATATGTATTCCCTTCATCAACAACCACTCCCTCAGCTTATCTAATACCTGCAATTTCTCAGCAATCAAATTGACTGCAATCAGTAAGTAAGATTTGTTGCTCTCATTTTTATTGAGCCCACCTGTCAAGAAAAATGGATACTCTTGTCCCTCTTCCCTAGGAGCAGGTGTAGTTGCATTGGTGTTGTTATCAGAGCTGGTCCAATTCAGGAGTTCCAGCCTGGGCAGAGTGAGGTTGGTGAGTGTGAATGTGATGGGTACAGTGTCCATGGAACATGAGGGATCACACTGGTAACGATCGCAGGGATTGATACAGGGGACACATGGCTTTGCCACCTGTACAACATAAGAGACAGAAAAGGAGACTGTATGTCAAGATTCATCTTCTGGTTTGTGATTTTTTTCAAACACAAACCACAAAAGGAAGTAAGCAAAACCAAAAAAAAAAAAAATGTGCAATAAAAAGACAACTTTTCTGCTAACCGTTAAGCAGTGCTATGCAATTGGGCCCTGGTTTATACTTCGCATGAATGCAAATGCAAAGTGAAAATGGTGTCCGGAAACATTGGCCACGAAATTCGCTGGAGTTGAAACGCATTCAACTTTGCAAATTAGAACTCGGAGAACAGGCATGCAACTGGAATGTTTCCAAACAAATATAGGCAATTCTCAAAGCTTTGCAAAAGTATATGCAGTATTTAATGATTCTTAATGTTGTTGGTATGAATGAAAAACGAGGAAATCAGCTGATCCGAGGAAAAGTCGCATGCATGTGAGTACTTTCCGTGACATCACAAATTTGCGTTTTTGTTCGCTATCACATCAAGTATGATCAAGCATAATAAAAGGCATTACAGACAATCATGACACCACTTCCCTCGAAAAGAAATATTTTGAAATAAACCTGCTCAAACTCTATGAAGTGGCATTAATTTGGGCTTTTGGTTTGTTTATCAACAGTGCATGACCAGCCTCACCTCTTCAAATGCCACGATATCGGTAGCCCCTGCTTCAGAGCCAACACCTGCAAAGTAGCGCGAGACAGGACTGGTTCCAGCTCTGAATGGTGCCCCGTAACGACACAGCTTGCTCTGATCAGGAGGCATCCTATATCCAAAGAAAAAGACAGAGTATATAATGAGCGGCATGGTTATGCATATTCTATGATACAATTAACCTGCAAAGAGCAAAAGAGGTTTTCCAACATGGAAAATCAAACACGATAATTCTGTGGTGTACCATTAAGTGACAAAAACCAAGTGACAGATTATGTATGGACTTTGTACATATGATATTTGTGGTGTGGCAACTATCTGCGATGCGTCACCTAGTGGTGCAGCAGAAAAATTATGACACCAATTGAAAAGAAACACATTAGACATACCTCATATTTCTGAGCGTTGCAGAGACAGACGGAGGATTGAAGGGGTCGTGTAGCTCAGCGACGTAGCTGTCTCGATTGAAGACATGAATGATGAGCTTAGTGGATGAGGACAGGACCGTTATGCCAGTCAATGAGGACAGCAGCTTACCGTCAACATAAACTTCAAAGGACCACTCATCCTGTGACAAAGAGAAGGTGAAATGATTAGGGAAAGGAGTCTCCTTTTTTAGAAACTCCTCAACTGAGCTCAGAACCACTGCTCAAAATCAATGCTATCTCCCATAAAAATTAAGAGCAGCAATAGTTGTGATCAAGAAAATGTTATAATTAACTTTTAATATTTATCTACCTCCTCAGCATCGAAGGGCATAACCTTGAAGTTGATGGCATAATGACGTTCCTCCACTGAGGGGTCGAAGTCTAGATCTACGACGCTGGACGACATCGACCACTCATCCTTGAAGTAACGGCACCACAATACTGCCTGCGATGCGTTGCCATCTGGCAAAAGAAATTCATGAAAATATTTTATAATATCAAACTTTATACAAAATAATGATAAGCTGGAGACTTCTTGGGTAGATGTGACCACAGGAATATGTTGGACTGGCATTCATCTATCTGTTTACAGTCCGTCTGTCCCAAACTACTCGGTTCAATGCCAGATTGGCATTGATCTGTAGACATTTCAGGTCATTGTTGATGTTGTCAATCCATCTTTTCTTTGGACGGCCACTTTAGATAGTTGCCAGCGATCTGGAATTTGAGAACATTCCAGATCGCTGTTCTTCCTTAAAACATTTGTCCTTGTTCCTACGCTTGAGGTGACCAAACCAGGCAACAATCACCTCGTCAACTTATGAATATAAATCAATAGACTGCTGGGACAGTTTAGGGCACCCCAGTGAGTAATATGCAAGGAGGGTTTAAGCGTAATAGCGAATAAAGGGTTTTCACAGAACGTTTGCATACACTGTATTTGTTCATGGATTACAGATGTTACAGTCTTGGGGTTAAAGGATTAGGACGTGCTGGGCTGGTATGGAGAAATGAGCAGCCACATTCCCACTGAAATATCCCATCCGATAGCAAGGCGTCTCAACATTAGCCTCTCCTAACGAAATCCTACTGGCTCCTCGTGCCAACCCCATTTTGACTGAATGACAGAGGGTGCAAGCGTGTTCCTGGCGCTATGACCAGGCGCTCCGGATAGATGGAGCTCGTTAGCCGTGGCTGGTAGTCAATCTAGGAGAAAGACAACTTTGATTTCAAACCTGGGCAGGTGGAGCTCGTTAGCCTTGGTTGGCAGTCCGCCTAGGAGAAGGACAACTCTGATTCCAAATCCGGGTAGGTGGAACTCGTAAGCCTCGTTTGGCAATCTGCCTAGGAGAAGGTAAACTCCGATGCAAAACCCATGTGGAGCCAACGTGTTGGCGACCTCCAAATAACCTGAATTCTCGGCAAGGCACTGCAGCGCTGTGACAGCCGGCCGTCTTGGATCTCATTGCCATCGGATTAACTGTTTGCACGCATCAAGATAGTAGGCTACGGAGTGTGCGCCCGTTCCGCCACTTCAAACATCATTTGCACAAGTTACCACATCGCCTTCATATATTGGAGTGGAAGGCTCATCAAAAGTCCTGCGGCGATGGATTCACGAACGAGTGGGGCAGGCTCAGACCAGTTGGAAGCCTCTAGTTCGTATCTGCACGTAGGCGGGCTCGGAAAGATGGTCGTCCGAAACTGGGACGGAACAGCAGTTTCCTTCGGCAGCTACTGAGTCGACTGAGCAGGCCTGTTCAGGATCCGTGCTGCTCACCTCATACGAGGAGGGGCCTAGCATAGGTGGCCTAAAAATCGCCATTTCCTCCTTCTCCGGGTGGATTGCCGCATTCACCGGAGTGTCTCGTCATGCGGTCGAAATACAAAAGGAAATAAGGACAAAGATATTAAGATGAAGGCTCTAAATGTTGCTACTTGGAACGTTAGCACAATCATCAACAACCCTAACAACAGTCGACCCGAGCGTCGCACCGCTTTGGTCACCGCTGGACTGCGCCGATACAATACCGACATCGTCGCCCTCAGCCAAACCCAATTCTCCTACGAAGGCTCACTTACGGAAGTCGGCGAAGGCTACACGTTCTTTTGGAAGGGCCGCCCAGCCGGCTCCCCATGCATCCACGACGTCAGTTTAACCATCCGCACTCCGCTGTCTTTGTCATTGCCTGAATCGCTTCGAATCCCACTTGTGGAAGGCCGTTTTGTCACCTTGCTCAGCACATACGTACCGACTCTTGTCTCAACTGACGAGGACAAGGCTCTATTCTATGACGCCCTCCGATCCGCTCTACCGACTGACAAAGTTTTGCTACTCGGCGACTTCAACGCCAGAGTTGGTACTAACTACCATGTCTGGCAAGGCATCATCGGGCAGCACAGCATTGGAAATGCCAATAATAACGGCTTTGCTTGCTTGAGCTGTGTTCCGAATTCGGGCTTGCCATCACCAATTTGATGCTCCAGCTCAAGGACCGGTACAAAACGTCATGGTAGTCTAGAGGCTAGACGTTGTTATTGTTTGTACGCGATAGCCCGCCGCGCCGCCGCTATAACCGGCCGCCGCTCGAAGGCGCTATCACGACCAACCAATATCGCCCACGATAGAACAACATCTAGACCACTTGCTATTGGTTGTGTCATGCGCACGCACCTGTTTAGCCTAATATATGCAGCTTGCATTTAAAAAAAAATCCTGGTAACTCCGAAGCAAACTCTCAAATTTCTTCAAGTGGGTTAAAAGCTGCAGCAAGACTTTTGTGCAATTTCATTGGTTAGCTTTTTTGTTTGTGTGGTATGTCTGGGACTGAAAATGGACCGTATATTGCCTGCAGAAGTGGCGCATGCGCACTAATTTCCCCCATTTTTCAGGGGGAGATTTTAGCAAGTAGTCTAGACGTTGTTCTGACGGGTTTGTGATCGATATTGGTTGGTCTGATAGCGCCCTCGCGCGGCGGCCGGTTATCCCGACGGGCTATCGCGTACAAACAATAACAACGTCTAGCCTCTAGACTAACGTCATGGATGCACCTGCGATCAAAACACTGGACGTGATCATCACCAGGGCTATGCGTGGCGCGCATGCGTATACTTCCTCCCATCCGCAAGCAGAAGTCCCAGAAAAGACTCAACGTTCGCGTTGTGCAGTCCTTGCCAGCCCGTCGTGATCTTAAATGACTGTTGCAGGAACACCTGGACAACCTCCCCGAAGCTGTCGACACCCCGCTGGACACTCCGGACCTTACTACCCAATGGGAGTCTCTCGCAACTCCAATCACCTCGGCTGAAGAAGCTGCCCTCGAAGTCGCTAAAACATCACCGGGATTGGTTCGACGACAACTCGGCCGAAATCCGCTGGCTCCTCCACGAGAAGAACGTTAAACGCGAGCTACGTGTCATGCGGGAAAATCAAGGACACGCGGACGCAAATAACAGCCAGTCCTTTTATTGCACAGCCTTGAAAGGTCTTCACGGACCGATCGTGAACTTGTTTTGTCCCATGAAAGATAGCACCGGAACGACGACCATCAAAGACCGCAGTGGTATCCTGGCGCGATGGGCTGAATTCTTTAACGACCTGCTGAACCGAAGGAACCCCACTGATGCATCGTACCTGGACAATCTGCCTACATTTTCGGCCATTGATTGCCTTGACGATACGCTCTCGTTTGAAGAAGTTCGAAAAGCGGGCAATGGCTTGAAATCAAACAAGGCATCTGGCGTCGATCGCATCCCGGCTGAGGTCCTCAGCCGTCCCCTTCTGCGACTGCACAGCTTCATCCACTCAGTCTTGGCTGCTTAGTGCGTGCCTCAACAGTGGACAGACGCCAAGGCCGTCCCCATCTTTAAGGGCAAGGGCGATCGAGCTGACAGCCGCGGCATCTCCCTGCTTTCAGTCGCCGGCAAAGTCTTGGCCCGTCTGATTCTTGCTTCGCCTTCTTCTGCATGTCGCGGACGTCGTCCTGCCTGAGTCACAGTGCGGCTTCCGACACAACCAAGGCACAGTCGACATGGTCTTCGTGGCTCGGCTTATCCAGGAGAACTGTCGTGAGCAACGTCGAGACTTCTATGCCGCCTTCGTTGACCTCATCAAGGCATTAGACACCATCAACCGAGAGAAGTCCTTAAGAAGTTAGTGGGAAGTCCTTAAGAAGTTAGGATGTTCGCCAGTTTTCTTAGCCATCATTAAGGCGCGTGTTGTGTATGGAGGCGCGGAATCAGATTTCTTTCCTGTCCAAGTCGGAGTCAAGCAAGGTTGTGTACTAGACCTGTAATCTTCAACCTCTTCATGGCCGCAGTCACCCTGTACTCGCGTGGCCCCACTAAACTGGATGATGGACTTTCCGTGCGCTATCGTCTGGACGGAAGCCACTTCAACCTCCGCAGTCTTCAAGCCCCAACACATTTTCGAACTCCAGTACGCCGATGACACAGCTCTTGTTAGTTATCTCCCGGCTGGACTACAGAGGCTACTGGATGGCATGGTTGACGCATATGGCCGTGCTGGTCTTGTCATCAACACAACAAAGACCGAAGTTCTGCAGCAGCTCCCAACACCGAACGCCAGCCTGCACAATTTTTTACGTTTGCAACACTGAACTCGCGAACGTCGACCAGTTCACCTACCTCGGCTCTGTGCTGAACAACAGCCATGACCTTACTGACGATATTCAGCTGCCTCCGCTGCTTTTGGACGGCTTTCTCGACGGATGTCTTCCATAGGAACCTGTCTATGAAAAACAACGTGGCGGTCTACAACGCTGAGTGCATCTCGACGCTACTTTATGGTTGCGAAGCCTTGGTCCTCTACCGACGCCATGCTAAGATGCTGGAGTGGTTTCACATCTCCTGCCTTCAACGCATTCTAGGGCTTCGCTGGTGGAACAAGGTGCCGCATGTGGAAATTCGCTGGCGAGCTGGGAGCTCGACCCTATAAGCAACGGTAGCTGTACGTCAACTCCGCTGGGTCGGTCATGTTATCATCGAAGGGGTTAACAGGAAGCATATCCCAGCTGTGTTGACCTTTATCGACTTCAGGAAGGCGTTCGAATCGATCCACCGAGGGAAGCTCTTGGAAATTCTGCAAGCCTACGGAACCCCAGCACGCATAGTTCAGGCAATCAGCGATGTGTATGCTAACACTTCTGCCAGGGTGCTGACCAGTGGCGTCACCAGACTTTTCAGTCTGGGGGGGGGGGGCACAGGGGGGGGGGCACCAGCATTTGATGGGGGGCGCTTAGGTGGATACGGATCGCCGTCCTGGGGGAGGGGTCTAAGTGGAGGGGGTTCCCCCCTCCCCTTTGGAAAATTTTCGCATACGGAGGATGGGCTAGATGCAAAATGGTGCCACATTTGATGCTAAATTCGATCTGAAGATATCTCCAGAAATTGCTATTTAACCAACTCAGATGATGGGAGTTGAATATAACAAAATATATATATATTTTTTTTACCAACCCAAATCTCAGATGGGGGGGGGGGGGGGGGCACTCGGGGGGGCACTAGGTTTTCCAGGGGGGGGGGGGCACGTGCCCCCCCTGGCCCCCCCTTGGCGACGCCACTGGTGCTGACCCCAGATGGCGAGTCAGACATCTTCGAGCTCATGGCTGGTGTGCTGCAGGGTGATACTCTTGTGCCCTATTTATTTGTCATCGCCCTAGACTACGCTCTGAGGTAAAGGCAAAGCAGACGCAAAGCTGACGGGTGAGTGCTGTTGTAGAGACCGACTTCGACTTTACAGATGACATCGCTCTGGTCTCGGATTCTGTGCAAAAGGCACAAGCTCTGCTTCACAGCGTGGACCGAGAGTGCAAAAAGATTGCCCTGCAGATCAACACTTCGACACATCGACACTTGGGATGTGAAAACCTACAAATGGGAACCTACAAATGGAGTAGCCTCTCGAGGTGGGCAGACGCTAACCTACATGGACCAGCTGCGTCGTGATACTGGGCTAACCTGTGCAGTTGAGATCAGGACGGCCATGGGAGACCGTGATGTGTGGCGTGCTTTTATTGCAGTCCGACGAGAGTCGACTTGATGATGATGGTGTTATCAGAATGCCAGCGAACCGGCTCCCGCGTTGCATGCTGTATGGTGAACTCACCCAGGGCCAGCGTTCTGTCGGTGGTCAGTTCAAACGCTACAAAGACCATGTGAAGGCAACGCTGAAGAAGCTGTGATCTTTGCACCTCCTGGGCCTGCTCACAGGTGCCCTGTTTGCGGGAGCGGATGTCTGTCACTCATCAGACTTCGTAGCCATCTAAGAACCCATTAAAGAAGGTGACGTGGTGTGGTCTTCTGCATCAGAAGTACTATGTTACAGTCTCAAACTGAACTAAAAATAAAGTGGTAGAAAAACAGTTTTTCAAGGGTTCAACATGCTCATTGTGCTCAAGTCTGGAGAGCAATAATCCACAGTCACAGGCCAATCAACCTACTTGGAGAGAGTTGGAAGCCGCATGCTCTCTGCTGAATCCATCTCCCCTTGTCCTCGTCAGAGACACCGTCTCCGTCTTCGTCGGGTGTCTCAATAGACCAGGGAGTATAAGCCTCTGTCGTGAATAGTGCCTGGGCCGCTTCGGTTGTGATAACCTCTTTAACAGTAGGAACGGCATAGGTTGCGTTATAGTCCTCAGTGACACCCAGGAAGTCTGCACAATCGCACATCGGGCAGGCAGACTGTGAAAAGAAATGTAGGCGATAAGAGCAAATCAGAATTCTATTTGCAGTGCAAATTGTTTTGGGTTGTTAGGCGGCTTTGCAAAAAGGTGAAACCGTGCTTTAACCGAAGTGATCGCGGTTTTTCCAAGCCTTTACGAGCCAAAGATCGACCTCATCTGCCTACTTTAAATATCAATGCAAGTGACTAAGACAAGGTTCCGTGGTTATTGATATACATGCAGAATGCAGTGAGCGCAGTCATATATTAGCGGTGAATGCAGTCTGCTCCACAGTGGTTAAGCTGTCGACTGCAACCATTACGGTTACAGGCTCAAGCGTTTTATTTTAACCCCTTATCACTAATCAATTAAAATCTGAATCAATTAAGTCACACATTCCACTAAAAGAGTCCACTAAAAGAGACTTTTAACTAATTTATTTCAATATTCCAAATCAAAAGCAGCATATTGCTCTCCTCATCGAATCGACTGTGGACAACAAGCGATGAACAAAATAACAAAACTAACCAAACTGACCAGGTGTCTGGTTGTTTTGTACTTACCTGGTTGAGAGGCTTGACAAAGCAGCACTGACATATCCCTTCTTGCCAGTTCTCTCGTCCACCAAAGTCATATTCCCCAATGACTCCATCCGGGCCATCCCAGAAGAGAATGCTGGTCACACTGTGCAGGTCAGGTGAGGCAGCTTTCAGGTCAAACTACAAATCAAAATGACACTATACTTGTTAAAACAAGTTTGTTTTTCAATACAGATGTAATTAAAGCTACCTAAATTCTAAACATAACCAACATAACCTTCGAACCCCCTCAAAACCAATTGTTTAAAAAGTTAGTTTAAATCCGTTTGAAAATTTTGCGAACTCTTTATAGAATTCCCTGAAAATTACTTTATAACCTCAACTTCCTGGAAAGAAATCACTGGATTGACATCACTACATAACATTCATTGAATGGGAATAACCAGAAAGAATTATTGGACAAAATTTTTTTGGGTCTAAATATCTCTGAGGCATCAATTGATAGTAATCGACCGACAGAAATAACTGGTTAGAAATGGCTGAATACAAACAACAACAGTGAAACGACGCTATACCGAACACCGCTACACTGAACATTTGGCTATACGAAACATCGTCCTCAGCTCCCGATTTTTATGTACAAAATGTACCGAACACTGTTGTTGAAAAATGCCAACAGAAGAGTGACAATTGGCTATTATATTCCCCGAGAATTAGAAGGGGATAGCTACCCGTTGCTGTAGCTAGTAAACCCCCAAATTGTGTAATTACATGATTTAATAGTTAGCACGTGTTCAAAGTCGTCTTTCAATAACTACCAGGGCGTGCAGGGTGAAGTTCTGAAGGGCGCTATTTATTGAAACGGGAGTACCAGTGCATCGGCAGCTTTATATCGAATGATTGCTATTATGAACAATTTCTGTGGATCTCATGATGTTCGTTATAGCGGCGTTACACTGTTTTAGGTAAATCACCAGATAAAACCAACTGAATTAAAGTCACTTGAGAGAAATAACTGCAAAAAATTCACCTGACAGAAATCATATTAAATCACTGGATAGAAATAACCTATTCATACACAGAATATAAATCAGAAGACATTTAACAATTGTTGACTGCTGTGATGTGGCATATGACGTTTTAAACGCAAGAGGAGTAAACAGCTGTGCCCCCTGAGAGGGATAAAAACGTCATATCCAACATCACAGCAGTCAATAATTGTTGAGTTATATCACACCAATAAGTCAAAATGAAAAACGGTATGCAAGAAAAAAATCACTAGTGGTGTAACATTCGTTAACTGCGACCTTTACTGCCAAACATGAGACTGAGCGGTTGCAGTTATTAGTTGTGAGTTGCGCGGGCAGGCCCTTCATGCTCATCATGCAGGTAAAGGTAATTTATTTGCAGTGCAGTGTATATGAAGTAAACAGTCACATTTATGGACTGGACACGTGGCCGTTCTAGACCTATGAAATTACAGTATCGAAGACACGATATAACAATGATATGTCTTTTATTTTTTTACACTTGATCTAGTGAGTAGAGGACTGACCTCATATTCTGAGCTCCTGACAATCTGTGCATTGGTGACGTATGCTCCCGACAGCATACGAGGCCCTTGAGTGTCTCGCTCCATCTTCACTGTCAAGCTCTCCTCGGATGCAAAGATCTGGGCAGAAAAGAAAACGTTGTAAATTGAGCAAAGAAATATGACTTAAGCACATAACTATCCTCCAAAATATCCAGGAAAAGATCTGGGCAGGAAAGGAAACATTTTGTAAATTAAGCAAAGAAATGTGACTTCAGAAGTAAATTCTCAAATTCTCATTTGGTAATGACACATTTCTTGACTGTTGTCTTGAATTTTGCACGATTTAACCATCATTAAAAAACATGGGCTTGGTCTCCACAGTCAAAGGGAACACTGCCTCAGCACTGCAGTGAACTAAGTCATGACATGGATCATCAACTCTAGAGACGGAAGGATGGCTACCTACCTACCGATACCTACAAAAAGCCCAATGATGATGCGATACTAAAATACACCAACACTGTTATTCATCAGTTGTTTAGCATGAACTGTTTGATAAAAATTAGTATTCATTTTGCAGTGTCTTTGTTTGGAAGAATAGATAGTGAAACAATTAGCAGACAGTTCTGTCAGCCTACCTGTTGTGACAGGAGGCGGACTACTGTGTGGCCTAGTGGTAATCAGGGTTACCACTTATGATCAGCGGGTCAGGTGTTCAATCCAGGTGATGGCCATATCGCATATCCAGGTTGTGTCCTTGGGCAAGCCACTTCACCCCACTTGCCTCACTCCACCCGAGATTATAAATAGGTACTCGCATTAGCTTGTGAGTAACCTGTGATGGACTGGCATCCCATCAAGGGGGAATAGAAATATTCTCAGTAGTAAACGTTTGATCACACTGAGACTGGAGATGAACGCTGGCCTGATGGGTCATATTGGCATGCAACACACTTGACTTGACTCACCTGCTGTGACTCGTACTCCAGGTCCCACTTGTCCCAGTTCATGTTCCAGAGTCCCTTGAAGTCCAACGCTGACCACTGTGAATCAGTGAAGGGAATGTCTCTCAGTGGACAGGGTGGGCCCATTGGGTTGGGCAAGTGTAGGATTGTGCCTGTCAAAAACAAGTAAAAAATAATGTGAATGATAGATTTTAAGTTTTGGATTAGCTTCCACTGTCTCTTTTACTCCAATAGCCCCTCAATATTTCCATTTACCAGCAACTTGGGTTCTGTCTCCGCTGTCAGTGATGTCCATCTTGAAGTCCATTCCATCAACCACCAGTCCTGCAGTCGGTTCAGACGAGTCAACAAAGATGGGTCCCACTTGGGTCTCGATACTATCTCCTGCCTGGTTGACGGCTAACAACTGGACAAAGTAAGGATGGTTCATCTGAAAAAGAAAAGCAGATTTAGAAGTCGAATTAAATAGGGTAAAAATAGTCACTCTAATCAAAATGCTTCTTTAAAAAAGTCTTGAGCGATTTTAAAATTAAAATAAAATTTATCCTATATTCTTTTTTTACAAAACCCATAACAATTTTATAAACAGATATGCGAAAATGTAATGTCTAAGATCCAAATTGTAAAAACTTTCAATATCCCATTCCCAGTACAGAACTGTTCAGTAGCGTAGCAAGAAATGTTTCAAAGGGTGTGTTGCGACTTTAATATTATTACATGAGCGCCACCATGCGCGCCAATGCAGCGAACCGACATAGCACCCGCGGGAATCGGAAGGCGTTGGGCTGGTTACGGATGATGAGCAAGCTTATTTCCTGTTTAAACCCAGTTTTCATGTTTATTGTGAACTGTTAAGCCTGTGATTTTCCCAGTTATGTATCACTAGTTATTGGTTGTACTGTTTGAATCCACATATGTTAAGATTTCAAGTGTTTGGGATGGGCGAAAATAGGCCACGCCACACGAGGTGTCGGAAATAGGCTCCTCTTTTTCAAGTTTATTACCATGATGATTCAGATGTTTAATAGTTTACCCTCAGTTTATGTTTCTCCGTATCATTGTATTTTCCAGAACGATCTCAACCATGATCAGTCTCTCCACCGGCCTAATTTCCCCCACTTATTATGCCATGACTGAGGATGAAGGGGCATTTGAAATAAAACAGGGTTGCCAGTGCTCACAAAACACAAAACCTTTTTTCCTTTTCCACACAATTTTTTCCTTTTCAGGGTGGGTATTTTCCACGAAATGTCCATATGTCGGATCGCCATGTTGGTGGTTTTAACCACGTCCGTAAGTGGGCCATGTGTAGAGAGTGCATTAAGCACACTGATCACAAGCGCTGCTCAGTATGGGCTCCGTGTGGTAACAAAAGAGGGCGCTCTATTACCACTTTTGAAAGCCCCTTGGACCGGGACACCGCGTGCGCGTACTGTACTGATTTGCGCGCGACGTACGCACAACGTATTTATCCTGAATGTGCACAAAGCTAAGCCATGACGTCTTCGCACAAATACGTTCGAATTTAACTTGCGTTGGTCTCCCACACTAATCCCCGCCCTCAATAACTTTGAATAATTCGAAATACCCAGTGGATAGACCACGAACCAGTCTAGGTCTCCCCCAACGCTCCTTTTCTGGCCGTTGACGGGGTACTTTTGCACGGAGCCAATACCCAATCCTTTCCCATTATTATTATTTTTTGCGGGGAGGGTCATGGAGGTAAAGGGTTTCAACCCCCAGAATCCCACGTCGCTATGCCACTGGAACTATTGACAAAATTCAAACCTTGAAGATGACTACCATGTGACCAAAAATAGCACCACAGTTGAAATATTTTTATGGCATTGCTAACATTTTCTGCCTAGGAGACTCAACAATACAAATCTCATTCCACCAAACAATCAGCATGGCTAGGAGGTGAGGTCCGTTTCAGGTTAACACACTTTTCCGACTAAAAGTTTAGACAATTTCTCTGCTAACATTTCAGCAACACATTGAATTTAGCCTCTGTTCTTTGTGATACCTACTGGTTGGCAAGGACATTGGACATTAACCCTTGCACTCTGACAGGCTGTTGACTTTACAAGCAAAATGTGCAAATATTGTAGTGTTTTGGATAGTGTAGCAAAGCAAGGGTTGGTCACTAGTATTGTTCACGATTCACTATTTCTCAAACTTCTTACCTGTAGGTTCAAGTCCACATATGTAAAATCTCCAATATCCGGGCCGAGTACCAACCAGTCCTGGCCAGGTATCGGCATCGTGTTGTTGTCGTCTTCGACATCACATGACGCAGCTTGCGCGAGACGTATGTTGAATGATTTGATTCCACTCTCATCATCCCTGTAATCCTCCCATACCAATGGGATTGACTCGATGCTGTCTGTGTATGTCACAGGCTGCAGGGGGTGAAAGAAATGGAGGAGTTACAATGCTCTGATGAGTGTACGATGTGAGTGGAAGACTGGTCCACCACACAGCCATACCAATGGGATTGACTCGATGCTGTCTGTGTATGTCACAGGCTGCAGGGAGTGACAGAAATGGAGGAGTTACAATGCTCTGATGAGTGTACAATGTGAGTAGAAGACTGGTCTAGCACACAGCCATACCAATGGGATTGACTCGATGCTGTCTGTGTATGTCACAGGCTGCAGGGAGTGACAGAAATGGAGGAGTTACAATGCTCTGTTGAGTGTACAATGTGAGTAGAAGACTGGTCCAGCACACAGTCATACCAATGGGATTGACTCGATGCTGGCCGTGTATTTCACAGGCTGCAGGGGTGAAAGAAATGGAGGAGTTAAAATGCTCTAATGTGAGTGGAAGACTGGTCTGGCACACAGCCAACCCTAACTGGAAGTGGTTAGATCAATGGAGAAACAACTGGTAGAGAAGTTATGAAGGTTTTTACTCAGTGCACAGAAACAAAGACGAACGAAAAGTTGTGATGTCACAGGAAGTATGTACTGCAAATACATGTACGGTCTGGTTCAGTTGCAAATGCAAAATGCAGTTATACAAATGTATGACATCATGGCAAGTACTGCTCATTTGTATAAGAGGTGATACATATAAGGTGTGAATACAAAAACAAATGTGGGTTTGAAACAATTACGCAAGTATTTGCAGTGTGAGAACACATAAACAGCTGTCTCATACTCAGTGCAAATGCCAACATAAATGTAAATGTGTGACGTCTCAAAATCTATTTGCATAATGAAGTTGCAAAAGTGACTATTCTATATATATTATATTAGTAACTTTGCTATTAATTTTTTTAAATGCGAATTTGGTTCACAACTGTGTAAAGTATGAACCAGCCCTTAATACCGTCCTGACAGTCCTCAGTAAGTTTGAGTGAGGACTATGGTTAGTAAGTGGTTAACCATAATTTAACTATTAAACTTTATTGAAATGCGGGATGGTTGAACTAATCTAGTCGACTATTTGGAACCAGTGCTGAGGGCATGGTTTAATAGCTGGTTACCAATAGCTGCATGCATTGTAATGTAATACAAATTTTTCTCACACAGAAATAAAAAAGAGACTTACACTGTTCGGACAAGCACTCACCATGTCATAGAACAGTCCGGCACGCAGTCGACCCTCAACAGGTGGAGTGATATCCACAGAGAAGTAACTGGAAGAGGAGTTACACTGACCTGCTTCATTCATCCCTGAAAGTAAGGAAATGGGTAACGACGTCACAATCAGATTACTGCATGGGCACATGTCTGCAGTATTTGGCACTGATTACAACTTGAAAGAACACTTTTCAAAATTATCATTCACAAGTGGACGCATTATTATTTATTTAGTACAACTTTGACTTTGACCCTCTTTATTTTTTCTCCTCATCCTTATCACCTAGTAGCTGTGGAAAGTTGCATGACGTCCATGCCTTTGGACGCAGGTGCTGGGCCACGGTTTCAAGCCTCTGGATGCATCAAGAAAGTGTGTGAGAGACTCCCTTTGATATGAATTTTTGAAGGAAACATTCGCGCCAGAAGAACAGTATGATTTGAAGGCAGACTTGCCAACAAATACAGAAAAAAGTCGAAGATATTTCGACTTCTGTGGTTAAATGACTAACCCCTAGCTAGCGTATTCACTGAGCTTCAAAGGACCACCTAGTGTGCACATTACTGTGTTCTTTTCCCGCAATCTGTGACCCGAGGCGTACCAGGTGCGCTCATCACGAAGGCTTTACCGCCCCACAATTACAAGGACTTTCATGAGTGCGCGAAGGTTCATGCGCAATCTCGTTGACACAGAGCTTCACATATAGACATTACTAACTTCATGGCCGTAACTGAAAAGCCAAAGCTGAACATCCCTGGTAAAGTGGACGATGCCATCCAGCGAACTGTTGCTGAAAACAGACAAAAACTCAGTCCAAAATATCTTCCTTGATATTATGCGTGAATAATGACTTGCCTGTAAGGGGGAAAAGCAGCACGTCCGAAAATTTCAGAGACCTCCTCAATTTTAGGATCAACTCTAGCGACGCAGTGCTGAAAGCACATTTGGAAAACTCCCCAGACAATGCCAAATACGTTTCACCGCAAATTCTGGACGAATTACTCAAATGTTGCGAAGACACCGTAAGAGCCGATATAATGGTGGCAGTGAACCAATCTAGCGGTTTTGCGATCTTGGCCGATGAGACGGCAGACATATCGGGTACAGAGCTAGCCGTCACTCGGAGTACAATTCATTAACCAAAGTTAGTGAAAAAGCAGTCATTAGGAGGAAATGTCTTGGATTCACACCCCTGAGGGCGATGGATGCCCAAACTATAGCTGATGCCATCGTATAGACTAGTGTCAAGTTCGGCCAGAAGATGAAAAATCTCAAAGGGCTGCTCAACCATGGCTAAGATAGACAGCGACGTGCAGACGTGCGTAAAGCTGCCATTGTGCACTGAACCTTGTGGTAAACGATCTCACTTCAGTCTCAGACCTCAGGAATGTCATCGGAACTGTCAAAGCGGTCATAAAATTCTTCTGCGACATTCCAAGGAGAAGGAAGCAAGTGCCTAACCTTCCACTCTTCTGTGAGACAAGGTGGATTGCAAAGTATAAGAGCATCCGAATATTCGCTGAAAATTTCGTATCAATAGTGAGGGCTTTGAAAAACGAATCAGGAATTACGCGCCAGACAGCGCATCAGTTGCTCTGCACCTCAACAACGGCCAATTTCCTGGTGTCACTAAGGATCATGGTGAGATAATCAGCGTTGCTTGAACCCATTACCGAAGCCCTCCAGGCAGTGAATGTCGACTTGCTTGGAGTGCAGAAGAGTATCCATACATTACTAAATGCTCTGCGTTCCCATCTCAGTGAGTCTGAGCAAGTATTCACGAAGGAAATAATGCCTGTAGTCAAACAAACGGAAGAAAGAACTGTCGATCGACCTTTCTTTGCCAAAGCGATATGTGACCGGCGGCTGTTTTGGTCCGACCCGACTCAAACTTGTTCGAGGATTACTACAGGAAGTCTTCATCCTCTACCTTGACTCGATACTCTAAAGCCTTCAAACCCGATTCTGTGAGGACAAACCGCACTTCAGTTTATTTGCTCTCTATCCAGCTCAATTGTCCAAGTACGACCGTACAGAGATGATTACATTGCTTAGTAAGATCAATTCGATTTACAAGATTGACAATTGAGAATCCAAGGTACTACTTACATGGTATGATCTTTGCCGGGAAGGTGTAAAAGAGTGCCAGAATCAAGACATATGCCATCTGTCCTTGATTGTGCTGAAGTGAAGTATCTGTCAGCTGTCCCCAATAAGGCCCTTGCATTCGAAGCTATACATTGCCTACTACTACATGCATCTTTCAACGGTCATTCAGTACGTTGAGGAGGTCGAAGAAATGGCTAGGTCAACAATGAAGAACGACCGCCTCAGCAGCCTTAATAGTGTTCTCAGCATTCATCTAGTGATGAAAGTGACTTCCAATGAAGTTGCACTCGCACAGACGGTAATAAATGAAGTTGGAAAGACCCTCTTCGGTTACAGTTTGTGTTTAAATCGAAGTTACAAGAGTGAAGTGTTCAACAGCTACCTGCATATAATTTCGTGGTTTCTTTGAGAAGGTGGTCAGTGTCGAGACTTGCGGGCAAGGGAAGGGCCGTAAAATTTGAAAAAAAAAGCGGGGTTTAGTGCTCCCCTCCCCCTTGCGACGCCCATGCCAGCAGATTTTTAAAATTCTGATTAACATATTATTCTGATATTGCACTTAATAGTTTCAGTGTGTCCAACAATTGAAATTTGGCTGTTTGAGATTGCTTTTGCAATATGACTGTTTGTCGCTTACCCACAACGGTGACATAGTATGATCCTTCCTGCGTCAGATTCAGGCCCTTGACCTCCACAAAGGTGTACTTGCCAACAAAATACATGGGCTTCTCACTGAAGGTAGCCTGGGACTGCGCCGTCCCCAACAGCATATCCAGGCAGTCCATGTCTTCAGGCGGGATGGAGGAAGGGGAGGGTTTGCCCAGGCCGACGTAATAGAGCAGGATGGGAAAGGTGGACTCAAATTTGTTCCACTGGAGTTGCACCTCAGTCAGGGAATTCACAAATTCTGGGATTTCAACCTCAGTCACTATAGGTGGCAAAAGATATAACGACAAAATATGACATTAAGTTGATAATACCAATGCAGACAGAATAAATTCCTAACCAAACAATACAACAGATTATACATCAACTCAGCTTGGAAACAGGCCTTCGACCGAATATGGACAACCCCAGCAGCCAATGGCGTCATTGGAAACACTGCATATTGATTGGGAACATTTTGTTATTGAGATGTGAGAACTAGAATGAGTTCTTATTTACCGATGACTTTGCTGTCCACACCAACGTTGATCCCAGTTGATGTCACCTCTGCCGTGGAGAAACTAGCGCTGTGTCCCCTGACCGTCACGTAGTACGTAGAGTCTAGGGCTTTGATGTCAAGATTTGTAAAGGTGATCGTTGTGTTCTGACCGACGTAGGTGAAGGGCACTGTGTTGTCTCTGGTCTTGGGGTAGCGACGGTCGGTACCAACGGCTGCCTCATAGTAATCCACAGTTTGCTGGGTGGTTTGGTCTTTGGTTACTTCTTCATTGCCTAATGTTGGGAACAGCAAAGAGATGTTAGTACGTTTCAGCAGTGTTGAACACAAGACAATGGTCAGATATGAGTCCAAACACCATCGTGAACATGTTTGGTTAAGATATAATATTTTTCGTTGAATACTTTTGTAGGCTAAATACAGTCACTATGACAGTCAGACTCACTTTCAGTTATCATGAAACTGAGTGATGACATATTAGCCACACAATTACTATAGAATAACGTCACCTTTAGATTGTCGTTTCCCATTCAACATTTTGAATGATCACTTTATATGGCCTTGATTGTCTTCACACAAAATGGTACCAATTTGAAAAGTCGTGCACAAAGCAAGTGGGCTAGCTGTCCTGGTGTTTTTCTTTGTCAGCAAATCACTCAAGTTGAGGGAGATTGTTCCTGGCAATTTTTTTTTAAAATAACTTTGGAACTTTAAACTTAACAAAAGTGGACCCCAAATGGAGTACCTTCACTGTTAGAGGGTTTTAATGGAATACTTTAAATTAATGCTTTCATTCTGTGGAAGACAAGGTAATAAGTCCAGCAAACCTGTATGCTCCACGGATTCCTTGGGTTGTGTCCCCTCTCCAAAGCCCTTCCAGCTTGCCGATATGCTATCAGTCTCCTTCTGGTAAGTCAGATCAAAGCCCACTAGGAGGCCATCATAGACCTGGCCAGGTATCAAGGGATCACGCTTGACTGTGATTCCATCAGATCGGACCGTGACGGCCAGGCCCAGGGCGTTGGTAGCCCGCACGACGGAGTAGTAGGTCTCATCATCTAGCATTTTGACGTCAGTATTGGAGTCTGATGTCAGATCTGTTGTGTATAAGGAAAGTCAAAGTCAGAAAGAACCGGAAGTAAACTAACTGAGTTAACTGACACAATATTCTTGACTGGGTTTATGAGATTAACAAGTTGCATAGGGGTTAGCAACCATCATGGATTTGCCAATAGAGATCTCTTACATCAACAAGAAGTGGCAAATTCAAATGGTATAGTCACCATATTAATCCTTAACAAATGTCATAAAATAAATGAAGAGAAGAAGAGGTCTGTGACACATGGTCAGTGGGGTACTGTGGTCCAATGGTTACGGTGTTCGACTCGTGTGCAGTGGTACTTGGGTCGAATCCTGACCGTGGGAAATTGGTGCCTGTGCTCTTGAGCAAGGCACTTCACCATTATTGCTTCGTCCTTTGGATGGGACAAAGGCCGTTGGTCCCGTGTGTTGTGTACTGTACGTTAAAGAGCCCAGTATCACTTATCGCTAAGAGAAGGGGTTTGCCCCGGTGATTCTGGCAGTTGCCGAAATATGGGCTGCAGCACCTTGTAAACCCTTATAAGGTGCAACATAATGGGTCTAATTTTTCGCATAGACCTGTCTTTATTAATATACATAATTTCCAGCGCCTTGAGTACTTAATTCGTGATAGATATTTGGGCTATATAAGACTCCAGTATTATTATCTGAGGGTCAGGGGTTTAAATCCATTTACTGATCATAGGTTGTGTTCTAGGGCAAGACATTTCAACCCCCAACCCTTAAATACAACTCTCTCCAACAAGGAGTGTAAATGGGACCGAAAGTAGCTGGGGAGTAACGTCCTGCAATGGACTAGCATGCCATCCAGGGAAATGGAAATATTCTCAGTCATTTCATGCCACTAAAACCGGAGATAAACACGGGCCAAAATGGTTGTAAAGCTGTGTGTGCATTCAGTGCTCTTTTGACAAACATTAAACAATGTCTGATGAGCACCTCAACTTGTGTACCAAACACGTGAGAGTGGTACTGCCTATTCCAATTGTGTTTGACAGACTAAATTAGTCTTCACTTTGAGCAAAAATCAAAAGGAAAGTGATTGAATATGAATAAACTTTTGAAATACCTCCAACATCAGTCAGTGGCTGAATTTCTTGCTCATCGATTCTATAGATGGCCCACTCGTACTTCTTCATTGGACACGGATCCCCGCTGAAATCCCAGGATGCACTCATCTCATGCAGCGAGGTCTGGAAGTCTGAGTCTTCTAAGTCTACATTGGTGATTCCATCTTTGACTTGGAATGGTCTGAGAGGTTGAAGTCCAGCACTGAACCGGCTGACGTAGATGCCATTAGATACCGCAGTGCTGGTCAGGCCAGCTTCGTTGTAGCCTCTTACTGTAGCGTAGACCCTACGGATGCTACTCAGATCAATGTTGGTAATGAGCTCTGACGTCTGGTCCTTGGACACCTCGTAGAAAGGTTTGATCTGAGACCCTGCTGGCGTCGTGCCCAGGGCAACCTCATACTTGGTGATCTTGGTGTCTTCATCGGTGAACGGTTGCCACAGAATCTGCAGCTGGCCAAGCGATTCCAGACACTCTCCGTCCAAGCTCAAGCATTCCTCATCGTTTGTACAGGCCCAATCTGGCAGGTCAATAGGATCACTGAAATTGTATCTGTACACACCAGACAGCTCCACTACAAGGCCGTATGATGGAGGTGTATCATCAATCTCAATAGGACCAGAGAATGCCATTGTGCTTTGGTTGAGAGCATTGAAGGCTTCCACTGTGACATAGTATACCTTGTTGTGGATCAGAGTCAGATCTGTCATTAACAAAGTTACATTTCAGCAATTAACTTATGGACTTAAGTATGGGCACTATGTTTAACAACCCCCTCAATGGCGATAAAGACAGAATTTGACAGATTCTCGACAGCCTTTTACAAGGGGTGCGTTCCAATCAAGCAAACGTTGTAAATGTTTGCAATCATTTTGCCCATAGCCAGCGGGAAATAGTTGACTACATTTGCGTCGTATAGTGGAACGCATCCCAACTGCTAACATAAACAGAAAACTTTGTACACAGTTTGATATTAAATTTAGTCTTACAGAATTTGTGCCATCAATCAAGGAGTGGAGGCAACAATTTACCCTGTATTTTTCATGCATGGAGGAGTCCATTACTGACAACAGTAGGCCTACTGGGTTTGAATATGCATGCATGCATGACCATAAAACATTGCCACACGATACCTAATTACTTCACATAGATTTTTATTGTATAAAGTACCCCCTCCACAGTTACAAACTGGAGAGACAGTTTCATAATAAGTCCAGTCACAAGTTTTTTTCACAATTCCTATCATAAGTCTTATTACAGGCCCTTTCACAAGTCCAGTCACAAGTCCAGTCAAATTCCTTTCACAAGTCCTATCACAAGTCATATCACAAGTCCTATCACAAGTCCAGTCACAAGTCCTTTCACAAGTCCTTTCACAAGTCCTATTATAAGTCCTACTACCGGTCCTTTCACAAGTCCAGTCACAAGTCCAGTCACAAGTCCAGTCACAAGTCCTTTCACAAGTCCTTTCACAAGTCCTTTCACAAGTCCTTTCATAAGTCCTACTACCGGTCCTTTCACAAGTCCAGTCACAAGTCCAGTCACAAGTCCTTTTACAAGTCCTTTCACAAGTCATATCATAAGTCCTATAACAGGTTCTTTCACAAGTTAATAAGTCACAAGTCCAGTCACAAGTGCTTTCACAAGTTTTATTACAAGTCATATCACAAGTCCAGTCACAAGTCCTTTCACAAGACAAGTCACAAGTCCTTTCATAAGTCCAGTCACAAGCAACTGGATGAACAATGACAAAGGAATGCTCTTGAAACAGTTCATTTGAATGGCCAGTGACTTGACTTCAGACTGGAGGACTTGTGATGGACTTGCAAGGACTTGTGATGGACTCAACTACAACACAGCTGCCAAGCAGCCTGTTGGTTGAACACTGATAAAACATTACACAACGGTGACTTCACGTAATAAGACTCAAATTCTCTTCTGAATGCAGGCTAAGGCAGCGTCCAAATCACTTGGCTCATCTGGTAAATACACACGCATTTATGGAAGCAGCTGCAGCCACTGCCCATGGACTATTGTGTTATTCCAAACCATTGCCAAATAATGTCGACGCGGCCTATAATAAATAATTATTAAAACAACCTTTGATGTTGTAGTGAGATAGACGCCCGGGCAGGTCACCGGATAGAAAGACATCTTCAAGACCCTGTGCTGTGCCAACAGACATACGGTAGTGGCCAATGCCCGACTCGGCATCCAGAAAATCAGACCAGCTACACAACAGAGCACTGTTGGCATGGATGAAGGCAGGGCACTGGACCTAGGAAGAAATCCAACAGACAAAAATGTCAAAACTGAGTCTGTGGATAGCTCCACCTGTAGACAAGACTCTCTTGTTAAAGTCTCCTTATATGCAGATGGAGGAGGAAGTTTACTCTTATCAACTAAATTACCCTGCTGGTTTCAGTGTAGGAAAGGGTGAAGAAACCGCTACAAATAATTTTCTCTACTGCTTACAGGCCAGTTATAAAAGGAAATTATAAAATGATCGTCATTTGGCAATGACGATCTGCAACATGCATATACATACCTGACCAACACTAGGCGGCGTGTTGTCAGCAGTCATACTTGTGGTATAAACAGTCCGCTTTAGCCCAACGCTGTTGATTGCGCGTACAGTGAGAATATTGGGCAGCCCTGGAGACAAAAAACAAGGGTGGTTCAGTCTCAAGTAAAGTCATATACAAGTTAGTTTATTGTGACAAAGGCATTCCTTCATTCCCGTTTTGACCTTAATTGTTTTGGATTTGTGATGTGACCTGGGGTTTTATCAGACCTATGATGTCTGTGCACAAGTGCCCCCTCAACGGTTACAAAGACGGACCACTGGGGTAAATTTGATCGTACGCCCCGTGCTCAAACAAATTCTCACTTGGTTTGTGCACATTTGGATTAAAATGAGTCGTGCATACTTCACGTAGTATACACACAAACCACTACGTGCACGCGGAGGCATGACAAACATGTCAGAAATTAATTTGGTAGTTAAATAACAAGAAATCCCCACTCTGTCGTACCATACCTATATCTGTAGGAGTTATCAGCGCTAATGGAATGTAGGATTTGTTGCTTGGTGTGACTGGATACACATCGCTTCCTCCTGGGTACTGGCCCATGGAGAAATAGGTAGCAGTAATATCACTCTCTCCATCTGTGGCATCCCATGTGCCATCGATGGAGTCTGTGTTGGGTTGATACAGGCCTATACCGCCAAGACTCTGCTAATTAAACAGAATATTATTCTATAGTCAGTTACGTTGCCAGGTTTACGCAGAGATGAAACTGTTGTACAGGAATGAAAATTGGAAATCTATGTTTGACTCTGGGCCGTGCATACATTTACTTAGTGCCCAATTTCTGGACACCATCTACCGTTTTGTTTTCCTTTTTTGATCCAAACTAAATTTTACAATTCTAAATATGTTCAATATTTCCTCAATAAAAAGTCTGAATTACGGTTAGAGTCTTTTCTTACTTGAGAAAGTCGAGGAAATACTCCAGGCATGGTCCATCACTATTTAAGACAAGTGCACAATTCAAATCAAACAGCTTCACTAACGTACATGGAAAAAAATCGACTTTATCGTCTTTTTTTTTCCAACAACCGGTCAATGAAATTTGTCTTTCACGATCTTTTCACCATCCCCAGATTCATCATCATGATTTTTAAAGCACTGCATTTTGTACAACTAAAACTGAAACCTCCAAAAATAAAGCACCGTTTCGGAATTCACTGCAATTGAACTCCACGTGCAACATGAAGCTCTGTACGTAGTTTCAGACATGTCATAGCTATGATCATAGGTTAATGCTTAAACTTATTTCCAGCTGTATACTACTCCATCTGGGCTCACTGATATTTGTCTACAATTCAATCTGTGTGCTGACGACTGGTAGAACAGATGAAAATTGCACTCGCAGTACAGATTTCGCTCCGCCATTTTCATAAAATTTTGTTGAAATGTAGTTTTAACAATCAGATTTTGCGGGGAAAAGATCGTCAGAAAAATCGAAACGTTGGAAATTAATTTGAAGTCAGATTTACGATAAAAATAGGAAAGTTTCATCTCTGTTTATGGACCAATATGGATGCAGATGTAGATTTTGTGAACTGAGGTCAGCACTTTAAAGTACTTCAAATTATCAGTAAACTCTTAAGAGGCAAAGTCTTTGTCTGCTGTTAACATATAGTGTAATTCGACGAACAAAATTAGAAGCCATTTTAGAGGTGGTGCCATGCTCACAGGCCTGCCGCACGCATTATTAAATACAAGGGGCGCGTGCATCTTGGTAACACTGTTAACTGGTAACGGAGTGTGTGTGTGTACTACCTGAGCATGACGCGCGCAAGCCCGCGCCATAGAAAAGGTCTGTCACCGAATTAGTCTATATTGATAAGTATATTCATTTTGCTTATTTAGGTATAAAATAACAAAGACAATGAAGCTTTTAAAACTTGTTTGGTAGTATTACGCAGATATGTCAGAAACTTACTATAACTCAATTGTCATTCTATAAGATTTGGTGCTTTTTAGTTGTTAGAAGAGAAGAAAATCATTATTAGAAATGGTAATGTCTCATTTTATCAAATCGTCAACGACACCACAAAGTGGCACCTCAGTTGACTTCAGTGTGCGCTATGAGCGCGTATTTTTCAGAACCTAGTGATTTTCGTTTTCACAAAAACACTCATGTACACTGTGCGCTACTCGGTACTCTTTCGTTTTCACAAAGTAACACTCGTCTTTATTTCACCTGGGTTAAAAGGCTTTTTTAAAAAAATGTTCTGCAATCCCAGATGAAAATTAATCAATCACATTCCTGTCAAACGATATAAACAGAGATTTATCCAAATAGTTCTGTTACATCGGAAATCGTTCGCGCCAGTGTCCGATGTGCAAGCGCACACTTAAGTGTTACTTCGTGAAACAAAATTTTGTCATGTAGCGGTTTTCACGCAGTAACACTGTAGTGGTCTTGGGTGCTACTTCATGGTGTCTGTGACGAAATAATTAGAAAACATAAAAGACATAAATTATATGTTTATACCTGATTGACCTGCCGCATCAAGTGAGCAGCTCAGATTAGGTATGACAGTTTCATACTCTAAATACTCTTTCATATCTCTAAATGTGTATCAACTATTGGCAAAATTATCCTCAAATTACAGCATTATGTTATTGTCTAGGCCGCACCAGGAGCGTTCAGTGAAAGACAGTATCTACTCACCAGGTCCACGCTTGCATCATACTGGCCCAGGTCAGTGATCATAATCTCTGGTGGAGTGATGTCCACTGTGAAGCCACTGGATGTGGATTCTAAGACATTGTCTGCATTGGTGATGGCTCGTAGTGTGCTGTAGTAAGTCACTCCGTGCTGGAGGGGCAGAGGGGACAGGGCTTTACCCTTGGCAGCCAATCCTAAGCAAACGAAAATTAGAAAACAAGAAAATGTTAGTTAAAATGAATTTCACATAGCTGCGAAGCACAGTACTAATGTGATAAGGAAACATTTTGTGTAGTGAAAATGAACAATCTTGTTGCTTCGGACTGGTTCTTAGCTTAGCACTTTTCTTGCAACTTTTTCAAACATTTTAAAGCTAGTACGTAGCATGAAATTTTTCATTGGAAGGGGGGGGGGGGCTTTACCAAAATTGCCCATCAATTTAAGATTGTTGGACAGTTTCAACCCTGTCTGCATTCAGTGTGCCACTGCAAGCGGGGCGTATGCAGAGAGCGTATAATGCAGCGCAGTTGATCTTTATGTGTTGTCCTTGAGCGTATATCTTTTGTTGAAAATGGTCCTCAATCGTGCGTTTGTGTGCTTACTCTATGGAACAGTGTTCTATTACAGGGACTAAGGGAAACACAATGGCTTGTCCTCGAGAGTTACGTAGCACTTGTTTATGGTGTAAATCGTCGATGCAACATCATCGATGAATTAAGGACAGGAGCCACACCAGGAACTCCTCGGTTAGAAAACATGTACAAAACCAATGAGAGCTGTTACAAAAAAAGTTGGAATATAAACGAAGGAAAAGGGAAGAGAAACAAAAGAAAATCCTTGTTTTACTCCATAAACAAACGTACACGTGCCCGACTGTCGCACGCACAGCAGCGTGTCGAAACCGAAATTATTGATTACGCAGTTTTCACGAACTGAAAGCTTACAGCGCGTGCGCATCAGTTCGTGAAAACGGTGAACAAATTTACTACTGGACTTACCTGGTTCACCTTCATCACCGCCGGGTACTATGCCATCTGAGGTCAAAGGTTGTATATCTTCACCCCCAGGGGTTGTACCCACTGCCCATTCATAGTGAGATATGCCATGCATCTCACTCTGTATTGGAAGACAGTAATAATGTACAGGGAAACTGTTCAATTATTATTCTCTGAGGTCGAATTCACGCTCAGCACGTAAGCTAGTTGGGTCAAGAGGCTTGATGGATGATAGTGGAGCACGCACTGTCACGTAAATTCGTTCCACGTTCAGTTGGAAGTAGTGCACCATCTTACAGCATGGTTAGACCAGCTCGCCTGAGAGCATCTTGGGAAGCCTGCAGAAGTGGTTAATAACAGTTTCTTTCTTTTCTTCCTAGGCTTTCCTAGGGAAACCATCAGCAATTGCAAAATGATCATTAAGACCGGTTTATAGTCGTTCGTGCGATGATGAAATCCCACGCTTATGGTCGCTGCAGGCATGCAGTAGGCCTGCACCGAGCCTTCCCGCGACGGTTGTAAACATACGTGACACTGGCGAAAAATTCAACTGCGAAGAGTGGAGATCAGGCATCGCTTATCATAAATGCAACGCAGTGATACCTCCTTCCCCCACCCCCCGCCCCCCGCGATGATTGAAAACAGTTATTTGTACACCAACTCTTTAATTTACATAAAACTTCCATGCCCCCATTGCTGCATGTTTCCCAAGACATTAGTAAGAGAAAATTACATTGTCAAAAACAGTTGTGCAGGCTCTAGCTGCAACAATCACTATTGCTTACTGACGTCTTTGGCCAAGACCACATGAAAGCCAAAAGTGAATTCCTGACATAAGGCAAGAATTTGTGTGGGTTTTATTGTTTGAATGTTTCTAACAGAAACTACACATAAAAGTCCACACTACCTCAAAGTCATCAAACCAGACAGTGACGGTAGTTCTCTCTTGCTGTGCATCCACATCTTCTAGCATGGTTGGACCATCAGTCACGTACCCTGTTGCAAAGGCAATAAGGAATGGAAATAGTGGAGCTTCGAGTATCCAATGAAAATATCTTAACTGTGTAAAACAGAGATCTCTGTCTAATTGCTTGAAGTGCTCATACGGCACACGTGGAAAGGTTTAGCTCACTACAGATAGGATTGAAATCTACAGATGTGATTAGAATCAGTGTTTATCACATTCATAGAATCAGTGTTTTTCACGTGTTATGACGTCAAATGCGATACGCATTCGCATTCATGTAAGGTATGAACCAGCCTTAACTTCATAAGAACTCACCTGTCTGATCTTCTTCCACCACTCTGATTGGTGAGGAGCTGATGACGTCACTGAAAGCCCCTGCACCGTTCAGACTCTTGACACACACGTAGTAGTGTATTTCTTCATAAGAACCCCCTTTCTGATTCCATCTTATAACCCCCTGTCTCATCTTCCTCCACCACTTTAATTGGTGAGGAGCAGATGACGTCACTGAATGCCCCTGCACCGTTCTGACTCTTAACATACAGGTAGTAGTGTATTACTTCATAAGAACCTACCTGTCTGATCTTCCTCCACCACTCTAATTGGTTAGGAGCTGATGACGTCACTGAAAGCCCCTGCACCGTTCTGACTTTTGACACACACACGTAGTAGTGTATTACCTCATAAGAACCACTTGTCTGATCTTCCTCCACCACTCTAATTGGTGAGGAGCAGATGACGTCACTGAATGCCCCTGCACCGTTATGACTCTTGACACACACGTAGTAGTGTATTTCTTCATAAGAACCCACTTGTCTGATCTTCCTCCACCACACTGATTGGTGAGGAGCAGAGGACGTTACCGAAAGCCCCTGCACCGTTTTGACTGTTGACACACACGTAGTAGTGTATTACTTCATTATAACCCACATATCTAATCTTCCTCCACCACTCCGATTGGTGAGGAGCAGATGACGTCACTGAATGCCACTGCACCGTTCTGACTCTTGACATACAGGTAGTAGTGTATTACTTCGTAAGAACCCACCTGTCTGATCTTCCTCCACCACTCTGATCGGTGAGGAGCAGATGACGTCACTGAATGCCCCTGCACCGTTCTGACCCTTGACCTACACGTAGTAGTGTATTACTTCATAAGAACCCACCTGCCTGATCTTCTGCCACCACTCTGATCGGTGAGGAGCAGATGACGTCACTGAATGCCCCTGCACCGTTCTGACTCTTGACACACACGTAGTAGACCGGCCGACAATCCAGGGTGAATCCCTCATCACTACATGTTGATGGGTCGGTCAGTTGGAGATTCAGGTCTGATAGGATACCATCTCTCTTGGGGCCCAGGGAGGTGTAAGATTGGATTTGTTCAGAATCTAAAGAAACAATTTAAGAAATATGCATTTAATACTCATTGATACTGTTTATATTCATCAGATCCTTCTCTGCACCCACGCTTCAATTTGCTATTTTTTTTTGGTGCCACAAGTTTAGATTTTGACATTTTGATGAGCTACAGACTATCAGTGTGCATGGCAGCTGTAGACAAAAAGTGCTGGTCTCTGATTCGGTCAAAATCTGAAATTTTAACAGGTGATTTCACACGATTCCAGCAACAAAAATGGAGGCCATACACTGCTGACTCTCTCTGTGTCTCCTACAGCTACATTCATTGTTTTCGGCACAGCTGTATACATGGACAGCAGGACAAAGAGAGAACAACATATCATTTATTTTGTCCTCAGTCAAATATCATTTGTTGAGAACGATCCTCAAACGTATGTGTGTGATTAGACTATGAGTGTTTATTACAGGAACAAGGGGAAACACAATGCCTTGTCCTCGAACGTTATGGTAAAGTACGGATGGGCGGGCATACACTGCATACACACACACCGGCCCGAGGACTGACTGACCAAGGGTGAACAAAAGACTATTGACCTCGCTCGTTCATGTTTTGTTGAAAACGGTGCTCGATCGGGTGTTTATGTGCTTAGTCTACGGGAGGGTGTTATATTACAGGGGCAAAGGAAAGACAATGGCTTGTCCTCGAAAGTTATGTAAAACACGAACATGTGTGAATGTTTGTGCGTGTAGGCCCTAGGTTAATTTTCGGCCGATTGAAAACCATTAGCTGTCAAATGTCATCACTCTTTCAACAAAATGCTATCTAATCGGATTGTGTTTTTCTATTTGAAATATACCTCATGCATTGCAGGTTTCGTAGAGGGTATTCTTTGTTAATTAAATCTAATAAACAATAAACCAACAACGGGTTTACTTATGCCCTCTGACTCTGCCTTTACACATAAGGTCGACATTAAAATAACAGTCTCTGTTTTGAGACATTAATTCGTAATGTTATACTGACATGGAGCAGTTCCCACTGCCACCCAATAGCTCTTGATGCCACTCTGTCCATCTACAGCCAGCCACGAGGCCTGGATGGTGCTGCGACTGTTCTGATACAAATATCCATTGATGACTTCTTCACCCTCCCCGTCCAGATTGCCTCCGCGGACATATCTCATCTATAACAGAAATTATAATCACTTTCAGGTACTTTTTCCACTGAAGTTCTTATCCATACAAACATTCTCTGAAGCTTAACAGTGAATGCTTTGTGACAAACAAAAACAAATACCCCTCTTCCAAAAAGCAAGAAAACTAAAGAAAAAGCTATGTCCTGCACATTACCTATTGATGGAGCAATTTTAGAATTGGCACGATAATGCAGAGCATTACATGTGACATGTATTATAATGGAAACAATATGAAATGTGTCCCTCATGTTCTAATGTTTCAACTACTGGTACCATTTCAAGAAAAACATTTAATGTCAAAAGTTACTTAAAATGATTCATTAGGACAAGAATATAACCGAAAGGGTTTGGGTTGGGAAAGTTTGTAGAAATGGGATTTTGGGAGGATATTTCTTTGACAAATCATTTATCAATGGATATATGGTTGTCCACGTTTTGTTCGCTTTTTACTTTTTTAAGTAATGACAACTGTTTTGTGAGCGTGTGTTATTGGGGGATTAGGTTTTTTTTATGTAGATTAAGGTATTGCTTGTAGACTGTTTTGTATTTTATTTGGTTACTGTTACTGGCTGGTCTGGCTTTTATCAGTTTTTCCAAATTAAAGTAATTTTTGCTTTTATTGTAGATTACATAGGCTAATATTTTCTGTTTAATTGGCTTTTGTGACTATATTAATTCATTTCTTTGTGGTCCCTTACTTTTACTTGGATACGCCTTTTAGTAACATTAAGGGAATAAATGTGTGCTTGGGAGGTTTTGTTAAACACTATGTTTAAGATTGGTTGGAGTCTGGAATGCTGTTAATTACCCTAAGCAAAACCGAGGGTAATTATCAGCATTCTGTTCAACAATTTTACTTTCTGTTTTTTGTAAGATGTTAACAACTTTTGTTAAGGAGATTGGCGCGCACATCGCGTGTACTGCGCAATGACACGCAGATGCAGTTGTGGGGAGTGCGTTGTGAATTTAGGACTATGAAATACTGTTTCACCGTAGTATTGCGCATGCCTACATTAGGATTGTAAACGTTCAACCAATAAAACGGTAAAGGCACTGGATGTCATAGGAGTCAACATTTCCTGTGACACTGGAAAAGTGTTTAACACCAGCCATGTCTTTATCATCCGTTTAAGACATGCCACGTGACTGACTTTCGACCAATGGAAATGGGTAAACTGTCTAAGGTATTTATGATTTTTTATTAACATCTCTCTCATTTATATTTAAACTGTTATTGGCCTTTGTAGCTTTAAAATTGTATCTCTGTGAAGCGCCTTTAACTTCTCTTAGGCAGACTTTGGCGCTAAATAAATTGTTATTATTATTATTTGTTTATGAGAATGTCTCCCGAAGTTAACATTTTCGGCAAAAACAATATCTCTTTCTAATATCAAAATATCATTCACAGCTTGATTGCATATTACTCATACAATACAAACAATAAGGACGAACTCCAGGGAAAAGTAATGTAATGGAAGAAAACAGAAGAAGGATGCCGCATTAACTCACTACCGGAGGAGTAGGATCCACCCTGATACCACTGGTCTCGTGAGAGGCTGCCAGTTTAGCCTGGTTCTTTGCCTTTACATGTGTGATGTAGATAGACCCGCTGCGCAATGCCAGACCGGTCTGTGTGTGGGACTTGGCATTGGCATCCGATATTAATTCAAAGCTGTTGGGGTTTGAGTCTGAAAAAGAGGAGAACACAGTTTGAGTAACTATACTTAACACATAATACATCTTTATTTTAAGACTTCCCTTTGGTTGCTTTATAAACATCCTGTATATACTGCTAGCTGATTTCTATAATCTTACCTGCAGGGAAGATCTTGATTTTGTTGCCTTGTCGCATCTCGTACATGGCCAACTCAAAGGATTCAATGTCAGACTCATCATCAAAGTAGTCCCAATGCACAGAGAGACTGTCGAAATTTGACTGCATGTAAAACAAGACGTATAAGACATAATTGCTGTCACTGTTTAATTCCTTATTAGACAGCGAGACAGTTCATCCTAAACACCAGCCTCCGTCACATTTCATGTACTTAAAACTCGGGCAAATATTATAGGATTCAAACACTTCCACAATTACATTCTTAGGAACATCCATACTCCGACTTGCAAAGAGGATGTTAACTCACCTGGAATCTCCTGAGGTTCTCAGCATGGGAGGAGTCAGGTTTACCAATAACCCACTACTCATCTGAGTATTAATGTGATTCAGGCAATGACCTAAGACCTTAGATGGCGTTCACTTACCTGGAAGTCAGCATCTTCACCCACCACAAGCCCATCTCCTAGTGTTCTCAGCATCGGAGGGGTCAGGTCTACCAAGAACCCATCCGTCGCAGTATCAATGCGATTCATTGCCTGGTTGATGGTGCGTAGGTTGACATAGACCTGGTCCTTGTGGTGGAGATGGAAGTGATGCCACTCAATGGAGGATGTCTCGCTGCCTACTGCCTCTGCCTCGTGGATAACCTCAAACTCATCGGTGTCATTGGAGCTAAATATTTCAAATGAAACAGAATATTCATAATAAAGAATTTACGACTATTGTATTACACTAACCAATGTACTTCATGTTATCAAATCAAATGAACAAAACTCTGCATATCAACTACATTAGTTTGGGTTATTTGAGTCAATCAGTTCCATAACCATGCAGGCAATATAAGATTGTGCAAGCAAAAGTATTCAGTCAAAATTTCAAACAATTTGTCTTCACCTGCCATCATGCTTGCGATAGACTGTAACCTGGTAGTCGTCGATACCAGAGTCAGGATCAGAGAATCCTTGCCACTGAGCCTCCACAGTGGCTGGCATTGAGGAGAATTCTAAATCAGTAGGTCCAGGCAGCAGGCCGTCATAGACACTGCCTTGTAGCGGTGGAGTCAGATCCACAGTCACTGAGGAGATAGAAGATATCAAAATATCAATACATGTATATGATCCAAATTAAAATGAATGGAGAGAATCCTAGATCGATACGTCCTGGTAGCAGGCCGTCATAGACACTGCCTTGTAGCGGTGGAGTCAGACCCACAGTCACTGAGAAGATAGAAGATATCATTTTCTCAGCAACCCAAAGTGCTATTTTCATGACTTTTTCAGTAGTTGAAAGGAAAAAGCTCTCAGCTTTACTCTGATACCCAAAACATAAAAATCCACCAATCCCTTTTTTTAAAGGCTAATGTTTTAGGGTTGCATTTTTCCTGGGTCACCCTGTATAATACTGATAATGGATTTGGCAATTAAAACAAAACTATAGTCATGACAGCAACAATTTTCATGGTGACTATTTTGAAATTATTCACAGTGATTACTATGCTTGTTTAATATTATACTATGCTTGTTGCAATTACTATGCTTGTAATAAAATAACAAGTCAAGCGGAAGGCAGAAGTTCCAAAAGATATCTCTAGTCACACACACATTTAATAAAATGTCACTAAATACCTCCATCTGAAGAAGCCGACACGTTGAGTTTATCATATCCACCATGGAAGGCTACCAGCGTTGAGTAATACGTCTCCCCGTGCTGTAGGGTCACATAGCCAGAGCAGGCGCTGTGCTCATGACGAGACACTTTGACAAAGTCCACCACGTTACTCAGGCCAGGCTGGGTCCCCACTGCCCAGAGGTAGGAGAAGATCCCGGACTCGGGGTCATACCAATTGTGCCAGTTGGCACAAATCTAACCATTACAAAGCAGGGTAAAATGAAAATTTGAAAGAACTTAACAAATATACCCAATCAAATTGAAAGCTATATTCAAATTATACAAATTTACCATTCAGTTTACCATTCAGTTTTATCAATGTCTTGTGAGCAACTTAAGTTTATGCTGACACTTTTGTCAGGAAACTTCTCTTTCATAGAATCCAATACCGGTGTTGTACAGCAACAGCACTTCTTAAAAGCCACTTTTTCCTCTCTTTATCGGGCTGAAATTATATAATTGTGTATAAACACCACACATCGAATATCATCTTTGAATTATAATCAGGTTTTTTAAATCGTTCGATTTTTAATTTGTGAAGTATAAAGATACTAGCTCTCTGTGCTTGCAATATCAGTTCTGGCCACTGTTGTCACTTAATCTTTTTTGGCCAGATTAAAGGGAATATACAACATTTGCAAACATCAAAAAATTAAAACTACCAAGTTTTTACGAAATACCTTACTAGGATGTTGGTAAATGACAGTCTAAAGCATCCTGTAAAATTATGGCACCTGGTATCAAGTCATTTTCAAGAAAATTGTATTTTTGTATACATTTCCAACGGTGGTCGGCCGACCACCGTTGGAAAAACCTAACTATTTTTTAACTACTGCTCCAACTTTACACTTTTTTCAGTCCAAATTTTGTTTGCTATTGGTTACATGTTCATGAACGGGTGCAGGCCAGCTAGACTGGTTCCCTTACCTTACAATTTTCCGGCATTTATAAATTGATCCATTTTATCTTTAGTGGAGTCAAGGAACCAGACTACTTGAACATTTTTGTTTTTCTTGGTTTTTCCAGCATTTTCGAACACAAAACTTCAAACATGTCAGTGTAACAATATTTGATCTATTATACTAACCCCTCAAATAGTTCATTTCTGAAAATTACAGCAAAAGCCAATGATGTACATTCCCTTTAAGGCCGTGTCCGAAACGGGCTTCCAGAGCTATAAATACGTGTATTGTCAACACATCCCCGCGTTTTTCTATTGGGCGCAGACCAAGACCTTTCTCTAGACAGCTGATTCGGATGCAACCTAAGTGTTTGTGCCTAATTACTTCTAGGTACAGGGCCAAAAATGCTACTCATAAGACCACTACAGGAGGCATATAACTCTCTGCGCAAAATGAGCCAATATAATAATGATCAGTGAGAAAGCAGGCAGCCATATCGCCTCCAATCTCACAGTGCATTGTTTAATCCTGTCTAATGTCGGCAATTGACTCCATAGTCGAGGCGTAAATGATTTCACTTCTCAACACACTTAAAAACCCATGTATCATGAGCTCATATAAAACATACAATTTTGAGGACACTTTTAGAGCTCACCTCATTCCTGTCCTTGGTAAAGACCAGATCTCGCCCGGCATAGGGTCCATCAAACAGGTCGCCAGCGATGGGTGGACTGTCATCAACTAGAATGGGCTCATCCGCGTGAATGATAGTTCTTAGGTCAACTGTGAAATAGGATGAAAATGGGCAACAGATAATCCTTCTGTAGACACCGGGCAGCTGTTAAAAAGGAGTTTGCATAATTTGTGTTTGTATGGTTCCTTTTTTGCAAACAATTTGGGTTTTTGTTTTCACCGATCTTTGATATCACCATTTGCCAAAATCAGTTAAGGTTTTTGATATACAACTTCCAAAAGACCAATCTCTATTACCGATCATTGATATCACCATTTGCCAAAATCAGTTAAGGTTTTTGATATACAACTTCCAAAAGACCAATCTCTATTTACCGTTGTTGACTGCTCTGACTTTAGCCCAGCAGGGTATGCCGTTGGGTATCTTGAAGTCCATGAAGAGCTGTTCAGCCAAGACGTGAGCCTCCCAATCACGCAGTGACTTATCCCTTGTTGTCTTGCCTGCTGCTAGGTGATACTCAAACAGATGGGACTCAGGATCGCTGGGCATTATCAAAAAGGAAATCGACGAAAAGGGGAATTAAGTTTGAATAAAATTCGAACGGATTACATGTGTGTGTGCATCTATACACAGAAATATACTTGTTAAAGGCCAGTTCATACTTCATGCGAAAGCGAATGTGATGCGAATTTGACGTCACGAAGCATTTGCTCCGAAATTCGACAGAGTTGAAATGTGTTCAATTTTTGCAAATTTGCAGCACGAAAACTTGCCCTAATGACAGAAATTTGCCGTTGCGTTCACTTTTTAGCCGAGTGCGAACCGGCTTTTAGGCATAAAGAGGCAATCCTTAGATACAAACTTGTGGACTTTTAAAACGTTCGTCTATGACAAGATGGTGCATGCCTAATACCTCCTCCTGACATCACAACTTGTGACAACAGTGACCAAAATTGTAATGGAGTCAATCACCAGTCAATTCACAGATCAGTTCACAAGTCAGGTCAGAAATATCAAGAGAAGAATAACGACAAAGGAGTGCCTTTGTCACAGTTCATCTATTAGCTTGTGAGTTGACTAGGGACTTGATGACTAGTCATTGACATGTGATGACTCATGGTTTATTTGTGATTGCTCGATTAAAACTCTACTCTGTCAGTGAGTTTTGAGAGAATTTGAAAACCCACATACGTTTGTGAGCAACTCATTGCTGCCTGGAAACTTGTGAGAAAACAGGTCTCCTCAGATGGGACGTGAACCCTACACCTTATACACAGTCATTCAGATGTGGTTGAGTCACTTGCACTAGTAAATTGCAGGTCATGAGTTCGAGTCCAAAATATGGAAGGTTGTCATTTTTTCACATGCTCTAGCTATCCTGAAAATTAGTGCTTGATAAAAATTTCACGAGGGTTTTACAGCATACGATCAGTGAAGACAAATAATTCAAATTTGGAAACTGTGGCAGTATGTTGTACGCAAATGATGAAAACACAAACATACTATTGCCAAATAAAATCTGATTGCTTACGTTGCGTTGACCTGCATTCCAATTCTACCGATGGACGAGTCGTAAGTGATGCGATCCATGCTGTAAATGATGGGTGGAGTATTGTCAACAATCAGAGGGGTGCTGTGACACACAGAGAGAGCCATAGGACCGCCAAACTCTACTTTGTTGAGCGCACGCACGGTGATTAAGTATGCATCATCTAATGATATCAAACGACAAAAAAATAATTGCATTTATACACAATTCCAATGATCTCATTAAATCTCATTCATAAATACCTAAGGCAGTTTACCCATTCCTTTTTAGTCAAGAGTCCATCACGTGGCCGGTCTTAAACGGTCGATTAAACACCGGCTGGCTGGTCTTAAAACACTTTCCCAGAGTCGCATGAAATATGGACTCCTATGAAATCCGATCCATTTTAGCCGTTTATTGGTTGAAAGTTCACAACCCTCAATAGGCATGCACAATACTAACAATTAGTCCGTGTCTCATAGTCCTAAATTGACCATTACACCGGCACAGCCGCGTTCTGTTCTAGGAGCTATTTACAACAATTCGTAAACTCGTTTCGGGTCGCGTCATTACAATGTATCATCATCCAGACACCAAAATGGGTCTTAAAACAAAGTGCTTAAAACCGAGCCAAGGACATTTTTATTCCCTTATTATATAGTTATTCAAGTACACAGATCTTAAATCAAATTAGGTTTTGCCCTTCGCCGACGTTTTTAAACACTGTATACTCCGTGTGTTACCTCCCGAGGGAAAGTTGGAAAAAATCACTAATTTATATCACCCCAGCGCAAAAATTCCATCTTATAATACAAAGATCTTGTCATCAACAACGTTTAACGACTATAAATCACCTCTGTACCAAGTTTCACTGTAAATTCCTACGGCTTATTTCATGAAACAGTGCGTAACTTACAACATTTTTTCAATTCCAATTTATTTTCAATTTATTTTTACATCATGCCAGCATAAAATTCTAGTTCTCGGTTTGCACATAAAAACTCAAATACCATGGTTGGGGAAATTATTTCACTGTACCACTCAAAGCAGTTGATAGTTGTATACTATCATGGTCAATTAAACAGTGCTTAATTCTTTGACATTGATGAAAATTTTTCTGGCAGATTGAAATTGACAACCAGACCCTGGTGGGTCTTCTCTGAGTAATCATGCATGGGTATCAAAATAGAACACTCAGTGAAACCCCTTGGGGAAATAGTTTCACAATACCACTCAAAGCGGTCAATAGTAGTATACTATCATGGTCAATCAAACAATGCACCATACACTGAGTAATACCATTAATGATGATTTAACCGACATATTGAGATTTACAAGCAGACCCTTATGTGTCCCACTCTGACTCATCAAACAGATGAGCGTGGGGATTAATAAAGAACACTCAATGGACGCCCTTGGGAAATAGTTTCACTAAAATTTCACCCAAAGTTGTCAATAGTTGGATATTATAACACACCTATTGCTGGTTCTTTGTCCTGGTTGGCTGAAACACGGTCACGTGTGGTTCACCAACATAGGTTAGTACATGAAATTTGCATCAGCGTGTACTAGATTTGCGCGTCAAGACACAGCGCGCGTAATTTCCGGAGTATAGTGCCAGATCGGGCACTACACTCAAAGGTTTTTGATTGGTTACAGCGCCTTCTGAAGTTTGCCAATCTCCATAGGATACAAACACTGAACAGCAACTCGAAACAAGTAGCGGATGTAAGAGTGGGTCCACTCTGACTCATCAGGGCATCAACAAAGAACACTAAACGAACCTCCTGGAGGAAATAGTTTCACCGTACCACTCAAAGCGGTCAATAGTTGCATACTATCATGGTCAATGCAATCAACATCTGTGAGAGTGATATGTCAACTACCTCCTCCAGGAAGTTTGCATATGCAGATGATCTTGCCCTTGCTTACCAGGGAGCAAACCTTGAGGATATCAGCACAGTAGTCATTCAAGGTCTAAAGGGATGGAGGAGTACCTCACTTTTTGCAGATATTGTCCAAATCCATTTCAGACAACTGTCACTGCGTTTCACCTCAACAACCGGCTCGACAATGCAAAGCACCAAGAGTCCTTTTGTGGCAAGCAACTGAAGAATGACGAATTCACAAAGTACCTCGGAGTTACCCCAGATCGCAGCTTCGCCTATCGAGAACATCTGAGGAGGGTGGCTGATGAACTGAAAGCAAGGGTCAACATCATTAGGGAACTTGCAGGCTACAGCTTGGGATCCAGTGCACGCACCCTTTGTACTTCTAGCTTAGCCCTAGTCTACTCAACAGCCGAGTTTTGCTCAAAAGCTTGGGCTAACAGCTGCAACGCAAAACGAGTCGACACTGTCGTTAACTCTGCAATGCGGGTCATCACAGGGACGCTGAAGTCACCTCCTTTGCAGTGGCTCCCTGTCCTCTCTCACATTGCCCCTCCCAACATACGGAGAAGAGAGAGGATGTTGAAGGATTTATGCACAATCGAGGCCATAACCCTAACCTTCCCATCCATGCTGATTTGGAAAACCTGTCCAACATGCGCCTGAAGTCCCGCAAGCCCTTTTGGTCTTCAGTCGAATCCCTGGATGACTTTGATCCTAAGACTGAGTGGCGCAGACTCTGAGCAGATGCGAACACCAACAATGGAGAGATCATCACAGATCCCACAGTAAAATAACCCGGATTTGACCTCCATCGCAAGCAATGGCTAACCCTGGACAGAATCTGCACCCTCCATACAAGAACAGCCTATCACCTGCATAAGTGGGGGATGACAGAGAGCCCTGCTTGTGACTGTGGACATCCAGACCAGACCATCCAGCACATTGTGATTGACTGCCCACCGAGGCTTTTTCCCGGCTTTAAAGTCATCCACACCGTAACTGATGATACCATGGCCTTGATATCTACCCCTGACCTACAACTGTAGGCTGTACACTCCAAACGAAAGAAGAAGCAGAAAGCAGTCAATACTATCCTGATAAGTTAAACAATGCATAATACTTTGGTGATTGATGACGAATTACCTGGCAGATTGACATTGACAACTAGTCCCTCGTGGGTCCACTCTGACTCATCAAACAGATGAGCATGAGGATCAATGTGCATGCTGACATCATCCTCACAGACAGCATAACCAATGGACCAGGTGTAGCCGTAGATACCAGTCTCGTTGTCATGGAAACCATCCCAGTTGGCTGCAATAAAACATTTGTATAATCACTTTTAATATTTAAAAAGCACGGGATAACTCGAATAAAACTTTATTGATGATTTACAAACAGGCTGATAGAGAATCATCATGTTTCTCTATATTCTATTATTGCAGTATCTTGGTCCCGAGAATACTGGGTTAAAGACCATGATCGTCAAAGTAGGACTATCAGAGATGTGGCACAATCACCGAACTCTTGATCCTCCACCATGCAAAGCTTATAACACGTCTCATTACAACTGATGAAATCAAGCACACGTAGGTTTTGAATTTATGCAGGAGTGTTGCAACGAGTAAACAAGAGACAAAAACCTGAAAAAAACTGAGATCGCTATTAGGTCCACCCCTTTTTCCTATATCAGGCCCCGCCCACCCCTTACCTGCCATGAAGGTATTGCTTCTGGTATACAGCATATCCACTAGTTCCTCATAGCCATTAAATACTGTCATAGAGCCAGAACCATCAGTAATATACCTGAGGGGAGCATTGAAAGAAATAGAAACATTGTGGATGATATCAGAGACAATTTCGCCATTGACCAATATTGATAAATTCATAAGACAGTTTACCCATTCCAATTGGCCGAGAGCCCATCACATGACCGGTCTTAAACGGATGATAAAGACATGGCTGGCTGGTCTTAAACACTTTTTTTCAGTGTCACATGAAATTTTGACTCCTATGAAATCCAATGCCTTTTACCGTTTTATTAGTTAAACGTTCACAATCTTCACGTAGGCATGCCGAATAACTTCAGTGAGTCAGTATTTCATACTCCTAAATTCAAAACGCACTTGCCACAGCTGCATCTACACGACATCGCACGCAACAATATTCCATAAAAGGAGTGACTAACCTCCTACTCGACAGCTGCACATTCTATCACATAGCTAGAGGGGGGTTCGGAAAACAATAAGTGAAACTGTTGAACAAAATCAGTTTCGACTTGTTATGACAAGTTTGGACCGAAAAGTTTAGGTTTTTTTGACCGAACAGATATTTTTTGAATGGGAATAAATATGTGTTTGGTCGGTATTAAATACTATGTTTAAGACCAGTTGAAGTTTGGATGCTGATAATTACCCTTGTCTTTGCCTCGGGTAAAGAATAGCATCCAGATTCCAACCGGTCTTAAACATAGAACGATTTCAGATATCCTGACATGAGACAATCCACTGACATGGTAATTAAGGGTCTTTTGCACAGAAGGGATAACTCTTTTGGTTTTGCTGTAACTAGTACAACTATATTTTATTGAACAATTTGCAATTGAGAACCATGAATTCCAATCTTTATGAATTACTGAATCTCATTAAGTGGACTTCTTTGTATTACAATGTAAGAAGTCGCTGAAAAATCAATAAAACCAAAGTGCTCGGGCACAGGCCAGGCAGTTTCGGGCACAACAGTGAGCAATAGACAGGGCTGTTTTGGGTGCTACAGTGAATAGTAGGCAGGGCTGTTTCAGGTGCTAAAGTGAGTAATAGGCAGGACAGTTTTAGGCACTATAGTGAGTGATAGACAGGGCGGTTTCGGGCACTACAGAGAGTCATAGACAGGGCAGTTTCAGGCGATACAAGTGAGTATTATACGGGGCAGTTTCGGGCACTACAATGAGTAATAGGCAGGGCTGTTTCGGGCGCTACAGATAGTCATAGACAGGGCAGTTTCAGGCGATACAAGTGAGTGATATACGGGGCAGTTTCGGGCGCTACAAGTGAGTGATATACGGGGCAGTTTCGTAAGCTACATTGAGTAATAAACAGGGCTGCTTTGGGCGCTACAGTGAGTAATAGGCAGGGCACTTTCGGACGCAACAGTGAGTAGTACGCAGGGCGGTTTCAGGCACTACAGTGAGTAATAGGCAGGGCGGTTTCAGGCGCAACAGTGAGTTATAGACAGGGCGGTTTCGGGCGCTACAGTGTGTAATAGACAGGGCGGTTTCAGCCACTACAGTGAGTAATAGACAGGGGGTTTCAGGCGCAACAGTGAGTTATAGACAGGGCGGTTTCGGGCGCTACAGTGAGTAATACGCAGGGCAGTTTCGGGCACTACAGTGAGTGATAGGCAGGGCGGTTTCGGGCACTACAGTGATTAATAGGCAGGGCACTTTCGGGCACTACAGTGAGTAATAGGCAGGGCGGTTTCAGGCACTGCAGTGAGTACTAGACAGGGCGGTTTCGGGCGCTACAGTGAGTAATACGCAGGGCAGTTTCGGGCACTACAGTGAGTAATAGGCAGGGCGGTTTCGGGCACTACAGTGAGTAATAGACAGGGCGATTTCGGGCGCTTCAGTGGGTAATACGCAGGGCAGTTTTAGGCGCTACAGTGACTAAATTATGTCACCAGTTGTGTGTGGAGCTGATAAATTTAGACGTCACAACAATTCTGAACCTGGTCGCAATTTTCATGTGTTTTTTCTCATAATTGTTAATGATGAACAATTACAGCACACTTTAGAAGCACACCTTTTCCCCAAGTAGGTATATTAGTTCATGCACATTTTAGCAATGAGAAATTTTACAAAGGAGCTAGCATCACATGCAATTGTGGTTTTACAGGCAGTACTAAATGCAGAAAATCAATTATATTCTTCTAGTGCCTTGAGTACCTATACTCCGATACAGATACAGATACAGATACATATACATATATGCTGTGGTTTGTATACCGATGGTTATCTAGCGGTGTGTCTTCAATGCATCGTCTCTCCCATTCTTCTGGTGTGAACTCCACACAGGCTTCGCGCACCACCTCATCCCTGGTCCCATTCACGATCAGCCCCGGCTCCGGTGTTGTGAAGTCCGCTATGATGCCAACGGATGAAATGATGTTCTCATACGCCACGTAGTTCAGGAGCTCTATGTTGAAGTAGTAGAGGTTGTTGTGGACGAGCTGGAGGGATTCGTGGTTGAACTCTATAGCGTGGCCCACACCCAGGCGCTCATAATGGGTGAAGAGTCCGGACTGAAACGCAAGGTCAAAATATAACACCGTTTCATTCAATCTGTGTAGGAAATGCTGTGTGGTTACTGTTGATTAGTAAATAATGGCACTCCCTTAAAACTGATGGCATAGGTGTACCAGATTGTGTAAAAAACACTTTCAGTATTGTTTACATTTTCACTGCAAGAGAGCACAGTTGCACATACAGCAAGGATGTAGTCCAGTCCATCACAAGCCCCTGCAAGTCCATAAAAAATCCTCTATTCAAATGAGCTTTGACAAAGGCATGCCTTAGTTATTGTTCATCCACTGTTTCTTGTGACTTTACTTGTAATTTACTTGTGACTGCATGGACTTAATTTGCCATGGACTTGTGACAGAATCAAGTATACCCTACTGTACAGCTTGGTTCATACGTGCTGCAAACGCAGAAGCTAATGAAAATTTATGACTCCACAGCAAGTGTTCATGTGGCAATTCACAAAAGTGTATGTTTTAACTCTGGCAAAGTTTGATGCAAATTGTCTAAAGTCGTTTGGCATTCATAAACCTGAGGTATAAACCTGCCTTAATTTGCATTACACTCGCAAGTTCATTTAAACTCTGAATATCGCGTTGTTAACAAGTTTTCTTTTTTTTTGCAAAGGAAGGGACTGGCCTCGAAGTCCACTTTCATTCTGTTGACTGAGATGAGTAAATTGTTTTACAGCTGACCTCATGAACTTCGACCCCATGGCCCTCAATCTCCTCCAGCAGTTCACAGGTGAAGAACCGATAGTCGTAGTTGATACTCAGACATTTGCTTTCTGGGAGGGCCAGGCAGTCCCGTGCACATAAGTCGGGGTTGGGACGGGTGAAGGTCGATGTTGGCTTGGAGATGAGGCGGCCTTTCTTGGCGCTGGTGAAGTATTTCAGATCACGGGCTATTTAAAAAAAAGAACAGCGAAGAAATACTGTAGTATTTAACACCAAGAACCCAGAAATTATTCTACAGGCTGTGTCAGTACTATTTCATGTGGTGAAGAACGAAATCTTGGTAACACATTAATATATTTTAATGTTATGCTAGTCCCTTTCTCCTGTTTAAATTTTAGCGCTAATGGTTCCTGAATGCTATAGTGTTATTGTATGTAAGTGTATTTATGGGCTTTCATTCTATTTTAATTTGTTTGAAACTTAGTTGCTATTGTGATATGCTTGTGAATTATTATTGTAACAATTTATTCCCCAGGTTTTTAAAGTTTTTAGTAATTTTTATTGAGTGTATAAGTGCCTTGAGTGTCACTTTGGCAGATTTGGCGCTAATAAGATAATTATTATCGTTTTTATTAATTAGTAATAGTTTTATACATCAAAGCTGACATATGTTATGATAAGGAAGATATTTATGGACAATAAATGACATTTGTACATTGCGTTCACGACCGATTTCCAATGTGCATCTGCCACTTGGTGGAAATGGTGCAAAGGCCCTTTTTTGGCTACCTTTTCATTTTCACTGTTGACGGAATACTGACTATATTTGCGAAGTCGCCATAACTACCTTCTATCATTGTATACACCATTAATAAATACCTTAGACAGTTTACGCATTCCTATTGGTCGAGAGCCCGTCAATTGGCCGGTCTTAAACGGATGATAAAGACATGGCTAGCTGGTTTTAAACACTTTTTCAGTGCCACATGAAATTTGGACTCTCATGAAATCCGGTGCCTTTTAACGTTTCATTGGTTGCACGTTCACATACCTCACGTATGCATGCGCAATACTTCACGTGAATCAGTATTTCATGGTCCAAAATTTACACTACACCAGCCCAGCTGCGTTTTGCGCGACATCGCGCAGTACGCGTAACGCTCACGCCAATGTCCTTATAAGGGAACGAGTTGTCAGAGGGGTGTTTCGTAAAACATGAAGTAAAATTGTTGTAAATGGTTGGCAACGTCTATCCGAGTTGAGGATTTTGTACCATCTCTCTATACTTACCCGATGTTCCAATTTCATCCCTCTCTGTGAGATCGATGATATTCCACGGCACAATCTGATCGCCCCAGATTTCTGGGCCGAAACCGACGCCTTCCTTCTGCATCAAGATGACGGAATCGTCGTACACCACGGCCGCGGCGCGGAGTATGTACGGGTGACTGGTGGAGGTGAAGTCTGGCGTGATGCGACCCGTCGGCAGGGTGACGTCAAAGGTCGGCAGGATGCAGGTAGCAGTGGCATAACCTCCCTCATTGTTCATGGCGTGAACGGTGAAGTAGAGAGGATGCCCCCCTAGCAGAATCTATTAACATTAATAATGATATGTGCATTAAGGAGAATATTAGAAAACTTGGTGAAAACTGGTTGGCAAACCCTGACTCCTAGATATCACCGTAACTTTATAAAAATGCCTTCTTTCTGAGATCTTGACTTTTGTTCAGGTAACAACATTAGTTCGATTAAACTAAATCACAAGCATTGTGGAATATGTATACAAACCAAAAAATGGGCATGCAGGGCCAATGGCCAAATCTACAATGGATTTTATATGGTGTGACAACCAATACAAGACAACTTTCAGTTCAAATCACTGCCTCAAAGTCAGGGTTGCTTTTTGGTTTAAATGAAGTCAATCTAAACCGCAAAAAATATTTCAGGCTTGATAATAGTCTGATAGCAGGGAGTGAGCAAAAGCTCACTTTTGCGGTGACAGAATTACTATCAAGCAATAAAGGCATACTGCTTACTTGTGAAATGATGGCTGAGGGTCCACCAAACTCTGTCTTAGTGAGCACATCGCTGCCTCCTGGTGCTGTGCCGACCTGGTAGAAGAACGTGACTATGCTCTTGTCATCAGCTGCGACCATCTCTAGCTGGAAGGCTGGCTCTGTGTAGTCTAGCCCAGGAACCTGCTCAATGCCGCAGTTGTTCCCTCCTGCACTTCTGGCTTCAACGTCCTTTTGATAAAAAAAAGTATTAAAAGATTATTTACCATAAGTAAGCATAAAATGATTAGCCTAAAATCATTACACAATTGATCTTTACCCGATCTATCTGCTCACTGTTTCCAACAGTTGCATATTCAAACCAATATATTTGCTTGCCGTGAAAGGTAGAATATACCATTTGCAGCTATCCAAAAAGTAACCGACAAAATTATTGTTGAAAAGCTTACTTGTTTTGAAGAGAGTAATATGGCACCGAACTCTCTGTGAAATTATTCTTTCTGGCAAAATGTCATTTTGAAGAAAACCAAAAAAGGAGGCCATTTCCAAATATACATCTAATGACACGTATTTGGAAATTTCTGTTTTTAACTCGGGGAAGCAAAACGGGTGCGTGCAGGCGTGCAGGCGTGCAGGCAACACACACGTGCACAGTTGCTAGTATTCGTTGGTTCAGTGCGTGAGATCATGTAGCTGCAATCGACTGAATAAGAACGTGTCCCGGATCTTGATTTTTGGCGCAATTCAAAGCTTGACTGAGGAACTTTTGAATTGAAATTGAGATCCTAGAATATTGTTTTCTCATAATACACAGCATTCACTGAGCTAAAACTTCATCGGGGTAGTTGTCGAGCATTCTTCTTTAGATTTTGAGAGCTTTTGTTGCTTCAAACGAAAAATACGCACAAATGACAAATGATATACTATACCTTTAAAAGTTAAAGTCCAGGGCTACAAAGGCGGATGGTAGAAGAGGCCACGATGTAAGAAACAATGTAACAATTAAAACATATCCAAATCAGTACATCATCTTTGCTGTAAGGCCCCACTCAGCAAGGGCAGCTAACAAGGACTTTGCATATTGCATTGAACTTTTCAATGGTGTTGGGACATTCACTCGAGTAACCAAAATACCATGCAAGTGTGCTGCCATTTTGTAAGCCTGTGCACATAAAGGTTGGTTGTCCTCTGAAGGCAGATTAATATTTGGTGCCGTAACAGATAACCTAATGAGATTAATTTGTCATGTCCTAGCATCATACCCACTGTGAATTTTTGCACCAGTAAAACTATGGCAAATTATGCTGGAAGTCAAATTCACTTTCCATTTGGATTTTGATACAGTCTGAAAGGGCCTTATCATTGGCAATTCTAGGCCCTTTTTTGTCCTGAAAAAGTGCAAAATGTAGTTCCTTGCATTTTTGAACTTACATTTTTGAACTTACACATAAGCATACAGGCTTGCCTTAAGCACTTGTTATATTGCACTTCACGGTATATTTAGTCCTTAATGAATCCATTAAAACCAGAGTACTGGGGCGGTTTGGAGCGGTATAATGAGTCACAGGCGGGGCTCTTTGGGGCTGGACAGGGACCGATGGGTTAATAAGATTACCTCAAAATTGTGAAACTTTTAAGCATTTCAGTTGTATCAGAAGATTACCAAATTTAAATATTATAAAACTTTAGTCACACTGTTACCTGAGAGGAATATTCTGAGATCTCTGGTGGTGATCGGTCATGATTCTTGGTCTGTTTGTGGAATATGGTTTCGCCAATTGATGGGGTTTGGTAGCGCCACAAGTCCCGCTCATAAAAGGTGAAGTGTCCAATAAAGAAGTTAAATGTCACTATGCCTTTGAGGACAAGGGTGAGTGGGACCATTTCTATTTCCAATTTTAATCTACAAAAGAGAAAGAAAATAAAGAAATAAATAGATTTCAATAAAGAATAATAGTATGAAGGCGCATCAGTTTTCAATATAAGGGGAAAATGGTGTGGGAGAGTAGTTTTTAAAGGAAAAAAATGTTTCATAGAACTACAAGAGACAGTATACATTTAATGTAAAAACAACACTGGCCACAACTTATGGTCATGGTCAATGACCCCTACATGGGAGGTCCCCCTCATCCTGTTTCCAACTTCTCTCCTTCATGAGTCACGGAAACACATGGACAATTCATCGGGGCCATTTCCATGAAATACGTTTGTATTGTTGTTATGTGTCTGAAACGGGTTTATATTGTGAAGGCAAGTGAGGTCACCTTCATTCCGATTCAAGCTCTTTATTTCATTGAATTTGGTAATAGTTTTGCCTTTTCTTTTTACTAACTTTGTATCCCGTGTTATGAGTATTCTCTTCTTTCTTTCTTTTTTTAGATGTAGTTACAATATAGACTCAAGTGTAAGTGGTTTGGCTTCGTAAAATTTTCTTAATTCGATTTGGTCCGGCCTGGTTGCTTTAGAATAAATGGTTTTCCATTAATGGACCCCAAACAGCTTGACTGTTTGTCTCCTTATTTTATGTGGTTCATTATCAGCAACCAGGGAAAGATTTCATGAAACTCTTTTTGTCTATCGACTCATCTTAGGACTTAAGAAAACTCCCCCTTCTAAGATAGATCTTTGCTAAGACGCGTCTTAAGACGGATTTCAATAAACCCATCTTAGGCAAGACATCACGTACAGCTACCCATTTGGTGACTGTTTGGTGTTTCATGTTTTAACTGCTTGACGAAACAGTCGTTGAAAAAGAAAGTCCGATAAATTTCACACGCAAGGTAATTCTACATAATACACAAGATGTAGTAGAGTCATTATTGCTTAGTTTATTGAGATCAAGGGTTTATCTGAATAAAATTAAAATATAGTAAGCACAAGCGGTTTTCTGACATCAGGTAACATTTTATTGGAGATATCAATCAAAAAAGTAAAGTTAATCTAACAACTAGTGTAGGGCAGTGGTGGGGACGGGGGGGGGGGGGGACTTGACCTCCTGTGACACTCGAGGACACTTACTCTCTCCTTTTCCCTTTTTATTATTATTTTAGAGGAAAAGAAGATGAGTAGTATCAATCTAAAAACAACCGCCTTCCCTCCATTGGTTTGGAAAAAAGAAAAAAGAACAAACAAAACAAACAAAAAACAAAAAACAAAAAACAAAAAACAAAAATCAAAAAACAAAAAACAAAAAAAAAAAAAACAAAAAACAAAAAAAACCAAAAAAACCCCCAAAAAACAACAACAACGAAAAAAAAACAAAACAAAAAACAAAAAACAACACACCCACAGACTTTACACTTCAAAATGCCTTACCCAACAACCAATGGGAACTTCGAGAAGAATATCTCCGCTGTTATGGGGAAGGAAGTTTTGAGCAACTGTACCTCGAGTTCCATTCCTCCACAAATTATCAAAAGACATATTGAAACTCCGGCTTTTGCATATGCCCCAACTGTTGGTACCACCGCACCCTGTGAAGTGAAGCATGAGACTTTCTATTATCTTCAGTAATACTACTACTACTATTAATAGTACTTATTTAACCCTTACTCTCTACTGTCATTAATTCAGTAGTGGACCAAGTCCGCCCAATTCCATCACTGACCCTGCTTTACATAATGCTTCAGGTCCAAATCGTGAGTTGGAACCCGTTCAAGTGTAAAAGCAGTATTTGAAACAAGGTGGTTCTCCAACCAAGCATCACGCAGAAATCCACCACGAGACCAACACTTCTATAGGTGGATTTTGATGGACTTTGGTACAGATGGCTTGTCTGCCAAATCCCCCCGCCCCCCCCCCCCCCCCCGAAGCGGAGATGGATTTCTATGGAGTCGAGAAAATTAGGATTAAGGCACAAGTTACAGGACAGCCAATGTGACAGCCAACGACGGAAGCATTATTTGCATTGCATAACTGAAGAAGTCAACATCCACTTTACCACTAGCGACAGAAACTCACATCTGTTTCATTTGTTTTTTGTTTACAATGCTTTTAAGTCAATTTTTGTTTCTGTACATAATGTTTTTTTTATTTTTGATTGTGAACAATGAAGAGCAGATTAGCTACGATAGTTATACAAGGAGTATGAGGTTGAAAGGTAACCTCTGCACTGTGTTTTCTGCTCTGAACCATGATGACTTTCAAGGTGGCTCTAAGTTTTGCAAAACAGAACAGGTTTATACACACTTCAAATGACAAGGGATCTGAAAATCAGTGTGGGATTTTTATCAGTCACAAAAGATGATGGTGGTAAGCAGCACATGATTAAATGTAGTTTGTTGACAAGTCATGAGTTAAAACCTGTTCCAGTGTAAAAGCAGTATTTTAAGGGAAGGTGGTTCTCCAACCACGCGTCTCGCCTGCTTTCACGATTATCTTTAAAGAGTTACTAAATTTAAAATGGGACCAATTTTACATTTTTAGCATATTGAACAACTTGACCACAGCTGACCTTTGACCTCGGTATGCAAACTTTGAAGGTTTCCATGTTGCATCTATGACCCAAGTTTGGTTCCAATTGGACTTCAACTTTTCAAATGAGACCAATTTTACATTTTCAGAATATTTCACAACTTGACCTCAGATGACCATTGACATGATAACCATTATGAAGGTTCCCAAGTTGCATCTGTGATTGAAGTCTGGGTCCGATAGGACCTCAACCTTTGGAATGAGACCAATTTTACGAAACTTTTACCAAATATCACATAAACACATACTACATACTACACAGACATAGTGATTGCATAGTCTCTAATTTGCCGGACAAAGTTCAGGCGAGACAAAAAGTGTGTATTTTACCGTGGCATGCATTGAAACAAAGTAGACAGACAGTGGTATCTTTATTTCACAGAAACCACCAGCTTCAACATCTGAAACAAAAATAAACAATATTGTTTTCTCTCAAAATAATGCACTTTACAGTGTTTCATTGAGACTCAAATCACTGCCAATGCTCATTGGAAAGGTTTTTCAAGCAAACGTATAAAGTTATCCAATGACATAACTACAGGGGGAGGGGTCATGGGGGGTCCCCAAGTGCCCCCTAGAAGTTTAAACCCTAATCTAATATGCCATTGCAGTTAGTGTGCTGGATATATCATCAGTTTGTGTGGTCTTGTGATGTCATACGCAACTCACTATCTGCTACGGATATATCGTGCGCTGCCCGTCAGTGTGAAACGTACAGTAAATTGGCAATATTCATCCTCTTTTCTGATAATTGAATTGGGGAGATTTTATTAAAATAGGATTTTTTTTTTTAAAATTGGTGCCATTTTAAAAAATTTTTCAAAGCAGGATTAGTCGTAGATACAAAGCTTTCACCGGAGGCAGTAAACTTTTTTTTTATTGAATACAGTTCCGATGACTAGGCATATGCGTATGCTACACAATGTGAAACAACGGAGTGGTCGATAACGTACCAGTATACATAGCTAAATGTATGTGTACTGTATCCGTTTGGATGCGAAACCTCTCTTAAATTCCCATCTTGGCCACCATTTCTATGATTTGAGTCATAGGCAAGGGCACTTTGATCACATTAACATCAATTACATTGAGCAGCGCAGCGTGCACTAAATTGTCCAAACCAACAGTTGTTATACAGTAAAGGAAGAATGACCTCTTCTTCATTACAATGAGCCTGAGCATGAGTCCGTATGATGACATATGAGACAGATGATTGCATATATAAATAGGGCTGAGAAAAGAAAATAGTCAATGTGGATGGTACTCACGGAACATTAAGAATATAACGTAAGCAAGCATGGTACTGTATGACTTCTTGAAAAACACGAGTTTTCTTTTCGGGAAGGTAATCTGGCCGCTCAGTTCAATATCAAACTGCTGGAAGGCATCCTCTGCAATGCCTTCAGTGACTACGTCAATCTGTTCTTCTGTCTGATAGTGAGAAAAATATAAGAACTAAATCAGCAATCTCAACTGATAGGGTTGCCTTGAGTTGAGTATCCATGGGGCGTGCATAGGAGTTTTGTTACCACATCAGTGATTTTGTTCCGTTGCCAAAATTTGTTTTTATAGTTCTTTCTAGGGGTGGCAATTCTAGGGGTGACAAACAAAAACACCAATTCTTGTTCAGTAGTTGTGGGGACACACACTTGTCGCTTCCAGGTATTAGTGGGGACTGAAAACGCTATGGGGACAGCACAAAGTCCCCATAACTCGGTCCTCATTTGTCTAACAATAAAAAACTTCCCAATAACGCAGCGAAGGCCTACCTACAGGTTTTTTTCACCCATTGCGTATGTTCACCTAGAATGTTCTAAGGAGCTTAATATATAGCACTGGCAACCAAAATGTATCTTACTCTGCTATCTTACTATAGTCTGGTAACTGCATGTATAAAAAGGTATAATAACTTTGACCTGGAGTCATTGCTACAGGTAAAATCCCACCTCATTTCTAAACTACAAACAAACTATTGTGAATAAAATGCAACTCACAAAGGTTCTGTAAAGAGAGCGTAGATCCTTCATTAGTTGAACGACAACGAATGGGTCGATGTTCTGAAGATCCAGCATTGCTTCTAACTCCCCAATGGTCATGTTGGCAATGCGCTTTTCGAGAGCACCAAGACCCTTCGCTGTTAGACATCAAACAATCAAAGGCACATTGTTTTAAGGCCAAAAATAACATTTAAAAAAACAACAACAACATAAAATTGTCAAATTGATTTCAATCAGCTAATTGTAGTAAGTGAATAATAGTATTAAGCATCCGGTGAAATCATAGGAATTTTGAATATCTTTGAATATACCACATCCAATAATAGGTGTGAGCCAGCTATTGAAGTTATGCGTATGCTCTGTTAGATACATGTTGGGTTTTTTCACATTCGGTACCCAGGTAATTGCTTTGTGACCTATGGATTATATGCACGACAGATCCATATTGTGCAATGTAAACTAGACAGTCACAGTAGGGCTTACTTTTACATGAAGTAACCAAGAATTCTTTAACAAATGACATCATGGTCACTGTCCTGTGTATGGTTGTCATAACCATGCCAACACGGCAATGGGTTTTGGCTTTGCAGTTGTTGCGATCCATCACAGCTTTAAAGGCTTGCCTACTACATAATGCATGCCGTGCTATTTGAATTTTTTATTACAATGGTGACGCTCACTTTCCGGCACCCAGATATAAGCCAGGCACCTGGGTCAGCGAGAGACCTATATATGAAACACAAATCCTCACTGGTTCTAATACTGCCTCAAACCTACTTCATTCAAAATTCATTCCATAAACAGCTTACGTGTTAATCCTCCACCGATGATGATGTTTCCTTGCCATGTACCACTGACAGTGTTTGGTGCCAGGCTAAGGTCAAATAAACTAGCTCCTCCTGCAACAAATCAAGGTGCCTTAGACGGTTTGGAAAAAAACACCCAATCACCGTCTTGAGTCTAGTTATGTAGGAGCACGTCTACCAGTCCTTCTATAAATGAACTGTTTTTTTTATGCTTGTGATAGCCCGTTCCTGCCATCTGAATTGCAATTGTTTGTTTCAAACTCACCATTTATAATGACACATGAAGGGTTGTTTAACCTCTGCATTAATAAGGGAATAAATGTGTGCTTGTTGGCCGGTCTTAAACAAGTACGTTTAAAACCGGATCAGGGGAATGGACGCTGATAATGGCCCGAGTCGAAGGCGAGGGACATTTTCGGTGAACATGCCACACAGCTGGTCTTAAATAAACTACCGGCCAAGCACATTTTTATTCCCATTCATAATAACCTTTGAGTAAAAAAGTCAAAACAAGTGAAAAATATAAAGTTTCCAACCTTTTACTTCTTCTTGTAACACCCCTCTAGCATGAAAGGTTCTTGACCAATAGAAATGGATAAACTGTCCCAGGTATGCATGAATTGGCCTTATTGATAGACAAAATCTACAAAGGTTAAAAAAGCAAGACAAGTCCACTTGATACGCCACCTGCATATTTTTTATACTGTTTTGGAACTGATGTCTTACAAAAATACTTTGGCTGCCATCGGTGCACAGCAACAAATTAATGCCGCGTTAATCCTATGCATGGCGTAACTGAGTCATGTTCATCAATCACTAAGCAGGTCGTCATCTTCCAGCATTACCTGAAATCCCTGTTGGAGCGAGTGGAGCGCCCCTTCTCTTTCTCCTTGTTACTGGAGTTTGATCTTCATTATCGAAGACAAGAAGACCCATGGAGCGACGGCTTGCTGTGCCTGATTCAGGAATCCCTACAAGAGCAAGCACACAACTCCATTCAATTTCGCCTGGAACATGTTTGTGGTTTCAAATCCAAGGTGTCAACATTCATTCGTTAGTATGGGTTTATAATCAGTTTTGCATCGTTGTCATAATTTGCGAGTCCTTTTTCAATATATCTTTACAGGTTCGGACTACACCATCAAATCGACGCAGACATAAGGGATGGGGATGGGGCCTCCCACTCCTTAAAATATTCCACTTTGTTTGCCCACTTTTGGATTCCTATCACAGACATGTAAGTTCCATGCCCTCCCCATAGGCGAAGCCAGCAGAGGGGTAAGGGGGCATTTACCCACCCACTATTTTGTAAACACTGCCTCTAACCATTAAAATGCCCTTTTTTGACTAGCGCTTACCCCCCAATATTTTGTAAAGAGTGTTTTTTTTTTCAAGTGTCTTTTTTTTCTGAACAAGTGCCGTTTTAAAAAGAATGTGTACCCTTTTTGTGCATAGGCACGGAAAAAAAAACATTTCAGCACGGAGGTACAAATGCCATTTTCAAGAAATGTTTACCCTCCTAATAAAAATGATATTGCTACTCTATTGCTCCCCATCTTGTACTCAGTTTCACAAGTGCTCTTCTGCCATATATGGCTTGAATGGCAAAGTTGTGTCAATTCACAAGCCCCCGTAAGTCACAACAAGTCACTCACAATTAAGTCCTCCAGTCTTAATTCATAGAGCAATTTATCACTTTCAAAAAACGGTGACAATATTCCTTACTCATATTTGTATGCCATTGTTACTGTTGACCTTATTTGTGATTTGGCTCGTGACAGACTTCGTGATTCTCTTGTGATTAGACTTGAGAATGACTTGTGACTTGACTTGTGACATGACTTGTAATTGACTAGTGACCTGACTTGTGACTTACTAGTGATCTGACTTGTGACTAATTATTAATTAGATTTGTGACTGAATAGTGATTAGACTTGTGACTGCAAAGTGATTTGACTTGTGACTGAATAGTGATTTGCCTTGTGACTGATTAATAATCTGAATTGTGACTAGTTAGTGATTATACTTACGACTTAATAGTGATCTGGCTCGTGACCTTTTGGTGATTTGACTTATGACTGACTATTTAATTTACTTGTGACTGCCTAGTGATTTGACTTGTGACTGATTACTGATTTGACTTGTGAATAAATAGTGATTCGATTGACAAGTGATTTGACTTGTGACTGACTAGTGGTTTGACCTGTGACTGACTAGTGATTTGACTTGTGACTGAATATTGATTTGAATTACTAGTGATTTGACTTGTGACTGACTAGTGATTTTAGTTTTGAATAACTTGTGATTGAAAAAAAGACTAACTTTTGACCACTTTCTCCGGCTGCAGCTTTGTCATGACGTTATCCTCAGATGAGTACAAGGTGGTTATTTTTCTTGTGACTGACAAGTGATTTGACTTGTGACTAACAATTGATTTAACTTGTGAATTACTAGTGATTTTACTTGTGACTGACTCGTAATCTGACTTGAGACTACCTACTGATTAAACTTATGACTTACTAGTGATTTGACTTGTGACTGACTATTGATTTGAATATTTGTCATTTGACTTTTGACTAACTATTGATTTTACTTTAACTGACTAGTGATTTGACCTGTGACAGACTACTCATTTGTCTTGTGACTGACTAGTGATTTGACTTACTAGTGATTTTACTTGTTTACTGACTAATGATTTGATTTGTGACTGACTAGTAATTTGAGTTGTGAATGACTTGTGATTGAAAAAAAGACTGACTCACTGGGCTTGACCACTTTCTCCGGCTGCAACTTTGTCATGACGTTATCCTCAGCTGAATACGATGTTGAGTTTCCAATAAGAATATTCTTAAAGTAGGCCCTGGCCTTGTCTATAGGATTATCTGTCACGTCATCCATGCTGTCCATTCCCTCCGCAGACTCACTTGTACTATGGGGGTGGAATCATAGACAAAATGGCAATAAGAATGGTATCGGAATGCACTATGAAACAATTTCATGTAAGGCAAATGTGCTTTGGATATGCTACTGAAATTAACCTTCGGAGCAGCTTAGCAAAAAAAAAAAATCACACGGAGTGGTCACGTGGAGAATTGTATCACCACATGTGTTTCTGGGTCAATAACCCCGCATGCCTGTACATGCACAAGATATAGGTCAATCACATCGTCAGGGATTGTTTACAACCTGTCTTAGCTCTGGGCGGTATGAGGGGTTGACACAAAGAGATCGGCGGCACGAAGGGGTTGGCCGCCATTTTCTCTAATTACTGCTCAAAGGCATGAGCTGCCATCTTGGCTTCTGTCTTTCAACACTCCTTACTCCGGAGTGGCTAGGGTCTGGCCAATCGGAGTCTACAGGCTTGTGGTGTATAGTAGGGGTGAGGATTACATGGAAGCTTGGCCTAATTTGCCAATTGAAAAAAATTGCCCATATTTGGAAAATGAGGATTATAAAACTACCCTCGGGCTGCTCGAAAACTGTAGTGATCATATGCCACAGGGAGCATACCAAAGTCAAGAAACTGACATTACTACAATGTGATATACACAATGCTGCCACAATCAATACCTTATATGTTATTGCAACACTATACATATAGAGTGGTGGGATGGGAGAAAAATGAAAAACTCCACAAAATAATCAGCACAGAGTTTGAGGGTCGCTGTGGGCCCCAGAGCAACATAAGGTCTATGGTATATGTTTGTATTTGCCTAAAGGCACGCCTTATAATACCATTTTATTATATAAACTTTCATATGTAAACCTAACGATACATCTTCGTAATTACGCCTCAGCTTCAAAGAGTAAGGTTTGTGGGAGGCATTTGATGGTTGTGAAAATCATATGGTAACCATTCAAAAATGGTCCACTCACAGGTCGTCCACGCTTCTTCTCTTCCTCCTTGTGCTGCTGCCTCCACCTTGCTGATCAGCACAATGTGATCCTGAGAACATTGCATCTCTGAGGATGACAATGGGTTCATCACACACACCATGCCAGCACAAGCTGATGTCTAGATCCACGTCATAGATAGTATTGTGGGGACGCTCCACGTCATACCTGCAAGGAATAAGAGTCTGTTATGGGGAAAAAATATGATCCAGGACCAGTGGTCAACAAGTATACAAATACTACAGCTATGTTCGATGAACACAACAAAGGGCTTTTTTGGCAGTATGATTTTTTAAATGAATGTATGGCTTGTTTTGCATGAGCACTGTAATGAGGGATTTAATCAATAAAATGCCCCGATGTACTTGCCGTTTGGGGGAATCGTTGTAGTTCTGAAGATAAATGGCTCGTCGTGACCTGATTTTAATTTTTACTTTTTTTAAGCGTTGTTCTCTGTGTAATATATTTCAAAATAAGCATCTATGTAACTGTTTTGTACAACTGTAATTACACACACATATCTTTCACGTCAAGGAAATTATTTCATAATTCTATAAAACGTTGATTTGTTTGTTCCTACAACGTGAAACGACACATCGTTAATAAATGACGTCATTGTGGCGAATTCATACACATTCCTTGATATCTTCGTATAGAGGCATATAGAGTTTCAACCCAATATCTCTACACATAGGTCTTATTAATTCAATTGAATTACGTAAAAAACACAAATTGTGACACTCTGATCTGTAATCCATATATGTATAATTGAAATCAGTAAACTGAGCATAATAATTATCATGTGAGAAATTCAGATACTATTAGAGTTTGTAGGAACAGACACACGGTGTTGGGTTATGATCGATATGATGGAAAGACAAACGTTCATAGGCACATGTATGTTTTCTTTTTAAGCCATTGCAGTATTATGACCCATACACCACCTTTAATACCGTTCGACAAATTTGCAAGAATAGGATCCCGTCAATTGAAAAAAAGCACACTTGACATTTTATAATGAAGATAATTCATTCATTTCCCAAAAGAAAGCAAAATCAAGTCTCTGTCCGTCGTCAGGAGAGCAAACTGTCGAAAACGTTTAGTTCGCCCCGGTTCGTCTCAGAGTAACTCACAAAAGAGATTTGTCAATGGTTCAATCGTTAATCTTTATGCAACCTTCAACATTCAAACCTTCAAATCTTATAGCAGTATTACTTTGGGATGTATCCTGCGTCCAATGTTAAAATTGAACCACTTAATCATTTGATATATCAAACAGTCTGTTTTCGAAGAACAGAGCACACTGTTCAAAACATGAATTCATGCATTTCCTCTCAGAATACCACGCAGTTACATTAGTACGCGCAGCTACTGCAAATCCTCGACCAACTGATCTAATATATCGGTTTTGCTCGCTGAAGCACCATTTCAAACAGACCACTTTTGGCTAACCATAGGCAAAGGGTTAACTCGGGATATGGATAAAGGATACAGACTGCTTGACATGATTGACCTTACCTGATTTTCAAATCTCCTAGCTTTTTCTCAAAGGAATGAGCTGTGGCAAATAAAAAAAGGATTTTATAAATATTAACAAATGAAAACAGTATGTTGTTCTTAACATTAAACATTTCTGAATTGGTCTGTAATCCTTGATATATATTTTCTTGCAAATGTGTTTTGGAAATGTGAACATGCACAAAATACTCACTCATACCATTGAATTTGTCTGAGTGAACTCTCTTTGTTTGGTTGTCTAACTGAATGTTTTAATCAAAATTGTATTCGTTTTGGAGATTAAATACGAGTAAAATTACCATGGCTTGAAATTTGTCCAATGAAATTCATACACTTAGCTAACATTAGTTTCATTCTTGAAAAGACTGAAGTTGATAACACAGTTTTGATGACACGGTCAATTCTAAATTCCAGCGCTTCTTACACTGCAATAATTGTATGCTGAGCATCTCCATGTGACTCCATTTCTCAAAGCCAAATGAGAAGGTGCGAGTGCAGGGGTCCAGCGTCATCCAGACTGAGAATGACCTCTGAACTACGCCCAGGTCAAGGTTCAAGCAGCAACCCACCCCGAGACAGGACTGGTCCAGGGAGCAGTACTGGGCGATGGAGGATGGAAGAGAGAGGGAACTGCAGCCTGACGGGAAAAAAATCGTAACTCTTAGCTTTACAAATTTTACTGATATTAACATGAGGCATACCTAACCCAACCCTATATTCCCTTCGTCTAAGACCTGGTCTCAAACAGAGTAGTAGCTGAGTCAAGAATAAGCCATGCACAAGTCTAATCACACACCATTGAGTAACAAGCAACAGGAGATGAACATAATTGCCAAGGTAACATCTTTACATTGGCGTAGTGCCTTTGGAAAATAACTAACATCACGTTTCGTGATTGACATGTGATTCACTCATAATCATGACTTCCCTAAAACATCAGTTGCACTTGAAACTGCAGGACACTTCGTCTTCACCATGCCTTCACAATAGCATTTTAACGCATGAACTACAGGTACTACTACTCGATCCCACGACGGTCTGCTTTCTAGTGCAGACGTCTTACCACTCGAGCTGCCGGGATCGGTTGGCTGGTTTGAATCGGACGTAGCAGCGGGTACCGCAATTAAACTATTCATGAAACTAACACTGTATATTCAGTGTGTTACCCCCTGAGTGAAAAAAAGGAGAAAAATCACTCAGGTCTTTTTTTCTTTCTAGCTTTCACTCGGGAACGGGCCGGTATACATACTGAGGATACAATGTTAATACGTCGATAAAGGGCAAAACCTTATAATAAATTTGCATTATCCCGAAGCAGATTCCATTTTATAAATAACTGCAGATGCTGCGGGCAGCCATCCCGATTATAGGGTTTAGAGAACAAACTAGCTAAAGAAAGGAGTAGCTTTAAATAAATTAAATTGATTGTTTAATGAAAGTATTCTCCCATGCCTGTGTTTGATGGTGTGATCTGCTCTGGTGGACCGCTGCAGGGTTGAGGCAGCAGAACATCAGTGCTGACACCGAGACGGTTCACCACCAGGCCACTAGCATCGTCACCACTGTCACCAACTGAGGAGCAAGCACAAGGCGACAGACAACTCAGACAAAAAACCCTTTTGTTTGAATGTAGAGTGCTGGAACAAGCATTCAGCTAAAACTGGTGTACATTATCTGTTATTTGTTTTGATTAATTTAAATATTTAATGAAATCAAGCTTTTCTCATTACAGTGTTTTCCAGAAAAAGTGGGCCCGGATAACTCAGCGGCCATATCGATCTAAAAAATTTTGTGAGACTTAATTGTGGTTTTTTTTTTAATGCTGTTGATGTTGTAATCGCCTGTGGAAAACAGTAACTGAATTAATTGAAGACTTTTTAAGCCATGACTAGGAACGTAAGAGCTCCATAAAATCGAAATTTGCATTTGTTACGGCCTTAGCTTGTTTTTGTGCTGGTAAATTAGTGCAGAGAGGGAGACCACGAACCTGTCACGCACAAAAACATTTCACATGCAAACAAGAAAAGTCTATGTCTATATTTCATAACACATTTATATTGTAATGTTCATAAATAAAATCTTATGCTGACAAAAATTAGATATTGCCCCTTGAACATATTTCATTAATAATCATTAATTTTTTTTTGCAATTCCGCACAACGAAAGTTCCAAAAAAGCACAGGATCTGTACAATGAAATGTAATGTCGATGTTGACGTGACAATGTGTCAATTGTTATTTTAAGAGCCCTTACGTTTCTAGTCATATCTTGAAAAGTGTTAAATCAACTCAGTTTATTTCTTCACAGACAATAAACAACATCAACAGCATTGAACAACAAAAATACCCTGCAGCTCTTTACTTGTAGCTTGTTTGGCTTGGTGCTTATTCGACATGGAAGCCAACATTATCGAAAAACAAATACAAAATTTAGTTTGACGTGAACATATATATATTTTTTTAGATATGGCCGTAAATTTATCTGAGCCCCCTTTTTGGGGACAAACTGTATAATAAGTAAATTCATTGGGTTGATCATATCTTTTGTATTTAAAGATGCAGTGCATTATTTCCAGCTATCCGAAAAGTAACTGACGTTATTATTGTTGAAAAATATACTTGATTAAAAGATAGTAACGGGACTAAACTCAATGTTAAATTTATTCTTTCTGGCATGCTGTCATTTTGAAGAAATCAACGATAGAAGGCCATTCCAACGACGTGTCTAAAGACGCATCGTCCATCCCTGGTGGTTCTCATGGTTAACTTTCAAACTGCTCCGTTTTTAATATTTTAATAGCTTCTTTGCACAACCACCTTGATTTTTTTGTAGAATGTGAGTATCGATACTTTTTTTTATTTAGTAGGCCCTTTACAAATCATGTCCCCGGTATTTATGCCCTGTTGGTTATGCTCTAAGTGCTCTAAGTGCTTACTGATTTAATTTGTTTTCTTCAAATAACCGCTTATAATTAATTACTTTAAGTAGCAAGAAACAACTTTTTTTAAAGACCTGCTCAAAGTGTCTGCCTTTTTGGAACTGCTAAATGTTGTGTTTCAAATCCTGTTTGAGTCTTGGTTATATACACACAACTTACCCGAGTCTTGAACCCACTCCAAAGAACCGTTGGAATGACAGAATGGTATCGGTGCTGTGAAGTCCTGAAGGATGACAATGTCAGGAGCGCAGACTCCAGCGATGCAGAGTTGCAGGGAGAGGGAGAGGAGGAAGTTACGGTTGTCTGTGGTCTTGTCGACGGTGAAGGTGAGTAAGACCACATCACTCAGTCTTTCCCTTGTCACTTTGCCCCACTTGTAACTGCAATAAAGACCAATTCACAATAACTGTAACTTTCTACGAGTTAATTTAGTACTTCAACGGTGCCATGTTGGCCTTTCATCATTACGCGCTTGTCATATCACTTACATTATAATAGGCAGTCATCATCAAACTCATTTTGTTTTCACTTATCTTTAATTGAGGACTTCTCTCTCGTCAAAAGTCAAAAATAACATAGCACGACCCTCAACTTTTGATTTAAAGCAATATTCATAAATACCTAAGACAGTTTACCCATTCCTATTGGTTGAGAGCCCGGCACGTGGCCAGTTTTATGAAATGTGGACTCCTGTGTAATCTTCTGTCTTTTACCGTTTTATTGGTTGAACGTTCACAATCATCTTGTAGGCATGTGCAACACTACCAGAGAGTCAGTATTTCTTAGTCCTAAAATCACAATGCACTGTTACAATTGCGTTCTCCACCACATCGCGCAGTACACGCACGCCAATCTCCACATAAGGAGTTGTTTTTTGACTTCCTCGCGAGAGGGATATACCATAATATAGCTAGAGTCATAATATAGCTAAAGCATGAAGTAAAATTGTTGAAACAAATCATTGGAAATTAAAAAATTGTGACATGTTTTGAATTTTGGACCGTAAAGTTTTGATTTTTTTTTTACCGAAAAGATATTGATGAATGGTAATAAACATGTGCTGAGCCGGTTTCAATCACTAAATTTAAGGCCAGTTGGAGTCTGGATACTGATAATTACCCTCACCTTCAGTTCGGGTTATTATTAGCATCCAGACTCCAACTTGTCTTTAACATAGTATTTGAAATCGGCCAAGCACACATTTATTCTCTTATTAGCCACTCTGGACAAAAGCTTGCACAGTGCATCCTCCATCACTGGGGAGCATCTTAGAGCCCGCAGCAACTGTGTACCGAGATCGGTATTAACTCTTTCTCCGTTTTCATTGAAGGGTCCTCAAGAGTCAGCCATACCTCAAAAGAGTGACATTGTAACTCCAGTTCTCAAATCCAACGCTCAGTTTGAAATCACAGGGGTCAACAATCAGCCAGGCCCTCAGGGTGCGACTGATGATGCCGAGGTCTACTGCTAGACAACACTCCATCCCTAGGCAGGTATCCGCATAGTGACATACACCTCCCGATGGAAGTGTGGGCTGAGAGGGGAGATGTGGACACGCTACGGAAAAAAGCAAGAAAAAGTGGTGATACTAACAAATAAGAAGAGTTATTAGAATACCAGATTTCATTCTGTAATGTTTATGTTCGCAGTAGGCTGAATAAATTTACACAACTGTATCATGAGCCGTGCTCTAACTGAAGTAAATGTGTAAAACGAAATGATTTTTGAACTTTTTTTGACATCTTCAGAGAAGTATACATATAGATGACAATGGGGGAAAGTGAAAAACTGTACAAAAAAATAGATATAGGATTAAACAGTCACCGAGGGTCCCACAGCAACATAGGGTTTATGAATATGATTGTTTATTTCATATTAAATGGCATGGTCAATGTGGTCATTGAGTATTGCATATTACTAGCCAAAATATCTGCAAAATGACAAGCTACCTAAAGTTTATATCGAGTCAAAGTCAATTCCTAATATTGTGTTTCTATCATATAATGACAATTCATAAATACCTCAGACAGTTTAGCCATTCCTATTGGTCGAGAGCCCGTCACGTGGCCGGTATTAAACGGATGATAAAGACATGGCTAGCTGGTCTTAAACACTTTTCCAGTGTCACAATAAAATGTGGACTCCTAAAAATCCAGTGCCTCTTATCGTTTAATTGGTTGAACGTTCACAATCCTCACGTAGGCATGCGCAACACTACCAGGGAGTTAGAATTTTATAGTTCTAAATTCAAAACGCAACGCGCCAGGTGCGTTCTGCGCGACATCGCATAGAACATGATACGCGCGCGTCAATCTCCATAAAAGGGTTGTTTTCATCTTACTCGCCAGCTGAACACTCCATTATTTTGCAGGAGGGATGATTCAAAAAGCATAAAGTGAATTTGTTGAACAAAATCGGGATGTTTTGAACGAATTATATGATTTTTTTTTACCGAAAAGGTATTTATGAATGGGAATAAATATGTACTCCGTCGGTATTTATCACTCTGTTTAATACCACTTAGAGTCTGGATGCTGATAATTACCCTCGCCTCCGGCTCGGGTAATTATCAGCACCCAGACTCTAAGTGGTATTAAACAGAGTGATAAAAACCTCCGGAGCACACATTTATTCCCTTATTAATTCCACACTCAAACCCCAGAAAAATAAAAGTAAATTCTTACACGTAAAGTGAAGATAACTTGTAACTAACAATATCTTCAGAAATATTTTCTTTGCAAAGTTTTATAATCAGAACATGGTGCTCTTTAAGCGTCCGCAAATTATTTATCACTTAAGCACAAGTTATGAGAACAATTCTGGACAAAATGTGCCATCGTAACTTGATCAGCTGTCACACCCACAGCAGACTGTCCCTACCTCCAGACTGGCCAGGCTGTATCACAGGTGGGCAAGGTGAGGCCGAGACTAGACGAGATGGTAAGCCAAGAGCCTGAGCTACAGCCTCGAATCCAGCATCCAGGCTTCCCAACTGAGAAATGGAGGTTATACCTAGCAGTGATCAAAACAAAGTAGCATCTTGTCAAGTGGCTGACAAGAATGAGAAGAGATTAAACATATGACATCTGCATAGGTTTTCCTTTCATGCAAACTAAGGCCAGTTTATACGTGAAAGCGAATTTATGCAAAGTGTTAACATTCGTTCACAATCCTCACTATCGTTCACAATAGTTTCCATTCCGGTAAATTTTGCAGCGAGTGTTTCGTGACTCCAAACTCACTTTGCGTACACATTCGCACTAAGTATGAACTGATCGTACATTCAAGTCCCAGCAGGATATCCTACTCATAGACAGAATGACAAGGGCGTGAGCAGAAACAAACAAGCAGACACAGAAGCTTGGATAGAAGGGAACGGTTTCCTTTAAACGTAAATTTAGATTTAGCAGTCACACCTGGCAAATTTTTCCAGGAAATGGTTCCGTTTGGGTAGCACATAGGAAGAGGAGATACCGCACCATCTAAGATCATTAATTGTCCGGTGCAATGACCATCGATGCAGGCTTCTATGGACAGACTGACTGATATATGACCATCCATTAGAGCCAGTGTGTATCTGCATTATAGAAAAACAAGCAAGAAGTGCTGGTGTACACACATCAATATTAGCAGAAATTTAGCAATGTTAAGCAATCAACAAATAACGCTGAAAGAATAGTCCAAATATAAGTCACAATAATAAAAATGTTTTGTGTGTTTATCAGTTCATTTAATTTAAACGCTGATATAGTCAAGTATTACACTGCAGACCTATCCCATAATGAATACATTTTCTTAGGATATTTATTTAAATGCCAATTCACACTTGATGATCAATAATAAACAAGACATTGATTTTACCCAAGTGTCGCAAGGTTGCCAATGGTGATATCTTGACTGGTATCGAAGTCCAGGTGTGAGAGGGATTGACTGTACTGCCAGTTGCCAAACTGTAGCGTCAGCTGGCCCAGGCATGGATCTATCTCCATAGAGGCACTGAATGAGTGATTCAGCGGTCCAAGGTTCACATCCAGGCAGCAATGCATGCCAAAGCAAGTGTTGAGGATGCCACAGTGAGCCATGGAGGTCAAGTTACTAGCCAGCTGCATGCTGGGACAATCTGGAATAAAATATGCAGAAATTATAAGTCCTAATTCATGAAGCCTGTGTGGCAACGCATACCAAAACAAATTACAATCTGAACTTACTGTCATAAGACTGGGGTCCACTGGGGTTGACACACGGTAGATCACTAAAGAAGTCTGGGTCGATGCCAAGCCGTGATAGGAGGGCCAGCGTTGCTCCCTGGATGACCTGTCCCGATAGAGTTTCTACGAAACCATCAGCTGGATTGAAGTATTAAATGGGATCGTAAGTTTGGGTAAGGCGGCTGTTGAAATGTGAAGGTTATTGTATGGACTTTTTTATCAAGTGCCCCCAAAGTTGACAAATGTGAAAGAAACACTTGCAGGGGCGGATCCAGGAATTTTTGCGGGGGGGGGGGGGTGAGTGTCAGGCCCGTCAGATTTGTTTATGTCCGATTGTTGCAGACAGGCTGAATGTCATATTTTATTATTATTACTGTAATTGTTACAATTTTTTTATTGGAGGGGGAGGGTGAGAGCAGGAGAGGGTTTCCACCCCCAAAACCCCCCATCTGGATCCGCGCCAGACTTGAATCCCATTTCTACTCTGTGCCCAAGTGAAGACACTATGAGTTTGTGCGCATTCAAACCAAGTTTATTTTTTGTGCTTAACTGCCGCTTTTGCACGAAAGTAGCAACATTTTTGGGTTGTTGTTTTATTTCACAATGAAGCTTTTGTGAGTTATCACACATATTCATCAGCTGCTCCTGCACTGAAGAGTGTTAGTTCTAGGGACTCAGCATGAAGACAACTTTGAAATGGGCTGGCATAGGCTTGGCTTGGCTGGGTTGGTAAATCAAAGTGCAATAAGTTACAGCAGCGGCTTAGGAACCTGAATTCATTCCATGTGGACAATACCATTTTACAAATGTTTTACAAATCTGCCTTGCAAAGTATTATTACATACTGTCTTATATGTGTATTTGGAAACATGCAAGCACTGGATCGGTCTAAACTGGATAGGGTAGTTAAGCAAACGAACAAAATAATTGGTACTGATCAATCAATGGTTGACAACATGTATAAGTCTCTGATGCTGAACAAGATTGAAATGATTATGTCAGATGAAACTCAGCCTTTGTATGAAAAATTCACTAGAGCGGAGGATTAGAACTAAGCAGCATGCCAGTACATTTGTCCCTTCAGCTGTTCAGATTTTTAGCGTGCAGTTGGAGCAATGATGATTATTATGTTTAATACAAGATTTACAGAGATTAACACAGGATTTAAATTGTACCCACATGGAATTTTTAAGGGGGCTTTTGTAGGTTTTGTGCAGTATTTTTTATCTTTTAACACAATTGATGAGACTGAAATAGTGAATTTGAAGGGTCCCTATAATTACACGAACATCTGTTCGAATAGTTATAACACAGACTTTTAATTTGTAATCACATGGAATTTTAAACAGGCCTTTTGTTTTATGTTATGCGCAGTATTTTATCTGTACTGAATTTTAAAAACTTTCTATTTCTCTCTTCTGAGTGAAGTACATGTATTGTGATCTGTGTGAAATATTATTTATTATTTGTAATTTTGTAAGTGTTCATTTTTGTGTTTAATTGTAATTTCCCGTCAGGGATAATAAAGTCAATTTGAATTGAATTGAATTGAATTGTATTGGCTTGGCTGGGTTGTATCGAGTTCGTGTTGGAAATACAGAGCGCAGACAAAATATTACATGATGGAATTTTGGGCAGATGCTATTTCAAATATTTGGTTTTACCTTTGCCCTTCACTGACATATTTTGTAAGCTCTGCATATTTGTCGGAGGATCTGTGATTTTGTTGGAGCTTAGTTGGATTAATCTTGAGCTTCACTTTTCATGTGTAAGGTTAAGGGGGTTGGGTGGGTTCAACTCACCAGAGAGGGTGTAGCTGCTGAAGCCTGGGTTACAGATGGGAATGGGGATGTTATGCTCTATGTTGATGTCAGTGCACAGTCCATCGACGCAGTATTCAAGGGTCATGCTGATATCAAACTCTTTGGTGTCGTTCCATTGATCAATAGAATATCTGTCAAATGTACCCGTGAAACAGTCTGTCATCAACTAGAGTAAGTCAAGTGTTATAAACAATGAGAAAGGATAGCATAGTGGCAATTTGTGCATCTACATATTGCATCTCATATTGAAATGTAACAACTTTAATACCACATTTCAAAAGTCATTTTGTTAAATTGTACCTATTCAAATAATGAATTGATTAACTTATGTACTACGCTTTCCAGTTATAAATCCATTAGTGTTTTGAAAGAAATATCTGTTAATAATATTTTGGTAAGTTAATAAGACGAAGGGGATGTTATGCTCTATGTTGATGTCAGTGCACAGTCCATCTACGCAGTATTCAAGGGTCATGCTGATCTCAAACTCTTTGGTGTCGTTCCATTTATCAATAGAATATCTGTCAAATGTACACGTGAAACAGTCTGTCATCAACTAGAGTAAGTCAAGTGTTATAAACAATGGGAAAGGATAGCATAGTGGCAATTTGTGCATCTACATATTGCATCTCATATTGAAATGTAACAACTTTAATACCACATTTCAAAAGTCATTTTGTTAAATTGTACCTATTCAAATAATGAATTGATTAACTTATGTACTACGCTTTCCAGTTATAAATCCATTAGTTTTTTGAAAGAAATATCTGTTAATAATATTTTGGTAAGTTAATAAGACGAAGTGTCAAAGAATATACATTAGGTGCACTCAATATTCAATAATACTGATAAAGGTACCTCAAGTTCATTCCAGAAGACATGGACTCCGTCATTTCCTCTCCTACAACAGGTAAAATAAAAGGATTCTAAGAGTAGAAATTGTATTTTTTATACAATGATTTGCTTTCTGTTTGTTCAATGAATTAAAAATTATGTTTACCCTGTTATATTGAACAAAACTGACCTGACTTGACTATCTACTGACATTTGGAAAGTGTCATTCTTCCAATCAAAAGAAAATTATATATTTGTTAAATACTCCTGTGCAAGTACATCATCCCTTCATAAAGTGTAACCTTGTCTGATTTCAAAGCTTCTTCCTCTTTCCAATTGATCTTTTTAGTCTTATTGTGTACGCATGACTGTATCAATACCCGTCCCAACCCCTGTCAACCCTTTTGATTTCTCTTTTTCAGCTGGAAAAAAGCGTGTAAGTCTCGCCAGTCCAAGTTTACTTTTCATGTGAAAGTCCTGGTACCAAACACTAAAAAAAGTAAAGTCACAGACTCCCGTGATCGATTGAACGGAAGTTGAGGTCAACAAACTTAATTTGATAACAGTCATCATTTTTAAACATTTTCAATATGTTGTAAATCATAATGCTTTCTTTATTTTACAAATGTGCATTTATTGCCCTGGATTGGATGGGCCCGATCAGGACGCGAACTAAATGTAGAAAAATAGGATGCCACACACGATGTTCATCCTATACATGGTGTCCTGATGTGCTGTATTCTCGTAAAATCTCGCAGGTATTTGAGGTCAACTTACACGCTCTATTCGAAGGCTGTCCAGCTACCTGACCATTTTACACAGACTCTATCTCTCCGCCAGCAATATGAAGCTCTTACCCCACTGATAGCTGAAGACGGACCCATGGAAGGACCACTTCTCCAGACCCAACGAGAAGGTGAAGTCACAGGGGTCAAACTTGAACCACGCCGTGGCCGAGACATCAGCTATCTTCAGGTCCAGGTCCAGGCAGCATCGCAGCTCTGTGCAGGTCTCACCAATCACGGTGCAGTTACCTAGGATAGTTGTGGAACTTGCACAGACATCTGGAGAGATAGACACCAACATATATTGGTGAAGATGGTATAGTAATTCACAACAGTAACACATTATCGGTTTAAGCAGAGACTTAGGATATTTATACTATATTAACCTTATTTTCGTAACAGAAAATGAATGTAAGAAACATCAGCAGCATAGCAAGAAATTTGTCGTAGGGTGTTGTGGTGTTTGACTTAATAAAACATTTTGCCGTTATATTGTGTCTTTTTCAAAATGATGTTTTCGGCCAAAACTAATCCCGTTGTTTAGTGGTTAAATTCCTATTTTCCATTTGTATTTACGATCTGAATCACATAACAAACTTTTTTAAACTCACCTTGTCTGTGATAGGTGCATGCCTTTCCTGTTAGGAAGCTGCCCAGATTTAGATGACGCAGGGCTGCATCTATGGCAAACTGACCGATATTACCACCGAGGTAATCCAAAAAGCCTGATACAGTGCCGTCACCTGTACAGTGAACAGAAACCCACAAAAATCAAATAAAAAAAAGATCATTCCAGGATTTCCTTGCCACTCTTGATACCCCAAAAAATGTTCGATCATTTTCTCAGAGCAAGTTGCAATTGCTGCGACTACATACACAGAACATCAAAAATTAACAAAAATTAAACAGTTCCAATTCATGTTTTCTATAAGAGATCTATTTGGCGAAAACTATGCCTGATGTGGCAGTAATTCATGCACTGCAACTACCAAATTAGGGGAAACTAGGGTGATCGACCCCAGGTCAAAAAAACAGAGGAAAATCTGTTTGTTGTGATGCAAAAACAAGAAAGTTTAAGACATACCTGGCAGAGTGAAAGACGTCTCCTTGTTGCACAGTGGTATTGGGAAATGGCTGCCCTCCAATATGGTAACTGTGTTACATTCTCCATCCATGCAGAGGACTAGGGACAGGTCTACCTCAAACTGCTTGTCTTCGGCGATCTTAGCTACGCGCCATCTTCAAGATACAAATGTAGTTGATAACCGAGTCAAAACATTATATTACTGGAATCTTATGGCACGGTTGCCCAGTGATTTTCAAATTGCATTCTCAGGCTCACAGGGTGGTCAGGTTTGGCGGACAAGATGGGTTATTTACTTCTTTTTTTGTTCACTTAGGATCTGGCCAGTGACATTGGCAGTGACTAGATTGTTGAGCCAGTTTCACTTGCACTGCGCGCATACCAACATGTTCAATATAATAAACAATACAGTGATGATGCTCAATTGCTAAGCACAGCACAGTACATCTTGTGTACGTTTACGATGTCGTACACATTATTGTTTCATAACCTAAAGATGAAGTTCTGCTTTGCAAGGATTGTCACTGAGTGTGGAACATATAACTGTCAACAGTATGTTTCCCAAAATGGACACTCGATTATGGGATTGATTACACAAGCAATACCAATTATGGGTCATGGTCACTGTTCATACCTGACTCTCAGGACGCTGTTCACAACTTCCTCCATAACATCGCCCAGTGGGTAATGGAACAAGGTGACACTACGTTCCCACTTCTCAAAGCCCACAGACAGGGTGTAGTTGCAGGGGTCTAGGATGACCCAGGCATTGACCCTGCGAGTCGTTATCTTCAAGTTCATCTCCAGACAGCATATGATGCCCAAGCAGGTGTCGCCGCTGACAGTGCAAGAGAGGAAGTCGGGGAGCTGGGTGACGTCAACGGCTGGACAGGCTAGGGAGGAAGAGAATCAATGAGACATTTTAAAAATGACAATGCAGGGCTTTGAACTGGTGACAGTGCGATAGAGGAAGTCGGGCTGCTGGGTGCCACCAACTGCAGGATGACATTAGAAAGAAAAGAATAAATGACAATGGAGCGAATACAGAGGTTGGTATTGGTGATACTGCAAGAGAGGAATCCAGGCTGCTTGGTGACAACAGGAAGGACAACCTTCGAAAGAAAAGAATCAATGAAAATTGTGACGATACAGATATTGGAATTGGTGACAGTGCAAGAGGGGAAGACAGGAAACTTTGTACCAACTGCAAGGTTAACCTTAGAGAAAAAAGAATCATGACAAGTATTGACAGTGATGCAGAGATTTATTGACCGGACGTTAAAGAGAAAGAATCAATGACAGATATTGACAGTATCAGTGGCAAGACAGAGATTTTTCTTTGTGACAGTGCAACAGAGGTAGTTAGGAAGCTGAGTGACACCAATGACAGGACAATATTAGAGAGGAAGAATATATGACAGATATTGACAGTGACAGTGGCAATGCATAGATTTGTCTTGGTGACAGTGCAACAGAAGAAGTGAAAAAGCTGAGTGACACTGATGACAGGACAACTTGGGACAAAACAGAATCAATGACTGCTAATGACTGTGACGGTTGGAATGCAGAGATTTGTCTTGGTGACAGTGCAACCGAGGAAGTCCGAAAACTAGGTGACAACAATGGCAGGACAATATCAGAGAGAAAGAATCTACGATAGAAATCGACAGTGACAGTGGAAATGCAGAGATTTGTCTAGGTGACAGTGTAAGAGAGGAGGTCTGAAAGCTGAGTGACACCAATGACAGGACAACTTGAGAGAGAAAAGAATCAATGAAAGATATTGACAGTGACAGAGGCAATGCAGAGAATTGTCTTGGTGACAGTGCAACAGAGGTAGTCAGGTAGCTGAGTGACACCAATGACATAATCTAGAGGATAATATTAGAGAAGAAGAATGTATGACAGATATTGACAGTGAGAGTAGCAATGCAGAGATTTGTCTTGGTGACAGTGCGTGAGAGGAAGTCAGGAAGCTAAATGACACTGATGACAGGACAACTTGAGAAAAGAACAGAATCAATGACAATTATTGACAGTGAAAGCCACAATGCAGAGATATTCAAATTGGTGACAGTACAATGACATGGAACACAATTATTGACAAGGACAGAAGTCAGTGTCTTTGTAAGGGAAGGCGATGAATTAAATGACATGAACAGCTTGCCATCATCATGAGAGGTGGACAAACGGTGAACAAATTTAGCTCAGAGAGTACAGAAAACAGGGGTGTTTTAATACTGAAGAGAACTTCACCATGAGAATAGCAATGATAGTAACAATGACTTTGACAGGAAAAATATTGCCCGACAACCTGATAACAAGAAAACCAACAATAGTACCTCACCCAAGGAAAAAAAACTTCAGCATTGTAATTTTCCTAGTCTTTGCGCAAACGAACATATTTAAGAACAAAGATGCTGGTTTTTTTTGTAATAACTAGGAACCCACGCATTTTCTATATTACATAAATAAATGAAGTGTTTAAAAACAAGGTGAAAATTGTCCACGATTACGAAACTCTAAGAACAAGTGGTCCGCGGACCGCATGTGTCGCCCTTTCCAGCGGTCGATCCTGAGAATTATATTTTGTGTTTTGAAAAAAGTCAAATTTTACACACTTTTAAACAACTACCTAAAATTACCCCTAGATGACATTTGACAGCCAATGTTGGAAGAATGTGATGAGCCCCCACCTAAGGAACACTTCATCCAAGTTACATAAAATCCACCAAATTCTGTAGACAAAGAAACATTTGAAGCTATTCGAACAGTGACCTCCAATGACCTCTACGTGACCTATGACCTCTGGACATTTTTTAATCTGATAGAGAATTGTGTCTTTCCACCCATGGGTCACTGCCTCCAAGTTTCATCAAAATTTATACTCTTTTTTTTAAGAACAAACTTAACCTAAACTTCTGCGAATTGCATCATAATAGACCCCATGTGACCGTTGACCTGAAATATATTCCACATTATCTTCGGTATTTAGTGAACCTTGTGTCCAAGCTTCTTGGAATTCTTGCGAATACTTTGGCAATGAGAGTAATTTGAAAAACTTTAAAATAATTTTTAACATATAGACATATTTTATGGACTATGGTTAATCGACAACGGTGATATATACGGACATACAGATTGGTAAACATCTGTAAATGTTTCCCGACACAATCGTTGGGGCAAAACAAAACAGTATAAAGCCCGAATCATACTCGGCGCAAAAGCGAAAGCGAACGCAAATTTGTGACCTCCTGGCAAGTATTCCCCCTGCGAATTCGTTAAAGTGGAACTTATATTAACTCGGGCGAATTTCGCAGCGAATGTTTCATGACGTCAAATTTGCTTCGCATTCGCATTCGCAAGAAGTATGAACCGGGCTTAACAGCTGTTTCTAATCTTCACTTTTCGCTTGATTAATTTATTAAGTTGTGTTTAAGTACACAAACCCTGTCGAAGCTGACTTTGTTTGGCAAGGAGAGGGTAGAATTCTAAAAAGTAGCAAATTGGCATTTATTGCATCTTGGAAATAAACTCTTTCCAGTAAAATATTAACTTACTACTCCTCAGTGTCCCTGGTGTTCCCATTTCACATGGACTGGTGTGGAGATATTCCTGTTGAACAAAAATGAAATAAACGACGTTCCATGTAATTGAATAATTTCATGGCAAATGTCTTTCATATTGAAGTAAATGTTCAGTACATGTGTTGATTGCAGTGCTGATAAAGGTAAATTCCGAAATTCAATAGTTTTTCCAAAGCCTCATCCGATCCAGGGGAAATTTAAAGAGCGTTAAAAGTTGCAGTTAGCACTAGCAAAATTAGTCAAACTCTGGTATATATATTCTCACTCCTATACATTATGCCCTTGCTTATTTTGCAATTTTTATAACTACAAAAACGTCTGGAGATGGCTGAACCATCTTGCAAGAAAAAAAAACAGAAATAAGTTTGTATTTTCGAGCAAAACACAAGATAAAATAATAAAGCCTTACGTCTGTGGCTAATCCTGCTTTGACAAATGGCACATATGTATGCTTAGCAATTCATCTCCCTTCAATATGTCAAATTTGACAAAAATTTACAATTTTCTATGTGTTTCACACTGACATGTAAAGCGTTACACATCAGTGCCACGTACACACGTACACAGTTGCGTATGACGTCGCAAGACCACAGTGATTACCTATCTGGAGCACTAACCATAATGTTCACTTGCGAAAGCTCTCTCTACTGTCCGTTTCCAACAGGACAAAATTATTTCTAAGGAAATAAATAGATCAATTATGAAACATTGAATTCACTCACACTCAGGCCAAACTTCTCCAGCACCAGATCAATGGCAGAGTTTCCGATGCGACCGCCGAGCTCTCGTATGAATCCCTCAACTGTGCCATCACCAGGCAAGGTGAATGATGTGGCATTAAAGTTGCACAGGGGTATAGGAACCCAGACATGGTCTAGTACTGGGGTCATGGTGCAGATGTCGTCAATGCACAACATCAGGTTCAGCGTTACAGAGAAGACTTTCTGTGCTGTAAGCTTGTCAACGGAATAACTGTCAATAAAAAAAAAATCCAAACTTTTATATTAGGTTTTGCCCTTCGACGACGCATTTTATAAACGCTGTATACTCAGTGTTGTCTGAGGTCCTGTGAGAAAAAAATGACCTCGAACTAATGACCTGCTGCTTACTCGTGCAGACGTCTTACCACTCGACCACGAGCTTGCCGGGGTCTGCTGGCTGGTTCGAGGCTGATGATGTGCAACTAAACTATTTATAGAATAGGATATGTGCTGGGGAGATTTAAATTATATTGGAGTTTTGCCCTTCACCGATGTATTTTATAAACAATTAAACTCAGTATCGTATGATGGCCTGTGAGACAAATTCACAAGCTTACTCGGGTGGAACTCGAACCCCTAACCTCCCGCATGTAGACTAGAGCAGAAGTCTTACCACTTAAATCAATATATCTATGTCTGAGTATGAAAAACTGATACCCAATAATTAATAGCCAAAATGATTTCAATCTTGGATGAAATGACATATCACATACTGCATGTCCGGAAAAAAATGTTTAGAATCATTTTCAAATTCTACATTTTAAGTAAAAATGATAGGAATGATGATTGCCAATTAAAGCAACTCTGTATGAAAGACTTTTTGAAAGGAGACACACCTTAATTGCATTGCATTCCCGAGTTCCGTTGTCTCCACCTTCCCCCATGTGTAGCTGAAGAGGGTGATGTTCAGTTCCCAGTTCTCAAAGGCCACATACAGCTGGAAGTTGCAAAGGTCGACTTGAATCTTTGCGCTCAGCATGAGTTCAGTGATGACAAAGTCCAGATGGATGCAGCATTGGATGCCGAGGCAGCGATCATCGATTGAGCATTGGACAACATTCTCCAGGAAGGGTAAGGAGATCGTAGGGCAGTCTTTTTGAAAAAAAAACCCGGCAATGATAAGCTCAACATATATTTAAGATAAAAAGAGGAGTGTCATTGTGCTTGTTTCGCCTTAAACCTCCATCGGGACATGGTTTAGACCTTAAAAGGACTTGATATGAAGTTTATAATGAAACATAGCAAAACCAAAGAGGCATAAAAACACCCTTGAAAATGACAACACAAATATTTTTTTAAAAACACAATTGGAAAGAAAGTTAATTCAAAGGATTACATTGAAAAGTTATATTACATGGGCCCCTAAAAAGCAGAGTACAGTGTATATCATTTGGTGCTATCCAAAAAGTAACTGCCGAAATTATTGTTACCAAGCATACTATTTAAAGAGAGTAATGACATGAAACTCCCTTTGAACTTATCCTCTCTGGCATGCTGTCATTTTGAAGAAAACAATAAAAGAAGATGTTTGTAAAGACGAATTTTTGAAAATTCCCGTTAGTGGTTCAAGCGTTAGTAGAGTGCGCGCAAGCGTTGACACAACCGTTGGCGGTTGCTTCGACAGTTCAACGCTTGACATCGTGTTGCTGCAATCGGCTGATTGAGATCGTGTCCCGGACGCTGATTTCGGGCGCAATTCAAACATCACTTTTTCACTCCCAAATGCTGGAGGTTGTATAGTCACTCAAACTATATCATCAGTATTGTTTATAAACTTACTACACTCTGAAAGAACAGATAAAAGAAAATAATGTACTTACGATTACTAGTTGCCACTGCCAGTGGTAACTCGCAAGTCTCCCCAGTTATGATATCCTACAACAGCAAAAATATTCAGCATACCCATGCCTCATTATTTCGGGAAGTAATTATGTCAAGTTGTAAGGTTCATGGCAATTTAAGTAAGAGAAATGTTGCAGGCGAAGTATGAAGGCATGGAAGATAGTGGGATTGGCCCCAGGAAGGTTTCAGAATGACTTTGCAATTTGTAGATGCTTTTTCTTCTTTTTACAAGATTCAACAACTTGAATACTCCTAACATTTTCAATTCATAACAGCTTAGGGAAAGTACTAATGGTTGACATGATAACGCTATCAAACAGATCTTCTACCTCAATATTTAACTTTTTCAGGACCAGCTGGATGGCTGCCTGTCCCACATTGTTTCCCAGCTCCTTCAGGAAACCTTTGACCGAGCCATCCCCAGGCAAGGCCAGGGAGAAGTTAGCATTACACAGAGGTATGGGGATTCTCTGGTCTGCCATGATGGGGAAGTCTGTGGTAATGCCATCGATGAGGAGAAAGAAGGTCAGATCCACTTTGTATTCCTTGGTGGTGTCAAGTTTGTCGATGGAAAACCTGGACAAATCAAAGAAAAAAGTTTAAACTCATCCACAATTACTTTTCCGTAAGTTAGCTATCTTTATGAATGGTGCTTTGTTAAACATTTGGCTACAGACTCTGAAAAGGAACTGTAGATGGGGACTCACCTCTTGTGGGAGCCAGCGTGCATGTGGGCACTGCTTGGTGAATGTATGGGTTGGGAGTACATACAACTATCTTTTTACCGCAATTGACAATACAAGGGAGTTGAGCTGCAGCAATGACATATAAAACCGCTACATGACAAATTTTGGTTTCACGAAGTAACACCCAATTTTGCGCACATCGGACACTGGCGCAGGTGATTTTTGTTTTCACAAAGTTACTACACTGTTGCGGAAATATCGTTTGGATAAACGTTTTAAAACGTTTGACAGGAATGTAATTTATCTGTATTCTTAAAAGAAAGAAACTGCTTCATGAGTATAAAGGTACATAAGATCATTTCGCTTTGGCGCATTTTCTTTCGTATGAAAAACAAAAGTGCTCATAATCTTAAGTTGGGAAATTCATACAAACTAGCCTGTTGAACTTTTAGCTCCGTAAAACAGAGAAAACATTTTGCACATATTTTTGGGTCTAGTATTGGATTTTGCTGCTCATCTCCACAAGCATCCAACTGTAAACCTTTTTTCAAAGCTAGTTTTCGGAAAGAATGTTGTATCCTGACGCCACTTTATTAGCATATATTATCTCAATGAAGGTCAATCATTTCAAAAATGTTGAACAGACATGAATCTGGAACTGATGAGGAACATTTAAAAATTCGTTAAAAAAATACCTTGAAAATGCACTCAATTCTCCATATAATTTGTACACAATGTAAGAAGTACAGTGGCGTTAGCATACTACATTCTTTCCCATTTTTTTTTCAAAACAATGCCATTTCAGGAGGAATAATTTCCTAGGCTATTTGATACCAGTCCTGACTTCACTTTGAGCAAGGTTTCTTTCATTAAATCGGTAGGTACTTTTCCAAGTAATTCTAAATGATCCTTGGCTTTTATTCGATAGACTGTAATGTTACTTTTGAACTTACTTCACATCCAGCGCATCTCCAATCATGAAACTTTCCATCACTCCCCACTCGTAGGAAAATAGTGAGACGTTGAAGAACCACAACTCTAGCCCGACAGACAGTGTATAGTCACAGGGGTCGATGATAAACCAGGCCTTGGAGCTGATCTGAGTCACCTTTAAGTCTAGATTCAGACAGCAGTGGAGACTTGTGCAACGGCTGCCGATACGGCAAGACAACTGGGGAGGGGTGGTTGGAAACTGCACGGGACAACCTTGAATGGAATAACAGTTTGCTATTACCTTTTGTGAACAAACTTGATCATTTGATCGATTGGTCTTAACTGGATCATTTCGATAAACAATATTAGATTATGCGGGATATCATGTTGAACAAACCGGAAAAACCCTAAATTTTGCTGTGTAAACATATGAATGTGACTTACCGTCGTTACCAGCCGGCGATGCTGGAGGCAGACTGCAGGGATTCCTGGACAGATAGTTCTAAGAATAAAAACAAATACAACATAAGTAAAAGCACTGACACTAATCCATAGCTGCCTCCATCCATGGCTTTGTGTTGCAGTGTAGAATGTTTGCTATAACTCCATCTGCATGCTGAACAAAGCAGACTGCAATGGCAACTCCAGGATCTGAACTGTCGTAGGTCTCATCCGTGAATAGCTCAAGATAGGTTGTGCGGCATAGGGAGAGAATTGCGCATTTTGTGATAAAAGCGTGAAGCTTGGCATGTGAGCACTTCATAACATGAAATTTTTTTAGATCTTATCTGACCCCTGGTCACTTTTGAGGAGTCACTGACCTTTGAATACTCTATTTATACATAAATATTGTTCTTGAAAACATCGCTTTCCTACGACCTAGAAGTCCATGTATAGTCTTCGTACAATGTTAATATTGATAAAATGCCGGAAAATTTCACAAATGACCTCTAATGACCTTCCAGAGGTCAATGACCTTTGTATTAAATGCACTAACTCTGTTTATGGTTATTTATGCAATTTACCATTTGAACCCCATCTTTTTCGAGACCAAAGTCATAATGTTTAGTGGCTCATGCTATGAAAAGAATTTTCTGATGGCCTTCGTGGGGGTCAATGAACTTTGCGTATAGTATTTATAGATTATAAGAAGATTAACTATTCAAAACACCACTCTTTTATTACCCATATATTAATGTTGGGTATTCTTGCCACGATATGAATTTTCAGATATGCAGGCATTTCACATTTGACCTCTGATGACATGTGCGAAGCCAATGAACTTTGTATCCTCTGATTGCCGGTATTTATTATGTTTAATCTTCCAAATGCCACTTTTTCATGACCGAAGTCTAATTAGCACAAAAGGTGTGCATTTAAATAATTATTCTAGCATATCATGAAGTCATGACCACTGATCTAAATGTTTCTTTTTGTAAGGGCAGACGCAATTGCAACAGAATATAAGAGGCGCATCGGACAAGCACCACTCTCTAACAGTGACCATTGGGCTTGGTAAAAAGGTTAAAATTGTGGTTATCAAAGCCCATCTGGACACAGCGGGGTGTAATAGGTACACAAGAGTGAATTTTGCTTGACATGTATACATTTTCCATTATAAAACAAAACCACAGATTTCTATTCCAATTTCATCATATTGCGTTTGCCAATCAAACTAGTAGCCTCGAGGTCAGAGGTCACCTCAAAATCGTTTGTGGGGTCTGAATTTATAACATGACTGTAAATTAATAGGTGCAATATCGTTATTTGGCAACATTGAGTCGTGGGTCAAGAAAATTGCCTGTTGATGAATAAATAAGATAAATAGCAGCACATAGTTCATTGACCTCTCCAAGGGAATCACTACGTAAAATATGATGTCCCAACATGGCGCAAAGACGTAAGTGTTTGACTTGGGTCATGAAAAAGTGGCATTTACAATTTTGTAAAACTTAAAAATATCCACAGCTAGGCTATGGTTTACAAAAGTCGTGACCTCTCGTAAGGTCACCACAGGTTGAAAATGAAAGGCCTATATATAAAAATTCTCTTCATAGCATGAACACCTTTTATTTCGGCATGAATCGTGAAAGAAAGATGGGATTTAAAGAATAAATCGTACAACTATCCAAAAGTCATTGACCTCTCAAAGGTCACTAGAGGTCAGATATGAATTCTTCCCACATCTGGTCATTATTTTCCTTGCATGAAGACCCATTTCGTAGACTTAAGTCATAGGAAAGTGAAGTTTTGAAGAACAAAAGTTATGAGTATGTAAAGTTCATTGACCTCTCAAAGGTCACCAGAGTTCAATATGAAATGCCTCCATATCTGAAGATTTTCTTTTCATAATCTCATATGATACAGAAGGCACTCTGTATAGGGACCATTATAATGGTACACGTATGAAATAGTACACGTACGGGATACGTAAAACCAGCTAGATGCATCACCATTTCATGTGATTATTTCACGAAACCCGCATGCATATATATAAGATAGCATTTTGATTTGAAATGCACATTGCCTATAGTATGCCAGAAATAACTACGCATAAATGGTGATTTCACAAGCAAGTTTTTCTGAGCCGCATACATATCCAGTACACATACCATTTTTCTTGGTCCCTAGTGATAACATGTCCACAGGCACTTCCGAGCCATGTTTATGGCAGTTTCTTATGTGAACTTGAACTTCGATATTGAATTAGGGCTTCTAGTTTTCTTTTCTCTTTTTCCTCTTTTTCTTTTCGAAGGGGGAGATAAACTTGGGGAGCTCTACCTCCAACTTCCCCACTAAGGTACGCTAATGTCGGAGGTTAACTATAGCTGAATAGTAATATTTGAGGCTTTGCATGGTGGAGGTACTAAATAATGAAAGGTTTGCAGAAACACCATGTGCAAATAATTTCTCAACTAAGAGAATGGTTCTGAAAAGAACCAGAGGTATTAACACGACGTTCCGGTCAGTATGCTCTGAACGTCGGATGAATACCTCTGGTTCTTTTCAGAACCATTCTCTTAGTTGAGAAATTGTTCGCACATGGTGTTTCCGCAAACCTTTCATTATTTGAATACATGTACACTGTTTGTGTGATTGATTGAATGAATGGATTGAGTGACCGAATCACGGCTTGCTCATCTACCTTGAGGTTGAGATAGTCCAGCACCAGGTCTATAGCTTCATCCGTGACTTCATCTCCCAAGTAATCCAGGTAGTCACCGATGGTGCCATTGCCAGGTAGGGTGAAGGTGGCATTGGGGTTGCAGATCGGTATGGGTACATGAGCTGCCTGCAGCAGGTTGATTGGTCGACAGGTGCCGTCTATGCATAGGGTTACTGACAGGTCAATAAGGAACTCCTTCTGCTCACTCAGCTTGTCAACATTGTATCTGTGCACAAATATATGAGCAAATGTGATTCAAAGTGTTCATGTAACTGTTCCATGATCCATCTCAATCACTGACAGATAGAACTGGCCATTCTTGCCCAAGAGTACAAATGATTTCGTATGCACGTTCCCTGACCAGTCTAAGACCCCCTTTTTGTCTCAAAGCAGTTTTCAGTGAACAAACTGTGTTGTTCTAATTTTAAACAGGATATTTTAAGAAACTAAGCTACACCACCGCTTAATTATAAAACAAAGTAAATCTCCACAAAAATGTTGATCATTACTGACTTATTTTATTGGTGTTTATGAACTCTCCATTAACTTAGTGAAATCAACTGAGTGGAATTTCTCCCATCCAACATAGGAATCCTAGTGTGCATACGTACGCTATGTAGACAGAATCACTGATATCCAGCACTTTATCCACTCCCCAGTCGTATTCAAAGAGCGTGAGATTCTTGGACCAGGACCCCAGCCCGACAGACAGCTGGAATTCACAGGGGTCTAGGAGGGCGTAAGCGGTGGTGGACAGCTGAGTGAAGACCAGGTCAAGGGAGGCGCAGCATGTCAGGCCCAGGCAGCGGTCATCCACTGTGCAGGTCAGGAAGTTGTTTGGAGGTGGCACTCTCAGAATTGGACATTCTGTTGTGGACAGTGGAAGAATTGGTTGCAGATTAACATTTCTGGTATGCTATAATTAAGACATTTAATCGTCAAATACGATTTATAATTCTCAAGGCTATAAGTGGGCTTTCACATTTTGCCGGAAATTTGAAGCATATATTAAAGGAAAAGGATACAAACATTGACGTTGCCAATGCTATATACAATTTCAAAAAGCCTGAAACCAGGCAACTGCAGGATGATTTAAATTTTTGAACTTTTTCAAACAGATCCTTTGCACCGAAACCATCTCTGAGCTGTGTGCTTTTTATCCACATGGTTATGCGTTCATTGTTAATTTATTTATTATAATAAAAGATGCCCTCAATGATAGCTGCTGAAAGCAAATTAGATTCAACCTTGTAACAAAATTACCAAAACACTTTTCACATTCATTAGCATGGATATGGTAAAAAATGATGAAAACAATCACAGTTTCGGTTGTCACTAAAGTATACAAGTGATCTGCAGATGTATGTTTGTGTATGTTTTGTGTTCAAAGTCAAATTTGTGAATTTATTTTAAGACGACCTCTAATGACCCTAAATGACCTTTGACCTTCAATTTCCGAAGGGTTGTGATGAACCCCCACCCAGGGATCACTCCATCCAAGTGACATTTAAATCCATCAAATTCTGTAGACAAGGAAACATTTGAGTATTTGAATAAATGACCGTTATTGACCCCTATATGACCTTTGAACTTAGTAACCCAATAGAGAATTGTGTCTTCCCACCCAAGGGCTACTGCATCTAAGTTTCATCAAAATCCATGAAAGCATGTAGAAGTTTTACATTTTTTTTTCAAAACTGATAACATTCCCTCCTCCACAATTCCATTGTGATTGTTTCAAATTCTAGTGTCGATGTTATTATATGCAGAATGCTGGCAGGATAATCATCAACTATCCGCTCCGTTCACAAGTACCCCGTCAACGGCAAAGAATGTACAGTTGGGGGTGACCACCCGACGCCATCTTGCCTGACTGCAATTTTGCCGCGACGCGCGGCCATACCACTTCGTGTTCATAGTACAAATCACCTGGTGTACGTGCGTCACACACAAGGAACTGTGCGCGTCGACCAGCTAAATGTCCCACCCATGAGACGTCGTTGCTAGTTCAAAGGGCACCCTCTTTCGTTGGCGCACGAAGCCCATAGGAGGCGTGCCCAAACTCAACGCTTCTTTGAGACGGCTGTTATGTCTATCTTTACAGCAATGAATGAACTTACTGTTTTCACTTGGCGCAAGTACCTCCATATCGCACTGCTGGTTACTAACATATTGCTGAAAAACAGTCAAAATATAGAGAATTAAAAACAAGCGTCACTTTAAGCAGTATCATAGTTATTCAGAAAATCTGACCATGAAATGTAGAAGGATTTTTTTTCGCCGGAACAGCATAGCTGCTTAATTCAAGCAAGTATTTTTCTCCATGCTGCCAAATTTTGTCACATTTCAGAGACTACTAACAGTGTCTGCAAAGCGGACATTAACTTCATGAACAGAAGTGCCAGTGAACTTCCTTGCAACACTGACAATTTATTGAAAGCTTCTTCCCAGCAGCTGATACTGATTGTGGCGTATTCTACAATTTGTTTTGTTAATGCATGTAGGTCATTCTAGGTTCCAAAGTGTGACATTTGTCTTGCCCTGTTAACTTGCCACTTTGTTTTTTTTCCATTCAAGTATCATAAAGATTGACTTCAAACAATTTCTTAATATTTAGGTAGGTATTTTGCTATTCATAATCACTCTTGAAGGACGACTACATCAAGGAGAGCATCAGAGTTGTGAAAGCATATATGTCAGATATAACAGGGACAGGAAAACAAGGGACAAAGACCCCAAATTTACAGTATGACCATTTGCATAAAGTATTAATTGACCTCAATTAAAACAAATGAATAATACAGCGGAATTTCTGTAACCTACCTGGATTCCGAGTTTTCGGAGACCAGCCTGGATAGCCAACTCCCCGACATTCCCGTCGAGCTCCCGGGCAAGACCTGCAAAGCTGCCATCCCCAGGCAGCTCAAAGGAAGCATTGAGATTACAGACTGGGATAGGTACCAGGGAATCCTGAAGGACTGGTGTGGTTGTACAGTCACTGTCGATGCAGATGGCGATGTCCAAAGTGATCTGGAAGGATTCCTGGGCATCTAACTTGTCAATGGTCAGACTGAAATGACAGAAAAGAAGAGTTCTTGACATATTATTGCACAATAGTGAATAAATTCTACTTCATTACATGTAGGTAAGTAGTTTGTGCACTACATTATATAACCAGGAGGTGGGACTAAAGAGTCTGTGATGGGGCGTACATCTGTACGCGATAAACAAAGTACGAGTACGAAGTACGCGAAGTACAAAAGCAAGCATTAATAACTTTGTACCGTAAGTCATCACAAATATATTTTCGCACAGTTTTAGGACTTGAGTGTCATTAGCCTTTGACTCAAGTCGAGTCGAGTCTTGATGAGGGACTCGAGTCGAGTCGAGTTGAGTGAATAACCTGTTGGGACTCGAGTCAACGTAGTCACCAAAATTTGTGATGGGAGTCAAAATGTTTGAATGTATGATGTTAAAAATATGACTCTTTTCTGTTTTGTGATCTCACAAAAAGTGACAAAATGTTTTTGCCTAATACAAAAAAGAAAATTAAGGAATAATAACAAAAACTGTTTGTATAAAGTAATAAAAACAGGTCTAAATACAGGTCTACATGACTTGATGGTCCCATAAAGTCAGATAAAAAGTTTCATTGAATAATGATTGTCGAGCTCAGATTATTTGTAATCAAACAACTATGAATAAGCAAAGGACAGATTATGAAGATTTGGCGAAATCAACAATTGCCCAACTCTTGTGTGATCAACTCTTGTGTGATAAACTTTGACTGCTAAAAAAATGTTTCGTCCCTTTATGAACACAGCGACTTTTAATGGGTCTCTTAATTGGGAATACTATTTGACTTTGTTCCTTGTTTTCATAATTAACTACTCTGAGTAAAACATCTGACACTTTTAATATTATGTGCTGGTAACACAAAAGATAATATGATGATTAGACATTCGGATATTCACATAAACTGTGATGCTTAAATGCTGATTAAAAAATTTACACGACTACAAAAATTGACGATGAAAGCAAGGTTTTAAGGAGTGTGAAAAATACCTCAAAGTTATAGGATCTCCAATGGTGATTTCTTCCAGCTGGCCCCACTGATAGGACAAGATTTGCAGATCCAGACTCCAGCTGCCTAGACTGAACGACAGCTGATAGTTACAAGGATCAAAGATGAAGGAGACCTGGGTACTGATGGGACGGATCCCCGGGATGGGAAGCTCCAGACAGCAATCGAACCCTAGACACTTCTCCGGGAGGGTGCAGATCAGGTTTTGGGGCAGGTGGGGAAGCTTGACATCTCTGGGGCAAACTAGCGAGGGAAATGAAATATGCTGTCAATGTCAAACAATGTGTTCAGAAAAAATAAAAGCTTTTTAAAGGGTCTAACTGTAAAATCAAATAAAACCTATCAATTTGGTTGAGGGCAAAACCGCTGCTATTTCCATGGTGGAAAGCATTGTTATGTGCAGCAAAGATGCAACAGCTTCGAATGTTTTAATGAGACCTACCTTATGGGGTACTAACATAATAGGCAACAATGGTACCTCACAAGTCAGCCTTTGTAAAACAAGACCACTGAAGAGAAATTCTTAACAAGACGGATAAAGGGAGAACAATGCAAGTACCCCATGAATCCCATCTACTTCACTGTGTGCACGCATGAGTATGTAAACACCGGCAATCATGGACCTAGAACAGAAGGGTTAGGGCACAAAATACATCCACGATTGACCGATAGTCCACGATTGAAAAAAACCCACTGACAGCTGTTGCGAAAAAGTTAAGGGCCCAAACAAAGGAATGAGGATTATGGACTATAGGGGGTCTACGATTGCTGGAGTTTACAAAGATGGCTGCGTGTGAGAGAGCATCACTTGGAAAAAGCTAGCTGAATGAATTACTATTAAGATTGGTGATCACCTTCCTTTACATAAAAGTTTGGTCCTTTCCAACATCCAATTACAATGATTCTTACATTTTTCATTAGACAAGAACTTCCCCCAACAATAGATTTTGTAAAGAATATAATAAGGTTAGGCGATTTTTATTTATGATGAATTGAAGAGACGTTGGTCTACTGGAAGCTGAGACTTAACACACGAAATGGTGATAAATTATGATAAAATTATGATTTGTTTAATAAAAAGTACGGACCCTCTTTCCTTTAAATATAATACATCGGTTGGAAAGAAAATGATGTTTTTTTTCTTAATTATATTCGTTTTATAAAATTAGAATGTTGTTCCTCTTTTCAACGTTGAACAACTGTTGTTCCCATAGCAGATATGTCAATAACTGCATGGACACTTGAAAAGGGATGCTAAGAAATTGAAATGCTAACATGCATCTCTGGAACAATAATGAGTAGTTATAAAACAATAAATGAACAGTAGTTAAAAGAAAAGGAAAAGTTCCATATAAATGAACCCATGGCAGGGAATTAGTCTCACTATTAGGGAAAGTGGACTCAGAGGATCGGGGGGGGGGGGAAATGATCAGGATAAAAACTCTTGTGAGGCGAACAATACCTAGGCAGTGGCGTATATCCAGAGGGGGGGGGGGGGCAAAGGGGGCACTCTGCCTCCCTGGTGGCTTTTTTAACAACATTGTTTTGTGCAGCATTGTTTTAATAAATGGATACAGAGTTTTAACATCAATTCCCAAAAGAAAACCCGCTAAAAACCATGACAATGCACCTTGAAAATGGGGATATTAGCTTGGTGGTTTGTTTGGTATGCTCATTGTGATTTTTGGCAAGGTATGCACCCCCGCAGTTGGAAAATAGCTTTTTGGCTGATGTCACTCTCTTTTTTTCAAATGGCAGCCAAAACATGCTTGTTTTCACATACAATTAATCCGGATCAAGCATATTGGCGGCCATTTTGAAAAATAAATAAATAAAAGTGATAACACCCAAAAAACTGCCACTGCTCACATTACAAAGTTATCACACATTTTCCAATTCTAGATGTGTATAACTTGCCCAAAATCAGTATGAACATTGATCTTTTCGTTCATTTCATACCGGTGGCCCAATTTTTGGACCGAAGCTGATAGCCTAACTGACTTACTTCTGTTCCAACCATTCTGAGTTACTTGTGGACGGACACATGGTTCATGGCTGATGTATTCCTGGAAAGGAATGAGAGTTGTTTTAATCTTAGTCTTATTCAGAAAATGATATTTTTTTCAACCTTTTAATCAGTTCTACAAGTTCCTCAGTCATTAACATGCTTTTGAAATGATTTGCAGCGATAGACAGAAAAGCTTATTTGTACCACTTCTGATTAATGCTCAATTGTTTTTATACAAATTGTTTTGACGTAATATGTCAATTGACTGTGTTCGATTAGCTCATCCTGGTGGACTCGGGTTAGCCCCATGTCTTTTGACTAACCCCGACGTCATTCTCGGGGCTAACCCAGGTCAGCCACCACAGACCCTGCTCATAAAGCAGAGTTGGTGGAAATACATCACACGTATGTGTTGCTCATGCTAACAAATAAATAAATACTGCGGCCAGTCAGTGGAAAAGGTCAGGTGGAGCATAAAACCTACTTTATTGGAAGTGCAAAATTAATTATTTATTGATCTCATTGCGACCTTCGAGGCCTTAATTCCAGCCCAACGTTGTTACTTTTTGCGATTGACGGAAAAGCAGTGAATCTTCAAGTAAATCTCATTCCGAAACGGGCGTTTTGTCGATGGGTATGACCACGGATACGGATGCAGTGAGGATTTTGATCGTTTGAGCATTTGGTCAGCCTGGCTGTCGTGGCTAACTCGTCTACGTTTAGTCGATCCATGGAGCTATAAGGTCGATCCGTGTGATGTGCAACTGGAACACACCCCATGTAATTCAGTACATTCAGTACAAGACTTACAGACAGTCCTAGATGCTCCAAAATTGCATCCACGGCAGATTCAGCAGCATTCGGACCCACCATCTCCAGGAAGCCCTTGATAGTTCCATCCCCTGTGGAATAAAATTCATTTTTAAAATTGTCTCCCCTGGTAGGATATGTAAAAATCTAATGACAAGAGTTTGTATCGAATTGGTTAACCATAGCTATTTACTTGTAAGCCCTAAATGCTTTGGACATTTATTAAGTATGATAATCTGGTTATAACAAATTTTACATAATTTTCAATCCTTTTCTAAAAAAAAGAAGACGGGAAGCGGGGCAGCCCTTCAAGTTTCTAATAAATAAACTATTCTAAGATTATCGAATGATGCAGATAGATGCAGTATTTAGCAAGTTCAGGCCGAGTATAGGGTTAATCAGCGGACCACAGGGCACGGTTGTATCATTATATGCACAGTAGGGATCCCGGCTTTGACTAGAGACATAGTAAGCACGTTGTTATTAGTGCGCAGGCGAAAGCTATACGTCACAAATCAACAACTAGTCGACTTCTCACCGGAGCGTGCTCAATCATGCGACCAACAAATTAAAATGGTAATCAAGATAAGCACTGTAGGTTGATAAAGGTGATTGAGGTTTTATATAAAGGCTCATGTGGTCACCGTTTTGACGAAGTAACAAATCTGCGCACACAGTTGCAAAACCAAGTTTTGAGAAATTAACATTTGAAGTTTGTCAGCAAATCGCGCTTTTGTATTGTATTTCTCCCCGAAATTCAAAAATATATAACTGATGCAATAGCCCAGTAGTAAAATTGCCCCCGCAAAATATCATGCTTTCATTCAATCATGTTTAATGTAGGAGACACTATTTCTCACCTCGTCAAAACAAACATTCTACTTCATCACACATGATGTAGCATATGTTTGTACACAGCGCTCGCTCATGTAAAATGTATGATAATGCAGATTCGTCACTTGTCAAAATGCAAACTGTAGAGGCTACAAAAATCCAAATATAGCACACGTGTACAATCAGTAAGACTCAGTGACAAATAGAGATTCCTCACGTCGTCAAATAAAGATGACGATATGAGGATCAAAAAAGTTCACATGAACCATACAGTTCAGAGGTCATGATGAACCTTTACTAGGTATTGACCCTAACCCTACAAACCTGCATTATACTGATTCAAAAATACACAAGATATGACCACACAAAAAATCCTAAATAAGGTCAGTTTTCAACAAGGTATACTGCTGAAATACAAGGAACCTGTAGCAGTAAATTTACCAGGAAGAGAGAATGTAGCATTCTCGTTGCAGAGTGGTATCGGCACTCTGGTCTTCTTGAGGATGTCAATAGAGGGCGAGTCACAGTCTGAGTCTGGCAGGCACAGGGACAGTGCTAGGTCCAATACAAACACCTCGTCCTCAGTCAGCTTGTCAATGGTGTAGATCAGGGTCAAAGCTTTGCCAATCTTCAACTCTTCCTGAGTACCTAGGTTCAATAAAAAAGAAGCTTTGCCATCGATTTCAACTTACTTAAATCTGTTAAATGTGACAACACTTTTGAATTTGGTCAACAGTTGAAGAAACACATAATCTGTATTGATAATTCCCCACGGTAAGACAATTCATCGTCGTTTTCAAAAAGGGACCTAAGCATCGTACTTGACCATTCTGACATGCTTCCGTAGGCAAAACATCATTAATATGCAAATTGCATTAATGATGCCAGGGGCAGGTTTCTGGAGAATTGCATTAAGCATTTTAACAAAAAGACGTGACAATGCCTGTTCCTTGAACACGTACAAACGTATTGCACGAAAAGGCGTAAAAAAGTCCACTGAGAGTTTCATATTCATGAATGGACAGACATCTTTGTTACATTCTCAGCTTCACGTATACAAGGAAGGATCTCATTATTAAACCGCCGGTGATAATAGCAGTACCGCTTCTTTTGAGCGGCAACGCTATGGGTTCATTGCCTCCGACGTGTAAATGAGAGTTTAAACTTGTTAAGTAACTGAATAATGCATGAGGTCAAACCCCATGCTGGGAAGTCATTAACACTCCGTCAGTAGATGAAAGAAATACATATTTCTATTGACCAGTGGGTTTTATTGTGCCCCCTCCATGACCTCATACAAAAGAGTTAGACACGGGCCGTGGCGGGTTCACGCTTCATCGGTTAATCAAAGAAACTCTTATTTCAAACATGTGCGTCCTTGCATATGGAAAACACATTGAATAGAAGGGTGCATATGCAGAAAAAATTTGGATTTTTGTTTTCACGAAAGGGTATCGACTTCTTTACTAATTAGTTTTGGCTAATTAACAAATTTAATTATAATTACTAGGTTCACATAAAAGTTTACTTTTCTAAGAATCATTTGGAGGTTTCCTTTATTTACTGCATAAAGTTGTTGCCAATATTAGTAAATTTAAAATAGGAGAAACTTCTCTTGCGATTATCTCGAAAATGCCTTTTTTTTCAAAATCCACATGCACTTTGTGAAAACAGTGGCGAACTGATCAGCAAACTGTAATGTGCTCACCCCAGTGGTAGTCAAATATGGTGAACGTCAAGGACCACGTTCCAAATCCAAAGGACAGCGTGAACTCACAGGGGTCTAGGATAAACCACATGTTGACTGACAAGACAGTGATTTCTAGATCCAGTTCGGTGCAGCATCGCACACCGAGGCAGCGATGTGCTAACTCACAGGTCACTCCACTGGGCAGTGATGGCAGGCTGACATCAGTGCATACTGGGTGAAAATTCAAACATTTGAACGAAGAAACTATTGTAATACCCAAGTCAGGGTAGGAACTAGGCATAATGTTGTACACGTATTTCAAAGTTAATAAACTTAATTGAATGATGTGAAATAAAGTAATTAGCAATCCTTCATCCTACATGCAAATACACTGAGCAAACAATCTGGTGGGGAGTTCTCAACAACAAATTAGCTTATAATGACTAATTATCAACCAGCAACCAAAAAGCTAGGACAAGCCAGTGCAGCTCAGCCAGTAATCAGGCTACAAAAAACCTACTCAGGCTGGTTTGCTGAAGTGAAGCATATTTAGTAGACATAAAACTCATTTCCAAGGACCAATGTTGTAGTTGAGTCTATTCAAAGTCCTCCCAAGTCAAGTCAAAGCCAACCACAAGCAGCGGTGAGTCAGTGTCCTCATCCTAGGGGCGAGTGGGGGATGGATGTTACAATAGCAGGAGCCCAATTTCATCCACGCTAAAAGGTAGACAGGTTTTTTTGTAATGGACGCCCGACCTCCAAAAAAATCAAATACTGTGGGAGGGGGAGGGGGAGGGGGTTTTGACACCTTTCTTCCCATGGGGACGCTGTTCAAAACCAATATCATGGTCAATGTCAGGCAAAAGCTATGACTTTTCGCTTTCCACGGGATTTTAAAATAAACAGCCAGTCACCAAAAACAGGAACAATACACAAATATTGTGGAAAAGGCACTTTATGTTCATTTTGCTAATCATGGTAACTGATAGGACTATGATTTTCTCCGGTTGCCGAATTTCTGGGAAGGGGGGCCGACTGGGGGGCGCCGATTTTTTTATGAGAGCGCACCCCCACCCTCTTGGCAAAATTAAACGTATGTCAACACACAAAACTGTCGATCCTAGATTGACGAGGTCATCATGCCGCAGCTTGCAAACTTGTGGACGGAGTAACTGACCCTTGCCTGGCTGTGCGCGAATCCAGTAGAACTTTTAAACTGGACGAGTTTTGCTTTCCAGTGCTTACACCGTTTCATTGTGCTATATAATTGACTTTACCAAACGAAGCCAAACCAGACGTTGCGTTTTTTTAGGCACGATGTCTCGCAAGATGAGTAACTTTCAGGTGAGATTGGAAAAGTGAACAACTTTCGGCGCATATTAAGATTGTATAGTATTCAGATCTGCAGATTCAGTATTTGATATCAAATGGCAGAATCAAAACCAGATAACAATAAAGTCGGCTTTGAGACCAATATTAGGAGGGACACACAGTACCCCTGGTGGGGCAAGGTTGTATGGATTAACGGCCTTGCTTCGGTTGCCATGGCCCCCTTGGTTGTTAAAATGCCATCCCGCATCACAAACGTAAATCATTGGGATATTCTGCAACAAACTAATTCACTACATTGTACCTTTGATATTACTAGTCAGAGGGCTTAGGCGGACAGGCTAAATACCCCCTGTTCACTTACCGGGAGCCGCTTTCAATTGAGCCCCTCTTTTATCGGCTCCCGCTTGAAAAGAAAGCGGGTGACCTGTTTCTACAAACCGTCCCACGGTTGGCACTCCCGGCTCCCGCTACAAATAACCATGATTTTTATAACAATGAATCCTGCGGTTTCATACCCATCAGTGGCGGCTTCTACTCACCGTCCGCAAAGACCTGGTACATTGCTAATCCTCTGAACTTTTGTCTGCCCTAAACATACAAGCCCCACTGCAAACCGTCACCATGCACGGCTGTACCGTGTGTGTTCATGCGTGGACCGTCTCCCGCTTTGGCTTGAAGGGTCCCACACTTCCTCAATAACAATACCGTCCCACGGTAAATGAACAGGGGGTATTTAGCCCGCCCGCCTTAGCGAACATAAGTGATAATGTGTTGCATTGGTTGCCGTGCTTTGCAGTAAACAGTCAGTTTTAGACTAGACACGTGACCATGATAGATCAATGAAATTACAGCATCCAAGAAACAATATCGTCGTGTCCATGCAACATGATTGTATCTCCTTTCAATGGCGTGTGACGTCATATGCTTGAAAAGCGAGTTCGCAATGTCAAAAGGCTTAATCTTGCTTAAAATAACCCGGATGTACACACAAAGTAAATGGACGTCGCGATACGCACGATACGACCTTGTTGCACGGAGCGTAATTGTGCGAGATACGACTTTGTTGCACAGAAGCAAAGATATAATAATATACATTATTTAGTCCAACTACCAAACCATTCAGATGTTTCAATCCAGACCTTACCTTCTTCATCTGGTCCTATCAGCGCTGTCGCATCGCAAGCTCCGTCATTAATCTTATCCCTTAGCCCGATGTACTCCAGTAAGATGTTGATTGCTTGCTGTCCAGCACCCTTGCCGACTTGAGTCACAAAATCTCTCAGAGTGTCTCCACCTAAACAAACAATTGTTACAGTGAGATGTGTATGGACGGAGGAGCTACAGGCCCGATGACACTATTAGAAAAATTTGCAAACCACAAACCACTGACATAGTGCCAGTCGTCAAATGTTGCAATATCACATACTTAACAAGTAAAGCTATGTTTGATTAAGCACTTCGCACCGGGATTATTTTTGCCGAAAATGTTGACTTTCACAAAAGGCAAAATTTTCCAACCAACTTCTGATACATCCAAACGTCACTAGTACTGATTTAAAAAGAGTCATTTTGTCATTTCAACAGTATTTGTACGATATTTCTCATATGTTTGAATACTCCGAGGTGCGCACTGGAGTGTAAATTGTCGCACAATAGGTCATGAATAACGGCCAATTCAAGATCAACACAAGGTCTGCCTCCACAGACCTTATTGACTCTGTGTGTTACGAAACGCACGAAGGATTAGCGTGTTTAGACGTCGAGGCAATCTTGATGTTTTAACCCATCAACCGTGCCTGTGTATAAAAACAGCCAGTGCGTGTTATCGCGCCCTCCGACGCGAACTGATAAATTTAGTGTGAGGTGCATTTTAGTTCAGGCCCCCCACCCCACCCCACCCCCCCCCCCCCCCACCCCACCCCACCCAAACAAACCTTCAAGTTTAATTGTTAAGCTTTAGCATTTAAAATTGGGATAATAGTGTTTCAAACAGCTACATAAGACCTGCCACATGACGGGCTCTCGACCAATAGGTATTCATAAACTGTCTCAGGCATTTTTTGAATAACTTCTCAGTAAACAAACAGTTGGCTAAACAGATATGTAACAAAATCGTACCAGGTAAGGAGACTGAAAAGTTGGAATTGCAGAATGGAATGGGAACCCTGTAGTCCTTGATGATGTCCACATCAAAGATGCAATCATCGGCACTCTCACAGATAGACGCCCCAAAGTCTACCTCAAAAACCTTCTCATCGTCCAGTTTGTTGATGGAGTAGCTCAGGGTGATAGGACCAATGATCTGCTGCTCTAGTCGGCCTGGGTAATATGCAGAAAGGCTGGTAATCATACCTAAAACTTGTAACGCATCATTCGCTTGTGCCAGAAGAGTGCAACCCATTCAAGCAATCAGGTTTGGATTTTCTGTCAGGATTTGGAGGAGGTTGACCAACAATGGAGAAAAGAAGATATCTAAATTGTGTTCTTGCGAAGCATTTACTAATCGATGAAAATCAGGGTGTCTACATGCAAAATATGGTATCATTTCACAATATACATTTCCTCTCTGGCTGAATACACGTTTGGGATTGGTTCAACAGTTCATCTCTTGATCCATTGTATTGAATTCACTCTGAAAAGCTTAAAAATGGAAATTGGGCTATTAGCCACAAGTGCCATTGAACCGCGTGAGCTCAGATGCTTAGTGTGTTTCCTCTAAATTTCTGAACGTATGCTGCCACATCTGGAACACATTGAGAAAAAAAAAAACATTGCACGTAGCATGAAACGCCAAATGGGCCTCATACCTTGGTTTTGTAGTTGAGTTTATGGTGGAAATTGTAAATGGAATAAAAACAAATGACTCACCCCATTCGTAGCTCAGCAGCAACTTCTTGTACTGCAAGTGCTGAAAGGCAACGTACAAAGTGAAATCACAGGTATCTACTTCCAAAAAGGTATTGAACGAGCGGCGGAATTTCTTGTCCTCTATGTTGAGTTCCAGACAGCAGTCCATACGGAGGCAGTTCTCACTCAGGGAGCAATAGGCCACCTTGGCCAGCTCCGGGGGGAATGCTGGCAGTGTGAAGAACCGACAAGCTGCAGCAATGAAATGAAGAAGGTTTATGCGTGTTCAGTCCCACTGATAAATGGCACCCATCAGGCAATTATAAAGCCACAACATGCTGACCATGCAATTTGGAAATGCAATGACATTAACCACCCCAAAGTGCCCTGCCTGTAACTCCTTAATTATGTGGTTAACGACAGTACTGCCATTGTAGTATATTTTCAAATAGTGTTTAATTACTCCGTCAAGTTTCCTATTGAGATATAGCTAAAAAGCATCGTGGACACCCCTTTAATCCTGGTTGAACTTTTGACCCTGAATTTATGAGGCAAAGATCAGTCCCAGGCCAACTCTCATATGATTTGTATTGTCCAGCTCCAACCACAAGGTTTGTGAAGTATAGCTGCTTTTATCGCAAGGCCATCAATCATCTTGCCATTATATAGGCCCATAACAGTCTTGAGCCGGGAAAGAGGTTGTCCTCATCCTTAATATGAATATATTTAGCTGTATGTAGTCTCAAGCTTTTGTGGTGGTGGTGGTTGGGGGGGGGGGCGACCAGTAAAAAACCAAAGAGATAAAACTTTATAAACTTTTATTCACAGGGGTTACAGAATTTTGAACACAAACACCATGATACAGTTCTGTTCAAGGATCACAAAAAAAGGTTAGTGTTCGTTCAGCAAAACGAAAACAATTCACATGCATCCCTCAGAGAATTGTTTTCGTTTTGCTAAAAGAACACTTACTTGTTGTGATCCGTGGATAGAACTTTAAAACGGTGTTTGTGTTCAACATTTCGTAACTTGAAAAGTACACAAGTGATTTGAATGATTCTTGTTTTAAAAGAAATCTAACTAAGCTTACATATCCTAGATTTTGAGAGTGCTACAGGCAAAACTTCATTCAAAAATGGTCCTGCCATTTGTGTTTGTTTTGTTTTTACTCACCCCTGTATAGTACAAGTATTAATGGTCCATATGAATGTGATCGGGAATACGACAATTATTTTGGTAGCGGAAGCCTAAGGTTTTTTACTTAAAACAAGGCTTGAAGAGGCTGCCTCTTACAATGAAAAAGGGACAGATAAATCAATCATAAACAACAGTAAGCATATCAAAAGCAAACGCAAAGCCCTGTATCTTAAATTAGAAAAAGAAACACTTTCAAAGAAGATAGCCAAAAATAACTTTAGGTTTGCACTTACTGTACATTATATTACAGAATCAAACTAAATAATGCACGAGGATTCCCTATCTCCAATTCAATTTTTAAGGGGCTTAAACTCTGGTGTGATATGCTATGCTGGCAAGTGCTGGCAAAACCACGTGTTGCATGGGGACGGGGGGGACGTGTCAATTAATTTGCCATAAACCTTTGAGACTTTTCCACTTACTTCTATCATCATGAGATAGCCTGTCTTCCATTTCCATTCTAGTTCCTGTGATATTCAGCTGTCTCTCCTCCAATGTGGCAATCAGCTGGGCTTTACTCAAACTGGCTGGGGTTGGACAGGGCTCCTTACCGTTTAAGAGTTCCTAAAAGTGATATGCAATGCTGACATTGAGCTTATCATATTAGGGTTTGTTTTTTGTATAAATTTACTGATATTTAATTATCTGTGATGATTTCAATTATTTAAGACACTGTGCAGCCAGGCCAAGTTTTATGAAAGTGATCAAAGGATCATGTGTAGGATTTACGCAACAAATTGCGTAAATCCTACACATGGCGTAAGTAAGGCGAGCCATCAGATAACAGACCGTTCGGGTACCGGGTCCGGTATGCTAATTTCTTTCACCCCAATCGGTACGAAGCCAGAATTAGAAGCCACCCGGTCACTGAAGCGTGACGCCCCAATCGGTCCAAACTGGTGGCTCAGGGTTTCACAATAGGCAACATAAACTGAAGTCTGGCCATTGTTGGAGGATTATTCGGCCCGCTGGGATTACCAGCGGCAACTTCTATGAAGCTCATCACAGTCATTGTTGCCTACTGGAGGATTAGCGCGTCGCAAATTGGTTCCTTTGTGATGAGCCAGAGCCATGGTGCAGAAGCCTGGTGGAGTTAATCCAGGCCGATCGGTTCCATGCAAGGTCCCAATCCCTTCAACATACTGGGCGGGCTCAACCCCGAACGGTCCGGGGAGGGATTCTAATTTGAGGGCTCGCCTAACGCACTGTTTCGTAAAATCGGCTGCTGCTGCAAATGACGTGATTAACACTCATCACTTTGCCTGACTACAGTTTGCATAATTTCGCATCATTGCTTGTGATCGGGGTAATGTGGTGTCAACCTACTTTTGATATGCCAAGCTCATCCACAACATAGCTCAATGCAGCTTCTGTGTCTGCCTTCAGTATCTCTTCTGGAGTTGATTGGATTATTTTCTTCAGGACAGCACGGGAGAAATACTCTTCAAGGTCAACTGAAATATAAGACCAAGAAATTATGAAGGGTTGTGGGACGAAGTTTGTTATTTCATCTTAGAGTTTAGTGGTCCCATGGAACTGTCATGACTCGTCACCGTTTTGACGAACTGTGCACACAGCCCGGCAAACCTGAGTTTTGAGAAAATCGCGTTTGAAGTTGGTCGGTTTTTCAAATCGCAGGTTTCGCGTACATTTCTACACCAAGAATTTAAAAAATATATAACTGATGCAATGGCCCAGTAGTTAAAGGGCCAAAATATTATCTCTGCTTTCATAAAATCATGTTTAATTAGGAGACATTTAATTACTAAAGATATTTGTCACTTCGTCAAAAACGGAATTTCTACTTCGTCACAAAAATGTAGCATTATTATGTTTGCACACAGCGTGTGCGCGTTTCTAAATTTACACTTGTCAGTTCATCAAAACGCAAATCGTGGAGGCTACATAAATCTAAATATAGCACACTTGTAAAATCAATGAAACTATGTGACGAACAGAGATTCGTCACTGAGATGACATATGACTTCAGCATTCATTATTCAGATTGCAGAGCTAGGCTTACTGTTTGGCCATGAGAAGGTCCTATCGGGATGGCATGTAGGTAAGAGGATGGCAGTATCCTTCAGTACATCGATGAATGCCAAGCACTCAGCATCTCCCGTTGTCGGGCAGAAACCGACAGCCATACTGACAAGTAGTTGAGCCTTGCTCTTCTCAATGCCATATCTAATGGAACAAATGTACCATCATGTGGAAGTGATGGTTATGCAGCTCAAAATTAGAAAACATGTAGAACATGAAAATAAACATGAATGTAAATAGTAGTTGTGTGCAGAACATGTACAGGCACTGAAATAAAGTTGCACATAATTTGAAGGTCAGAATCTAGATATAAATGCTAATCAGGTTAACTCTTGGAAATAAAGATCTTCTGCATAGGTCAACTGCTATTTAATGAACCTCTTCATTGAAAATATTCTTGTTATGACACTAAACAGTAGTCAAGTGGAAGTTGCAAATTACGAGTATACAATCATCTGGGGGGCAAACGAGGCAAATTCAATTAGGCTTTAACGAAGCATTCAAATTGTACAATATCTACCTGAGATGCATTTCCATGTCATCAACGAATGGAATGTCAAAGGGCACCGGCACTTCCAATTCTGTGCCTGGGAAGGAACATTGATATCAATGTCGACAACATATATTAGGCAGTCATTACAAAAGCAAATCAACATGTAGTGTGAAAACCAAAATTTGTAACTTACATTCAACGAGCTTTCCCCTTTGGTCAGGCCCTATAAACTAAACTTACCAAATTCAGCATCCAGGATCTCAATGGTGTAGTTCCAAGAGTTGATACCGAGTACAAACTGGAACTCACAAGGGTCAAAGCGCATGAACGCTTTGAAGGACAGAGACACCATGAAGAGTTTGACGTTCATACAGCACTCCACGCCCAGGCAGCTCTCATCTATCTTACAATACACATTCTTGGGCAGAGAGATTTGAAGTAGGGGACAGCCTACAAAATAATAAAAGTTGTACACATTTTCTGAATGATATTATCAGTTGTTCATTCCTTTGCTCAACACTGTCAACTTACTTTTGAATAGACCTTAGAAACAATGACGTCATGCTTTGTTTACATGTGCGCTTTCCTATGGGAGCTTGGTGGCTCTCGTCCCCACCTGGCTCCCACATGATAGTGCACCTCCGTAAACAAAGCATGACATTATTATGACGTATGAGTACATCAGAGTTTTCAAGCTGTGGAAATAATATTCAGTCATTATATACTGAGTGAATGTATTTTCAGCAACATTTTCAATCATGGGCCAAATTTCATGGAAAGAATTGCAGAACAGAAGCAAATAAATTCAGGCAGGAATAGTAAACATGCTTTCAGTTTAATCTTCCATTATCAGAAGTCTGACTATGATGCAACGGCGTCGATGTAAAGACTCATTACAAACATCAGAACTCACAGACATCCTTAAGGACCAACCCACTCAGACTACAGAGCAAGGATGCGTCCTTGCTTTGTGCTCAGTCATCATTGGGGGGAGGGGACCATGCAGCAGCTTAGAAGTTTGGAAAGTGGAGGGGCTTAATTGGCTGGACACCATCGGGCTATTATAGAAGGCACTGTTCTAAGATATATACGTATGAACCTTTTTCTTTTTATATACACCGTAAAAAATAAAAGAAAATCGACATTCATTGGAAGGGTCATAATAACGAATCTGATCGTCTGATGATAACGTCATTTATACAGACCTTTGGAGAATGTACCTACATTTTGATACCCCGTTTGCTACCAAACACTGTAAATCGTTCAAGATTGACAATGGTTTATGAACATTGACACAGTTTGAAAACTTGCAAATTTAAAAATTACGCAAGGAGAAATAGCTAAGCGCAAACACGCATTCCAATAACTGGCCCCTACCGACTGCACAGTGTCTGAACAAAGCGCGGGTAATTCAATTTTGCGTGCTCCCATGCATACAGGTACTATGCAATCAATATTCCCTGCCGTTCGTTTCGGGCAGTGTTATATTGTCACGCAGCAATTTCCACTCGCTTACTCTTCAAATTGGCAACTTTTCAAATTGCATCATGTTTCATAAACCGTTGTCAATCTTGGACGATTTACAGTCTTATCAAAACTGGGTATCAAAATTATGTAGCTAACAACATTCTCCGAAGGTCTGTATAATTGAGGTTATCACAAACGATCAGATTAAAATTATGACCCCTCCAATGAGGGTTGACTTTTTTTTGGGGGGGGGGGTTACCTTATATTTACAAGTTTGGTGAAAAGCGATGCGTGCAAGTACAATCTTACAACTACAACACCCTTTTTAAAAATACAGTACAGCTTTGGCTAAATTAGGCTAAATATATATGCGCTTGGATACATTTTTGAGGGAACAACGAATCAGTACTCCTCCCGGCCCTCCTAATTTTCCCCCACCACCCCCTCCCCCCGGATCATTGCCCAAGCTTTTGATCCACAGGATGTTTTTATCGTTGGATTATGGTCTTCTTCCTGTGAGCTGAGACCACATTGCTGAATCTCCATCCTAAATTGTTATGATGAGTCACTGAGTATGATACAATACTCATCACAGAAAACTTTATAATATCACAAACGCAAGGAGCGTGCTGCTCAGACTATAAACACTTACGATTCTCAGGTTGTTTGTATCGCTGTATCAAGGTCTTTTTATCTCCCTGTGAGCTGAGACTACGCCGCTGGAGTTCAATCCTTAATTATCATGAGTCATTGACAATAATACAACGCTCATTACAGACAACTAGAGACACAGGACAAGAACTGCCCTGTTCAGACTAAACACTTACGATCCTCAGGTTGTTTGTATCGCTGTATCAACGTCTTCCTATCTCCCTGTGAGCTGAGACCACGCTGTTGGAGTTCAATCCTCAAGGAATCAGTCGTCAAAGACTCAGGTAGGACACACGGTTTATCACTCACCAGTTTCTAGTGTTGAGGAAATGCAAATCAAATTGACATGAGAATCACTTTTTCAAATTTGTTTTTTTTTCCCAAATAATTCTGCTGTAAACAAAAGCTGATTCCATCATAATTATGACGAGTGGAAATTAACACATCTCTTTGCATACAATGAGTGCATCTGTTAACTCAATTGACACCGATAGATAAGGAGCTCAAACATTACAACGCATTACCTAAATTCGATGTTGTTGATGAAATGAAATCTGTATGCAAAGAGTTAGGTAAACACCTATCACCTGCAACCACAATTAGAAACAGCACAAACACTGGTTCATTGGACATTGCCTTACCAACATGTCTGCATAATTATTAGCTCACGCAGGTCGACTCCGGTTAGCCCTGTGGCGTTCGATTAGCTCTATTCTGTTCGATTAGCTTTGACATCATTCTCGGGGCTCACCAGGGTCAGTCACCACAGACCTTGCTCGTGGAGCGGAGTCAGTTATGAAAATACGCTACACGCATGCATTGTTTAGTTTCAAAAAGCAAACAAATGTGGCGGCAACAGCGGAAAAGATCAAAATTTGGACCCCAAAATCAACTTTATTTAGAGTCTAAGCATAATTTGTAATAAGCTCATTGCGAATTTAAAGGCCGCTAATTCCAGACCAACGTTGTCACTTTTGCGACGGAGGAAGGAATAACACACAGTCCGAAAAGGGGATTTTGTCAATGGCTTCGGCCATGGCTACTGACGTAATGTGAGAATCAGGATGGCCTGCGCATGAGTGTTCCGTTAGCCCAGCTGTCGTGATGGGTAACCTGTCTGCCTTTTAATACCCAAGTCGATCTGAGTGAGCTACTCGAACGCACTCACCGTGTTGTTGAATCGTTTGTCACACTATTCAGTCACATTTCCTGTAAATTGCATTTCTCTCAATATTTTCCTGCCAATGTTTCCCTCTGTACTTAATTTTGAAACAAAGCAACTTTACCCAAGTGGTCAAGTACTAGACAGTTATAGTACTAGTTATCACTTTGCATTTGGATTGAGTTTTTGAAACTAACTAGTTATCATAACAAGCTTGAACCGAAATATCGGATTGGTGTTCATGCATGAGTCATGTTGTGCCATTTAATTTATTGAAAGAGTAGTGTTTCAGTAAAAAATCAGCTTTTTGACCCAGTGACCCCACAATTACGTTTGCCCCCAGTTTGTTCATTGAGGCTGGGCTACTGATACTTTTATTTAAAAATGGTTGAAATCGGTCGAAATATGTAGGAGCAATATACAATGTCAAAATTATTTTGCCACTAACTATAATGGACTATAAACTATAATGGACTATAAATGGACTATAAACTGAGATACATAATGATTTGCTGAGCTGCTATCCCGCAGCTTAAAACATTAAGGACAGTTTAGGTAAGGCCAGGAGGTGGCCTTATCAGTCACCAATCTCCAAAAAAGAGGATGAATTAAGGTTGGACTTACAACAATGGTCTTGACAATAGTTAGCAAGGCGTCTGATGTTTCGTCCAGTTCAAGCTTACGTGCAAACGCCAGGATGGATCCAATCTTCAAGTTCCTCAGAGTGAAACTCTTGAAAGGCGACCCAGAGCCAGTTTTTGTCTCGGGGAGGTTGAGTGCTTCCTTGGTAATTTCCTTATTCTCTGTAAATGGGTGGGGGGGGGGGTGCGGATAACACAATAATTGTTTGGAAGGGTTCGTTGCCATAAATTCAACATCAATACATACCCGTCTTCCAAACTATGGTCACAGTGATGACACAAATAATTATGTGTCACCATATTTGAAAGTATAAGGTATTCTCTTTAGGACGATCACATAATGTAACGCATGTTCAAGGAATTATTCCTTGCTTCTATAATAGCTCTGCCTATCCATCATTTATACTGACTTTTTGTTCTCAACTCTATTTGATATTTTACTTTTTATGGATATATATGTTAACAACACCATTTCCTCTCAGATTACAAGAAAAGCATCATTTTAATACGTGCAGACAACGTGTAGATTATCATTACAGTTATGGCTATTCTAAGCAGATGAACATCAAAAACCGAAGCCGTAGTCACACAATCCAGATTCTAACAGGGCCACATGCAGTAACATTATAGTTTCAGAAGCAATGAAGTTGCTGTCTGATTGAGGTCGGGTTGCTTGTCTTTCCATGAGACTTACCCGGTGATACAGCATTATCTAGGGAGGATGGCCGTCTGGGGGGTTTGTTGCTGTCACTAGGCTTCTCAGTGTTAGTACTGGGAGGTGGTTTGCGATTGGGACTGGTGTCAATCTCCTTTCCTTTCTTATATCCCCGATTTAGCAAAGAACCTGCCTTAACTGTCTTTGCCTGCATAGAGTTACAAGAAATATTTGAATATATCTTTTTGTTTAATGTTTTTCACTTTGGCGGCCTTGTAGAAGAAAAAAAAACTTTTTGCAGACATTTGTCATGAGAAAAGTGGAAAAACACAAACGATTGCAAAATTGCAAATGATCACACCTTGTTCAAATAATCATCCTTCCAAAATGAAACTGACTAAAAACTGCTGCAACTCTGTCGATGCTTTATACTTGCTACTTGTTTAACAATTCTGGACTTCAAGCTTTAAGCTTCATCATTTAAGTTAAAGTTTATTAATGTGATTAAACAAGCTCTATGCATATTCCAGCAGTAAACAGTGACGGCGTACAATGTACTTCTTGTACAATGTAATCAATGTTACAAAATCTGACAACGCTGCACAACTGTCCAATGTTTAAAAGAAAAAATAACAGTGTTGTAGTACTCGTACTCGACTACTTTTTGGAGCACTCGTACTCGTACTTGTACTCGAATGTCAAAGTACTCGTACTCAAAATGACGGTACTCATACTTGGGCAGCAAAGTACTCGTACTCGACATGTCGAAATTGTATTCGATCATCAAAGTACTCGTACTCGAATAGCAGTACTCAGGGGGAAATGGTATAGCTTGACTATATATACCACGGCCTTATTTTATCGATACTTTCAGTTTGAAATGGCTGATTGGCTTGTGGTGAAATCGAGGTTTGCACGTCCGGACAAACACATTAAGCAGCTAGCCGTGAGTGGCATGGGCGTCGCCAGGATTTGTTCTAGAGGGGGGCAAAAAAAAAAATTTGGCCAAAAATGCTTGCATTTCTCAACATATTCTCGATTTATCAGTTTTAGAGGGGGGGGGCAGGGACATGTTGGCCCCCCCCCCCCCCCCCCCCACTCATTAAATTTACACCACTTTGCCTTCGCGCCTCTTTTTCTTCTTTTTTTTCTCTTTTTTTTTCTTCTTCTTCTTCTCCTTTTTTTTGTTGCTTTTCCAGGGGGGGGGGGGCAAGTGACCCCCCTTGCCCCCTTTTCGCTACGCCCATGGTGAGTGGGTCTGTATATTGGTCTGACTGGGCCTGGGCCAATTACGCACAATTAACCATTTGCCGTATGGCCGTATTCGGGAAATACAAGTACTCGTACTGGTACTAGTACTCAGAAGTACAGTACTCATACTCGTGCTCTTACTCGAAATTAAGAACATTCGTACTCGGAGACCTGTTCTGGTACTCGGAGGTACAAGTACTCGAACTCGTACTCGGCAACCTAAGTACTCGGCAGTACTTGGTATACTCTTGTACTCGGAGGTACAAGTACTCGTACTCGTACTCGGCAACCTAAGTACTCGGCAGTACTTAATACTCGGAAAAAAGTACTCGACTACAACACTAAAAAATAATGTGAAGAGTCACATTCAAAACGTGCAACTCTTTCACTTTTTTCAATGTTGGTAAATATGGTAAAATGTTTTTTAAATATGGTAAAAGCCTATATGACCTCACACGTACCAGCCAGACCAGCTTGTAATCGTCACATTTTTGTTCCCACTGGGGTATCTTCAGCGGCCTCTTGGCCAGATAGTTGGTCGGGTCCACGTAGCCTTCTTTGGCCGCGTCGTCGGCCGGCGTGGGATCGTCATTTAGGCTGCTGTCCAGGATAGAAGCCAGGCGATTGGGCTTGACCTTCTTCATGGAAAAGTGGATGAAGTTTGGCGGTGCGCAGGAGGTGGAGCGGATCACTTTGCCAATCTTCCTGCCGGCTATGACCTGGATGGGAAAAGGTAAGGATTTTGAATATACACAAGTCTAAGCACGACAAACAGATGCTGCTTTGTCAAGGCACATCTTCCTGAAATCGCCGACATTTTTATGTTTTAGATCGTTCACTTGTCCTGTTGAGAGGCAACTAACCTTGTGTCACTTTTCCTCAGAAAAGACAAACAACACGGTGTGTTTACCTCTGACGCGACGGACATTTTGTGGCATATGCATACATATTTCCAGCCGTACATATAAGTCTCCTTCATGCTCTCAGCTTCTGTGTCCATGTCAGATGATTCAATGTATGAGTAGTGTGTAAAAGTAGTGTGTGTGACACATATTTAGAGAGTTCAATTTTGTGCAACCATACCCCTAATACCAATACACTCAGTGTTGTTTCTCGCACGTACGCAGAATGCAATGCGCTGATGAAACATATGCCACTGGAATTACGAGTGGCATGTGTGACTGGCATCACGAGGATGGTTGTACGGACGGTTTTATCCTTCTTTTTAATGTTCTAGTCCAATAAACACCATTTTGTTGAAAATTCGTGTTGTAGTCCAATTGATTGCTTGGCAGGACGTAGTATACATTTAAGTCGGATTCATACTTGGAGCAAAAGTAACTTTCGATTGCAATTTGCTTCAGGGCAAATATTGCTGCTGTAAATGTACAAAAAATAAAAACATTTCAACTCTGTCAAATTTCACAATGAATATGTTGTGATGTCAAATTTGCTTGTCATTTGCATCCGCATGATGTACAAACCATCCTTTACTTGGTTTGACAGGATTGTGAAGTAGCATCATTTTTTTCTTTAAATAGTTAGTTTTGATAATACTGCTCAGTGACTACAGGCTAAATGAATGTACCTTGATACAACTCACAAATTATATGATTAAACATTTTCAAATAAAAAGTCTTTTATCTGCACTTACCGTAGTTTGGTTGATATGTCAGGTGATTTTTTTCCAATCTTAGTACGTGTCGTTACTTAAATGTAAAACTGTTCAAAGTTGATGCGGCCATGTGAGGCACTTACTGTACTACCAATTCAGCCTGAAACTGTAGCGTTTTCAGATTATCAATTTTTAATTATCAATATGTCTTAATATTTAGTTATTCATTACACTTTAATTATCAATCTTCCTTTTGAAGTTTTTAATGAGAATTCCTGTATAACGATGAATTCTGCTAAATGCATTACTCATTTTCCTTGTTAACACATACACCCACAGTGTGTTTATATGCAACGTGTACATAGTCCCTATTGTTTTAGACAGAGTAAGTGACCTTCACTGCCCTCACACAAGTCACTGGTCATTTAATTGACATTGAAAGTTCATCAGTATAAACAAGTGTTCCTTGATCATTGTTGTAAGGTTCTATCATTCAAAGTCATCTTTTTGAGAATGAAAAAACAGACATGACTAAGTTTTTCCGTTCATTGTACTCGTTCATTCGATTCAATCTACAATTCAATAGTCAGTGTAATTCATTCCTCTCATCCAGTCAGTTCTTCCAGTTCTCTTTGTCTCAGTTCCCTTTAATCAGTTTGGTTATTTGTATATTAAATATTGTTGTGAAATATACAGTCATGGTAAACACAGTCCTCAGCCAAATAATTATGTATCGACTTATCCATTCCCCAACAAAACAAAAATATCCAATTACCACCAAACTAGTGTACACTCACAGTTTCTCCCTTGGTAGTAGAGAGTGTCCCGTTGGGCTTAATGTTGTCAATGTAGATCTTGATGTTGCGGAAGGCCCCACCGCCGGCCAGCAGGGTCACCTGGTTGGGTTTGCCTGCACTCTTGAAAAGGAGGCCTGAAAATGGTGCAACAAGCTGCAGAAGAAACAAGCTAAGCAAGAGTCCATCATTTTAATGTTAACGGAGGGTTTACAACTGCAGATTTAATGGTGATTCTTTATTTTCAAAGTTGAGAAACAGCTGTGATATGCTGAAGTATGAGGAAAAAAAGACCTGGCAATTCTGTATCTCTCAGAAGTTGCTACAAAAATAAAAATCCCTGCTTTTCGTCCTCTCATACCCACACACAAATTGTATTAGCTCTTTTCTTCAGAATGCCTTTATGGGACAAATATAAACCATGCTTTTTGTTTTACTGAACCGCAGGAGATATTGTACATTTTGTAAGAGACAAAGACTTCTGACTACAACTCATGGTCAGTGTTGGACAATGGCCCCACACAAGAGGACCCCACATCGTGTTTACAACATTTTTCATTTCAGAACAGATAGGCAATTTATTAGAGCCAATTCCATGAAATAAATTTGTTCTGTTCACATAAGAGAAAAAAGGTCAAATATATATTTGTGTCTATTCATATATACCTTTTAGGTATTTAACAAAAAAAGTTTTCGGTCCAAAAATCAAAACAAGTCAAACATTATAAATTTCCAACAATTTTGTTCAACAATATTACTTCATGTTTTTCGGGACACCCCTCTAGGTATATTATGATATGTCTCTCTCGCGTCGTCATAAACAACTCCTTATATGGCGCGCGTCACGCGTATTGCACGATGAGGCACAGAACGCAGCTTTTTCGGACTATGAAATACTGACTGAGTATTGCTCATGCATACGCGAGGATTTCAAACATTCAACCAATAAAAACGGTTACGTGAAAGGCACCAGATTGCATTGGAGTCAACATTTTATGTGACTCTAGAAAAGAATTTGAGACTAGCCAGCCGGACCTTATCAACCATTTAAAACCAGCCACATGACAGGCTCTCAACCAATAGGAATGGGTTAAGTGTTTTATATGTATTTATGAATGTCCAATAACGTGGTTTAAATTGTTAGGGCAGGTGAATTCAATATCATTCTGAATTGCGGATTAGCAGCTCTGACGTCAAATTTTTTTCCCACCCTCCCTAGCTGTCTCCCTATGTCTTGTGTAAAACTTGATGCAAGTGTAATTAACTTTCAATCCACTTTCTACCCTCAGTTTTGTTTATTAGTAAAAGTGTGGTTTGGCCTTGTATAATTTCTTAATTAAATTTGGTCCGGCCTAGTAGCCTTAGAATATATTGCTCTCCATCAACTTACCCAACACAGCTTGACTATTAGCCTCTTTACTCTTGTGGTTCATCAAACTTCTCCTTAAAAGCCATCGGCAGATTAACGACTGTATACACTAAAACTATTTGCTTCACAATCTTTTGGTCAAAAAGAGGAGATAATGATTGCCACTAATTTTGCTCTTGGTGAGCGCCGGGCATGGTTTCGGTTAGTTTGTAGATTTTTAACCGAGGACATCAGCAGTGATTGGGAACTATAGGTTTGGACGCAGTCTCGAGTCGGGTCTCGAGTCCATTCTTTTTACTCATGACTCAGCTCCGACTCCTGGCTTTTTCAATAGGCCAGGCTCAGACTGGACTAGTGGCTGAATCAGACTACCTGTCGGACTCATGTCATGTTTAAACCTGTTAAAAAGTTAATATTGTTTTAAAAACGGTCCCCCGTCTGTTGTCAGATCGAATTTTAATTCTTGCCTGAATTGTTTTTCTTTCAGATACCTTACTAGGCTGTAAAATAATCGCAAGAGGTCGATTCGACAGTCCTTTTATTCTCAGTGTACTCATGCACGCACGTGTTCTGCAACAAAAACCCTCTTAAAAATTTGAATTCAGACTTGAGCCAGACTCGGTCAAAAATGGACTCGGACTTGGCATGGACTTGAGCCTTCGTGGACTCAGCTCAGCTCAGACGAGGTGGACACGACTACATCACGGGACATAAGGCATAAGAGTTAAGGCTACTCAGAGGACTCCTAAACTTACAGCCATTTCGTTCTTTTAGAACACAGCAGCGAAATTATCACGATTTAGTGATTCATATTTCAGGCCCTGAAACCAGAAATTAAGTCCTCTTTGCATACCCATTTTCCTTGTTGAATCTCCAGATCTACACCCTTGTCTGCAAAATGTCCGTTGGAGTCGGTTGGGTAGAAGCCCCCCGATGCACAACCCCTGCGGCCTGCAGGTTCACGGAATTTCCTAGGGAAGCTCTTGTGGGTCTTGGGTCCAAAGAGTTTCATGATGAGAGTTTGAGACTCCTGATATCTGAAGAGACAATTGCCAATCAAAGTAAGTTTAACACTATGCCTAAATGTATTTGCTTTTTCCTACATGTTTCCTAACTCAATGGAAAAACCCTACCCCTAGAACTATTGGGCTCCGCACAAGCTGAGCCCCATATAGATGACTTGCATTCATGTGGTAGGCCTACTACTACTACTTCTACTACACGTCTGCAAGACAGAAAACAACAACTCGATACTGGCACAGTGCTCAAAAACCGCGGTACAATTTGCCTCTAAACTCCATCTGGTACTTCTTAACATACTCACGTTCCTTGTGCATAACAAGGGGTTAATCGGTCTCGATTTTGCAAAACAATAATGAAAAAAATAATCCCCTTTCCGTTCTGTAGCGATCGACATGTAGAAGCTACATGCACATTCAAAGATCGGCTGCGCTTGATTTTTGCATGGCTAGCATCAGACGGGCCAATCACGGGGCGCCTCCTTAGTACCTCGCGATTCGTGATCTCTATTTGTAATTCAGGAGGCTTAAATAGTAATTTGTGGCAATTTTTAGGGTGAAATCTGACGATTTTTTGGGAGTCGTTAGATGAATGAAAGACGATGGTGGCCATGAATGTGCGTGTTGCCTGGACTTGTGGTCACACACTTCACTTCAGATATTTAATTTTTGATCGGAAGTCTTACTATCAAGTATCTTGTTTCTAACTTTTCCCGTCTCACCCTCTCCCTTTTTCTCTGGTTTTTTTTTAAGGTCGAGGTCACTTTGCGCAAAGTCATTAAGCTCACAATTTCAGCAAACCCGCGTGAATCTTTAGTCCGCTTTGTATATATCTGGGCCACTTCTTCGAATATTTAATATCACGTTTACTCAAATGGCTGTGTATTTTTGTAATTCTTGTGAGACTGTGCTACAAACTTACTGAACAAACTATTAAAACCACTGAAGATATGTTTGATTCTCCTGTTCAACATGTCGCTTTCATTTGTGTGTCTTTGAACTGAGGAGAATCCAAAGGATGTCGGAGATTAAAATTGAATGGAGGCCATCTTGAAATATACAAATTAAAAAATATAAAGCCCCTCCCGCTCCCTTTTCCCCTCAAAAACATGGATGTTAAACATGTTTTTTTTCACACTTGGCCTTAAAATGAGGATGAATACAATCTTTGGATCACTCACGAATTCTTCAGTGTCAGATACGCCTGCTTAATATTCCCAATGGTATTGACGACAACATCGTACAAGTCAAAGAAAAGTGCCAGCAAATCTGTAATGGGTTCTATCGGACCTATCAGCTCTGAAATGATTGACTTGATCTCATCAGCGATCCGTCTTCTCAGTGTGTTCTGTAGGATGAGATGAAAACAATAAATGTCATGACTCATGAGAATCCCAAATTACATAACAATATGACAGATAATAGACCTTAGTTTTTACTATCACTACATCTTTTCGTATGCAAAATTGAGAGCACAGGAAGTGAAAAGTACTAAGAACTTATGCATTAATTTTAGTATACATTCATGGGCTAAATGCCACCAGCAGCGTAGCCAGGGTTCTCATCCTGTAGGTGGGTGTGTGGAGGTGGGGCTTGAGGTTATAATAGAGGGGCGACCAAAAATTTTAACTGTGCTGAAGTAGACAGGTTTTTTTCACCGGACACCAGAGCTCCCTGCTCCTTGGTTTGTCAAAACACTGTACACACACAGCTGCACTGCACTGAAAAAGTATTATTAGCACTACATGCGTATGCTGATTGCTTTCATAGATATGTAACTGATCTCTGCTGTGATGCCATTCCCTGGCATTTTGTACACCCAAGGAACGCACAAGACACTCCAGGCAAAGCTGAACATGCCACCGAACCACAAGCATCTAATAGTCTCTCATTTTATGTGCGACTTTAATCATCACACAAGCCTATGTATTCTAATTTGATTTCTGATACTTTGCATTTGGTATGGGCTTCTCGCATGGTCAATGTTCCAACACGTCAGAGAAGTAAAAGTAGCTATACACGGCACACGCACATATGTGACGGAGGTATTTTCTCCCTACTGGTACTTGACAACCGACCAGTACTTAATACCTCCCCATGCTTCCTATCTTCGCCTCAAACCATGTTGTATTTGTGTAACACAAAAGGGGATATTTGTCCCCCCCCCCCTTTTTTCGTCACCTAATAAAATTTGCTCCTCTAGTTGATTATATATCTTAGAAAAGCTGAATCAATGTCTCCAAATTTGAAAGTTATGTTTAAATGATGATCTTTTGCTAAAAAAAAGGGTTAAAGTGGTCAGAAATTGTCTTAAATCAGAGCATTTAATGTTTTGATCAAGGTATGTCCCCCCCCCCCGCTTTTAAGAAGAGATGGACGCCCTTGTACTACAATTTCACACTGTTGAGCTATGTTTAACAGATAATGCCCACTAATTAATTCAATTCAATAGTATTTATTTCCATCAAAAGCAAGGTAAAAGAACCAATAGGCTATGTAAAGATTGACGCATCATTATAAAAAGCTAAAGCTTATGTCTTAACACATAAATGCAAAACTGACAAATAATTCTGATAATTTAGAATAACTAAAAGAAAGACCGAAAATGGACTAGTACAAACCAACACAAACAACTAGGACAGACTGATGACCAAACACACAGCAGGGTAGATACATACTACCAGGAAAGAAAGGGCAGAAAGCTGATCATGACGGAAAAGGAGAAAGAGAAAGATGCTTTGCTAAATATTGGGACAAAAGATGTTTCTTGAAACTGACTTTAAATTTGCCTAGAGAGGACTGAGATTCTATAGACAGATCAAGTCAATTCCGCAGTAAACATCTCACCGAGTCAACAGCACCACCAGTCAGCTTCTTGATGGGATCTGAGGAGTCTGCGATCTCATCCACCCAGATGGCAAGGTCCCTTGTGATGTTGCCCAGGTGTTCTCTCAGCTCTTTGAGCATATCACCGATGACCTTGGGCAGATCAAACCAGTAGGGCCTCTGACCTGTGAAGCAGGGAGTAGTGGACACAATCAAATCGGTACATCTTAACGCTGTAATGAGAACCATTACTGAAGGCACATTCCCTGACCTCAGCCTCTGTTTTTTTTGTGGGGGAGGGGCGTCATCAACATCTGAATTGGAACTGTTTATCTCTGACTTGGGTATGAAAGCATAGTGTTCATTAAAATCCACGAGAATTGCAATCTAGAGGTTACAGTGGAACTGCAATGTGGTAGGCTCAAACACTACTTCAGTCAATTTCTTTAAAACATTTACTGTAATGCACCTAGGCAGTTCAATTCAATCTGTTCCCTTTGCGTTGTTAATTGTAAAAAATGTCTCATCTTGAGCTTAGGTCCTCAGCACTTCATCAAGGTTTTCAAGGGATTCATTTTCCGTGTTTCGTTCACATTACTTCTAGCTGTTAGTTCATGTTTCCCTGTCTTTCCTGGGAACAACTCCATCGTTCTGCTATTCTTGGTGTCATCCAGTTGTTCAACGGAGCCCTTTCTCCGTAACCAACCTCTAATATATGGTGAGCGTGCAAATGTCATGCGACCCCATGCACCAGCCAATCGGAGTCGACTTTAGAAACTGTGACATCATTTCGATGAGAAATATGGACTTAGCTGTTATTGGTCAATTTGGCACTAAAGATCCGACAAAAGGAACCCACTGAATGGCCAGAATCTCGAGTTCAAGACACAGTCTTGTTTTGCATAATATATCGCTGAATTTGCCCGCACATCAAAGACTCTTGCTGTGCAAGGCGATATTCCATAGACCTACTATTCTGCATGAGCTAATAAACATTTGAAAATTGTTTAATCTCAATATGACTTTTTAAAACTGCTTTACGGTTTGAGACCTGTAAATCGACTCCCATAGACCTCAGTAATAATAACGCACACTTCCAAAAAATATTCAAAATACTCACAACTCTTCAAGGTGTTTAAGACACCCATCAAAGCTTATTTCATTATCTTTCATTTTCCTTTCACTTTTTGTTTAATTAGCTGATGAATTTTGCAAGAAAATTCCATCTAAATATAATGACCCCGAAAAATTGTCCTGTGGCCCATCGCCATTTAAAAAAAAATGACACCTGCGCTCCATTGCAAAAAGAGCAAATTTAGGGCCGAATTTCAGGCGAATTTCACAGAAACACGAGCTCATACTCCTGTGCATGTCTCCCGCCCGTCTTTTTTACAAACTTTCAAGTTCATTGCTAACAAAAAGCTGTAATAGCAAATAATTTGAGGGCACGCAAATTGTGATTTGGCTCGCATAGGCAATTTTGGGGCTATTTACAGGTGGCACCCTTACCTTCCTTGAAATTGGCTTTGTCAACCTCGATCTTGGCCTCAAGAATGGCCCCAACAGCTATTTTGATGCTGAGAGGGAAGGATTATAAATAAAGAATTATAATGACCACAAGAAATTATTTTACAGATCCTTTTTTAGTACATCTTTAGGAGAAGCTTTTTTTAAGAGGTTTTAGACTTCTTTGAAGACTCTGAAAGACACCATAATACGACAAAGTTGCATAATAAATGTTGTTTAATCTTTGAATATATGTGGAAACCTGACATCTAACATAGCTCTTCATTTTGTGCTAACAGAGCCTCAGTCTATTTCACAGAGACCGCTAAGCAGTCAGCACAGTGAGAGCAACCTTAAGCACCGAGGAAAAATGTGCTTAAGTCAGTGACGTAACAATAGACAACTCCATACACGCTCAATCATTAGCACATCCACACCACGAAATAGTGCTATAGGCAGCGGCATGCTTTTCTGCTATAGCAAGTACAACTCTTCTGCTAACTGGCAGGGACATGAAATTGGGCCCCGTGTACTATGTAACCTTTGTTTTGTCCCTGTTAAGTTGACAAAGCACTCACTTGATGATTCCTTTGAAGATATCCCCAATGGCTTTCAAGGGTGACTTCAGTAAATCTCCGATGGTATCTGAGATGGACTTGATGGAATCCCAGATCTGCTCGGCTGCCCAGGGCAAGGTGACTGTGATTGCCTCATTGACAGCCTGCACACCCACACACACATGTTTACGTAACATACCTAGCATAAACATTTCTTTGTTTTCGTTTAGTTAAGAAAAACCCATGAAAAACAAATCATTTTACTCACACTTGTGAAAACTCTTTCAACACACATTTCCATGATTTTTCTTCATTTTACTACAAATAAACTTAACCTGCCTTTAATGCCTAAACCTGTCTTCAAGAGAGGGGGGAAACATTGTGCAGACGTAGGCAAGTCCACACGACGTCGCTGCTACATGGTCTATGTGGACATTTTTCGTTTGGAATTCCATACAAAGTGAATGTAATGCTTGTACACACACCAAAGTGTGTATTTGCCTACAATTGGGGCCCCCTGTGTTTCCGTTTTTTGTTTGTACCCAACGTTTTTAGAAAGACCTGCCATTTTTTTTAAAATTTATCCATATTGGGGACGACTCGGGAATTGGGGACCCTATTGTCCTCCATTGTTCAACGTAACCTATGGAATGCAGAAACAAACTCACGCAAACAATCCAGAATTTGTCATGAATAAAACACTGACTCTAATGTTTGAGATGACGTTTTACATTGATATTGCATTGGCAGAAATTCTCAATATGCAATGTATCTGAACATTTATATCAAACAGCAGTAGATCAGTTTACAATGCAGTCCTGTGTGAATTTAAAGATCCTTACACTGTATGCTAACGTATAACATTACTCAATCTGTTACATTCCAGTTGCAAACATGCAATGTAATATAAATGTATAACAGGGGCAAACAGAAAATAAGCTTCGGACCTGGTAAAACTCCATGACATCTGTCTTAATGTCACTGAATATTTGAGCAGCCTTGTTGACTACTTTGATAACTCCACCGAAAGAAGGAGGAAGCTGATCTGGGTCGAACTTGGACAGTCGGGCCACTGCGTTTGCAGACAAAAATCTTACATTCTGTGCAAAGAGAGAATTCAAAGTAGGGGGGAAAAACCAATGGAAAAATTGAGTCAGGAGCACAACCAGTGATTGGTATAAATCTACATTTCTTTCTTGATTTTTATTTATATATTATAGGTTGTCCCGGCCAATTTCCTGCAATGTTCATTCACTTTTGAAAATCAGTCATTCGTTTTCGTCTGAATTTGAATGCACGTCTTTGATCCCATTTCAATTCAACAATTAAGAGTTCAATCGTTTTCATTGACTGTGCATTCGGTTTTGAGAAACAGAGGGCCAATTACGTTACCTGTGCATTCATTTAGGCAAGCGTACCTTTTTTAAATTGATTGACGGTTAATGAAAAAGAAACCCTTAATTGTATCTGTTGCCGATAGCATTAAACTTAAACTGAAAAAAAGAATGGTGAATGTTTGAAATGTCCTAGTAAAAGCGATCAAGAAGTCTTGTAAACGAATCTGAATGAACATAAACGAAAGATGGTGCTCAATCACTTAATTGATTCGACTAAACTAAAATGGAATCGAATTCTCAGGTGGCGAAAAATAAATGTGTGTAAGAAGAGATTCTAAAATTCAGACGAAAACGAATGACCGATTTTTAGAAGTGAAAGTACATTTTAGAAAATTTGCCAGGAAAACCTATATTAATTGACCAAACAACAAATGAAAGTCTTTCGACTTATTTCCATTGTGGTCCTACCGTGCCTTGGAAGGGGATGAGGTTGGAAATTGCACCAGTGTGCGGAAAGCCCAGAATAACATTGAGGGACTAAAAAAACCAATCACCATGTTAGCCCAGATGGGTTCAAACCCGGATTACAAGAGTAGAAGGCAAGGAAAGTGCCACCAAGCCAATATGATGCTGCTCTCCTGCATTCAGCACCATCTTTTAACCCTCGCAGCAGCCACGGGGTGATAACATTTTCCAAATATGGGCATATTTTTTTTAATGGGCCAATTAGGCCAAGCTTCCATGTAATCCTCACCCACTGATCTCTATGGAGATCAGTGTCCTCACCCCTATTATACACCACAAGCCTGAAGACTGCCATTGACCAGACCCTAGCCACTCCGGAGTAAGGAGTGTTGAAAGACAGAAGCCAAGATGGCGCCTTATGCCTTTGTGCAGGAATTGGAGATCTTAGTGGCCAACCTCTAAGTGCCGCCGATCCCTCTGTGTCAACCCCTCGTGCCGCTCAGACAGGTTGTAAACAATTCGTGGCCATGTGAATGACCTATATCTTGTGCATGTACAGGCATGTCAGGGTTATTGACCTATAAGCACATGTGGTGATACAATTTTCGACTTGGTTCCACCGCGTAAATTTTTACTAGATCCCAAGTATTGACTCAAGAATAATGGATAGCCGGATATAAACGGACATACAAATTCTAAGGTAACATAAAATGGTCATCTAAGTCTTTTCTGGAACTCCAATTCACCATCTATGGGGATTAAAATTGCTCTTGGCTTGCAGGAGGGACATAAAAAAACTGGGTGGTGGTGTAAATCTCCGTGTGGGTCCACCGCGAAAATGTATTGATCTCCCGGCTCTAAGGGTTATGATAACTGTGCAATAATATTTTGACAGCTTTGATTTGTTTGTTTTCATTTTGGTGAATAGGAGGAGGGTTTAAACCAACTGACCACTTGATCCTGCTTCATGTGACGTCTGGGACCAGGCCAAACCATGCATTTTATTGCATCTTTTCATGTATAACTCGGGGACAAAAATTTGACATTCTTTTCTTGATTCTTTTGTTTTCCTTTTTACCATCCCAAGATTTATTGTTAATTTCTGAGCAGAAATGTAGTTGTGTATATTGCAACAAAATTTGACATGTATTACTTTCCCAACTGCACCTTTAAACTACAGTAGATATTGCATTTGCTACAGTAATTTATAGTAGTCACGCATTTCATATTTTCATAAGTCAGATAAATTAAGGTATCAAAAAGTATTATAGAGCTTAGCATTGTTACATACTTTTCCAACTTAACCTACTTCAAACCGTACAGCTCGACAGTATGTGGGCTACAGCCAAACCACAAATGGAACTCGATCTCATCGTAGCCTTTATTGTTCGCTCCAAATAGTGTTGGGTATAAAATTCCTTGTCCCACACACCTCTGCACTTCATGTTTAAAGACACACTGTATTCATATTCTCAATCTTGAAATTCCTTAAGCATTTTGTTAGCCAGCCCCATCAACGGGCCCCAGAAAGCCCATGTAGAAAACGTATACACGTTGCCACTTTCGTAAATCCGATCGACTTCAGACCTGTCACATACTTACACATACCAGCCACAGATGGTTCTAGAAGAATTGTGTCATCATGACGTCATCACGTGTCATGTGACGTCGTCATAAAAGTGCACTTTCAAGGCCCTATATCTATTTCTATAACTACGAGGCCGATCCACTGAAACTTGGTATGTAGACAAAGCGGGATGTGATATAGATGAAAATGGAGGTGACGTTATGATGACGTCATCATGTGGATATTTTGAGATTTTAATTTTTTTCAGCTTATCTCCATATCTCCTGAACTAAATATGCTACAATCACAATTATTTTTTTATTAGATTCGGTAGGCCATAGATATATGAACACAATTTCGAAAAATGTAATTTTCTTCAAACACATATGTTCGATCGTTATGAAACTTGGTGGGTGGGTAGGTATTGATAATTCAATGTAGTATTCTAAATCTGAAGTGGCGTCATGATGACGTCAGCAACTGATTTAGTTTTATTAATTTATAAAGTTTTAATATTTGTTTTCTTATTGCAAAAATTGACATGACATGCAATTAGATTGACTTGAAACTAGGTACACACCAAGATCATTAGCGTGTTGAATACGTCACCGAGCCATTTGTAAACATCCAAAACAGCTGATGTTTGTCCACAAACACATTTGTAGTTATTTAATTATTCATGGTTCTCCCTGAATAATTATTTTATAAGCAAAAAAATCATAACATTTCAAATATTTCTATTTTCTGATATTGCATATGAATTGTCACTTTGTCAGTTATGTTGTTGTGTTGGCCGTGATCAACCTACACGAGATCTCCCAACTGGCGGTCGGCCTCTTTCGGTTCGCGTTACATTATTATCAGATAAAATCCACGTACTGGCTCTCAGACATGATGAATGTAGGGACCATATAAGTATGATGAGTACATTGTTGGAAGCACTTACACCAATTCGTCCTGGGATGCCCTCCAGAGTCTGCTCAAAATTATCAAACAGCATGCTGACCTTGATGTCGCCGTTGAAGAGATCCACGATAGTGTTTACACTTTTCACAATCTTACCGACTACTTTATAAATGACGAGATCATACAAATTGGCCAGGTCACTCAGACGTTTTACCCCAAATTCCTGAAAAATAGATAACAAGTAGATTTAAAAAAAAAATTCGGACACTTAATTATCATACAGAGTCCATCAAGTATAAAACTTATGGTTTCTTTCAGTGGTGGATCTAGGTGGGTGCGGAGAGGCGCGCCCACCCCCACCAGTCATCAAATTTTCCTCAGATAGGGCCTTTTTTCACTTGTGAGAGCCCTTTCGCCCACCGGCACAGCCTCAGCCCCCCCCCCTCCCACTCCCGGCAGTCACCTTTCTGGATCCACCCTTGTATTTATACACAATCATATGTACAATAGTTTTTCTCCAAAGTTTGTAACTAGGTTAGTCTCCGAAATTGGTAGCTAGGTTTGAAAATTGGAAAAATGTTGCAAGCAATGAAGCAGTAATAATTTAACTGTTATTTGGCAATCTGGCAAAGAACAAAAACATGTCTTTAAGATTCTTCTTGTTTGCCTATTCATGGGCCTGAGTATATTGCAATGTCAAGCCTTGCATGCAGCCACTATTACGCCCACACAGCCTTACACAGGCATAGAAGTGGGGCACTTCCTTTGTTCTCGTGTACTAAAATTTTGCATTGTCGCACACTAATGTCAAATGCTCTTATTTTAACCAGAATTAATTTCCTGGGCTAAAATTCGGACTTAATATCCCTTTTCTAAAACTCTTACATTTGCGAGAAATCAACCCACCTTGTAAATTTTTTTGAATAAAATGCATCAATCTATTTCGTGAAAAACTTGTAGGGTACCAAAACGGTACCCCGCAAGTCGGTGGGCATTCCTTGTGGGGTACCTCCCATTGTTCCGGTACCCCATAAGGCAGTGTTTGTACACGCGCATGCACACACATGCAGCAAGCCTCACTGACACTGGCTACAACACTGCTGAATATCCTGGGGGAAGAGCAAGATCAATCCACACTTGAAGTTCACCTTTTAATAATGAATTACCAACTACATGTATCACTAAGATCACATAGCAATAACGTTAAGGGAATGTACATCATTGACTTTTGCTGTAATTTTCAGAAATGAACTATTTGAGGGGTTAGTATAATAGATCAAATATTGTTTAACTGACATGTTTGAAGTTTCGTGTTCGAAAATGCTTGAAAAACCAAGAAAAACAAAAATGTTTTAGTAGTCTGGTTCCCTGACTCCACTAAAGATAAAATGGATCAATTTATAGATGTCGGAAAATTGTAAGGTAAGGGAACCAGTCTAGCTTGCCTGCACCCGTTCATGAACATGTAACCAATAGCAAACAATATGTGGACTGAAAAAAATTGTAAATTTGGAGCAGTAGTTGAAAAATAGTTAGGTTTTTCCAACGGTGGTCGGCCGACCACCGTTGGAAATGTATACAAAAATACTATTTTTTTGATAATGACTTGACACCAGGTGCCATAATTTTACAGGATGCTTTAGACTGTCATTTACCAACATCCTAGTAAGGTATTTCGTAAAAACTTGGTAGTTTTATTTTTCGATGTTTGCAAATGTTGTTTATTCCCTTTAAAATAAATCCTTTCTGATCTAAATCTGAAATTGAAAGTCTTGATTCACTTCACCTGGAAAATATTGAGGTTGTACTTAATTTTTCCACCGAAGCAGAAGCGGGCACGAGCAATATCCAGTTGCGTATTCACAAGTCCAATCAGTATAGTGGCATATGCCTCATCATGAATATCCACAATAAGATGGCCACTCAGTGGAGCTGTCAGATGGAAATATAAAGCAGTTAACTTACTTATTTGGTGCATGTAAAAAATATAGCAGGAGAAGACAAATCATGCATAGAGGGTACATGTCTACACATTCTGTTGGATCATAAGATCACAAAATCGCCTCTTGAAACTAAATCTACAAAAAGGGGTATGCCAGATGAAACCTTTATCAGGAAGCTGCTTTGATAACAACCCACATCAAGCAGTTTAGAGAACATGAATGACTTCATATTATTTTTAATCCATATTTCAATGAGTTGGGTGAGTAAACATAGCAAACCTCTACTCTCAATGCTGAAATTGCTTGTAAGTACTACTCATACACCCCCTCAAAACCATGTTGTATTTGTTTTATTAGTAATGTGACTTTTGTCTGTTTTGTTTAACTCCAATGGTGGCACTTGCTGACTGAGATCGCTTCTTCCTCAGCACAAAAAAACATATGTGAATGCCAATTTGTCATGTCATAGCAAGTTTTCGCACTGCAAATTGACAAAAGTTCAACGCATTTCAACTCCAGCGAGCACAGAAATGTTTTGTGACATCAAATTTGCTTGAACCGGCCTGAGGAGAATGAGAGAAGGGCCAAAGTTGCTTCAATTTGTTGTAACGTCTAAGAAACAGTGCTACACAATAGCACAGAACAGTAAAGATGATGATAATTATGATGCTTCAGATTTATGTGACATAATTAACCCATTCTTACCTGTGTCAATGTCCAATTCGTTCCTGATGGTAAGACCAAACTCTGCTCCAGCTGTGGTGCTGCCAATAAGCTTCTTCCACTCTACGGAAGGACTGGCCAGCTTAAACTGGATGCCCTCAAAGAAACCGCGTCGCACACGGTGCCTGGAAGGCACGCTGGCTACCTCGGTGGCCGCTACTTCTTGTGAAGAATTCAGTCCAGATACACTGAGGAAGAATTGATCACTCATGGAATTGGACATTAACATGATCCTGCCTGGCCTGGCAGCGGTGGTTTTATTTGCAGCGCACATCGTCAATGGATCATTATTATTCAGCTAATTCGATGTTTATTCATAAGAAAATAACAGTGAAGTCACACCATTGCTATCCATCAGTCAATCATGTACATGAAAGCATTTTAAAGAACGGCTTTCGTCGAGCTGCCACAATAGCCTAGTGGAAAGTGGAGTTAACTATGGATCACAAAATCTGTGGTTCGAGCCCATGCCTATTTTCATCAAATATTTTTTTGTTGGTTGGGATAGGCTTAACTGAAGGGAAAACACTACGAGAACCTTAGTGTCTTCCATCCATACATACAGCCGAGTGGTTGCGACGGGCAATTTCTAAAGGTTACGTAACACTTTATTTTGAATGAAACTACATGTACACAGACATGTTCACCCAGTCGGGCAAAATTTTTGAAAATTAATTTCTCCCGTCTGAATACCGTATCTTCATTCAACTTTTAGGGCTAATTTACTTAGTAAAGATCCAAATATGTGCTAAAAATCGGTGTGATATGTTCATTACTTTTCGTTGAAATTGGAAAAATAGGCCTGGCTACGGGCATTTCTGAAAGTTGTAATACTAGCGTTTGCAATATCTGTCGAGCTTGCCCCATTATGGGTGCGGTGACGCGGCTTTTTTTTTCTTCATTTTTTTTCTTCAAATGTCGGCTGATGACTGCAAATGGTGCCAAACAAAATTTAGTGCAAAATATATGGGAGTCCAGAGAGGCCACATAAAGCTTACATTCGATCGTAACCCCACCTAAAAACATGTTAAATTTGTGCAGCAGCAGGATTTCAGTCGAACCAGTGAGTTTGGCGGTTTTTAGACATCATCTTACATTAAAAAATAACATTTCGACGACGCGCGCTCATGGCTACGGCGACTCCCTCGCATACCAGAAGCCGGAGACTTTTTTTTTTGCCTTATGGTGTGCAGAAAAGTTTGCATAAAAGCCTCCTTCACGAGTAGTTAATTAATAAATATCACCCTTTTTGCCGGCTTCCATTGGTCGATACCGAGACCCACGCCAAGTCATGCCGAGTTACGCTAATGAATATGCTAATTGGCGATCGTCTTTGTGTTGCCGGGCCGAAATCGCGCAACATAGCGCCTACGACGCTGTAGGATCTTTGCTGACCTTTGTTGGTCGGCAGAAAAACCTCGTCGAAATTTTTCTTGGAGATAGCTTAAGGTGTTACATAAACATATTAAGCTGAAATTCGTAATAAACTTAGATGATATAAGTGTTCAACTACTCCAGCAATAACAAGTTGAGTAGATTAATATAAATTGAAATAAAAACTTAAATTTTGGGAATTTTCTGAACGATTTCTTCCAGACTTGAAGATCAGCTTTACCAGTAACTAGTATTGACGTTTCAGCATCGATGACAGTTATTCTTTTCAATGACATGAAGTTAAGAATTTCTTCCTCCGTTATTATTTAACATTTCAATTATACTGAACATATTTTCTGAGAAAAACAATTTTTAAAAAGCCATGTTTTTTTAGGGGGTTTACGAATTTCACTGCTCTGTTACAGCGTCTAAGTACGTATTCAGATTAGCTTTGCTGACAACGGGCCACGCTTCGCCTTCGCAACCATATGGCTGCATAGTGATAAATATCCATGTTACGGTGCGTGGTGTGATGGATACGATGTATGCTTCAACAAAATACGCGGCCTGGCAGACATAATGAATGTAACAATTTATACTCACTTGCTTATTAAAGAGGAAGGAGAGACGCTACTTATCTGCAACCTTACTACAGTACTTTCTACTTTAAAATGGCGGCAAAATTTCTTTTCTCCAGCAAATACAATATGACAATCCTTTTATCCTCTGTATTGTCATAACAATTGTATTTGTCAGGCTACAGTTTGTGTATTCAAAAAGAACTTCAACTCACCCCTCGGGAATGACAAACTGGGTGATGTTTTGCTTGCCGCCATTTGGGTGAATCTTGTAGGACAGCGACGCCTCATATCTCACGTGCTCATCCTCAGTTTCATCCAGGGCAGTTTTCAGCATAATCTCTGCTGCCTGTACACACGAGATTTGATCAAATAAATAAAACCTAACTATCAAATGTCATCAACCACAGTGGTTGTTATGTCTTATAAAGGTCACTCACAAGTCGCAAGCTGCAACAAATGAGCTACGACAAGGCATTTCTTTGTCATTGTGCTCCCACCTTAATTGTAATTTGACTTGTAAAGGACTTGACTATACGGCACTGACATCTACTATTGTACAAGTGCAGCAGTAGATCAAACAACAGAAACAAGTTTTGGGGCATAATTATATTCAAGACTTCAAGTGCAACGTCCATGCCTGCAATGTTTATATCATATTCTTTTTCAAATATTTAAATGATCTTTGAATGCACTGTGTATGACATCAAACTGGAAAAAATTCATATTGAGAACCTACTTTTTCCTCACAGGCAACTTTCCTAATTTGTTTTGTTTTGGAGTCAGACTTATCAATGACTGATGATTCATGTTGAATGTTTTTGCCAGTGAATAAACGTTTTGTTTACCTTGTCGTTATGGTAGTCTCTCATGGAATGTAAACCAGCCCTTTTCAGCATTGGATGAGTAGCGCTGTGGTTGGTATAGCTCTGGATGTGAGGGAAGGAGCGATGGAGCCCAGCATTGCCGAGGGATTCAATCAAAGCCACCGTGTCGTGGTGAAACTCCTCTTGCTCATCCTCAGTCAGTGATGTCAAGGTCTTCTCATATCCCCAGGGATCTGGTGTTAAGACATGGGTCATTCTATAAATTTGGGGCCACTTAGTTTTCCTGTCCCTGTTACATCTTATTCTGTCATTATATAATCTATATGCACTTCTTAATGCAGTCGTCCACCAAGAGTAATTATGAATAGCAAACTACTTTCCCAACTAATAAAAAAAATCATTTCAAATCATTCTTAATGATACTTGAATGACAAACCACAAAGAACCAACATCTCACGGACTGGAAAATTATCACACTTTGGCCCCTAACTTTATAAAACGACCTGTATAGTTTTATAAGCACTGTCCGAGAACTTCGAAAAAAAATGTCACTTGCTCAGGTGGGTTCGAACCCACAAACTTCCATTCACTTGTGCAGATGCCATTATAAATTTACCTAAATTGCCCTACAAGCCCTCACCCTGTAAGCCTGCAGCCACTTCCACAGACGCGTGTGCTACGGCTTGAGATTAAACACGAATTGGATGTGGCTGCCAGCAGCCACTTCAATAGACTCGTGTGTAATTTCAAGCCATAGCCAAGTCATTCTGACGCAGCCTAAGCCGGCCTCAGGTCGACCTTGCGACGACACAGATCAGTTGGCGACTGACTTTGCAGGATCAAGCTGCGCCTGAGCTTTGACCGTCGGGAACATCTCAGTCGGCGATTTTTTGGCGACCTGAGTGTAATTACTGTGACGATATTAACACGATCGGCATCAGCCGGCGCTCAAAAAAAATGAACAGTCGCAAGAGTAGACAAATTTCAACATCTGCGACGTGTTCCGCGACAATCACACAATTTCTCAGTTTTGTGACCTGAGCATAATTGTTGTGCTGGATGCCGACGGTTCCGTCGTGGCGCAAGCAAATCGTGGGTCGACCTGAGGCCGGCTTTATTCACATAAGAACAAGTCCTAGTTTGAAACTTTACTTCTCCATTATGTAAAATCCAACCAAATTCGGTTAAATTAGGAAATGCCACAAATATAATATTTGGAAATGAAGACTCCATGCTTTTTTATGCTACAGAGATTTTTTTTTTTTAAATATCACATACATATGCATCGTATCCAAATTTATTGACTTCCCTGAATAACAAGACCTGCAATTTACACAAACACACTAACATTTACTATACATATTTATATGTAAACTGAGATCATCCTTATAGTGCTCAGAATTACAGGTTTATGAACATACCGACAAATTAGAGATTATCATATAAACTGAAATAAACATCACATATTAAATTAATGATGACAGAACTTAGGGCTTACCGTGAACACCCAGTTTGTCTTCTATTCTAATGACAATTGATTCTGCCTGATGTTTGTATCCAGCCTTCCATCGGTGACCAGCTAAAGCGCCGAGCGCCAGCACAGCAACTCGCTGTATCTCTGGGTCCCGCAAAGGTTCTAAAAACAATCGAGCAACAGTTGCAGATCAGACAGCAGTTGTAAATATGATTTACAACTTTTCGGTTTGTTATTGGTGGCGCTGTTTACACGGGGGAGATTTAGTCAGCTGCAAAACCAGTGTGTGCAAGCGGGCCTAGGAATCACGTGTGGGCAGATGCCGTCCAGATCTCGAATCAAGGGGATCGTGAAAGGCTGGCTCCGGGAAACCCCAGGCTCAACATTTCTAGTTACGGTGAGTTCACTGATATTGTGTGTTCATTGTTCTTAAGAAAGAATAACAAGCCAAGAAACTTGAATGTTTGTGTCATTGTCTCTTATTATTTTATCTGTCCGTTCGTGGAATAAAAATTAAGCCCCATAAGCAGGCTAAAATATTACAACAAAAGTATACATGTTTGTCTGTTGTCTCTCTCTGTGTGTTTGTCTGTCTGTCTGATTTGTATGCCTCATCATTTCACAGTATTTCTTTAATTAGTTATTATATAAAGGTATCTATATACAAGCTTTGGCTTACGGAATATGCATCCATGTATGTATGTGCTGGCAATTGTATATTTCCTTATAATTATATTGTTATTTCTTGTATTTTTAAATTGTGCTGTGCAGAATGGAAATAAATGTGACCTGAACTGAACTGTACTGAAATTAATAACATTTCAGACAAATATGTGTGGTTATCAAATAATTATTTCCCGGGAGGTCCCTGGCCCCTTCAGTTACTTAATTTAAATTTGTGTTGGTTGACAGAACTCACCTGGAAATTTTCCGGGCTGGAAGACAATATCTTCAACAGTCTCTAGATAATGCTACAAATACAATCAAAAGTGAAATTAACAGAAAAATATATAGTGATTCACAAATGAAAAGATTACACTGCCCATTACCACCATCCAATAGCGGAGTTGGGGGTGGGGGGGGGGGGTTTGCTTACAGGGGTTGCAAACCCCCCACCACCACCACCATTCAGCTGCTGACTGATGTTATGGTACTAGTAAAATGGGGCAAAAAATAATAAATGGAAGCTATGGAAAGTTCCTAAATTTATTCTGAAATTGCCTTAGAGTGCAGGAGAAAGAAAACGAATTGTAGATTACAATATTTTCCATGGGAGGTTGAATCCTCGCCCCCCCCCCCCATAGCCTTTTGCACACCTGTACCCATTCCCCACATTTCTGAAAGCTACTGAGATCTTGTTGCCTCTGCCATCAGAGAAATTGAAAAAGAAACAAAATGCCTGGAAGGAGACCTCGTCTAACCTCTGATATGGTGTGTGAGAAGCCGGCAGAGGTCATCAGAAGTCTATTTACAAGCTCCATGTTCGGTTTTGGAGACAGGAGAATAAGATCCGTGAGGAGTGACTGGGGGCTATCAGACAGCATTGAGACGAGGGCATCCATCATGTGCAGTCTGTCCTGCTTGTCACGGACACGTCTGACAAGAAGGAAAGTTAGGAATCCGGATTCACAACATACGATCCAGAAACTATTAACCTTCTTGACAAAAATATATCAAAGGAAGGTAGTCTAACTGGGCTGATGATAGCTGTTAATTAGGTAGAATATAGGAAAGGGGAGTGCATGACAAAATGGACTCCTAGCAGTACATGCTCAAGGTAATTACAAAGAGAAATTTCGGGGAGATCACTGGGAGTCCACTGAGAGACTCATTAATGCATTGCAGATGACGAATGACTCTACGCCCATAATGCGCATATATACCAGTGCAAGCTAGGGGGCCCGTCCCTCCCAAGGAACTCTGACAAGCGGTCAAGAGGTGTCAAATACAGACCTACCATGTATCATGCATCTGGCGTGTGTTGATCTCACACATCTCAGATTTCATTCACACGCCGGACAGTTGTAATCACACGCCTAACACTAAATTGTTCCAGAAAAATATTTTGGGGGTTGTTTTTAGGACCAAAAACATTTGCGTTCGATTCTGTGTGAAGATCATAATAGCCAGCGCCGTCGCTGAGGTAATGGTAATGGTTATGTTCAGCGCTACACCCCTGCAACTTGCAGGTGTACAGTACGCATATGCGCATGATGTGTAATGATTCCTGCTGACATGCCACTGTAATGTAACGCGGCCCCTTACATGGAACAGTTTTATTGTTCGCCTCTTTATAGTGCCTTTCTGAAGAGCAAGTGAAATTTCATCAATTCCCTTTCATTCATTTTGAGTTGACGTACCCATTACAAATTAAAAGAAATGTTATTTGGAGTAATTATCAGAATTTTTGGTCCACCGATGAACCCTTCCAAAATAATTTGCTGACAAATTTCAGTTTGGTACAGAAGGGGAGAAAATGACGCCTCATCAGAATTTGTCAAATTTAAAGAAATTCTTATTAACTTGGGATTTTACGAGATTTGTTCAAGTGAGCAACATAAGGGAACACTCGGTCAATTTTGTGACCAAGTTGTTGCCCGCTAGCACTGTCACAAGCCCAGCTTTTGTTTGATTTTGGCAGTCCATGTGAGTACACCATTTTTTCTACCATCAACTCCCTCCCATAGCTACTAGATAAGATTGAACGAAAAATGTGTGAAAACTTTACATCTCAGACAAACAAAATCTAATTTTAATGAGCAATATCCATGACAGATGAGGAAAAAATTCAAACTATATTATATATTATCTACGCGATTATCAATTTTGAATTAACTGTATACTTATTTTGGGACGATTCCTATTTTAAATTGTTCCGCGAATCTTTTATGTGTGATGGGATCAGGGGTTGGGGAGGGGAGGGAATTAACTTGTTGAATAAAATACCTGGACAGTGGGAACTTATACATGGGTGAAACAAGCTCACTCAGCTGTCTGTCAGGAACAGACAGCAAGGTTTGCACCAGAGCCCGGAAACACTTGGTGTGATCATTGGAACCTGTTAATAAAAAAATCAACCCACTTATGACATTTGAATCAAAATGGGTAAACAAATTAAACGTCATGATGTCATGATAAAATGAAAACAATATTACCATCAAAACTAGTTGGAAAACTAGTTGTCCCCATTAATTAACGAGTATTTATCCGAAACGTGACAACACCGGTATGCCCTCTCCTGGCTGCCCAAAGTCAGTTTTGATGGCTGTTACGTAGTTAAACACAAGTTAAGAATACAATACAGCAAAAAAAAAAAAAAAACAGTTTCATAATAATGTGCAAATTCTTTCCTTTGTTCAAATGGATATATCACGTTTTGGAAATAAACCTAACCAAAAAGTATTTGTTTGAGCATCATGGTACAGTATCAGTTAACTAAGATTAAGATTAACAGTAGCATCGTGTGACAAATCTCTTTTGTGAGTTTCTGAAAAGAACCGGGGGAAACTCAACGTGTCGGGCAGTGTGCTCTGCCCGTCTTTCGGACATGCAGCATACTGTCCAAAACGTTGAGTTTTTCCCCGTTCTTTTTAGAACCTCACAAGCTCACAAGCGAGATTTGTCACATGGGGCTATCTTTATATTATTGCTATCTTCCTCATGCCAGAATGCAAACATTAAAATCATATCTGACATCTGTGAAGAATCGAATGTTTCAAAGCATCACATTTTTAAGAAAAGAACTCATCGTAAACATCCCTGAGACCTGAATTGAAGCAACAACAAAGACATAAGAGTTTGGGAATTGGGATCTAGTCGATATGTGCTCTTTCCAGAGGCCACAGACCCAAATTCCCATGCACATTTGTCAACAGTATCGTCGCATATCTGACGAAGTGACGAATCGGTCATTTTGGAGTTTTTTTTATTAATTGAGTTTTATGGTTAAAAATATTCGAATTTTCAGATTTTTAGGTTTTTATTTCATGAAAACACTTCATTTTTGTTGTTCCGAAACCCACTAAGTGACGAATCGGCACATATCGGAAAAACTTTGTCTTGCGAACTGACGAATAAATTATTCGACGCTTGGTCATATCAGAACAGCGCGCATCCAGTATCTGACGAAGTGACGAATAACCAGTTATTCATTGGTTACGCACACACCCGTCTTAATAATTGAATGGCGTATGAGGGAACCAGGGATCTTCTGTTTCGCGCGCTTTCCGTCAGCTTTCAAAACAAACTAACGGCGCTGCAACATTATAATGATGACTAAAAAGAGATAACCGTTACTACTTCACCTTTATGTAATTTTGTGTATGTAGAGTTGTAATCCTAAAATGAACGGAGTACAAAATGTACTAGGCTAGGACTGCGCGACGGACAGGCTTATACAGACTGGGATTCATTTAAAACGTGCGATATACTTTCCTTCAAAACCGGCGTTTTATAGGAATTCCACAAAAGGTCTACTGCATTTCAAGAAAATCTCGAAAACGGTCCCCTTTAAGTGGCTAATATGAGCTGAAAACCTCATTTTAATCAGCCCATACTGAAATGAAGTGCCTCCTAGGGGTTGAAAATTAGGATATTTTTTTTTAAAAACGTGCCGTCCACTTTCTTTCATAAACGGCGTTTCATAGGAAAGCATTATTACTGCATTTCGACGGAGTCCATTTAAGCGGCTACTTAAAGCAAAATACATAATTGGAATAAACCAATACTGAAATGAAGTGCACCCTAGAAGGTGAAAATAGGATTATTAAATAAAAATATTATTTATTCAAAACATATGCGGTACACTTTCTTTAAAAACTGCGTTCAATGGGAGACCCGAAATACTGCATTTCGAGATATTCTCGAAAATGGAACCCCTTTAAGTGGCTAATTTGAGCATAAAACCTCATGGGAAAAAGCCCACAATGAAAATAAAGAGTGCCCAGGAAGGTGATACTTCGGATGATGACATAAAACTATGTTTTATTTGTAGATTTTCTTTCAAAGACGGCATTTTTAAGGAAACCCAAAACACTGCATTTCGAGATATTCTCGAAAACGGAGCCTCTTTAAGTGGCTAATTAGAACAGAAAAACCTCATTGAATGAGCCTATACTGAAATAACGTGTGCCCTAGCTGGTGAGTGATGATTAGGATAATGAAATAAAAATATAAATTATTTCAACGTGTGCGGTACACTTTCTTTCAAAGACGACGTTTTATAGGATACCCAAAATTCTTTTCGAGATACAGGTTTTGTATTCTCGAAAACGGAGCCCTTTAAGCGTCTAATGAAAGCAGAATGCCTAAGGATAACAAGCCGTTACTGAGATTATTGTACCCTAGAAGACAATAATTATGGGATTTTGAGACAAAACTGATTGTTTTTAAAACAATTGCTGTCTTATATGAATGAATGAATGAATGAATAAATAGTGTTGTTCGTTGTTAGTTCGCCTTCACAGTTTTGTGTTCCTACTATTTTGTTGCGTCCATTCGAGATATTTTCCTTTTTAATAACTTTTTTATTAGGCTACTGTATATTATTAAAACATTATAGCAAGTACTTGGATTTGAACGTGGGGTTTAAGTGTTACCATATTTTTTCCTAAAAAGAAAATAGAAAATGTTTGTAAAACAAACACATTTCTTTGAAAATGCGCGTAGTGTTGTAAAGAAGTGACGAATATGCAATGGATTTGTGATGCAAAAACGCGCGCACAGTCAAAATGTTATCCTACAAAGTGACGAATAAGATATTTCTACGTGGCGAATAAGCACAATGACGTTTAAATTTATCTCGCGAAGTGACGAATAAGTTTCACAGCAAAAATTAGACAAACCTTTAGTCTTACGAGTAAAAACAAATGAATAGATATATTTTAACAATCAAATAACTACCTTGAATAAATTAAGATTACAAAAGGGGAAAGTAGCATCGAAAAGGGACACGTAAAATGTGTTCAACTTTAAACGCGTTTTTCTCAGAATTGCGTTTACGCGTAATCGCGCGTATTCGTCGGTTCGTCAGATATGCGACGGTATATTCCAATGATTTGCACTGATTTTCAAATCAGATCTTACCAATCCTACTTAGATAAGATTCTTGACCATCTGTATCTGATGGACCCAGGTTGTTATAACAATGTGCAAGGGTACTACCTTTCAACTGTGCTGTCCTCATACAGGTCAAGTTTCCTGCGATGAATTGCTTCAGTTCCGTTGTGTTGAAGTTAAGGTGTCTGTCTGGTGTCTTAGAAAAGAAAAAGAATTTAAACACTCAGCATTTTACAACAATAACAATACATTACTTGAATGGGCAAGGAATGTTTGATTATTGATGAATAATACTGGCTACAAGTAGTTAGTAGCAAACCGTCCAAAAATGTGGGATTCTAAATACTGCGTATGAGAGTCTCAAAACGTAAGATATAAAACATGCAATACAAGAAAATAGACTGGCACAAAGTCCAGAGCAGAATTAAAATGATCACAAGTTTTAGCTGTTTCCCTTACCATAATGACGTGTATTGAGTCAGTGAAAATATCCTCATTATCCGGTGGCCCTGAAGGTGACCGATAGTATGCTTCTCGGGCGAAGATCAGCTGCCCTTCAGAAACAGTCCGCATCTCAGGAAATTCTGAACAATTAAGAGGAAGTCATGTTTGAATGCTGTTTTAGGCTATGTCATCATTTGTGCATGCTGTTTAGGGTTATGCATCGGAACCGGGTACCCGAGTACCCGACTGTTGATGTCAGGAATCAGTTCCGGATTATGGGATCGCGGGTACCTGTAACCATAGAGAAAGGACAAAGAAGGAGTCGCAACTCTTGGTTGACTTTAATTTTGACCATTAACATTCCAATCCCCCGGGAATGTCCATAGCTAAAGCACTGTGACCACTAGCCTGGATCATTCATTGCATCACTGCGAATGGCCTTTAAACACGATGACCATCGCAGCCTTTTTAGTTGGTAACCAACAACGTCCCTATATGCTGCATAATAAGTCATGTCACGTTGTTGCTCTTTAAACAAAAAAACTATTTACGGCAAGATAGCTTTTAACAAATGAGCAGTTGTAAGATGTGAATTATACATTCAAGTTAACGATATGCAGTTGTTGGTCCTTGGAAGCGCTGTACGTTCCTGTTATTTGAAGATGAACTTTTTTTCCGATAAGTTATCATGTCTTTTCGAAAATTTAATTGAAAAACAGCATTTATGAAATATAATATTTTGGGAAAATTCCTAAGTTTTCTCACTTGGGCATTTTGTTCGTCATGAAATGTTTTTTTTTTCAGTTATGTTGACGGTTGACCACATTGTTATACCCAGTGTTAGCAAACTCCGAACAAACACTTTCAAAATCATTCATTTTTGGCGATGTATGACAACTACGCACGCGTATTACCATGGTGCTATCCACAAAGCAATGCAAACTCTTCCTTCTAGCGTTATTGAACATGGATCTCTATTGTGTAATGTGTGTCGCCATATTGTGTCGCCAGGTGCTTTCTATTGTTGCTTTCGAGCGCGGCGATGATCCTATAACACTTTGAAGTACTAGAGTTGTGACTCCCTCTGTGTCCTTTCTCTATGCTGTAACCAACTTTAAAACTAACTTAGTAATATCTCAATGAAAAAGGCAATGAAAAGAAAAGAAGGTTGTGAATGTCATTTCAGTGTGGGGAATTTTCAAAATGAAAGCCAGGCTAGGTAAGGGGGGATAGTTCTCTTTTATGACGCTTGCGGAAGTTGCAGTTTTCATCATAAATCTACAAAGCTCGGTCTACAGGTTTTTTTTCAATCGGTTGCCCGTTTCCCGTATATGCACACCACTAATGTTGTCGACATCTGATAAAAAGTGAGACACAAATGGTACCTGTCAATATTAACTTACGACCAACATTTGTTTTTCTTCAAATAACAAATATGTGGATGATAACAAAACAGTCTAGAAAGAATTTATGAAGATTAACACAAAACATAACTAAATATAAAGTTATAGTGTAAAATACTATATATTGAATATGTTATCACCAATATCTTCTCCTTTTTCTTCTTCAGTCCTGTGAACGCCATGCTGAAACCTGTAGAGTTAGACATTGTCAAACAAAATTGTTCAGCGTCCCATCACTCTGCGTTTGTTACAAAGATAAGCGCAAATCTATATTTGGGTATTGTGACAGACCAATTAATTAATAATACAGGTGTAGCTTCTGGATAGGGTCTAGGGACAAATACATGGGCTTCATTAATTTCAATGAGCCGAACGGGGAAAGTTTTGTCTTCTTGAAAAATAGAAATAAAATATAAAAACACATATAGGAGATTGAAATCTCAATCTTACCCCGGTGCGGACTCCCTTGGTGCGTCATAATGCTCCATTATCTTCACCATTGTTGGCAGTTGCATCCCCTTGTGATAGTGGATCTCCTAAAGTTACAGAGACAAGATCAGTCGAACCAGTACATGTCAGATTCACATTTTTTGTCAAAACAATTCTGTGCAATTTGATAAATAATGTATTGCTACTATCCTCTCAATTACTGTTTTTATAAGCGTGCCAATGAAATGTCCTACAGATTATACACATCTCGAATATTCCCGTTTGAAAAAAAAAAACAATTTTGTATCCCTCACCTTTTGGTGTTTGGATTTGCCGTAAGGTATTGGGTGAGTGCGTCTAGTCTTAGTGAAGACAATAATGCCATCATTGCCCGGTGCCATCTGAGCCGTGTAGGACGACTCGTGGTGACCCTCGTGACCCGTCTCATTGCAGTCGTAGCTCCAGCCGCTTTCCTTCAACTATTGAAATGTAGCACAAATAACATCCCCTTGTTAACATCCCCCTGTAAAATCACGAAAATCTGTCCACAACTTTTTAGGTTATCTTGTCAACAGACACACCAACCAACGCCGATGAAAACATAACCTCCTTGGAGGAGGTAATAATTACAAAATGGTGTCTAATTACGTTTAAACTTGCAAAAAGTAATATTTAACACTAAATTTGAAGCTCGTCAATAGAGGTTTGGCAACACTTCTTCAGAAAAGTCGTGGGGGGGGGGGGGGGTTGAAGCGTGTCACGTTAGGGACTCCACTATTGACCAATCCGAGATGTACATTTTTTGTACAGAGTGCACGGCGTGTTCAGAACTTTACAGAGCGCACGTGAGATGGACGCTCAGGCACGGGGAACGTCCAAGCAATGGCGAACAAAACCGTTACGTTAATTTCAAAAACAGGACGGATGTATACCTTTCCATCGGGGGGATGTTGCAGATTACTCGCCAACAAGCTGGCCAGACCTTTCTTTATCATTATCACCTCTTTGTCCTCATCACTTGGGTAGTACACCTGACCGATCGCTCCATTCTCGCTGATGTCGAATGAAAACCTGCCAGAGTTCGAATTGATAATTAAAAACAATGGAAATCGGTCATTAATGTTTGTCTGAATTTGAGAATCGCTCTGAACACGCGTTTCATTTTCGCTGCCAGAGCATTCGATTCCATTTTAGTTCAATCAACTGAGTGATTAGGCAGCAGATTTTGCAGATTCGGTCACAAGACTTCTTTTTTCGCTTTTAGAGGGCGATTTCAAAAATTCACTATTCTTTTTCACTCGTACTTTAATGCCATCGGCACCAGACACAATTAGGGGTTTCTTTTTCATTAACCGTCAATCGAATTAGCGAAATCTGAAATTGATTTAGAAAAGGTATGCTTGCGTAAAAGAATGCACATGTAACGTAATTGGCCGTCTGTTTCTCAAAACCGAATACACAGACAACGAAAACGATTGAACTTTCGCTGAAGTTAAATGGGATTGAAGACGTGCATTTAAATTCAGACGAGAACGAATGACCGCTTTTTAGTAGTGAATGAACATTTCATGAAATTGGCCTGGAAAACCTATATTATATTGACGTGTGTGGTGAGAGCTAACATGTGGTGAGCGCACTGTTCAACTTAAGAACATGCCATACATCATCGGTAAGCATCCATGTAATTAGAAGTATAAACCAACCCAAGCACGCTACTGAACAGTCACAAGAGGCCCCTTTCGATGGCGAACGAATTTTGTCAGCTTTTGTTCACGGCAAGACCTCCTTGACGGATTATCTTATCAATAGTTGGCTCAATGCCTTCGCCATTGAAGGGGGCCTCCGTGCAAAGAACATTGTGCAAAGAAAACCCTCTTGATTTCTGTACCTCCCACTTTTCGGACTCCATTGACGTACAGACGAATACCGGCACGTAATCACTGAACACTCACAAGGCCCCCTTCAACAGAGAAACCATTCTACAATGGTACAAGGGTAGTGTACAAAGCAACGGCCCCATGACGGATTATCTGAACAATAGCTAGCACAATGCTTTCACCATTAAAGGGGGCCTTTTTGATAGCTCGCTCGGATTAGTCTGAATGCAAAAGAGGGACCCCCAACTCTCCTACTTTCCACGCTTCAAGTTATTATAAAATGATCTATAAGCCCGTCTCCCGCTGCACACAATATTGCTCAAAGTTGGAGGCGGCTAAAGTTCCTATTCTCAAATTGCCTTAGAATGCAGGAGAAAGCATCGTAGATTTCAAATTTTTCAATGTCTCTTCTACACGTTTTTTCCCTCCATGGAAAACCAGGCAACAAAGCAGTGTTTAGCATGAGTGTCATCCAAATTGAGACCTAAGGAAAAAGCGTATAATATACAGCACCAGCGCCAGCAAACTCTACCATATTATGGTAGAGTTTGCTGGTGCCAAGGGTCGTGGGTCTCACCAGCCCCGTACTACTGTGTGCCTGGAGTGACAACTAATTAGATACATGTACATGTATATCGGTACTCCTATGAATATCCGGGTCTGAATTGGTGGGTATTTAGGAACACAAGTAAAATGGATCATTGACAACTCACCATTCATTAAAGTCTCTCTCCTCACTCAGAGGAACTGAAAATGAAAAAGGTATTTGAACATCATTTACAACCAGGGCAAAATAGCTTAGGTGTATTGGTTGCAATTCGTATTCAAAAGAAAATTGTGCAAAGAAAACCCTCTTGATTTCCGTACTTCCCACTTTCCGAACTCCATTGATCTTATGACACACAGACGAATCCCGGCAAGTAATCACTGAACATTCACAGATTCGTCTGTACGTCAACGCGTAACAGACGTAAAGTCTGTTACGCGTTGCCATGAACTGTAGCGTCATGCTTTGCATGTGCACAATATCTTTATTTTATGATTATACGAATAAATGATAACCCCATTTTTTTGCAAATCTATTTCAAGTTCGCAAATCTAGGCAACATGAAGGCCGGTAAACAGAAGAAGCATTTTGACATGATTGATCATCACGATAAAAGATGGCAGATAAATGACGAATTCCGCCAAAGGCCCAAGTCGAAAATACAAAGGCCAGACAATTGTTCCTCTAACGCTCACCCTTTTTCTGACGAGAGAAAAAAGAAAAGAAAAAAAAAACCCAGTTAGTATCCATTATTAGCTACAACGGGTCTCCATTGCTTCTCTCCACACGGGTGGGTACCTGTGAGGGCAGATATGATTGATTTTAGCTGCTTTGCGCCGAAATGGCAGCATTGAGCTGTGCACAATATTTTCATTATATAAATGATAACCCCATTTGTTTGCAAATCTATTTCAAGTTCGCAGATCCAGGCTGCATGTAGGCCGGTAAACAGAAGAAGTATTTTGACATGATTGATCATCACGATAAAAGATGGAAAATAAATGACGAATTCCGCCTAAGGTCCAAGTTTTTTTGTTGAGGAAAAAATAATAAGAAACAAAAAACAGTTAGTAACCATTACTAGCTACATCGGGTCTCCATTGCTTCTCTCCGTGGGTACCTGTGAGGGCAGAGATGGTTGATTTTAGCTGCTTTGCGCCGAAACGGCAGCATTGAGTTGTACGCTCCCCAGGGAGCTGAGATTGACTTTGAAATGTTTTCATTGACGCAATGAGTAGCCAGGTAATAATGATGTAGCGCTTTGAGCACCTGGTGGATACGTGCGCTTTATAAATACACACTATTATTGTAGGTTTTCCCGGCCAATTTCCTAAAATGTTCATTCACCTCTAATCATCGGTGACCGTCATTCATTTTCGTCTGAATTTGAGACTCGCTCTGAACACGCGTTTTGTTTTCGCGACCAGAGCATTCGATTCCATTTCAGTTCAATCCAATCAATTAAGTGATTGAGCAGCACCTTTTGTTTATGCCCATTCAGATCCGTTTACAAGACTTCTTTTCACTTTTAGAGGGTGATTTCAAACATTCACCATTCTATTTCACTTTTAGTTTAATGCCATTGGCACCAGATACAATTAGGGGTTTCTTTTTCATTTACCGTCAATCAAATTAGCTATACCTGAAGTCAATTTGGAAAAGGTATGCTTGGGTACATGAATGCACCGCTAACGTAAAACCGAATGCACGGACAATGCAAACGATTGAACTTTCGTTGAATTGAAATGGATTAAAGGCGTGCACTCAAATTCAGACGAAAACGAATGACCGATTTTCAGAAGTGAATTAACATTTCAGGAAATTGGCCGGGAAAACCGATTTGCCTATTAAGGGGGAAAAATGCCCATGCACCAACCTCGTTCTAGTGATTTAGTTTCAACATCGAGACGAAAGTAGACCCTGGTAAGGAAACGTGCTTAGCTCTATTCCGATTGGATCCCGTAATCGGCCCTACTAAATCACCGATATATGACGTGTTTTCACGTTCATTGTGAATTGTTACGTCCAATCCTCATCAAAAACAATCTTCTATTACATTTTGCACTTTCTTATTGTCATATTTAGTGTGCTGCAAGTTGGATGGGTACGATTATAACATTAACCTTGAGGGGAAAAAACATGTCAGCCGCTGGCTATAATAGGCCCAATGTTATGACACAGGTACAACGGGGGCCAAATTTAATAAATGGAATGCTATAGTTCCTAAATTTATTCTCATATTGCCTTAGAATGAAGGAAAAAGCAAAGATTTCCGATTCTGCTTTGGCACGCCTTCGCTTCCCCCTTAATATCAACCCCGTCTGTTTCCTGATAGCTATGATCCGGTCGCCCCTGGTTTACCAGTCACGCAACGACAACTTGATTCTGTCTGTGCGCTGGACACCGCAAACAACAACTAACACCGATTTAAAACATATCATGGTGCCAGACTATTCCGCTTCTAGTTGTAACGTGCAAAGTGATTATTGAACATGCAAGTGCTCCAGTAGGTCTACGTACCAGTATCAGGGGCTAGTGAAAGCGTACTGGTCGACGCCGTGGGGACGAGTTTGCCAATGCACTGCATGTGCTCGATCAGAATGCTTGCTATTACCCACGTGCGCATAAATCATAATTCAACCGAAAACTGGACTATTTTGCAGAGAACGACACGCTTTACATATTTTGTTGCACTTTAGTAATAATTTTCCACGCAATTGTGCACAAAGCAGCAACTCTAGGTGACATTTTAAAAGAATACGCAAGACTGGTCATGTGCAGATGATACATTTACCTAGCTGCTCATCGCTGGTTGCTGCCGCGGTGTGAACCCGGAGGTAAATCTCTTGTTGATCACCGTGAGACCTCACCAAAATGAAACCGATCTGAAGCACAAAAAATGAACCAAATCGTTACACATTGCCACAAATGTATTACATAATGATATTACAATGATATTCCTCAACATATACATGCCATCGGTTAAAAACAGTCCAATTTAGCGACCGCTGCTGTTAAATAAAATCCCCCTTTATCGGGTTGAGGAATAGCCTCTGGAGCCGTAGGCCTACTGAACTTTGCGGTGGTTACGTGTTTTGGCCTGTGTTGTCCAGCGTACAATCTTTTTCGTTGAGTGGTTGCAAAGACGACTCAGAGCCAAGAAGTGGGATAATCACACCTTGTTCTAATACTTTCAAAAAAGCCAGGGAAGATCCAGGTTTGGACCAACAGGTTAATCTGCCAAGAAAGAGAGAGAGAGAGAGAGAGAAAGGGGGAGAGGGGGGGGGGTGGCAAGCATTGGCTAGGCTTTTCTGCACAATTTTCTTATTTAGGCGGCCTAAGGGGGGTTGGTTACAGACCTCCAAAACCCCGCCTGTAGATCCACTACTGAAATATACATGTATTTTACAAGCTTAATTGAATTTAAGGAAGAAAGAAATTGCAAAGTAAACTGTTTTGACCTAATTCTTAAGGGCTTGATTTTTTTTTAAGCTGTACTCAAGTTCAAGTCAATCACAACTAAATAGAGTCAATCACAAGTTACGTCACAAAACAGTGAAGTTCAATTAACGCAGTTTAATTCGAATAGTCTATCACTTTGACAATTGACTGACCGAACGACTTGTGATTGGCTCGTGATAATTTCTTGCGATGAAATACTTTTGTTGACACACATTTTGTGATATGCGGTTTAAGTACCTTGGATTTCACCTGAATTGTCCGAACCTCCTTCAGCTCCGTGGAAGACTGGTAGGTGTAGATGTACTCGGTGTCCGGTTTGAACCGGATGAAACTGGCCGGGACTGGATCGATCGAGCCGGCAATGACGGCGACGACCAGTATGACCCCAAGCAGGGTGGATGTACCCGACCGGGGATAAGGTCTACGTGAGTCGGTCACGGCCATCTCGGAAAATCAGGGCCGAACCGTGAGACTGCGATAGCCCGGGTGCCCGGTAGAATAGAAAAATATTTTACCTAAAAAGATAAAATATTACGGATATTTTTGGAAAATAAAAAAGATTGTGTGGAAACTCATAGGTGTAGTTTAATTGGTTCTTTTATCAATTACTTTAAGGCGGTTCATCCGTGCGGTGCCTATAAATTGAATTGATTTTCCGTCGAGGAATTTTGGAGGAAACCGTGCTTAAAAATTCAAAAAATTCCGGTTTAGTATTGTATTAAAACACCACGGAAACATAATCTGTCAATTTGCACACATTTTAAAGTCTCTATATGCCTATACAATAATGTCAATAGTACTACAGACACATATCCGGTTAATCCGCCCCCACCCCCTCAACCTTGTTTCGCGATCCGAGCTGTTCTGACCTTTTAGCCTCGAGCCTTGCCCATCTTTTAATACAAAATACATTTAAAAAATCGCGCTGTGAAAACTGAATTTACCCATTTACGTTGTGTTTGAAGAGCAGAATTATCATTCGTGGGTATGTTCATAATTTTCGTCACTCAATGGCCGATATTTTAGGGGGGTGCGGAATTCCACCCCCCCCCCCCCCTCCCCCGGCTGAGAGACGGTCAAAATAGCCCGGCCCTTTTAGGGTTAATAGAGAATAAGATTCACGAGAAAAAAAATAAGAAACAATTAACCCAAAGCATACACTCCATAATATACGACAACAATATCTGCTTCCACCCTTGGGGCAAGGTGTTGTGTCGCTCATAATTAATATCAGACTCGGACGGCCAACGCCCCCGTCAACTGTCCTGATGAGGCACGGGAAAGTTTATTTTAAATGTTCAAAGTGGCTTCAGTTTCGTAAGCTTCAGTTTCTCTTGTAAATACAATATTAAAGGTTGTACTGTACACCGTTGTTGTATTAGATACGATACATTTTGGTGGCGGATTGCCCAAATGTAGTTTCATTTGTTTTTGTTTTTAAAAGTATCAATCCGTCAATGTCTATGGAAGTCGACACTGAAAAACCCTGAACAATGTCGGCCACTAAATATGATTTAGCCTCTTCTACACTGTAAAAAGGTTGGGTAAAATACTGTTGGGCAATGTAATTTATCCTACATTGGTATGAAACTACTTCATATTGGGTTGAATTGGGTAAAAACTGTCAAACTATTGGGAAGAATTTGCCCAAGAGTATAGGCAGTTGATAATTTGACCAGCAGTGGTCAAATCATCAATCCAGTTTGTCCAACTTTTTTACAGTGTATAAACTACACTGTTCAGGTATCTTAAGGAGGATGTAGACGAATTTATTTCTAGATTTAAGACTTTGGCTCCAAAAGATTGAGCAGATGTTAAGAGTAACTCTGACTGTGTTGAAATGAATTTGAGTTCTTAAAGTATGATTGATGTGAAATTTGTTGAAGCCCTTATTGATACCGGTGCTTCTATTAATCTCATCGATTATGACTGGCTTTAAAAACATCTGCCTGCCAAACCAGCGCACTATTTAATCGAAAAACCACGTTTGATGAGTGCTACAACGAAAACACAAATAATATGTTTTAGACATTACAGGGTTTATTACGTTGCCAGTTATGTGTGACATAGAATTCCATGTTGTGTGTAGCATTACCTCACAAAATTATAATCTTAGTACGCATTTTCTAATTGAAGTGCTAACATAGACTGCAGATCACGTACACTATGACTTACTAAGAAAAACCAGTTGCGTGTTGTCAAGAAGCAAACAACCGCACCACGCTCTCAGCGCAGTTTGTGTAAAAGTTTCAAATCAACTTCCTGTAAACACTGTTGGTTAATCATGCCTTGTTATTAGGTCGACATGTAGCACGCACTGCAAGTCATGTTAAAATGTCAAATGGTCATGCAAATGTATTGGTTATGAATTATTTTTCTAAAGATCCCGTTACTTTGTATCCATGTACCAAACTGGGATCGTTCAGTTTAATTGACCCCTGTGAATTAGTACAATTGCCAACAATAGATCTTAAGGAATATGAGCACACGTTTCAGAAATTAAACCTTCTTCTGACACCAACAATCCATTTTTGAATCCAGCTTGTTCTGATAGAACAGTGAATTTTGGGAAACAGACAGAAGAAATTCTCTCCTAACTTTAGTTGAATACGGATCACATGTCCAATTCAGAAACAGCTGTGATAACTCAGCTAATATCAGATTATTCTGGCATTTTCTAAGTTGATGGAAGACCTAGAGGCTGATATGCAGGAGTTAAACACACTATTAGCACAGGAGATTGCCCTCAATTAAGTCTCGGCCCTATAGACAACCACCCCACATCCAACAGGAACTACAAAAACAAGTCAAAAAGAGTGTGTTGGACCAAGGCATTATAAGAGAACCTACTAGCCCATGGAGTTTCCCAGTCTGTATGGTACAAAAGAAGAAAAAGCAAGGCTCATACCGCTTTTGTATTGATTTTTGTTAAGCAATAATTATAAGGTCAGTATAATGGATAATAATCCATAACTGAACATAGGCCTAATTATCTGATGTACTTGATATCCTAGGCATCATGAAACCACAATTTTTTTTTAACTCTAGACCTTGCAGCTGGATAGTGGCAAAAAGAACAAGAAGAATCATCCAAATCAAAGGCTTGCTTCATTACGCAAGATTATCTGTATGAATTCCAGTTACTTCCATTTGGTTTACACTATGCCACTGCCACATTCCAAAAGGCTATGCTAGAAGTGTTGAGAGGTCTAAATTGGAAATCAGTGCTGTGATCGAGATGATGTAATAATCTTCCTAAATACATTTTCCAAAACATTTGCATCATTCGAAATGTTTTTTTTTTATCAATTGGGTTACTCCGGTCTTAAATTACAGCCCACAAAAGCGTGTTTTTGCCCATAAAAAGATAAAATATTTGGGCATATGGTTCTGAGCAGCGAAGGGATTTAAACTGAACCTGACAAGGTAAAAGTTGTCAAAAATTATCCTACACTGAAGATAGTTTCAGAAGTGAGATCATTGGATTTGTAGGGTATTACCGTAAATGTATCAAGGACTACTGTAGGATTGCAGAACCTCTCACTAACTTGACTAGAAAAGATGTGCCATTCATTTGGAGTGAAAGTTGCCAAACTGCATATGAGACTCTCAAACAACACCTGGTTGAACCACCTATTTTAGGGTTTCCCCAGATTTGACGGTACGAAATTGTACCTTCAAACTGATATATCTGGCAAGAACTTGGCTTTGTTCTAGCCCATGCGATAAAGAAAGGGTCATTACCTATGGTGGTAGAGCATTATAATGCAGAACACAACTACACTTATACTGAATTAGAGGCTCTTGCAGTTGTCGATGGTTTGAAAAGAAATATACGCAGTATCTCCAGGGAGTACAATTTTCTGTATACATTGTGTATAGTTACCGACCATTGTGCATGAAAGTGGTTTTATTGGACAGTAATCATGCTACGCCTATGTGGTAGATTAGCACATTGGGCACTTAAGTTGCAGTCATATATCTTTTTAAGTTGTACACGTCAAACGCAGAAATTGTCATGGAGACACTAAGGACATTTTGTCACTCGCAAAGTGGGAATCTGGGTACATTCGGAATTTGCCCAGGGCAAAGTGGGAATTCCAACACTGAGCAGCAAATTGGGAAGGTTGTCTTTATGTACCATTAACATCAATATTAAACTTTTTATAAAATCATCTGTGACCGTTTACACTTCGTAGCTAGAGGGAGGTATTGAAATATTTATCAGCTTTGTTCCTTTATTGGCCTACCAAACTACAGAACATGGGCAAGGTGGGAATTACGGGCAACTGTGATTTTATTTGCTAAGTGCTGTTCAAAGCATCCATTGGTATCATTCCCACATTGCCCCACTATTGAATCTGGTTCAAGTGGGAATTTCCGTACATTTTGATGTAATTTGTTATAGATAAGGGCTGTTCAAAGTACCCGTCAAAGTAACAATCACACATTGCCCTACTACTGAACCTGGGTAAAGTGGGAATTACGGGCAATTGTGATGTTTGCTATACATGAGGGCTGTTCAAAGTACCCATTGGTAATACTCCCTCGTTGCCTAACTACAGACTCCAGGCAAAGTGGGATTACGGGGAATTGTGATGTGTTCAAGTACCCATGGGTAAATTCCACACCCCTTTACCTATACAAAGTGCATCAAATTAACGCATGTATACAAGTGTGATAAATATATCAGAAAGTCAGACTGAGTTTGAGCACGCATAACTAATCATAAATAAATCACGATATTATCATAGAATCTCATCGAATACAAAGACAATAGTTCTTGCCTAGGACAAGATTAGTATAAAACAATTACCTCCTTGCATTGTTTAGTTCTTATAAGTCGTAACTATCAGCAAATTTCAGGAGCAAAATGGTAAAATCAGTGTCAAAAGGTTGGCTACCATGAGGTTGTATATATGTGCGTTATTCGTTTGTTTGTTGTTAAGCAGTGTACTCCACTGTACTTCAACAGACTCTAAGGTTTCTTAGAGTACACATCAACACGCTGAAATGTACCCGGTGGTGGGAGATTGACCACCAAGTGAATGGTTGGCAGTGAGAACTTCTGACGATTTAGGGTCATGAGGTTGTCCACTGACAGGGGTCCACCATTGACGATTGCTGCAGACTCGCACATAAGAGTCCTCAAGGATTCGTCATCAAGTAGCGTCCCTTGCTGCTCCACAAGGGCGTTGATTACTCTTCTCACTGATCTTATTTGTCTCCCCCAAACACCTCCTGGGCAAAGTGCTAAAGGAGCATTCATCTTTGCTGAAGGGTAGTCACATTCCTTTCCCTCAAGGAAGTTTGAACCTTGGTCTGGTCAATTTCTTCCGGAACTCAAGTTCCGATGATGTTGGTGCCTTGGTCCGATCTCAGTAGTCTTACTGACCCGCCCACTGCTGTGAAGCGACGCAGAGCATTGATGAAGGAGTCCGCGG